AAGACTTTATTATGTAAAGCTATTACTTTGTACATCTAAGACTTTAAAAGTTACCCTAAAAAAAATAATTTGCATAATATAAAGAAAATAAAATAAAAAAGTAAAAATACTAAAAAAGCTATTAACTACTTTACTTTTACTACTTATTTACACTGTGTAATAGAAGAGGACATCTATAGCATTAAACTTAAAAAGTATGCTAAGCAGTTTATCTTTAATAACTAATACTATATAGTATACTAAAGCAAACTATAAGATATAGGTGTAGTAAAGATTTTTACTATTAGCAAGTTTTAACTTAAGGCGTATATATAAAAGAACCTATATATAAAAATTAATTAAACACTTAGCTAAATAGATATTAGCTTTAAAAGCTAGACACTAAAGAAATTAATTAGTACTATATAAATCTAGAACTTAATTAGTTTAGTTACATACTATATTCTAAAGACTTTAACACTATTCTTGCTATTACTAGCAAATGCTAACTAACTTAGAGTATACTTTAACAACATTTTAAATATTATTATATGTAAAGACAAAACTACTGTACTTATTATATAAAAATAAAGACACTTTTTTTTTAATGTTAGTAAAAAAGAATTTATATCTTTCTTTACTAAATTAGAACTTTACTACCTTTACTACTAATTTAGACACCCCTGCATAGAGAAACTTTAGAAAATGCTAACTAGCGCTAGCTACAACATTAATGCTGCAGTGCTAGAAGAGATTAAAAAATTCTGCTACCTCTACTAATTATATAACTAGGCCTTATAAAAATTTAAGTTTATAATTAAAGATAACACCTACTTTAACTATAAAGTTATTATTAATATTATATAAATTAATAATAAAGATGTTTTATATGTTATTAATATAGACACATTATTTTAGGCTGCTACATTCCTAAAATCTATGTCTACATAAGATACCTAAAATGCACTATGTAAATGCTAGATTAACACTTATTAAAAACCTTTAGACTATATTATACATAACTTTAGTATAAACTTTACTTTAAAGAATTTTTAAGCTTATGTAAAGATTATAAAAGCTATATGTAGGCAGATGCCTATAAAAGCATATTAGGTAGTTAGAAAAGTTAAGCGTGTGCATATACCTTTCTAATAAGTGTTTAACATTCTAAAGACTAAGCTAGGTAACTGTATAGATAATAAGGCTATTTTATAAATAGCAGTTAAGGCTCTAAACAACACAGCTAGCCTACACAGTCTAGTACCTACGCTGCTAGTCTTTAAGGCATACCTAAGAATTAACTTAAACTCTCTGCTATTACTAGACATTATTACATAAGTAAGTGCTGTATAAAAGGTAATAAAAATACTTTAAAAGAACTATGTAAAAGTAAATATTAATTATAAAATTAATACTTATAATAGCTTTATAACATATAAAGTTCTTAACTTCTCTCTTAGCTTAAAAATTATAGCATAAAGAGAGAAGAAAGGCTAGACTAGCCTATACAAAATTAAAAGTATTAAAAAGAGAGACATTATTATTAAGAAAAAAAATAGCCTACTAAAGCTCTAATATATATAAGTTAAACTATACTATAGAGAAAAAAAAAAGATAACTTACTTATAATAAATAACCTAGATAAACTAATCCCTATATAAAAAGATTTTTTAAAGAAAAGAAAAAAAAAATAGCCTTATAAAAATATTATAAAAGTAAAACTAAAGCCTACTATAAACTAAGCCTCTTAAGATAGCAATGCTGCACTAGTGTAAAAGGAAGATATAGATACTAGAAGAAGTAAAAAGTAAAGAAAACTTATATAAAGTCTAGACTAGGTATTTCTAACCTAAAAAAAAAAAAATAATTAGGCCTTATTTATTAAGCTTTATATAAATAGTGTAATTACTACACCTAAAAAACTATTTAAAGAATTAGACTATATAAAAATAAACACTTTAATTACTAATAGCACTTTTAAGGTTATAGTGTATAACTTAATAAAGTATAAAAGTTAGATTTTTAACCTTTACTTTATATAAAAAGTAAAAAGTAAAATAACTTAACTATATAAAAAATCTTACTAAGTGTTTGCTAGCTACTTAAATAAAAAAAAAGAAAAAATTCTTACTTAGTTACTAACTATCTAAAGAATAAGCTAGAGACTACTTTTAGCTATAAAAGTAAGCCTAAGAGCTATGTATAAAATGCATTTTAAACTATGTAATATTACATAAGTATACATCTAATTAATAAATAAGCTTATGCGCACACTATACATAAAGCTACTAAAGAAGATGTGCTAGAGCTTTTTACTAAATATAATACTCTAAGTTATATAACTCTTATATAAAGCTACTAAATTAGAACTATATTAGTTTAAAACATACTATAACTACTATAAAGAAAAGCTGTGCATGCACATTTTTTTATATAACTCTTACTTTTTAATTACTAATAAAGAAGAGCATACTTTTAGTATTACTAGCTTATAAATAAATAACACTTTAAGCATTATAATAAAGAATTTTATGTAAAAAGAAAAGAAAAAACTATAAAAAGTAAAGTTTTATATAAAAAGTAAAACTATTCTAGTAGAAAAGTAGCCTATTAAGTTTAATAGTAAAAGAATTAAACTTATATATAATATAGTAGTTTTTACTTAAAAAAAATAAGTAAGCTACCTTTATATAATTAACTTAAAGAATAAAGATGCTATATAATAATATATTAAGTAATATGTAAAAGAGGTATATATTACATCTATATGTTAACTAGAGGCAGTATTTAACTTATTTATTACTGCATAAACTATAAACTCTTTACATAATAATATTAACACACTTAATATATAAATCTAATAGTAGATAAATAATAGTAAACATAGTCTTACTTTTCTACTATTATAGCTTAATTATGTAAAGCTGTTTATTTTTATAAATAGATTATTTACTAATAATAAAGACCTTAGCTTATAGCTAGAATTTTTAATTATATTAAGTAATAAAGACTATATAGAGCAAAGTAACTACTTTAAAATACTAGGTAATATTATACACTAGAATTCTACTAAGTGTAAAAGAGTAACTAGAAGTGTCTTTACTAGTAAACTATATAAAATAGTTAGAGAGTTTAATAATGTAATTACACTTAGTATAACTTTATAGTAAATTATATAAATGCTTAAACTACTACTAATCTTAGTAGTAATTTATATAAATTTAAGGTTTTTATATAATTACTTTATTAAGCTAAGCACTACTAGTAAAAAGTAACTTATAATTAACATTATGTTACTCTATAAATTATATAAAAAAAAAGAAATTACTAAAATTAAGTAAATTAATAGTAAAAATAACTTAATAAATATATATATAAAAAAAATACTAAACTAAGCTTTTTAATTACTAGTTCTAACTAACTGCCTCTCTGTCTAGATAGAAGCATTTGTAGACTAGCTAGATTTTATGTGTAAAAATGCTTTAGACTAACTAAACTAATAACACCTTTATATAAGGCCTATTTTTCTTTATTTTTTTTTTTTATATTATACATAATTATTTTTCTTATTATAAAGATCTATTACTGCTAGCACTATATAAAAAAAGAAAAGAGCTAGAGGATTATACAGTAAAGCTTAAAAAGTAAAAAATAAAAAAAAGAAAAGCTATTTATATAGTATAACTAGCCTATTCTAATGCATAGCATTACTAAGGCAAGTCTTAATAAATAAGGTAAAGTAAAGGTAGAACATAATTAGATAGACTTACATAGATAGAAGGGAGGTAACACGTACAAAAGGCAACTTTTTAGATAAAAAGAAAAGTTACTAGTGTCTATACACAGCAGCAGTGTTGCAGCCTAGATACAAGTAATTACGCATAAGCAGGATCACATATTTATGTTACATAATACTTATGTGTAAACCTCTGTGCGTAAACATTTAAATATCCCCCTTTTCCTCTGTACAGAGAAAAGATAAGAGTAATAGAACTAGAAACATGTTGCCCTTGCCTTACCTACCTTATACGCTGTGCACACTGTACACTACTCTTACTCTTGCTACTTAAGTGCTTATACTATAAGCAGCTAGCTGTCGGAGCCTATTCAACATAACCTATATTAAATAGGTATAAAAAGTGTAATAAGTAAAAAAGTATATAAATAGTAATTATTTTACTATCTTTATAGTATTACTAAAAATAAAGTAAGTTATTAGTAACACTTACTTGTTACAGCCCACGATTGGACCGTAAGTAACCAGTTAGCAGTGCCCCACAGTTCGGACGACCAAGGATGGAAAGTCCTTAACCCCGCGCTTGAAAGATCACGTGAACCAACGGATAACAAATAGGTCCAGTTGCTGGACCAATGCGCAGCAGATTGCGTCATCTAATAAGAGGAAGCAGAATGCATGCACAAGCATGCAGCCAAATGCTTAGCCACAAACTATAGTATAAGCATGCAAAGACATGCAATTGCATGCTATTAAATGTATATAGTCTTAATTACAACTATAGTTAGAAGGCTGTAATTACTGTTTAGTTTATCTCTATAATAGACTAAGAGGCATTAATACCTTTTTAAAAAGGACATTGCTGCCTTGTATATCTTACACTATTACATTGTATACTGCGTAGTTACTGCACCTTTTTTAATTAGTAATTACCTATAGCCTTTATTTAAGCAGTAAAAAACAACATATATTCATACACATATAATTAGATAGGCCACAGGCGCTTACAGTAAGCGCTAGGGGTTGCTAAGTAGGTAGTAGGCAACAAGAGACTCTGTAAGCTTAAAACATAGCTAAAAAGCTATTTTAAACATTAAAACCTAGCCTTATTATTTTCTAAATAAAAAGTATGTATAGCGCCTAAATTTTTACTAAAATTAAAAAATGTTAAGTAGTTAACTATAAGGATTTATAGGCAAAATTTTAAGTTTTTATACAAATTTAGTGGCAGAAAGCAAAGTTTAAGGTGTTGCTAAGACATTGCACAGATTAACGCACACAATAGATGGGTGAAGTGTTATTGCGACAGGAAAGTGAGCCCGGAGGTGGGGTCTAGGCACTTTAAGGTCAGACACGGCCACCGCACCTCGTGACTTGCTCACTTGTTGTCTACGCCTCCACCAACGCAACGCCAACGCCAATGCCAACGCCAATGTCAACGCCAACAGCCTATCGGAAAGACAGTCGATCTACTGTGATAAGTTAACTGATAGCATGCTTTCTATTTCCTGACGCAAGCTGGCATGCAACGGCGCAACGCTTGCGCCCTTCCTTCGCGCCCTGCTGCCGCGCGCTACACTGTTGGGTTTCATAACTTCAGCATGCAAATGCCACAAAGCTCAAACCAGCAAATATCTATCGTGACTCGTACCACTGGGATCCAATTGTTCTGGATGGCTCTGATTACGCCGAAGCGGGCAATGGGCCTCTACGATTCAACGTAATTGATACCTCAAATCTTATCGACCATCTGAATTTACTTGCTGCGGTCGCACCTTTACTGCTCCACGGTAGCTCTTCGAGTCTGTACACCGAGTGCTTGGTGCAGCGAGAAGACTCACAGCAAGACCACATCAATAGCCTGTTGTGTGGGCATTTTCCTACAATGTCCACGCTCATGGGTCTTTTTCCTGTTGAGTACTGGGCTAACACCTCACCTTATTCTACCGTAGACGAACTTCTCTTGGACTCGAACTATGGAACAGCCGATGACCTCACCCACATGAGACAGAGACACATCAAGTTGACATGGAAGCAAACAACTACAGGACTCGTATCGCACACGCCGGATATTAGAACAACTCTGCAAATGGATGAACTCGGGCTGGCTCGAATTCTGCATAAGGTGTACCTCAACATGTTTCGACATGAAAATATCCAACTACTACTCTCCGGTCTTAGTCCACGGTCTATGTCAGCGCACTCTATGCCCCGCTACCATCGAGGAAGCTTCGCCCTCATTCTGCGCTTTGTGCGCAGTCGCGTCGCGACAAAGTGGGACATGATGATAGGCCATCTTCTAGACCTCATTGAGGCCGAAACAACTGTCATGATGAGCTTGAACTACATCCAGGAGCTATATCTTTATCTTCATTTGTATGGTGTGGTTTCTGTGGCCACTCTTTCATCATCGCCGACGCAGCCAAACTTCCCTGGGGAAGGACGTCTGAGAAACTGGAAAAACACTCCTTCCCTCATGTGCGTTATCTTGGTTGTTCCGAGGGAGAAGGTCCAGGTCATCACAAATGTCGACACCGATGAAATCGGAAGCCCCATTATGCATTGCGTGATACAGTCATCTCAGAGCTACCGTGCTCAGAGATGGCAGAACATCTTTTCCGTCGTCCAGGTCTCTTTCGGCAACCTCTCTGGAACAGGGGCACCAAACACGGACTCATTCCAACTCAGCATCGCGGAGGATGAGCTGCGATGGAGTGGTAGCTCCTCTCTCATAGTGTCATTTCTGGTTCCAACCTGGACCCTGTTGCTAAAGCCGCAAGCTGCTAGAATTGCCTTCGGGATCCAGAGCACCCCTGCGACAGCACAGACTTTTCTGCGCACCCTTGGAGTGGAGATGAATATCTTTGAGACAAACTTGGGAGATGAAAGCAGCGTTTTCTTTTCCAGATTTCCTCCAAACCACAAAGACAGTTCTTCTTTGCTGCTGTTACCCAGCCCGGGACAATCCCCTTCAAGCACAGAAACATCTGTCGCCAGTAGCAAGATCTCCGCAAACATAGACTCTACTGGCTTAAAGATGACTACTCTGACTTGCCGGCTTCAGATACATTCTGAGGATCTCCGGAAGGCATTGCAACGTGGTGACGAAGTCCAGACAAGCCAGAGGTCTCCATGTACTTTCCTTGAAACCGTTGGTCCGAAGTCCATACCAATCGCCTTTCAATTTCCCGCGCCTGTGATCAGAATGAAGAGCAAGACAAGAATCGCTCGTAAGTCTTTGTATATCGAGGTCGAAGCGCCGCTAGCGGATGCGACGGTCTGGAAAACCTTCCCAGCACATCTCTATCCGGTCATCTTGGCTGGCAGCACTCCACTGATGTTGAATATGTCGCGCCTGAATTTGGACTGCTTGCCAATTGTTGACACCTCGACGAAATCTGAGATCCAGTGGCTCAATATGCATGTGGGTGGGATGTTCAACACCCGAGTTTTCCTCAGTTTCCTTCAAGGTGAACCAGCGCTGCCAACACAGCTCGAGCATGTCAACCTAACCCGCCTCTGCTTCGCTCAGTTGTCTCTCGCCTCGCACGCTTCTGATATTTCTCGGGACTCCATTCGCGAGTATATCATTCGCGGCGAATATGCTTTCACAGAATACTCTATTATATATGCCTTCGATCATTTACTAAATGTGCTTTCCGAAAGAGATGAGGCTTCCACCTCCAATTATGGAGCTCTTAGCATCAACTTGCGAGAGTTCGTAGCGAAGCGCGTCAGCACGCCGAAGGAACGCGCCGAAGGAAAGAAACACATTGACAGCAAGCTTCAAGTGTTCAAGGCTGAGAACTTCTACGACGGCCTAAAGCACGCTATTACGTATCACAGGGATTCCCTAGAGAAACCAACAAATGATGTCGAGGAGAAACCCGTATTAGCCGTTCTACAGCAATTTGCGCATGTTCGCTCTGTTCTAGAGAAGATGGTCACTTCCGGTCTCACTACTAACCTCAACTCTCTCTACGGTCAATGCCTTTTCAAATGTTCAGAACCTCGTTGTGAATCGTTCCATAATGGCTTTTCCACACAACAAATTCGCGACAAGCACCGTGACCGACATGAGCGTATCTACCTGTGCTCCATTCCAGGCTGTTCATCAGCTATGATTGGTTTTAGCACCTTCATGAGTCTCCAAAAGCATGAAAAAGACTACCACGAAGGGATAAATGGTGAAATAAGTTTCCCCTGGCACGGTACTCTGGGATCACTAAACATTTCTAAGGAAATAAAACAAGGCAATTATTCCGCTTTTGAACTTTGGTTGTATCAGTGGAAAGATTTGGTCCCTGATGATCAGATAGCGGATTGGAGAAACAGCCCACTGAGAGCAGCATCCTACAGCCAAAATAGGATACTTAAGCAATTAATTAGCAAAATCAGGCCTAACTTAAAGCCATACATCATTAAATGGCACATTTATGAAGGCATTAGGGCGGGAAATGAAGAGGGGGCTCAGATAATGATCAGACACTTCGACAAGTTGCGGGAAAGGGACATCTACGAGCTTCTAGCGAAAGCCCTGCGGGTCGGCATGGATGAAGCCGCGAAGGAATTTCTGAAGCATCCCTCATCGCCGCTCCATGATCAACTGAGACCGAGCAGAAAAACGTCATATTTGAATCTCGCCATTCGATTTGACCGCTTCGCAGTCTTCCAACATATTCTTAGAACCTACCAGGTCGATCCAAATCAAATAGATGACAAAGGACGTAACTCTTTGCATGCAACGGCGGAGTTTGGCCGGACCGAAATCGCCGCATATCTCATCGAAACCAAGAGGTGCGATAAATGTATTGGCAACAAAAAAGGCGACACTCCGCTCGTTATTGCCGGCCGCCAAGGCTACGAAGAGTTCATCGCGTCGATATACCACGAAACGATATCTGAAACGGAAGTCCAGGTATGGCTGAGAGTGGCCCAGCTCCGTAACGCCGCCCGTGACGGAAATGACGAAAAGGTCAGAGAGCTACTTAACGAGGGATTAGGGCCCATAGATGAAGTGGACACACAAAACCGGTCGCCATGGTTATGGGCTGTACAAGGGAATCATAACCGCGTTGTAGAGGCATTTCTGAGCAACAACGATGTCATGTTCAAAAGAGGTCTCCCATTAAGTTATGGTAAGAATAATACGTGGCCAAGTGCACTTCATCTTGCTGCTTTGTCTGGAAATGATTCAATGGTGCGAGCGCTACTACAAAGCGGCAAGTTTGACGACGAAATCGATCGGGTCTGTGGTTATTTTGGAAAATGGCCGAAAGGGCCGAAAGGACGTCGTGTCACCGGGTCCCCTCTACGTATTGCGATGGATTGCAAGCATAAGGATATAGTAAAGATTATCAAGCATTACAAGGCTTCTTTGGATAAGAATAACAAAGAACCGCCTGAAACCATTTTTCGAATACCGGAAATACCGGAACCATAATCCGCAGACCTCATTCCAGCAGGGAATTACAGCGATACCCAGCCGGATTTCAATGGCCACCTGGAGCCGCCCGGATTCACTGCTGAACAAGAACGAAGCTATGGAGGCGTATACAACGACTTTTCGCTGCTGGACAACCAAATACAAGAGTCGGACTAGCTTTCTTCCTTCACCGCCGACTTCTCTACGCCAATGACCGCACTTCAATCTGGAACTGAGGCTTCCTGCGAAAACCTACAACCCTTCTCTCAATTTTCCTTTGACGGTACTGGGAGTGAATGGTCCCCGCCTCCACTAAATGACGACGACAGCGAGGGATTGGTATGGTCACAATTTATCTAAGTATCCTGAAGCGTCCTTGAACGATCCGAACGATATCTGGAGAGCGGAATGACTGGATCTGTACTCCAGGAACTGCCCGCCTATATCCATAAGTATATTGTAAATGTGGAAGGAAAAGTATCGATAGGCCAATGCCCATGAAGTACCTCCGTTTGGGCGCAAGAGGCCTTGCGTCTCGCAGAGATGTGGTTTAAGGGGAAGGGTCGTGGAGAGCTTGAGAAGCCTGGATGGAAGGGGTCTCCGGTAGTAGAACCCTCAAAGAAGTAGAGACGTTTCGGGCTCCATGAAGATGGGTTGGAGTCCTTGTCCAGTAATCTAGCGAATCACCTACTACTCTCCAGGCGTTCTCACTCAGTGCTTGCCTAACGTACACTCACTTAGTGTTTGCCACTACTCATACACATTCTCTGTTCATTCAGTGTTCTCTACCGAGGTTGCTCCCAGCTAGCAAGCAGAGAGAATCGCTGTTCCATCACATAACTTTTTTACGCCTTGTTATTATTAGTGATACCCGTGGAAGCAAAGTTGGGGTAGCTTTAGATTTAAGATGGGTGGTCATATTACATGAGATAAGGAACAAGCAAGACGACTCGCAGACGAGGTTTTGGGATGAATGTAGAATGCAGTGTATCGGTATATATATTTCCATTTTGATATCTCAAAGAGGAGATTCTCCTGACCTGGCTCAGTCGCGAGTTTCGTAGTGGCCACTGTTATAGTCGCACTAATCACAAAGTGCACGGAAACGGCGTCGCAAGGTTTGCAGAGTGTTAGATGGCCATCCCATGGCAGAACACAGCTGGTATCTTGGTGATTTTTGGGACGATAGGCTGGTAAATATTATTTCATAATAGTAGAGTGAGTAAGTGTCTCTGGCGCAGCGAGAGAGCCTCTGGCATAGTGCATGAAAAGTGACATTCATAAAGATGGGGCTTGAGTTTAACTTATTATCTATCCTTCACCTGTTTCCTTCGATATTCTGAATCTCTCGGTCTCCCATTCCAATTTAACTTCGTCCTATTACCCAGGTAACGGTGATTTACGCCCATAAACAATCCAGAAATTCCAGTAGGCATGGAGCTTTTTGTTGCGTAGATCAGCCCTCACCGCTGCCATAAATACCCGGACCTCTTCGGCGGACCAATTTAAGGCACGAGTGAAAAGGGCAAGGCTCATTGACTCACAACCCCAGATGAAATTCTCCATAACCCACCGGCCAAGCTCCTTGTACTTAGGGTCCTTGGGCCAAGCGTTGATTGGCCATTTAATTGGTGTGGCCACAACATCTACAAATCCTGCAGTCTTCATCATCTCCGGGACGTGTGAAATTGCGTCTAATGGAAAGGCAGCTTTTTGAGCTGCATCATGCATGTAGTTGTGCCATCGAACGAGCGCTGAGTTGGTGGGGAGGGTACCGTCATCGCACTTGATCACAAAATCGATGTCGTGGACTTCTAGGTAGCCATCGTTCTCCAGATATCTGATGATATGGTGAGATACGCTTTGGAAGATGTCCAGATTAGGTTAACCCACTGAAAGCTCTGCATGAAAAATCTAGGCCAGTCTCGAAAGGCGCCAGTCATTAGCTGGCAATGGATGTAATTGAACTTACGTGAAAAAGTCCAGTCTTTTTCCAGATCATCTACTTCGAAATTGAGATTTGGAGGGACGCTACGGTGATTAATACTGAATCGGTTTCCGGGTGCTGTAGTGCAGCTGTGGCTTACTTTTCCGGTTGAACTGGTGCAAGATCAACACCAATAACCTCACTCTCGGGATGAGCGTCGGCTACTCTGGGTGAGTTGAAGCAGACAATGAGCTAGTGAGGAATATACCGAAGTCTATAGCCCAAATACCCGTCCCGCAGCCGACGTCAAGGGCTCGGTGCACGTTTTTAAGCGGTGCGAAACCAAGCTCCTTGTCCAGCGTGAGCCACACAATATGGTGTTGGAAATCCGCATGCAGTCAGCCCCCGCTACGAACGTTTGAGCATATTAACTTACCCAAGCGTTCTATCTCTTGCTGGCAAGACGAACAATTAGTATGGGCGTCGACACATACGTGTCAGCAATGCACTACCTCGTCCATAGGAAGAACGTATTCTAGTAGGCTGAGTCAACATCGCTAGAGGCGTGAAACAGGGGAGTGCGTTTACTGGCTTCCATATAGCCCTGATACTGGCGGCCGTGCTCCTTCAATTGCAATATCAATTCGTCTCTGATGGACGTTGTGGACGTTGCTAGCTGGAGAGGTGGCTACGATTAGCGCATCTCAGGAAGAATACTCGGTGTGCGTGTGTTCACTCACACTGCTGATGGCCGAATCGCCGTCGTCGATGAGTGGCCCATCCTCAACTTCCTTTGGGCTTGTCAGTAGGTTTCATACATGGTGCTGGGACAACTTGCGGTGTCAGGTTCGAGCGGAGAAATCTGGGTCGGACCAGCATCCGGCTCAAGGCTAATGGTGTTTGGATTGTTGGGGTTGTTCGCGGCCATGGTTCGTTTGAGTGCAGCGGCGGAATCGCAACGCTCCAAAGATTACAAGGTTGAGGTTGTCAGAAGCGTTGGAGAGAAGCGTTGCTAGCTATATTGGTGGTTGGGCGTGCCAGGATCAGCACATTCTGGCGGATAATAGCTGCCGGCGTATCGGATGATCCAACAACATGCCTCCAGGCTCGCATCCAACTTCAGCTGCGCAACAAACGGCTTTCCTTCCGGTGCACAAAGATGACTATTGTGCAAGGCTCCAAAGCACCGGGAATCGCCCCACTGACCGACATTAACCAGGTCCCCAGAGCCACGGTTGCCATTGGCTTGTTGAGCACCTTGGTGCTGGCATACGTCGTGCACATCATTTTGCAATGGTATCGTCTATCGCATATCCCGGGGCCCTTCTGGGCCGCCTTCTCTAAGGGTTGGATGGTGAAGGAATCGCTTAAAGGAAGACAGCCAACCGCGATCAAGGAAGTGACCGACAAGTATGGTAAGTTTCGTTTCGTACAAAATTTTGCCCAGGAATAGACAAACTCACGACAATTGCAGGCTCGCTCGCTCGCATCGGGCCAAATGAGCTTGTCACCGACGATCCAGAAGTCTTACGGAGGATGATGGCAGTTCGTTCTGCGTACACGAGAGGCCCATGTAAGGAACAATTCGTATGATGAAGCGGCCTGCGGGTGCTGAAAGGATGCAGGGTACAACGCAATGCGATTCGATCCTGGAAGGGATAATTTGTTCTCCATGCGTGACGAAGTGGCTCATACAAAGTTGCGTAACAAGATGGCCGCCGGGGTAAGCTCAACTCAAGCCTCCTTTTCGTAACTAGGACGACTGACATGTCTAATGACAAGTACTCTGGGAAAGAGAATAAATCGATGGAGGGCACAATCGATACGCAGATCTTGAAAATTGTCGAACTAATTGAGATTAAGTACCTCTCAAGAGCTGGCAGCTATCACCCAATGGACTTCGCTCAAAAGGCGCAGTATTTTACCTTAGATGTCATTAGCGATTTGGCATTTGGCCATGCTTTTGGCTATCTGGAGCAAGACGACGATGTTTTTGATTATATCAAGATTACGAATTCGTACATTCCAATCATGTTGATCCTGGCCAACGTTCCGTCCCTGGCAAATCTACTGCATTCCCGCCTTTTTCGAGGTTTACTACCCTCAGAAAGCGACAAGCTTGGTTTCGGTGCTTTCATTGGGTGAGCTCCCCAGGAATTCTGCTACGAGAGTAGTGTTGCTGACAAATTTGCAAAGCGTTGCGAAGAGTGTTGTAGCAGAGCGTTTTGGACCTTCTGCCAAGTCCCATTCTGATATGCTCGGCTCCTTCATTCGCCATGGACTAAGTCAGGAAGAAGCGTCCGGGGAAGCATTGCTCCAGGTTGTTGCTGGTAGTGATACGTCGGCTTCCACCATCCGAGCCGTGATGCTGAATATTCTCACCAACCCAGCGGTCTACAGGAGACTACAGACAGAAATCGATAGCGGAATCGCGACAGGAAATATATCACTGCCGATTAAGGATGCAGAAAGTCGCCAATTACCCTACCTTCAGGCAGTGATCAAGGAAGGGCTTCGCATCATGCCACCGGCAGCCGGGACATTTTTCAAGACTGTGCCCCCCGGAGGAGACGTGATCAACGGGAAATTCATTCCCGCAGGGACACAGATCGGGTCGTCACCATTTGGTATTCATCACTCGAAGAAGATATTTGGCGCCGATGCGGAGCTCTTCAGGCCAGAACGTTGGCTGGAGGCGGATCCAGTGCTTCTTGCTGAGATGACAAGTACACTTGATCTTGTCTTTCATTACGGGAAATACCAGTGTCTTGGCAAATCGGTGGCATTGATGGAGTTCAACAAGATTTTTGTCGAAGTATGGATTGATGGTTTCGTATATCTATATGAAAGGCTGACTCTGCTTGTAGCTTTTAAGGAAGTTTGACTTTTCCATCACATGTCCTGAAAGACCAGCGCGGATTGACAATGCGGTGAGTAAACCTACCTTGTCCACCCTACCTAGTTTCCTTGATTTATCGGCTAACTTGTAACTATAGGGTATTTGGATTATAGAAGACTTCTGGGTCCGAGTAACACAACGACAACTATAAGCTTGCGTTGTTGGATGAAGGTAGAGAGTAATAGTTAAAAACATGTCTCCTGTCAAACTTGGAGAGTGAGATTCCATAACCCAGTACACCAATTGTGCAAGACGGAACACCTCCGATAAAAGAGATCATAGCCTCAAGTTCCTGTAGTGTTTGATTCAGGATCGGTCGAGATACATACGGCTAGCGTCTCTAACAGTGTTGGGAATAATGGACCAGGGTATTTTTTTTGGTAAACTGAGAGATGGTGCTAGGAGTAGTGGATAGTATGGATGGAAATGGTCCGGATTGGTCACTCCAACAGTAGCTCAAGCAGGCGTATTTCACATATTCACTTCTTGACTCGTACATTATTACCTTCGAGAAACTAGTGGTAAGAACGCGTCGCAGAAGCCGCTGACGTAAACCAGGTCCCCATGCAGAGTGGTGCTGGGTATAAGTCTCCTATTGGAGAGCATAGTGGAGCCTTGTGAATGATGCTGTGCCACCGGATGGTATATTTACCTGGACAAAGGCGCTAGGAAAGAGGACCCGAAGTAGTTGCAGCGAAGAAAGCTGATTGGGCTGGAGAGCACTACACGTCATCAGGATGGAGAGCTAGGTTGTACCGGTTGGCTATGCCTACTGCTTGTGATGAAGAATTCAATATCAGATTGCTAATCGACGTCACAGTTAAGGGGCAAGATATCCGGTTGAAGCGACGAGAAGACGTCCGTGTGATTGCCCGAACCACAAGGCTAAAACCGAGAGTCCGAACCAAGCAACTAGAAACCGCGTGAGAGTGGAGAATGCAACTGGACATACTTTTTTAGCGTGCGTCACAAACTGCGATAAAGACGATAGATATTGCAAGGAACAGTTGCAATCTTCTAGGACAGAGGTAGCCTGGCTTGGGCTCTAAGGTGACTTGTAGGGCGGCAGCGGCGACTGGACTCTTTGACCATGGCCTAGGAGGTGGATGTTCCGATGATAAAGGTTTGGTGTGCATGATATTGATAGTGTATGAAAATCAAGAGCGTTCAGGGTAGAGAAGTTGTGTCTAGAGTAGGTGCACGGTTGGAAGAAGGCCAGGAGAAGGCAGAGCTTGCACTTCCCTGATTCAGATGCTACCAGTCCTTCTCAGCTCGTGACTTAGAACTACGTCCTTGGACACTGCACTTCTCAGGCTGGCAATGGGTCCGCGGACACCTAAGAACAAAGACTTTTCATTTCAGCCATACGCCCCTATCGAGGGGTACGCAAAGCCTTGGTGATCCAAGCTACTCCCGTAAAGATAACACCGATATTTGCAATGCATCAAACATGGCCGTTCTACTTGACGGCAGGCCTAGTGACCCCATCCGCAATCCAGTTCCCCTTGTACCTCTCCTCGAGAACCCTCAACTTGGAGAAGAAGACATCGTCGTCCACGTACGCACCCTTGAGCCATCGCTCGCCTTTGCTGGCATCGAAAGCTCTACGCGCGTGCAGGACTCTCCTATTATCAAATATGACACATTCTCCTTCCTCCAGCCTATACTCGTACATATTCTCCTCAGAACTGAGGAGTTTCTCAAATGAATTCGATGCAGAGAGGTAGTTTCTTAGCGCTGACTGGTTCTCTCCGCCAATGCGGGCTTCAAAGGGCCCTTGGAAGGGTGGGGACCAATTTATATTCCGAATGGCTAGATTGGTAGGCTCGCTGTACTTAGGGTAGGGGAACAGCTCGATGGTGGGGCGAGTGTAGTGGTAGTGATGATTGTCGTGGTGGTAGTGATAGGTCACGGGGAAGGTGCACAGGGTGCGGAAGTGGAAGGCTGACCTTGAGTGCAGCGTGTGCGCAGCGTGAAACGAGTCACTGAAGAAGGACTCGCCTTTCGGAGCGCGCGCACGCAGGGAGTGGAGTAGCTGCAAATGCGGCGGGTTGGAGGTGTAGAGCAGATCCATGTGCAGGCCGAGGAACACATTGGTGTAGGCAATGTTCTCGGCATGGGGCTTGGATTTAACATCCCAGGTACGGCCATAAAATGTGTCCTTGAGCGTGCCGATTCGGCCTGCGATATCCACCACGCCCTCTTCGGAGTCTGGCACGTTTTTGAGGAAGAGCAAGCCGTACTTGTTCAGATGGCTTAGGGCATCAAACAGCACTTCATCCTCAGCCATATAGGCTTTGTAGTCAACCCATTTGTTATTCTTGGTGATGATCTCCCTGTCCCAGAGCACCCTCTCGTCGCTCCTCACGCCTCCCCTGAGCTCCAATTCCGTGGTTAGGGCGCGTCGCAGCCAGTCAATCGAGTGTCTTGTCCGGTGTTCAACCCCGTATCCGGGCACATCGTTCTTCCAGACCAGCTCCACGACCCATCCCTTCTCTTTGTCGACCACAGTCCGACACGCGCCTTCCAGGTCCTCTGGGATGTCGGACGTCTGGAACAGCTTCTGCTTGCTGTCCGGGTTGACGCACTGCGCGCAGGTACAGCTGTCGCGCAGGAACACGGTGTCGAACACGCGCGGGTCGCCATCGATGTTCACGGCGACGTGCCTGGCGGGCTTGCCGTCCAGCTGGCCGGCGTTGGAGGCATCGTGGACGAGATGCTCCTGGCGAGCGGGGGTCGCGGCGTGCGGCGTGCTGGTCCAGAAGCGACGCACCACCGCCAGCGTGGTTGCAGCATTCTTCTGCAGCGACGCAGCGGGTGCACAACGGCGTGGACCAGCACGCGTGGCCGCGGACAGTAAGGCGCGGAGGGGGAGCTTGGTGGTGAGATTCAGGGACATGTTCACAGGCGTCCGTCGGGCGGGAGTGAAGACAGGCCGTCGATCACCGAGCTGAGCTTGCTTTGCGGGGGGGGGCGGGCGCCTCAACTTTTCAACGGTCGGGTCGTGTGCCCGAGGTCTCAAACACGACAACCGGGCTGCCGGGCTGCCTATATATTCTCGTCACCACATCGGACTATCCGGCTGTGTCTTGCCCACACAGAGGTACTCCGCACGAGAGGCGTTGGGTGCATGTCTGGCGGAGTCGTCCAGCTGAAGGATGAGGTAACAGCAACCCCCCCACTAGCACGTCTCTCTCTTCGATAAGTCGAGCTGACTGGCTTTCTTTTTAGGGCTCACAGCAGCAGGTGGCTGTTGCAGGCGCCGTCGCAGGCCTCGTGTCGCGGTAGGAGCGCTCCCAAACATGCCAGAAGTACTCCTCCTCTGACGATGCCTCGCGCGCAGCTTCGTGATCGCTCCCCTCGACGTCATCAAGATCCGCCTCCAGCTCCAGGTGCACTCGCTCTCTGACCCCCTCAGTGTCCGCGGTGTCACTGGGCCCGTCTACAAAGGCACCCTCGGCACCCTCAAGCACATCCTCCGCGAGGAGGGGCTCACTGGGCTCTGGAAGGGCAACATCCCCGCCGAGGGCCTGTACCTCGCCTATGGCGGCCTCCAGTTCTCGGCCTACACGTACTGTTCACACCTTCTTGACGCGATTCCCCAGCCGTACAAGCTGCCAAGCCCTGCCAACTCGTTTATAAGTGGAGCGACTGCCGGTGCTTGCGCAACCACCCTCACCTACCCCCTCGACCTTCTCCGTACGCGTTTTGCTGCTCAAGGGTGCGACCGCGTCTATCCCTCCATCGCGGCGTCGGTCCGACACATTGCGGAACATGAGGGACCGGGGGGCTTCTTCCGCGGCCTCGGAGCGGGCGTGAGCCAGATCGTGCCATACATGGGACTCTTCTTCGCTAGCTACGAGGTACTGAAGCCCATTCTGTCCAACTCGCCCATTCCAATGCCCTTCGGAACGTCGGATGCCGTCGCTGGAGTCATCGCGAGCGTCCTCTCCAAGACCGCCGTCTACCCGCTCGACACAACACGCAAAAGACTGCAGGTTCAAGGCCCGATGCGGTCCAGGTATGTCCACCGGAACATACCCTTATACAACGGAGTCGCAAGCACTCTCCTTCAAATTTGGAAGATCGAGGGGAGGAGGGGGATGTACCGGGGGCTGACGGTCAGTCTGCTGAAGGCTGCTCCAGCCAGCGCGGTGACCATGTGGACTTATGAACAAGCCATGGCTATCTTGCTGGCTATGGAGACGCTCGGTGAAGAGTGAGGCGTGGCTGTGGTTGTGTTTGTGGCCGACCTGTGGCGTGCATGGATCGGCGTTCGAGCTATTTTCTTTTGGCAGCTCTACTGCATCCTAATCACTTAATTTGGAACACGATGGGGGGGGCAATGTATGACAGAAAGTGGTATCCTGTTGATGTTCTGCCTTCTTCCAGCAAGATGCTTGAATGATCAAGTCTGCCCTGCTAACATACCACGCGCCAGACGTGAGCATGCTGTACAGTATTTTACCACCAAAACGTGGAACACAACTAGGGTGGACTCTATCTGGCAAAGTTCTTGCTGGAGTCAGTAAGAACGTCAACAGGATGAAAATTTCTGTCCTGTGTGAGCGTCTCCTATTCCACGTCAGGTGACAAGATCAAGTAGCGAACAGGCGTTGGACAGAGGCCAGAGGACGAGAGAGGCCATATCGCAGGAACGATGATTAGAGCGATTGGCTTTGATATAGGTGAATGCAAGCAGCCGTCACCGCCGCTAGGTGATGTATAGGAAGCATGCAGCCGCGAGACTCACCCAACCGGAGCTCATGCTCCTCGGCGCAAAAGTCTATTCTCTGCCACCACCTCAAGAACAGCCTTCGATCCGTGCTTCCGTGCCCAAGGCGTTCAGAACATTAATGGCGTTATGTTGGATGCGAACGCAAGAAGTGTCATGAGGGGTGGGGAAACAAGGAAAGTCGACCGGCACCTCTGCGGAGGGGCCATAGTGGAGTGATCCCGTCGTCAATGCTCCGCACAGAAAATTTCAATATTTATCTAGCTCCAGCTCCTCTCCCACACTTCCTGTCCAGCTACAATGAAGCGAAAGAACGAGGCGGCTGCCAATGGCAGTTCTAAGAAGCGTGCTATCTCGGACACGGAAGCCCAAAGCAACTTTCGGAAGGGATTGTTCGACGCTAAGGTGCTGCAGCAGTATACCGACTTCTACGCCACCTCGCAGCCGTACGTGCACTTCTATACCATACAGCTTTTCCTCTGACTGAAGTGTCTAGGTACAAGCACGCGGTGATCCAGCACCTTGTCGACGACACCCTCCTCCGCAATGTGCGCAACGAGATTCGCAAAAACATTTCCTTCACGCCGAAGGAGACGGACATCTACAAGATCCACCAGTCTGGCGATCTCGCGAACCTCGATGGGCTCGACGATGCTGCCCTCCGCCGCCTGCCCTCGCTCCTGCAGCTTCGCGACTCGCTGTACTCGTCGGCCTTCCGCAAATACCTGTCCTCAATAACCGGCTCCGGGCCCTTGAGCGGAGTGAAGACGGACATGGCTGTGGTACGCTGCGCAAATATACATTATACGCATATACGTGCTGGACGTCGGCGGATACGGGAGCTGACCATGTCTAGAATGTCTACACACCTGGCTGCCACTTGCTGTGTCACGACGACGTCATTGGAAGTCGGCGCGTGAGCTGGATCCTCTATCTCCTCGATCCCGACCGCCCCTGGAAGCCCGAGTGGGGTGGCGCGCTCCGTCTATTTCCCACACGGGACCTGAAGACACCCGATGGCGATGATGTCAAAGTGCCTGAGCCGGATATCTCCGTTACGATCCCGCCGGCATGGAATCAGCTTTCCTTCTTCACGGTGACGCCGGGGGAGAGCTTCCATGACGTCGAAGAGGTATACAGGAGAGGTCCAGGTGAGCCGGAAGAGGATGATGGAGGCCGTGTTCGAATGGCCATTTCCGGGTGGTTCCACATCCCCCAAGAAGGCGAGGTAGGTTACGAGGAAGGTCTGGAAGAGAAGCTTGCGGAACGCAGTTCTCTCGCGCAATTGCAGGGTGGTAAAGCGGATGTCTTCGACCAGCCACAACCGCACTGGGTCGAGAATCCTCACTGGGAAGATAATGTGAATAAAGAAGAGGAGGAACTGACCGCCGATGAGTTTGATTTCCTTATCAAGTACATGAATCCGCAGTATCTCACCCCTGATACTGTAGAAGAGCTTGCCGGCATGTTTTCAGACGAATCTTCTCTACGCTTAGCTGAATTTCTGTCCCCTAAGTTTTCGGCTCGTCTGCGCGAATACATTGAGTCGAAGGATCTCGAAGCGGAGCCTACCCTCCCAACCAACCCTTTTTACAAGGCATCGAAGGTGGGCGTTGCACGACCTCCGCATAAGCACCGATTTCTCTACCGAATGGCAGTAAATCCGGTTCCTCCTACCATACCATACCCCGATACCGAGAAGTTGACTCCGTACGATGACCTAGTCGATATTCTATTCCCGCACCCAGCGTTTACCAAATGGATATCGCTTGTCACCGGTATCACACTGACCAAGAGCAATATTTACGCCCGTCGATTCAGACGTGGTATGGACTATACGCTTGCTACTGCCTACGAAGAGGAAGACCCGCAATTAGAAGTATGTCTTGGCATCACGCCGTCCAAGGGGTGGGGTGAGGATGAAGAAGTAGAAGAAGAAGAGGAAGAGGAAGAGGCAGACGATACGACTGCTCGCGCACAACATAACGGGTCGGCCGCTAGCAGCAACGGAAAAGCTAAAGCTTCAACATCTGCGGCAGACCCGACGACGCAAGAAGACGAAGAAGTAGGAGGCTACGAAATGTACATGGCAGGCGAAGAAGATGACAATAACACCGCTAGCGGCGGCGCCCCTGACCCAGCAACACATACTGGGGCAGGACAACGTCGAAAAACGAAAGCGGATCCTGCTGTTTATAGAAGCGCAGGTGATGACGAAGATGATGGCGTGCTGTTTTCGCAGCCCGCAGGTTGGAACAATGTCGGCATTGTCTTAAGGGATAGAGGTGTTTTGAGGTTCACCAAGTATGTGAGTAGGAGTGCTAAGGGGGACCGATGGGACGTTTGCGCCGAGTTTGGGGTGGAGTTGGGCGAGGAGGAGGATGAGGACTAAACCTGACTGGGTGTGAAATTTTCGGCTTATGAGTATTTCTGCTTGAGACGAATGAGTGAACAAAAAATGAAGATGAAAAGCAGTCCTAGGCAGGTATGGATTTTACGACGGTTACGATGTTTACGAATGACAGTCTAGTTCCACTCACACTAGTCTCAGTGATAAGTTCATGGCAAGATATCCCCAGCATTAACCATACGGGCTTTGTACCACCATCACAATTCTATATCCATTATTTTCTTCTCCTTTGCAAGCTAAATGGTTTTCAATATCGTAAGCCTGGAATTCGATCTGCATCGGCAATTCTTACCCCGCTCATTGCCCCACATGTACATTAACATTAATGCGCCTCCATGTCTTGTGTTTATCTCAAATCCAACCCAATCCATTCCCTACTTCTCCTTTTCTGTCTCTCCTCTGATTGGCCACGAGTCATCCAACCCTAACTCACTTATTCCATTCCCATTCCCACCCCATGTCTCCGTCTCCATTCCAATTCCAACCTCCAGATCTCCTGCACCACCCCACGCTATCATGCACCCTTCGCGGGAAAATCTCAGAATCCACATCCACCATCCAATTTCGCGGCCTCAAATATGCGATCATACCAAGCCGATGGCAAGATTCCATCCCCATAACTACGTTAACTCCCAACGATAGCAGCGGGGCTGTATACGATGCAACTCACTTCGGACCCTCGTGCCCACAAAAACTGGGTGCCCAGGCCTGGGATCTCACACTCGTCGGCCCTCACACGTTGAAGACGGAAGAAGGCCAGGGGGAGACGGAGAGATTTGATGAGTTTGAGTGTTTGCATGCAAATGTCACCGTACCACTCTGCGCTCTATCCTCAAATCTGAATGGAATTAAAGGAGGGGGACCAGAGCCAGGTTTGCCCGTCCTCATCTGGGTCCATGGCGGCGCTCTTTCCATGGGTTCAAACTCCTGGCCACAATACTCACTCTCCTCCCTTGTCTCCCATGCCGCAGAAATTGGAAAACCGATCATCGGTGTCGCACTCAACTACCGCGTAGGCATATTCGGGTTTCTGGCGAGTAGTGAGGTTGGGGCTGCGGGGAATTATGGGTATAAGGATTTAGTGAATGGATGCAGGTGGGTTAAAAGGTGTATTAGGGGATTTGGAGGCGATCCGCGGAATGTTACCGCGATGGGGGAGAGTGCAGGTGCGATTGCATTGAGTACATTGTTGTGGAGAGGGGGAAATGCGGGAGAGGGGGAGGGGGAGAGGTTGTTTGAGAGGGTCGGGGTTATGTCGGGGGATGTGACGTTGAGGAAACCGAGGGGGATGGGATGGCAGAATAGGATGTATGCTGATCAGCTTAGGTATCTTGGACTGGATGGGAGGTTGGGGAAGGAGGAGAGAGTGAAGAGGTTGAGGGAAATGCCGTGGGAGGAAATGTGCGAGAAGTTGCCGCTTGCACAGCATTTCTGTGGGTGTGTGGATGGGGTGTGGTTGAAGGGGGGAGTGACGTTGGATATTTTGGCTGGAGGGAGAGAGGGCATTCATAAACCGAGGTGGTGTAGGGAGTTTGTAGTCGGAGATACGGCGCATGATGTATGTCTGTTTTTTCTCCATTTCTCCGCCACTCTTCCTCTTATTTCTCTACCAGCAATTCGTCGCTGATCCATATATCAACCAGGGCACCGTCCTCAAAGCCCGCATCCTCGACAACCCCAAATCCCTCCCCACCCTCTACGCCCTCTGCAAACAACACCTCTCCCCTTCTGAAACGCACTCCCTACTATCGGCCTACAACCTCCTCCCCACCTCTTCTCTCTCCTCTCAAAAGAGAGGTCTCCTTACCCTTTGCACAGAACTCCGTTTCTACCTCCCATCTCTTTGCGTCCACACCGGCTGGAAAGCCTTTCCATTCCCTTCACCCTCATCCCCCAGTGTAGCCAAATCCTACCGCTACCACTTCCACGCCACAAACCCCTTCCCAGGCCCATTCCACGGCCTTAGCAGCCACGAACTCGACGTCGCATTTCTTCTCCAAAACTACAACCTCCACCTCCCTGTGCTTAGCAAAAAGTCTGCGCAGATGATGGCCGAGTATTTTATTAGGATTATAAGGGGAGAGGGGTGGGGGAGTGAGGATGTAGTCACGGTTTTTGGGGACCAGGACGTTGAGGTTTTGAGGGAGGGGGTTTATGATGAGAGGTTTAGGGAGGGCAGGGGGAAGGTGTTGAGGAAGATTGGGGCGCATAGGTTGTGGGTGCTTGTCGAGGCGTTGCAGGGGGTTAGGGCGGATGAGGAGAGGGTAGAGGTGGGAGTAGGAGCGAAGTTATAGGGAGAAAGATTGACGGAACCCGCCAATATGTAGTTAAAATTATAAGGTGCATGTTTAACGGACAAGAAAATGCGAATTTGGCTATTCATAGATCGAAAAGACCTGAGGATAGCGCTATCTATCTAAAGCTGGCCTAGTGTCACGGCGACATCACCCTTAGCCAGGCTCAAACCTCAATCAGGACCCGTTGTCATCAAATACCTGTCATTTGCGTGTTTCTTAACACACTCATGCCACCCTTGGGGTGCGCCGCATTATCGGTATGTATTATGCGTAAGCCAGTTCCCAGTGCCTCCAGACCGGGGTCGTGCCTCCAAAGCATTTACGGCGTGCGGTCGATGTTACCAGTCGACAGTCGGAAGAACATGTCCTAGGTGTGAAAAAATAAGTCAGACGTGGTCTTTTGAATGAGCAAAGCAGCACCAGTCGTGTTCAAGTGCATCGAGCTGGGCCAGGCAATGGAGTGCCTGCAAGTGCCAATCTGAGTCTTGAGGGTAGGTTCGCCCATATTTATAATCGCTAGTCGTCTTATCTCACCTCAGTAACTGAATATGAACGACCTGAGCAGACTGTGAGCACTGTTGTCCAAAGATTGGATGATCTGGAGTCTTCAAAACTGTGGCAGGCGAGTCGACTCGGAAACAGCCTCCAGATCAGGACGAACCTATCACTCAGGCCGAGCTTAGAAAATGGAGTACTAAAGAGGGCCTAGAACCCTTATTTTTGCTCCGCGAAGTGACTACTAAGTCTGGCTTCCTACCTAGAGATCAGACTACAGCGAATACGCCACCCCGAGGCTTATCTGACAGCCTAGTCTTAAAACAGTTGATTAACGAACAGGATACGTTGAGTTTATTTGCGCTGTTTTAGGGTAACTATTAGCGGTGGGTATCATTTAACCCACCGACTCCGACGGATACTCTTTTCGAAGACGTACGGAAGTCTCCGCTCCTTCTAAGCGCGTGCTACCTAATTGCCGTGCGGCACTATTCTCAAGATCTTGTGTCGCACCTAGCCCCGAAGCTGTTCAGAGAGGCGAATCCGTTACTGTCTACCGCAATGCTTGGTGTGCTACAGCCCATTGAATTCTTCCAAGCGTCTTTGGTGCCCGGTATGTGGCTAATAACCATCGGGCAGATTCCGTTAGCACTGACAACTAGTTGCTGAGTGGCTTCGCTTTTCAGCACAGTATTGCCAGTAGACTTTTGTATATGAAGCAGAAGCTTGTTAAAAGACCTTAAGTAAGCAAGACATTGATCGCTTGTGTGTTTGGAACCATCTTTGTCTTGTTCACCTTCAATAAACAACCCCTTTATTTGAACCCGAAACTCTCTGACATCTGCAGTTAATGTGTCAGAACCTGCCAAAGAGCTATACCAGACGGGGGAGATATCGGAAGGTGCCGGCTTATCCCAGGCTCGGATCATGCTACGAATTTTGAGTTAAGAATTGTATTAGAAGTTCATTCATACCAGATGATTTATAGGAGCTGCAGCTCAACTGCCGACCTTCCTAGAACAACAAGCCGCGCTATAGGCGTGGAGGAAAGAGTGGACATTCTTGCTTGGTACGGTCCTCCTTACCGACGGAATTTCTTCGCTTGCGCTTATGATGTTACAGATCAGCCTCGCTCACAGTTTGTGCCAATGGGCTTTCACTTCGCTCAGCGCCTCGTCTACAATCAGTCCCTCAAGAGTCATTCAGCTGCAGTGCATCAATTACCACTATCCGAGATAGTCTACTTATCAAGAGTCATTCAGCTGCAGTGCATCAATTACCACTATCCGAGATAGTCTACTTATCAACTGCAATCATTAAAATCTCAATAGACACTGCTGACGAGCGTACTCGCCATCTCACTTACCATATAATCAATTTTGAAGCAGTTACTCCGCGTCGACTACTTCGTGCCTACGAAGATCAGCTTTCACCGTCTCGCAACTTTCATAGACGCGACGGATTAACCCTACCCTTGGTATCCTGACCCCATGCTATCGGTCTCCCATGTCACGTCGCGCATACGATGGGAGACGTAGTCGCCGCGTTTCATAAGAAGCTTCGTCCGGATTCTAGCCCAAATCGAACCCATCATATGCCGATGTCAATCTGGGAATTCAAGAAGACTTTGCCTAGTTATTTCCGAAACTTTTAGCAAAATTCATTTCATATGTGGCAGACCTAGGACGGCTCTAGACAGTACGAAAATACTGCTTCTTATCATCGAATGTAGAACATGACAATTATTAGCAATTCAGAGCAGAATCATGCATCCTCTAAACCCTCTCCTAGATCCCAGGAAGAAGTGCAGCAGATTAACTCTATCCTAGTCATGTTCGGTGTTCTGTGACAATCTGGGGTATTCTCTATCCAGGGACTCTCTTTTCGTGTTTAGCGCAGTCCCTGCTCTTACCACCACCAGTTGCCGACTGAATATACTGAATTTCAAATTTGGGACTATGGTAGTTATGTAGCCAATAATGCTACAGAATTTATTTACAACTAAAAATCCAGGCTCAGCATGTACGCCCCACAGCTGTTCACATCTATTTTAGGTCTCACGAGCCGCACCCTTGTCACTAGTAAGTCAACTATGCAAGGCGATAATACTGGACTTAAGATAGTCGTGCAGATGGATAGCAGCCATGTCATTGACCCGGCAGCGTGACTGTGCCGCAGTTATGATGTCAGCACTTTTTGGACAGCAAGGGCCAGGATGTCATCTGCGAGAAGTCAATGCAGATAGTAAGGATGTGAAGCTTTTGGTAGGAGCAGAGATGAGGAGCTGAGTTGATTGCTAAAGGAGTGTACCTAGGTGTCTATATATATATGCAAAAAGGGGTAAGTCCCGGCAACATGAGACCATCGTGCGACGCATACGACTATCGTGTGAGCAATGCGTGACTACTGCAAACAGAGGAGCATCATAAGGACACCACTGTATATTGTTTAAGAAAATGGTTTTAGCGTGAATCCCTTTGTGGCTCTAGCTTCATTACAGGTAAGACGAGAGATGGAGCACAACCACCACGAAGTTCAGAGAAGAACTACTACTCGAAAAAGAAAAACACCTATATTCCTAACTAACTCCTATTCTAAGGAAACCCCCTCAAAAGTATAGTAGGAAAGGAAACCATGGGCATAGAACGCAGCCCTACCTTGCCAACATTGTTGGACGCCGAGGGTGGACAATTACCGCACCGAGCGTGTGCACATATTGGACAACTCCTTGGCGAAAGTTCTATCAAGTTCGTAGTACCACATTCACACTCCGTTTTGTTAGCTTTCGAGCATTTGATCAGCGTTGATGGCTTACGCATATCCACAAGTCATTCGGCGGGCTCAACATCTTCGGTTCAAAAAAGCAAGGTTTTAGTGGTAGAGTCAAATGCTCTGTCACTATTGTGCTTGCTTTGCATTGTGCACATTTGGTGTGTTTGCACTTCTCATTCTGGCATTCTTCCACATCCACGGAATTTGTTTGGTTGCAGTTTCCATTGCACTAACATTGTGAGACACTATCTCCGATTAGTTGTGAGAGTTTTCATACACAGGTCCATATAACAGGGCAAGACTGAGGCCATATCGCCATTGAAAATTATATAAGAGAGGTAGACGAAGTGGTAGATTGATTTAGCTGTTTCTGATCAACGAAAGCGCCCGCGTTACTTGTGCTTGCATTAATTTTATGTGCTGTACGTCAAGAGGGCATCCGGAACACCACGGGTAATAGCTTTTTCATTGTATATACGCTCAGGTGCAGGAATTATCCCCGACCGGTGAAGGTCCTGCAAACGTGTCTGGTGCCTACTGGCGCAATCCCTGCAGAGCCCTAAGCCTGATTTGGTTGCGAGGCATATTCTCCTCTTCGTCTTTCGCATATAAACATCTACTTCTCCCAAAATAATCCCAATTAAATCTCGATTATATAGGACTGTAGTTTTACTAACTTGGGTAATACCTCATTTATGGGCACCGTTAAGCGTCAAAGTGGCGCTTTGAACAGCGTATGGGAGGAGAAGTACAGCCGACAAAGGGCAGAAGGGTTGTATATTGCAGAGGATGGGCGCGAGGATCGACTGGCATTTCCAAGTGGTGTTTCTTTGTTCGAGTATTTGGAAAGGGGCGATAAGGATAACTTTATTGAGACATTACTGAAATACTCGAAGGATCGCCTCGAACCACCAGGCAAGTTTCGCTTCTCGGCCTTGCGCAGCTACCTCTCCAGTGCAGACTTCGCCGATCTTAATCAAGGCGCACTATCCACTAGACCTACCCCAAGCATAATAATTCTAGATGAAAGACGCGACCCAATAGACACCTCTACAACAACACGTCACTGGGACTCCGATGCGTACCTCAGATACCCTCCCCAAGGGACTAATGTATCTACGGAGGAATTAGACTTGTGTCAGTTGGTGCAGAGACTGACCGAAAATGTAAGCGCAAACCTCTTTGCCATCAAGTTTTGCTCTAATATTACTCTAGAGACGACTCAATGGTGCAGAGAGACGAACTTTGTGTGTTTTAGGGAAATTGATTATCCTAAAAACTTTGCTTATGCATACTAGATATGTGTCCCATATGACTTCGTCTTGTGCTATGGCCATTATTGGTACTGCACCGACTCGTTCGATACCTATTCTACGAAAGTTCTTGCATAACCATCTACTTTCCCGAACTCAGTTTCGCATATCATTAGTATGGAATACTTCACCAAGACTGTAATTCGGCGCTGATTGTATAGTCTGGGACATATACTATCGAGTTTCATATACCATATTTCGCTCTTCGGGAAGGGCCGCCTAGTCTGGATAACCGAAGAAAGGGAGAGGACGATTTTCAAGCACATAAGTTGCTGCCATTACCTCGACCAGGCGATGAAGAGGCCTACTACTATGAGGCACAGACTTCATTCCTGTTAACTGGTATTGATGAGCGCCTGTACTCTGTTATCTGTTTCGTGGACACGTTTTTTGAAAGCGAACAAAGTCGTGATTCCTATTTAGATACAACCAGCCCCCTAGATGCTCCTTCTGGTGGGTCCCTTTGGCTTCAATATCCAGTTTGGAATCCCCGTCAGTATGCGCTAGCGGTGCAATCCCATAGGATATTTCAGGCCAGAGAGGAATGGACGGCGCTGATCAACTGCTTCGTTGAACGATTGAAGTACTATGTTGGTGCTCGAACACTTGTTAAGTGTCACATTCACATCTCGCTAATTGCGACAAGGAGCGGTTATATAAGCTCCCTGATGACCCTATGTTGACTAGGACATCGGAGCTTACCGAGGCGGAGTCAACGATACGTCTATTCAGAGATCAGCTCATTAGCACGATAAGGGCATGGGATGAGTACTATGATAGCTATGGCAGTCTTTATGAGGTGGAGAGCGTCATACTTTACAACTGGTGGCAAAAGTATTTGGGATCTATCCGGGAGTCAGTTTCGGAATTAAGGGTCTTGCATGAGCTCATGGCTCAAAAGTTAGAACTCTTCAAAAGTATGCGAGATGGGGTATGTTCCTGTACAGCATGGAAATGCAAATGCAGGTTACTAATCATTTGAAGCTTGTGAATGCCTCGGCTTTTAAAGAAAGTGCGGAGGCGACGCGCCAAGGAAATAAAATAAGCATCTTGACAAGGATTACTATGGTAAGTCTCTTTAATGATGTCCCCCAACACGTGCTTGCAAGTTGTAGTTAGGCATGCTAATATTTCCAGCTCTTTCTCCCTTTTACGTCGGTAACTGTAAGACAAAACATTCCCTGTCTAAGAATTTTTCACACTTGCTGAGTTCTTTAGGCGTTCTTTAGCCTACCCCAATTGCCCCAATCCGCATGGCTCTGGTTTGCTTATTGGCCTGCAGTATTTTTATTTCTAGTAGGAACCGTGTATATTTCCCGCGAACCCGAGTTACTTCAGAGTGTATTTGGAGAAGGATATAGTCGTCAAAAACCCTGCCAGTTCTGATAAAGTTGACATGCGATGTACAAATATAATCATTCGTCTGTATTTCTGGGTGGCGGCAGTTTATGCATGTCTTTTACATATTCATGATCATATCTGTCAAACACATCCCAACATTGGTCCTCGGGCAGGAGATAGGTTCCTTATCCCTGTGTTTCTAGGTATTTTTTTACCCACATCTTCAAGTAGTTTTGCTGTCCATTAAAATCACACTTTCCGGTCTCACCAATACTCTCTAGTTGACCTTCAACAATTGTAGAGCCTTCTTCTGCTGACTTGTAAGCTTTGTCTGGTGGGTTAGTAATCTAAATCCGAAAACTACCAACCCGCTCTTAGACGTTGACTTTGCGGAATTCTTTCGACATGCCTGTTCAGAATCCTTTCTAGCCTCCAGATCTGTCTAGTCTTTATTGCAGTCTTCTTACAGAATTCCGCTATCACGGTGCTTCGTTAAGGGGCAAGATTGTCTACCGCTATCGGCTAACGATTTCGCTACCTCTAGTATACCATCTCCACCGTCTGCTTCCCCTGCTTGTTGATTCTCAGCATCTTCCTCACTTTCGTCTAATTTAGTATCTGTAATGAAAGAAGCTAGAGAGGCGCATAATAGCTACTAGAGCAGCACAATTACAGTTTAACAAGACAGACTAATAGGAGATTGCACCAACTAGGCTGCTAATTGTAACAAGAGCTTGCATTAAATAAGCACAGGAAAGAGGAGCTATATAATATAACAAGGCGCGAGCAAAGACAGCAAGATATAAAACGCAAGCGAATGCGCGTTAGGCTTCTCTAACTGTAGACAAAGCAATATTCTAGCAAGGCAAACATAGTAAACAAATCGTTAACAGTATGTTAATATTATAGATGTAGGTATATTTTTAAGCTCGTTTAGGTATTATACATTTTCTAATCCAAGAGGCATAAAAGCATAGGGAGGTGCAGTAAATAGCTTAATAAGAGCTGACAGGGTTACAGGGATTAGACTTAGCACTTTTGGTGCAAGTAACTCTAAAAGTAGCGAGAGAACACCTCCCAAGAAGGTGTCAAAAGTCCCCAGACATAGCGTTACTTAGGTAAACTCTATTCCTACCCTAGATCTAAGATACCTATACACCCCACAGCCCAGGTTAAAGGCCAGGATAGGAAAGTGTTAATCAATATGAAAATTAACAGGTATGAGGTCAAAAAAGGGGGTTTATGGTGCTAGCGGGTTGTAAGTAATAAAATCTGCTACATATTAAACACTGAGTTCAACTTTATTTACCAAAAACTTTCTAAATAACGATAAAAGTTAAAAAGTGAAATTAAGCCATAATAGCTGCTTTTTAGTCTGTACATCAATATGCATTTATTTTAACCCCCATCTCTCCATCATCTTGAATTTCGTCTTCAATTTTATTTCATCTTCAAAGTGACCAAAGAGAGCTTCCTAAAGTGAAGGACTCTGTAGACATAGCATATCATCCACGCTTCGGAGGTCTAGGAGTAATGGTGATGTCGACAGGCGGCCTGCGAGGGTGCGTTCTCTTGGATCGAAGTCGATTTGATTCCCGAGTAAGGGATTCAGTTCACCTCTTTGGTGGCTCAAATAGCACATCTATAATTGTTGGGGTTTACGTTTCGCTTGGTGACGTCTCCAATCGAAGGCCTGCTTAGTTCGGTATCTACATCCAAATGTGCATTTAAAGGGACCGCCGCTGACACTTCTTCGACCACCATTGCGTTGATCGGTGGTCAGCGGCATCTTTAGTTCTTTGATAACTAGGCGAGAAAAGCTGGCGGGGTTGTAGAGGTTAGACTAGGCACATTGGGTGCAAGTGACTCCAAAAGCGGTGACAGAAGACCTCCCAAAAAGGCGACCAAAGTCCTCGGACATAGAGTTACTACGGTAAACTGTTCCAAGGCTAACACAACATAGGCTGAGTGCTAGCGTGGCTGTTGCAGCTCTGACTACAAGCATGGTCGGGGTTGTTATGGGCTGGCATTCTGGGATTGCTTCGCTATCATCTTGGTCGTGAATGTGGTCTCTTGTCTCCTGCTCGCTTTCGCTGTAACATTCCGCTTGGCTAGCCTACGAATGACTACCTTCTCGCGATACTCTTCGGATATTAGGGTAGCCTCCTAGTCATAGTCTTTTCAGTGGTCAGCGCCACTAGCTGGAACACAACCAACTCCATCTCAGGAGCATCTGTGATTTATGCTCTTTTCAATGGCAAATGCCCTCAGTAGGCTGGTGTTATCATCATTTGCACTACGGCGTGGTTCATCTGCGTTCCGGGAATCACTTGGATTCATCGTCTGACACCTTTCTTTAGATCCCATCGTTTATCGTTTGGCGCGTGACAGCGGGTTCCAGACCGAAGCGTTTCGGTGGCAGTGCGATCAAATCGTCAGCCCGTGCCAGCGGAGCCGCGTCTGCTGTCTCATTTATCGTTATCATTTTCTCCTTTGCGGTTTCCTAGATCAATTGCGCAGCGGACTAAAATGTAAATATTCTTGCTAGCACGCCACGATGCAAGATCTTTATTGCCGCCTACATTGGTATTTTCACCCTACGATTTTGGTCTAAACCCTCGGCACCACGCCGTATAGCGAGACGGAAATCATCATGCCTAGAGGCTTGTATACACAGATACCGGAGTCAGAGGACCCCTCAAATTGGGTCTTGAGCCAGCAGGCGGGTTTGGGAAATTCCTCTTAGTCCTAGATGGGCTCGGGTCTATCGTAGTAAGCGTCGCAAAGAGTTCTTTAAGGAATCATCAATTTAACCATCCATAGAATAATATCCCAAACAACTACCCCTTCGCATTACATGCGCAAAACTCCGGGCGCCGGGCCGTCCGCGCTCCTCGAATCACGTTCGTTACATTCGGCTTCGTGGCCGCAATCACCGTCGGTTGCTGTCTTCGAAAACACTCTGCAAACCTTACTTTCAATAATTTCGATGCTTGGGACAAGATAGAGTTGCTGCTATCTGGGTAGGCCGCAATCGTAGCGTTCACCTGCGGCTTCTTGGGAGCGGCTTTGGGAATGAAGGTTGCTTGGTATCTAGCGCCGATCGCAGGAGTTACTAGAAATATAGGAGGCAATATTGGACTTGATTTTTGTTTACTTTTTCGGCGCTTACGTTCCCAGTGTTTAGTAGAACATAGCTCTTACTGTCAGTAGTGTCTTTAAGGCGTTACTGGCGGCAATTGAGTTTCGTTCTTACAGATAGAGTAAATATAAACAGCCTTACAGTCAGTAACAGTTACTGCCAAGTCAATTAATCGTGCAGCTACTGTCTAGTGGGTTGCTGTAGTAACTGGTGTTTCGAGAGATTCTAGAGCACTTAATTTTTCACAATATAGTCGCGGAGATTGTTTAACTCTAAGTAAACAAGTCCTCTGGCAATCTAGTTGCGTTGTAGCTGCAGATCCTTAGGCATAGAAGGCCATAGCTTGTTTTCATTAACTATAATTATTCTTCCAGCTTTGCTAAACACCTCTCACATTCACAGCTTGCCTTCCTACCTAACGTAAACTAGGTCTGCGCGGTATTTCCATATATAAGACGTTTAAGTCCTCCTAGAAGGCTCCCTTAACCTCTTTACACAATATCTAAGACCCCTAGGCTTTCTCTAACAACCTCTAGTCCAAATATTATCCTACGTAATGCTAAACTTTAGGGTGTTGCTAAGGAGAGACTCCTGAGAGAACATGTAAGATAGAGGATAGCTAATTGATGTATCCAGAAAGCCTATTTGAGAAGCAGTCAGGGCCCCCCTGTCAGTGGACGCTACCTGGATGTTTCACTCTTGGATATCTTCGGTTTATAATTGGGCCGTAATAATACCGAGTTGCAATGCATGTTACAGGGTCTAGGACCTTAGGATCGGACATTCTACCAATCAGAGAGATTAAGCCAAGAGTAGAGGGCGAGCAGATCGTTTAGAAATTGAGACTTCTAGAGGATAGTATTGTTTCCGATCCTAGACGTAATTGGAAAAGAAAGGGTAAGCATGGAATTGCGAATGTTGGAAGCTGACCGGCGATTAAAGAACTTCATCCTAATCCAGCACGGACAGTGACGAAATCGATCAAGGCCTGTTATCCGCCGACACCGCATTCAACAATATAATTTGCTTAGAGCAACTCTCGTCAATTTGAGAGTAGCATTTGAGTAAGACACAGCTCTTCCGGATAATTTTAGCCATCAGACAGATACTTCGACAAACTATCCTACCCTTCATGCAGCCCGCATAGGACTCTGCTCGCTCCCATACCCCCCAACAAAATACCCTTCAAATCCACTCACTCCCTTCCCCATCCTATTCACCGGCGGCTGCGGCCACTTATCTAACACCGCTTGCTCTCCTGTCAACGTAAAGTCAACAGACGCCAGGGGATGATTATCAATCAGAATTGTGTAATCCCCAGGATACAGCACCATATTCCCACTTTCATCAACTCTTGCCAAAGACCCAAGCGTTAGGTTCAAATTCGCCGTGCTAGACGAACCTCCGGATATCGAAAACAAGCGTTGATATGCTACGAGTGCTTTATTAGGATATGGTTCCGGTCCAAAAGATCCAGATATATAAGCGAGTGTAACATAGTCCGATGTCGTATTTCCTGTGTTCGTGACTTCAACTTGGATGGGCGAGGAGGCGAATGGACAGCGATCAGGGTATGTGATGTTGCTTTTGTTACATGCTGACATTAAACTTGATATGTCGTAGGATTGCTGGAGTGGAGAGGTGACGTCGGCAGTGAAGTTTGGGTAGTGCATTCCAAACCCGTATTCGAAGATTGCGGTCCCGTTATACCACTTATACGTTCTACCGGGATTTTTTGGCCCAGGACGGAGCGACATGTCCGTCATGGAGACTTCGTTTATGTAAGATGCTTGGTATTGTGTCAACGGGAGTCGGCCAGCGGGTGCGGCCTTCCCAGCGATAATATCCATTATTGCGACGCCGCCGTCTTGGCCTGGATAACCTGCCCAAAGTAAGGCAGATATATTGGGGTTGTTGATAATAGGTGAAGAATCGATCTGCCCGCCACCCATCTGCACTATGATCGTGGGCTTTCCAAGACTAGCGAGCTGGCCGATCACATCTAATTGAGCGCCCGTCCAAGCCAAAGAAACTCTATCCATACCTTCAGATTCGACGCTGTTGTCTATTCCACCAATGTAAATAATGAAATCACTGGCAGCTGCAGCAGGCCAGACAGAAAGCCACGAGTTGGTGGTTGGGTCACCCTGACTACCAGGACCTTGGGCATAGTGCACCGAGATTTCAGCTGCTGGGCAGCGTAGAGCGGACTGTGCATGTACGTCGCAACGCCGTAGTAGTTGCCGAGGAGTTGCATGGTTGCGTTTGCCCAGTCGCCAAAGAGGCCGAGGGAAGAGGACGAGTCGAGCGATAGAGGGAGTAAGTCATCGTTCTTTAGAAGCACAATGCCCTCAACAGCAGCTCTGTACGCTAGCTTTTGTGAAGCATTAGTCGCTACGTCACTGAAATCAAGCTGGCGGTAAGGCTGATTCTCGGGTGGATCGAAGTATCTGAGGCGTACGAGGGAAGAATATTGACGGACGAGAGCTTGGTCGAGAACAGTCTCATTGACAAGATCTTGTGAGAAGGCCCCAGGAAGATGGTTTGGCATGTATGTGCCACAATTGATGTCTGTCCCGGCAATAAGCGCATCAGCAGCAGCTTCCTCGCGACTCGAGGCCCACTGATGGGGTAGGTAGACATTTTGAACAGCATCGCAATCGCTAGTCACCCATTGCTCCTCATTTGTCCAGCCCCAGTGCTCTCGTAGTATAGTCTGGAGAGGATATGGATCTGCGCAAGTCGGGACGCCATTTACAGCACCTGTGTAGTGTGAAACATGAACCAGTGTTGCATTAGAAACAACTTACTGTATGAACACACGAAAGCGCCGACATTAGAGTCACGTACACAGCTCTGGAATGGTGGCGGATAGTATTCGACTAGGTCTTGCTGGGATATCTGGGCGTTGAATTGGTACCGGTAATTACCATTCCAGCTCTCAACATCGTAACCTGAGGACTCATTAGCATACGTATCTTAGAAAACTACAGCATGTTATTAGACACATAGGACATGACTAAGGTAGAATCTATCTGTTAAACCTCTTGCTATAATTGAGGAGTGTCGACAGGATACAAATTTTTGCTGTGAATTGCCCAACTCATCTTCCATGTTAGATGACAGGTGCAGTATATATTACAGTATGCTTACCGGCATAGTGCTTGCAGGTAGCTACGACACGCTTGTAAGGGTCAGAAGCAGAACCTTGCAGGCTGGTAATCAAAGCGTGAACGTAGGATGACAGATGAAATGGGTCCTCCCCGGGCGTTTCTGCAGAGTATTTTAGTACTTCCCTTTGTAAGAGTCAATTCGAATTGGTGAAACGAACCTTGTCCCCACCCCCACCGTGGATCTTTGAATGGGTTGATATTCGGGGTCCAAAAGTCCAGTCCAGTTCGATTCGCATTATTGAATGCACGAGCTTCAGTCGAAATCACAGTCGCAACATCCGTGATAAGCTGATTATCAAATGCTGCACCCATGGTGATAGGCTGGGGGAATGACATTGAGTAGCTATAATCATCTTCATCAGAGAAGTTGGTGAATGGACCAGCGATGCCATGAAGACCTTCAGACCACCATTCGTATGGTGGTATTCCAAGGCGTGGAACTCCTGGCGCAGCACTTCCGGTAGCATTGATCTTCTCCTCGAGTGTATATGCAGCTACTAGAGCGCGTGCTCTATCGCTAGGTGCTTGGAAACGTGTTAGATGAAATATAAAAAAAAAGGAATAATTTGTGTATCACTCACAGGCTGATGTATCACAAATGGCATTGTTCTTCATTGGGCCATTAGTACAATCTGGAAATAATGCCAATCCTTGCTCTACCCAGAAGAGGATCACTATGCTTTGATATAAAACATTCATTCTGGCGGTCGAAAGAAGCCAGTTGCAGTCGCTACAAACCCGGAAACTTTCCAACTCCATCTCTTATAATCTCATCCCTCTTCCTCAATAGCCGTAGTACCGAGCTCTCACTTCAATCCATGGATTTCTAATGCGGGGCGAGGAACCCACCTTTCACCGGGAACTAGGCGATGACGACGAGATAGTACCTTACAACGTGGAGAAGGACGTGGCAACGTCGGAAATATCGGTTTCGGGAAGTGATATCCGCTTCAAATGGACAAGTGCATGCAATTGATGGCGCTAGCCACTGCCGGTGGATGCAAGGAGAATTTCGATTTCCCGGTAGCTTTGCGAGCCGCATGGGATGAACGGGAGCGTTAAAGTCTCCGGTGTGGTGCTTGATTGGTTGGGTGTTTAGGCAAAATGGGAGAGGAAACGACACTGGTCCACATTTGGCTGCAGCACAGAACAATCTCTAAGCCCGTCATACTTTGTACACACAAGGTCATGAAAAAGGAGAGCGGGATTTGTACACTGCCACCTATCCTCGCATGTCCCAAATCGCTGTCTCAAATCCCTCTTAGATAGCTCGTGGGATGTCATGTCCACCCAGCACCATAACGAAACCTTGAGCTCGCCCATCTCCTTTTGAATTCAAGACCGTACCAAATCTTCTCAATTATCGTGGAACGCGATAGGGAATTTAAGGACAAAAGCATGCATCCTTTTCAACTTCTTCAGCAAGAGGCTTAATAGATCAGACCGTCCCGCTGATGTTCCACGGTTAAGGCAAATATGGCGCAAAGTAAAGCATTTCGTCAGGGTTAATCCACTCCTTTACCGCTCTCCCGAACAGTCATCTTCATTCCATCCCTAGGCTTTGCCTCGAAGATGAATTCCTGGAATGCACGATCTCCAAAGGTGACGTCTAAATCAGTCCACTCCACCCTCGGCTTCCTGTTTGGCTTGATATCCGCGCATTGGAAGTCGAACTCTCGCACCGTCAACAAGAGAATAATCCTCAACTCATCCATAGCTAGTGCCTGACCTAGGCAAGCTCGGGGACCGCGTTCGAATGGACGCCATGCGTGTCGTATAAAGTCTTCGCGGGTGAATCGGTCTGGGTCGAAGGCCTTCGGATTTGGGAATACGTCCGGATTGTTCTGCATGGAGTGCTGCACTGGAAGGATTATATGGCCTTTGGTCGAGTATTGTTGGCCTTTGTAGGTAACAAATCCCGTAGCGTCTTCTCCCCGAGCAGTGTTTCCCACTGGATAGAAGCGAAGCGTTTCCTTGATGACATTAGTTGTATATGTAAGCTCGCTTAGCTTCTGGGAAGAGTCCTGAATCATAGCATACGTAGCGTCGATTCCGGGAGTGAAAACGCGGTCGTGCTCTTCGCGAAGCTTTTCCACAATTTCTGGGTGAACCGAGAGAAGCATGAAAATGAAGCAGACAGTATCTGTGGTTGTGCCAGTGCCTCCCAGCAGCATTGTCTTGATGCTTGTGATTGCAGTTTCCATGAATTCGGGATTAAGGTCTCGTCCTTCGTTGATACGTTCCCGAAGGATGAGATCCGCAATGCTTAGACCGCGCTTCTGTGAGACGTCCACATTATCTCTCTGCAGGACTACGAACCTTTCTCGAATCATCTTTTCCAATTGGGAATCCAGTCGTTTCGTCGCAGACTTTCTCTTTCGTGTCGCAAAAAACTTCTTTACGAAGTTCCAACTGTTCTTCTCAATCACGAACGCACGACAGATCTCACTGAAATCATGTATAGCTGGATTACCCTTGGTCTGGGCATTCAAAGAGAATCCGAAAGTAGCTTTAGCGACTACGTCAAAGGTTAGATTGCTGGAAATATCCTCTAAGCGGAACACTTCTCGGGTCTTGGCCAACTTGTGGAGGGTCGATCGAAAAACCATGACTTCCTCTGACATCATCTCAGCCAAGTTTCTGACTGCTGAAATGGCAAACGGAGGAGCGAGCATGTTATGAAGATACTTCCAGGCCGGCCCCTCTGCGGCGACTATGTTGTTCTCGCCCACGATCGGGGCAATAAACTCCTGCTCAACGGGGTGTTTTGGATGATTCTTTTGAACGGTGATATAAAGAGCCAGGTCAGGGTCTGTGATAACAAGGAAAGTAGGTCCAAGGGGCCAGAGATCGAGGTACCAAAGACCAGGTAACTTGTATTTCCGAGATATGGTGGTGATGTACACTTGCACGTGGCAGTTGCTTGGGAACAGCGACGTGATTTCGCCCATGAGCTTTAAGTGACCCCAAATGAAGTCGTAGGGTGGTTTTGGCTAATTGAAGTGTTAAAAGATTTCTCCGGGCTAGAAAAATACAAATAATGGTAGAAAGTGGAGGCTAATGCGACTGCATGGAGGATTCCCTTACCAGGTCCTTGTAGAAGCGCCGATGCTGGATGAATTTGATGACTAGGTAGGCAAAAGCAGCAGCCGCCGCGGAAGCTCCGATTGTGAGCCATGATTGCCCGCGTGAAGGCTCCATAATGCAATCGTGAGGAGTGTTGAAATGTGCAATTCGATAGGGGAAGAGGGCAGATATAGAAGGTTATAAGTGCTTACGGGGACGGCTGGACTGGTACCCGTAAGCAGAATGTGGCCTGAATATCTGGAAAATTAGTAATCAAACAAAATTAAAATCTTGTGTTTGGGAGGCCTTGGAAGTCTTGTGAGGCACTAACTGTTGGCGTTGAGTGCTGTCAAACTAGCAACCTTGGAAGACGACGCCACTAATGCTTTCGTTGGTAGCTGCCTAGGATTCGAGGAAAGATTGAAGAGGGAATCGTAGTGATGTTAGGCCTCTGGGGCAAAAATGCGTCATTACTTCGTAGTGAGTACCTATCGATAAGAACCACGTGATGGGGCGTCGAAGGCCCATTTTATCGAGTGCCTTCCCTCTCCACAGTTTACCTCCATGTCCGAGTCATCAGAATACGGCCAATACACACTTTCACATGCATTTCACCGCTCATTGATGGACCTATATCGCTGTTAGAGTCGTATTAGGCTAAGCATTAGGTCTTCTCTTCTCCACCGCCTTTTTCGATCTGGAACTTGTGACAGATACGCCACCAGTTACCATCCCGGTTGCCTCTTGCCCCCTAATGTGGGACATGACAGGGTGTTCAGGAAAGAACTTGTATCCTACTGACACTCTCCCTTGTTTTAGCAAGAAGTCAGACATATAGACTCCACCCTAATTATGTTTGACGGTAAGTGGTACCGCACCGTCTTGCGATTATTCTATGGTATCTCGTCCTTGGTTATACGCTCTTTAGCTGCCTTCTTCATATGCTCGTCCAGTAGTGACATCAAAACCAGATCAGACCCTTTCTTCATCCAGGCAGCATCGTGTGCCAAAGCAACATGGAACCCATAGTTCTTTTCTAGGATCCGGATCCTATCAATGGTGCTTTTGGCTGCAGGAATGTCAGCATGCAATGACGTTTTCCCTACCCCTGGAACGCAAAATTGAGAAATCTCGTATTCCCCATCCAAGAGCTCCCTACAAGTCATCAGTAAATTGACACACCAGCAAACGAGGCAATCACCTTGAATGACAGCAGTCGCTACCTAATAGAACCCATGCTCCGCTCTCTAGGCGAGCCGCCGCGCAAAGATTGCCTGCCATATGGCCTGGTGCCTGAATGACCCAAAAGCTTCCGTCGCCGAAGTAGTCCATAGCTCTTTCAAACGGCCCAAATGTTACCCAAGAACCCTCGAGCTCTTCCCATCTCTCGGTTGCTTTCTCGGGATCAAAGAAACGCCCATCCCATTGCAGACTCGGGTCCGCCATATGGCCAGGAGAACATCCATCTTTTGTGCCTGGTCCAAAGTACGCCGTTGCATTAGGAAATTCATCACGGATAGGTCGACTATGATCCCAATGTGCATGACTTGCCCCCGCTATCAGCAGTTGACTTCATCTTCCGCACCCTATAACACTGACCTGAATAGGACTGTATCTATCTGGCTAGCTGCTACACCCCTTTCGCTAAGCTGATGAATGATCGACTTCCTTGGACCAACATGATTCGCGATGTCTAACATGAATTGGTTTACCCACGGTGTATAACATGATCGATCCTGGTCCGTCAGTGACCTCCAGGTTATAGGCTTAGCTCAAAGAGCACAGTACGTACCTCGTCCAGTCCAAGATCCCAAAGAATGTGTCGGCCCTTGTGCGAAATATAGAAGGCCCAGTTGTACATTCGAAATATTCCATTAGTAACGCCGGCATGAAGCTTGGAAAATTCACCGATAAAGCTCCCTCCATCGAGGAGAGACAGTTCGATATGTGCATTGGTTTCCGGCAAGGGAGCGCAGGGCAGCTCCGCGACCGTCATCTCAGAGGTACCGTCAGAAAGAGGTATGGTGCTTAGTGGCTGACGCCCACGTACTGCTTCCGATTCCTACCATTATGGAGGTGTTGAAAGCTCATGTACAATTCCCCACATTACCCCATCCGTGCACAGACACCTTGATCTAGGCCCCACCATTCATTAACTCCACTGGCGGGGCGTCAATATCCCGAGGTCACTTCAATTTAGCTCCACAGTAACTATCGGAATTTGCTCTAACACAGCGGACGACCTATTCCGACGTAAACTTAGAGTTTCTGGCTAGCGCTGACACAAAACCTCAAACGGTCTGACGTAATCGGTGTGCCATACAAGAGTTGAGTATTTGCGAAACACCCCGGACTCTTGGATAAGCCATGTCTACTACTTTTGAGCATGAACATTTGGGCCAGCTAAGTGGAGTTGGAATTGATGGAACTGTCCAGTTTCGCGGGCTAAAGTATGCGTCCCTGGAAAATCGATTCGCCCCCCCTCAGCTTGTCACAAGTTACGGAATAGGCCCTACTAATGCTTCGAAATACGGGTATGTTTTCTTTGCACATGGCTACTTCTTCTGTTAACGGCATGAGAGGCCTCCTCCAGTTTCGCCACCCGGGGCCGTCAACAATGAGTTCGGATTCATCCAGCACACGCTTCCGATTCCAGATGTTCCGACGCACTCAGATATCGAAGGACTAAATCTAAATATCACTGTACCTGTTGGGGTGGATGGAACAATTGATTCAGGCGCAAAATTACCAGCCTATGTCTTCATTCATGGAGGGGGTTTCGCTGTCGGCTCTAGTTGGTATCCACACTACAATGCGACTCCGCTAGTCAGAATCTCGGTCGCAAAAGGGAAACCAATTATTGGTATCACAATCAAGTATGCTCTTCGCTGAAATTTTTGCTAAGGTCTATCTGCTAAGGTTCGAAAGTTACCGTTTGGGCGTTACAGGCTTCATGACCTCGGAAGAGCTCCGTCAAGCGGGGTACAAATCAAATAATGGATTTCACGACCAGAGAACTGCCCTAGAATGGGTTAAGAGATTTATTGGCGGATTTGGGGGAGACCCTGACGAAATTACGGTTTGTGGAGAGTCGGCGGGAGCATGTAAGTGGATACAATATTTCATATGATTACACTTGTCTGATATCTCCCAGTGTCATCAACTATGTTGCTTCTATCGAAAGAGCCGCTGATGAAGCGATGCATGAGCACTGGAGGAGCAGTACTGCTATTCAAACCAATCCCTCTTACAGCTGCCGAATCCGCATATCAGAGCGTCATACAAGCCTTTGAGCTTGCGGATAAGTCTCCCGAAGATCGCATAAACGCATTGCTCACTATACCAGTCGACGAATTATGGCAGAAGGTTCCAAGAACAATTCCGTTGATTCCAGTTATTGACGGTGACACTGTGCCTGGAGAGCCGAACTTCGTTACCGTCGCATCCCAGGACGATGACCCAAACTTTCCAATCCCAGGTCGGAAATGGTGTGCATCTCTCATGATAGGAGAATCTCAGCTTGATGTGAGTGTGGCAGCGGTAGGCTTGCCTATTTGAGACTGACCGACTGTCAGGCCAATATCATCGCCTGGATGGGCCTTGATGCGAGAAACCCGGGTATTGCATCCAAATTTGTTGAATCTGTCAATAAGACACTCTCATCGCACCCGGAAGCTGCATCAACATTACTCTCCTCGTATAAAATATCGGAGTCCACCAATGACGATGAGGCTGTCCTCTCGATATTGAAATTCGCTACCGACATTAGCTTCTACGCACCCGCGCTTGCCTTTGCCAAAGGCTGGCCCCAAACGAAGGAGAACAAGTTCTTCCTATACCATTTCAACGAGGGTAATCCTTGGGAAGGGAGGTTCAAAGGCGAAGCTGGCCACATCCTGGACGTTGCTTTTCTCTTCCAAAACTTCAACGAGTTTATGAACGAAGAACAGAAAGCAGTTGCCCGTGCATATGCCGAGGATTTCGTGGAATTTGTGAACGGATCCGATCCTTGGCCCCCCGTCGAAGGAGGGAAGATGGGCGCGAGAGTCTATGGCCCCAGCAGTGCCGGTATTTCTGCCAAGTACGTTGCATCGGGGAATCCGGAAGAAGTAGGACGGCGAACGCACGTTCTCAAACTGGGAGAAATGGCAGGTTTCGATTCCATATTAGACGTATTCCAAAACTTCTTCCGGGGTGGTTAGATCCGTGGCGATCTGCGGTATCAGATCTTGGTTGTGGTACAAGGTGTGCGCGTCGCAATGCAAATCTCGGAGTTTTGACAATTAAGCAGTGACAAATATATGAGGTTTGCTATGAGCTCGTTTTCCAGAAGATGCTATTGTTGGAGGATTAAGGGCCAGACAATTACCCCGCGATAGTTCGACGCGTAGGCTTCTGCTAACGGTATTGCCAAGGGCATATCATGTGGGGTGCGGGGATTTGCAATATGATACAAGGGTTCGGCTACAAGATTTAGAGCATGGATTAAAGAAAAGACTTCTCGGCTCCTAAAGCTCAAGAAAAAAAAAGAGGTCTTGTCGATTGGCGCCATGGTGCACGTTCAATTCAATGCGGAACTTCTCAGTACTCTTGCAGGGGGGGTTGTGGTGCTGACCGGAGGAGCAACGGGGATTGGGCGATCTGCAGTGATCCAATTTGCTAGTGAGAATCCGAGCTTCCCAACTTTCCGTTCGCAGCTTGAATGAAATCTAACTTGTCTGAAGAGGCTGGATGTAAAGTCGTCTTTGGTGACATCAGCGAGGGTCCAGCGCGGGAACTCGAATCGCAGCTTGGTCCAACTGTTCGCTTCCTCCACTGCGACACCTCCTCGTACTCAGACCAGCTGGGACTCTTCGCAGCCGCGGAATCAATCTTCGGTCGTGTCGATGTTGTGGTAGCTAATGCTGGGATGGCTATTCACAAGGACATCTTCGACCCGACCTCGAATATCTCTATCGAGCCGAGCATGAAGGAAGTCGCGGTCAACCTCACAGGAGCTATTTTCACGGCACGGATTGGAATGCATTACCTAAGAAGGAACAAATCCAGGGGTGGAGGCAAAGGCGGTGGCGATATTGTGCTTGTGAGCTCTATTGCAGGATTTAAGGAGAGTTGTGGCTTGACGACCTACACGGCGAGTAAGCATGGCGTTTTAGGGTTGATGAGAGGGCTGCACACTACAGCACACTCTGAGGGTATCCGGGTCAACGTAATATGTCCATGGATGACTAGTCAGTCATCACTATCCTTTCCCTCCCTCTGTCCACTAAAGGTGTCTTAGAAACGAAATTGGTGAAAGGAATCCAAGATGGCTGGTACGACCGCGGTCTGCCGTCCAATGAGCCTGAAGATGTGGCCCGAAGCATTATCCTTTGCGCAACTGCGAACAGGAGCGCTGATGGAAAAATCCACCCGGGAGCTAGAATGCCCTTCGCCGGCAAGATACTGTGGATCGCTGGCGGTGAGGCATACGAGATCGAAGACGCAATCCAAGCGCTTGAACCTCAATGGTTAGGCGAGGAGAACAGCAAAATCCTAGCCAAAGGGCAAGAATATTTGGCGAGTCAAGGTACAAGTTGGGATGCAGAAAAGCAAAAAAAGAAGACAAACGTGGCCGCCAATGGGGTGTGATCATCGTTCCAGGACAGCGCATCTCGGAGCTGTACCTGTCTTTCAACACGTTCGTGCTTGAGCTTCTTTTCGTCCTTTTTTTTTGCTCCCTTCCCATATGGAAGGCACTGATACCAATAGATTGATCATATACAACTCTTAGACAAACTCCCACGTTCCATCCTCCTTCTTCTTTCCCTTATCCTGATACCCTTCGGGCAACGGACCGCCAATATGCAAATAGACACTACTCCCGTCCCTATCAAAACACTGTGGGTCCTTACTTGCACTCTCCCATGTTTCCATTGCCGCCTCCGCCATTCGAGGTTTGATCCTAACCTGCCTCCCCGCTTCAATACCCAACCCCAAATCTTTAATCATCATCTGCGTCTTAAATCCCGGCTTGTATCCACTAGAACTTGGGACATGAGGGATAACGTTCGGGATTGGCATCACATGGTCGCACATCCAGCTTTGCCCCGTCGAGGCTTTGATAACATCGTACAGCATCTTTGGGTCAAGTCCTTGTTTTATGCCGATAGCCATGGCTTCAGCAGTTGCGAGGAGAATGGTACCACTGAGGTAGTTATTTGAGATTTTAGCGGTTAGACCGGCGCCAAGGGAATTGAGGTAGAAGAACTTGGAGGGCGAGCCTATCATTCCGAGGACGCGTTCGAGGAGTAGCGAGTTTGGGTTGGAATCTGAGGGTGGGGAATGGCCGATTAGCATGCTGAGATCGCCACGTTGAGCCGCTGGTACCCCCCCCTATCCGAAGTTTAGCAGAAGGCTTCTGAACTGAATGGAATGGAAACACGAACGGATACTGGTGTATCGACGTAAGTCCCTATATCTTTCGCCATTAACGCTTCCCCAACTTCCCTAGTGCTCTTCACATCTATGGTACTGCATTCGCATAGGACTCTCCCTTCATTCTTTCTACTCGCAATGACGCCATCTTTCTCATCTAAGTATACTTTCTTTACGTCTACAGCCCCTGGTACTATTGAAACCACGACTTTGGAATTCTCGGCGGCTTCTCTTGCTGAGGGCACGATTTCGATGGGGCCAAAAGATCTATATTCTGATTGAAAGCGCTGACATGCAGACATGTTTATATCGTTGATGAAGAGTGTTGATGTCGAGGGCATCTTTTTACGAATATTGAATGCCATTGCATAGCCCATGGCTCCAAGGCCTGGGCATCGTTAGTTAGATTTGATTGTAGGGCTAGCAACTGGAGGATGGGGAATGGGTACCAATGAAGGCATAATTTTCCGCCATCGAAAGCCTGCGCGACCAAATGCGACGACCACGATAGCAAGAGTTCCTAGACAGAAAGTTCTATTATTGTTTTTTGGCCACTTCTCGATGATGTAGTTCACATTTTGTCAGTGACGGTAGAAGATGGTCCCTGCAATGCATGCTCAAGCTCCTGCTCGTCAATTGCCCCACATTGTTCCCCTCATTTCCCCATGGGCTACCCCAAGTTCATCATTTCTGCCATTGAGCCTCAAGATGTTGCCAAATATATTCAAAATACTATTTAGACCCTTCCTAACAATTGTTCCAAATATTTAGTAAAGCGAAGAGTGTGCTGGTCGGCAACATGGTACCGTCGGCGTCCGGTGAAGGAAGTATTTGCCGTAGGACAATACTTATAAAGTGCGGGGTACTTTGCCGTCGTTAAAGTGTTCGACTGCTAGATGCATGGATAAGCTCTTAGTTGGGTACGTACTTAGGTATATCTGAGAACCTCTGTGCTACATGCATTTGACCTCACTCATTGGTTTGATCGCGGAGACCATTCACCCTCTCTTGAAGCCCCCAATACATCAAACTGAATTCCACCTCCAGCCACACCAATTTCAAAATGCCAACCTCAAAACCTTTGCGAATCGGCGTGATTGGGCCCGCGGGGTTTGGAGGCTCGTATCTCTGCGTCGAGCTCCTAAACCGCGGCCATACTGTCATCGGCATATCGCGGAGCCCGCAAAAGCTGGGAAAGCACGAACGCTACATTCCAAGATCAATTGACATTGACGACGTATCGTCTTCAGAACTTGCGAAAGTTTTTGAGGGAGTTGATGTTCTGGTCTCCGAATACGGACCACATACAGCGGGCGCCGATGCTCTTCTTTACAGTATGCATGCCTACAACAGCATCCTATTCTCTCTTGTGTGGAGGTCTGGCATGACTCATTGACTGCAAAAGTGCCTTTCATCGAAACCGTCCGCAAAATTATCCTCGCCGTGAAACAATCCACGGTGAAATACTTCCTCTTCGTCGGAGGTGCAGGATCGCTTCACGTGCCAGGGACTCACGAATGCTGCGTCGACCACCCAGACTTCTTCATGGCCTACCGAAAAGCAATCGCTACGTCCGAAGCCCACATCGCATACATGGAAGAACGACTAGGCATCATGGGCACAGCACTACGCGCATATCGAAACGCGCGAATCGCGAAACGTGAAGGCCGTGCCACCGCCGACGACCAAAAGGCGATTGAAGAGTACGAAACAGGGATCAAGCGGAAAGATCGAGCAACGGATTTCATCAAAGCAGGCCGCGCGGCGTACATGTTCTTCGACGGAAATACGAGTTTCAAGTGGTCGTTTGTGTCGCCTTCTGCGTTGTATAGGCCTGGGAAGAGGACAGGGAAGTATGAGATTAGTGTGGATGATATGGTCTTGGAAGGAGAGCAGGAGTCTGAAAATATCTTCGAGGGGAGGTTGACAGGGATTACGGTTTCGGATATGGCGATTGCAATTGCGGATGAGATTGAGAGTGAGAGTTTGACATATAAGCATTGGAGTGCGATAGGGGATATTTCAGAGGATAGACCAGCGCCGGCATATTTGACTTTAGAGGATACTAAAGGGGGAAGCAAATAAACGAAAGAGGGATAAAGTTCACAATAAGGTGTATTCTTAAATAGAGACCTTTACCGTTGAAGTCGAGATAATCGATGATATTTCTTTCCAAACCGGTTGGCGCCATATGCTTCAGTCTAAAACAATCCAACAATCTTAAGAACCGTTTTCTCGTCTATATTTTCATCTCCTTCAAATCATCCGCAACCTTAAACGGTGCCTCTGTCTTCGCCTTCACCTCATCAACCGTAACGCCCTTCGCGACTTCCTTCAGCGTTAGTCCCGTCGTTCGATCTACGTCGAAAACAGCGAGGTCGGTAATGATTGTCGAGACGCATTTTTGGCCAGTCAGAGGGAAGGTGCATTGCTCAAGGATCTTGGGGTTGCCTTTCTTGTCGACATGCTCCATCGTGATGACTACTTTGGTTTGGGTTGGGTTTGCGACCAAATCCATGGCGCCACCAATCCCTTTTACTTTACCTGGAAGCATAAAGTTTGCAAGGTCTACAGCTCATGTCAGAATTTTCAGTCTCAATTGGGATAGTAGTCCATTCACCTCCAAATTCGTTTACTTGCATGGCCCCCAACATGGCCACATCGATCCTTCCAGCCCTGATCATCCCGAAACTCTCGTGGCTACCAAACGTCGCAGCTCCCTTGATCAGGGTAACAGTCTCCTTTCCAGCATTTATAAGGTCTGGGTCTTCTTCACCAGGTCTTGGATACCCGCCCATACCCAAGATACCATTCTCTGATTCAAGAATGATTTCGACACCTTGGGGTAGGAAGGCAGGGGCTGCCAACGGCATACCGATGCCCAGGTTGACGTACATTCCGTCCTTGAGCTCTTGAGCCGCACGCTTAATAATGCGCTCACGCTTTTGTGATGCTTCCGATGAACCTAGAAGCGGATCAGAAATTCACTCGGTTGAGACATAGGGTTGTTTCTTTACCTCCTTCTAGTAGTGCCTTCTTCTGCTCCTCTGGATCCTTATAGAAGACTAACCTTTCGATCTTCTTCTCTTCTTTACTCGGTACCACTCTCTTGACATAGATCCCTTGCAAATGAATATTTTCAGGCGCAATCTCTCCATATTCCACAATTTCATCAGCTTCTACGATCGTCATCTTCGCATTCTTGCCCATCGCTTCGTTGAAGTTATTCTGCGCTTTACGGAAAGAGCAGTTTCCAAGCCGGTCTGCCTTCGCCACCTTGACAAAAGCGTAATCTCCATATATGGCTTCTTCCATAACGTACGCTTTCCCGTTGAACTCGCGGGTCTCCTTTGGAGGCGCCATTTTAGCAATCGTGCCGTCCTTGTTATAGCGCACAGCGAGTTCACCTGTTTGGACTGTCTACTCGTCAGCGATCGCTTCCACAGTTTATTAATTAAACTGTAAATTTGCCCTGGACTCAGAACCAACATACCGACCGTCCCATAAGCCGCTGGAGTATAAAAAGCAGGCACCCCCGCCGCGCCCGCCGCACACTTCTCTGCAATCGTCCCCTGAGGTGTCAACTCCAAGTCCAGCTCGCCGCCCAAATACATTTTTTCAAAAGTCTTATTGTCGCCAATATAACTCGCAATCATCTTCCCAATCTGCTTCGTATCCAACAACTGTCCCAATCCCACACCTGGCATTCCCGCGTTGTTCGACACAACGGTGAAATTCGAGAGGTCTGTCCGATCGCGCAATGCGTTGATCAATGTATTAGGTACCCCGCTGAAGCCAAACCCACCGACCAGGACCGTGGTGTTGGATTTCATGTCTTTGATGGCTTCTTGGGCTGAGGGATAGATTTTGTTGATTTGGGACCGGAAGCAGCTGCTGGAGAAGAAGCGGATAGAAGGACTGCTGCGGCGCGCCGCGAAGAGGAATGCTCGTTGCATCATCGTGAAGCTTAATCACCTTGGTCGTGGATAATTATAAAATCAACTCTAACAGCAAGGTGATGCCGCCAAAACCACAACCACAACTACAGAGAAAGAAAGAATTAGAAATCTAGAAGGACGTCGTTCTAAGCTTCACACTCGTTGCGGCAATTGACGGCCTGCGAAGCTGTCTGTTAGGTCCAACCTTCCAGCGGCTCCGCAACCTTCAATCATGTAACGAGGGATCTCGAAGTTCTGCAGCAGGGTGCCACAACTATTTTTGCTGCGGAGTTAAACTGCCCGATACCTACAGCTGGAGCTGCATGCGGTCCCCACATGACTTTTTCAACCCACGCGTTGCTTCCGGTAGACTGCTTTGGGCCTCCCGATACATTTGCCGTGCCGATGCCGGTGGAGATCTGGGGTCGCGGAAAGTCCCCGCGCTGAGTATGTGGAAGAGCGCTTATCCGGATCAGATGGAAAAGGAAACACTTTGCGTGCACAATATGAGGCAATGCGACGAATTCATCGTTGTGAATGAACATTTTGATGTTGTTGGAATGCAGCTGACTAAGTGTTCCTCGTTTGACACGTGACGCAAGCGTCATACCCTGCATTTCTAGGTACTAAGTATCCGCGCGTAATTAACTGCTACTTGACACCAGAAAACGCAGTGGCTTATGCCTTTGATGCATAATCAAGAAGTGCCCGAAAAGCTTCGTATGAAAACGTCTTATGCCAAAATCTATATTCAGTATACATGAAGGTGACGTCCGAGAGACGTTTCAGTATAAATTGTGAACAATCCGTTTTACTGGTGCCAGCAATTAGAGACAAGTGCGAATATGAGGAACTTATCGAATACTTACAGTTCGCGAAGTCCTTGTGTTCCTTGCTGTGAAGAGCGCGAGATGCGATCGCGTCCTCCTCGGCATCACCTGTTGGGACCTTGTACTGAAAGAATAAGAGTCAGCAGAGAATGTACGCGAGAGGTGTAAGTAGCGCTTACCGCTGTCAACGTAGTCTTGTGTCCTAGCTTGTCGACAAGCTCCGCAATTGCATCCCCAACTACATGTGCATCGTTCTCGGCACTGCCAGTGCTTTGTTTTCCAATGTAGGGAACAATCCTCGCAATCTGCTTTGCTTCCTCAGGATTACTGGCTTTGAGATGTACTGTTGGCGCCAGACTCAAGCAACTTGTGATGCCATGCGGAATAGCATATGTTGCACCAATTGCGTGTCCTATGCTGTGACTGAGACCTACACCACCGGTGTAGAGGAAAGGAAATAGCGAGGAGTAGCAAGCGAGGAATAGCTTAGTTCGGACATCAGCATCTTCGGGGTTGGATTTGGATTGTGGAAGGTAGGTAAAGAGGTCTTTGATCGATTCAAGGCACATGCGCTTGGTTGGGATTTCTGAGGCGAGAGGGTGATACATTAATTCAACGGCATGATCTAGTGACCGTATCTGGGCAACCATAAGTCAAACTCCAACATACAAAAACAGGTCTTTGGGCAGTACTTACCCCGGTGCTCGTCCAGAGATTCAGGGGGGTGTAAATAGCAAGATCACCATCGTATACAACAGCTACAGGGCGTCAGCGGGAAATATACAAAAAGAGTGAACAAAACTACCTTTGGGCACTAGCTCAGGATGGCTGACCGCAATCTTTGCCATCTCCTCCGTTGTGAACCCAGCATTTTGTGTAGTTTCGGCAACACTGAGGGTAGTTGGCACAGCGATGCTTGGCACCCACTTCCCTGTCTCTTCATGTATGTTGTATGCTATAGCTTTTGCTGAGTCTATAGGCGATCCTCCACCCACCGATATCAAGACATCACACCCTGACTTTGCCATGAGAGCTGTTGCTTCTCGGATGTCGCCAATTGGTCTACTCCAGGTCAGTTACTTCGAACAAGTCTAGCGTCAACGTTAAAACACACGCATGCTGCCCAATTTTGCTGAATGTACCCCCGTGCACAGAACCTAAGCTCTTTTCTATGTTTTTGATAACTGGAGTCTTCTCGTAAAGCGAACGTCCGGTTACGATGAACGCTTTGGTCCCGCCCAGCTCTGATACAACATCTGAGAGCTGGCTGCTGGTCCCTACGACACTCAGTAAAGCTTCAGAGAGAACGATAAAGAACTTTACTGACCTCTTCCATAAATCATAAGTTTGACGGGCGAAGCCCGGTATACTCCTTTCAGTGAGGAATCAATGCTTCCATTCTGGTACTTGCTTGGTAAAGTCATCTTGGAAGAGGGATTGCTTGCAAAATTGAAGGGGAGGAAAGGATAGCAATGAAAATTCCTCAACTTCGTCTAATTTCTTCGTCTCGGTCGGCAACCTGCGAATTGCTTCGTCATTCATCATGGAGGGGTAGCTCGGAGCTCCGAGTTTGCCCCACATTCGCTGCCCCGCCCCTGCAGTGCAACACCGATGCGGCAGTTCAGGCCCCTGCGGCCAAGCCAATATTCCTCTATCCACGTCTCCTTCAATCATGGAAAATTCATTGCTCTTGTTGTTGGAGTGTGAGAATGGCAACTTTCAACAGAGTTGCACGGAACGTGCTGCAGAAGAGTCCCAATGATGTTGTCCTGTTGTCCACCGTGAGGACTCCAATCAATCGAAGCTTCAAAGGCGGTTACAAAGATGCATGGCCAGAAGATATCTTGATGCCAGTTTGTACAACTCAAATTTGTTCGGACATCAACTTGAAGCTGAAAAATGGATAGGCAATGAAGGCCGCCGTACAGCGCGCCAAAATCGAGCCCGGAGATGTGAACGACGCTATGATTGGAAATGTGTTGGCCGAGCTTGGATTTGCAAAGACTGGCCGAATGGCACTCAATCATGCTGGATTTCCTAATTCAACGACGTTCCACACTGTCAATCGTCAGTGCTCAAGCAGTCTACAAGCAATTACTCACATCTCGCATTCTATCATGGTTGGGCAGATCGACGTGGGCCTTGCTGGAGGTGTCGAGAGCATGTCGAGAAATTATGGCTCACGAGGGGTTCCGACTGATGTTTCCCCAACTCTACAAGCATCACAAGTTAAGGATGCTCGCGACTGTTTGATGCCAATGGGGATCACTTCTGAGAATGTGGCAGAAAGGTATGGCATCGACCGAAAATCGCAAGACGAGTACGCGGTCCGGAGCCACGGCCGTGCAAGCAAAGCTCAAAAGGAGGGACGGTTTGACTGGGAACTTGTGTCTGTGACTGTTCCGCGGGTGGACGAAGCAACAGGGCAGCTTGCCGGATTTGAGGTTACTAAGGACGACGGCATTAGGCATGGGTTGACATACGAGAAGGTTTCCACCTTAAAACCTGTCTTTGGTGAGAATGGAAAGAGCACAGCTGGTAACTCGTAAGTTTCTTCACTTTCGTCTGAATTTTATGACCAACTGAGGTCGTAGATCTCAAATCTCCGATGGGGCTTCAGCTACGATCTTGGCTAGGAGATCATGGGCAGAGGAGCGCGGCCTTAAGCCCCTAGGACGCTTCGTCGGGACCCAAGTGAGAGGCTGCGCACCGGATGAGATGGGTATAGGACCCATCCTCGCCTTTCCAGCGTTGTATAAGTACACAGGAGTGGACCAGAAAGACGTCGATATCATTGAGCTTAACGAAGCCTTTGCCAGCCAGACGCTACAATGTATTCGGGCACTCGGACTCGACGAGGAGAAGGTCAACCCGAATGGAGGTGCTATCGCCCTCGGACATCCTACCGGAGCTACTGGTGCTCGTCAAACTGCAACGCTATTTGGCGAGTTGCGCAGGCAGGACAAGGAGATTGGAATTGTGAGCATGTGCGCGAGTACTGGGCATGGAGTCGCGTCAATGTTCATTCGTGAGTCATAATGAGGGGTTTGGGGGAGAAAATGGCTCAACAGTTGGTGCGTGCGGAACCTCTTTGATCCACGAGTTCTATCCCATCGACTTTGAGTTGAATGAAATGCAAGTCGCGTAGGGAGAGAAATAAAAATCTACAATGTTCACGTTCCTAAGAGTGTACTAAGAGGATCTTTCAACAGTTACCAGTAGTTCGACTTCTCATGAAGGCACAACGCGTCTACGGCCTTGAAAGCGTGTTTGGGGGTCACTTACCCCTAGCCCTTTTAGGTAGACTAGCTGCACGGCCCCGGCTTCGGCACCCTTCTTTTCCCCACACTGCACTCTTCGACATCCACCACATTTACCGGCCTCGTGCCCTCATTTGTATTGCTTGGTGTCCTTCTGGAGTTTCAAATCTTTTGGTCTGTCAGAGCCGTTCCCTATTGTTGTTCATTGCAATTGAGCATTTATTCATGTTCATGCTAAGACATGCCTCCCGGGGCGTGGCCCACAAACTCTCTGCATTTCCACCACGCCGCTCGATAGGAAGCGTGAGTGCAATCGATTCTGCGGTTTTCAGAACTTTGTTTGGAACGGACGAGATCCGTAAAGTCTTCGACGACAAGGCTTATCTAAATCGATGTGTGGACGCAGAGACGGCACTGGCGAGAGCGCAATCGAAATGCAATGTTATTCCCTCACACATCGGCGAGATTGTGACGTCCAAGTCAAATGGCACACAGCTAGATTTCAACAGACTTCGTCAAGAGACTGAAATTGTTGGATATCCCATCCTCCCGCTGGTGCGACAACTATCAGCTTCGTGTGGCGAAGAGGCTGGTCGATATGTGCATTGGGGGGCTACGACACAAGATATCATGGATCTCGCGAGTATTCTTCAAATGAAGCAAGGACTGGAGATCGTCGAGACTACGCTTCGCTCCGTTATCACAAACCTCGAATACCTAGCAAGAAAACATAGAGATACACCAATGGCCGGCCGAACTCATCTCCAGCATGCATTGCCGATCACATTTGGTCACAAGTGTGCGGTGTACCTGTCCGGATTTCAACGCCACTTAGAACGCCTTGAACAGCTCAAGCCCCGTGCACTGATGGTCCAATTTGGAGGTGCAGCTGGTTCCTTGGCTTCTTTGGGGTCTGGAGATGATGGCATCCGCGTTCGCAAAGAAATGGCCAAAGATCTTGGCTTGAGTGATCCCCCGATCACCTGGCATGTTGCACGAGATGGCGTTGCTGAGATCGTGAACTATCTAGCTCTTGTTGGCGGCAGTTTGGGCAAGCTGGCACTTGACATTATTATCATGTCTTCCAACGAGCTCTCTGAAGTATCCGAGCCGTTCGTTCCACATCGAGGAGCTTCTTCGACGATGCCACAGAAGCGGAATCCAATCTCGAGCGAAGTCATTCTAGCTGCTTCGAAAATCCTCAGGTCAAATGCTGGGTTGGTCCTGGATGGTATGGTCTCTGATTTCGAACGTGCTTCCGGCCCATGGCATTTGGAATGGGTTGCTGTCCCAGAGAGCTTCGTTATCGCAGTTGGAGCGCTGAATCAGGCCGAGTTTGCTCTATCTGGTCTTGTTGTGAATCCCAAGCAGATGCTCGACAATCTCTACTCTACGCGAGGACTAATTGTAGCCGAAGCAGTCATGATGGGGCTAGCTCCACATGTAGGACGACAAAAAGCTCACGACATTGTATATGAAGCATGCAAAGAAAGCATTGAGAGCGACACGAGCTTATTGGAAGCTCTGCTGAAGAGGGACGATGTCACCGGGAAGATATCGAATGAGGCACTAAGCTCGCTGTGCGACGCGAAAAACTATCTGGGGTCGTGCGGTCTTATGGTGGACGAAGTTCTCGCCGCGTCGAAATAGTCAGCCTTCCTGTCATCTTTCAGCACCGGAATCTCATTCGGGTATTGCATCAATTTAGGAAGATAGCAAAATTCGGTACTCCACCGTATGCCTCAGAACGTTCGGCGTTGATGTTAGCATCGACAGGGATAGATAAATATACTCGCATGCGTTCATCAACTGCCTCCCACTATCCCGGTTAGCCTTAATCTGCCTTCTCACTTGGGGCCGCGAAGTGTAATGGCGGGACGAATTGACGGGTAAGAGACCCCGCCATTATTGCGTCAAAAACCAGGCCGCCCCACATCATGCGTGATCCACACCACTCAGCTAACGGCAAATCCAAAATTTAGGCCTCCGGGGACGTGGATGGATCAATATAAGGCTGGACGCTTTCAAACATGGTGAAGGCCTCCAAATCTCCAAATCGCATCTCACATCATGCCTGAATTCAAGGAACGCAAGCTCGTCACCGACCCGCAGAAGGCCTTCCACTTCACGGACCTTCAGAGGCTCAAGCCTACTCGCGCCAATGATCCCTACGAATACATGGCAGGTTGGGGAAACCGACACATGTCAGAAGTCATTCCAGGAACACTTCCGGTTGCACAGAACAATCCCCATGAAGTCCGATTTGGTCTCTACACGGAAGGAATCACATATTCCGCATTTGCTGCTCCACGACACTCGAACTTCAGTACTTATATGTACCGTGCCCGGCCAGCTGCTGCACACAGTAAGCTCGATATATCTCCGTTCGTGATAGTTGCTAAGGACATGCAGATGGATACATCGCCGTTGAGTCGAAATCCAATATCGAGAACTGCTTCCTATCTATAAACCCCAAGGTGGATATCCTAGCAGAACAGGCTGAGTGGCACCCATTTCCATTGCCAAAGGATGACGAGAAGGTCGATTTCGCGGATGGCCTACATACCCTCGCCGGGAGTGGGGATCCCAATATTAGAGAGGGCATTGCCCTATATGTCTACATGATCAATTCCAGCATGGAACGGCGCGCATTCTGCAATACGGATGGAGACTTCCTTATATGTGCACAGCTCGGAACTCTCGACATAAAGACAGAAATGGGCAAGATTTTCCTACAGCCTGGGGAAATCTGTGTAATCCAACGAGGAATCCGATTCTGTATGAATTTGGCCCCGGATACCAAAGAAGCGCGAGGCTATATCACTGAAGTGTGGGGTTCCATGTGGGAGCTTCCAGACCTTGGCCCTCTCGGCGGTCACGGCTTGGCCAATCCCCGCGATTTCTTGTACCCGGTTGCAGCCATTGACGAGGATCTGCACGTTGATTGGCAGATCGTGAACAAGAACAACGGCAAGCTCGTCGCCATTCAGCAAGACCACAGTCCTTTCGATCTTGTTGCTTGGCATGGCAATGTCGTTCCTTACAAGTACGATCTCACAAAGTTTTCATCACAGAACAGCACCTCCATCGACCACACCGATCCATCAGTCTTCTGTGTCCTTACGGCAAAATCTCGTGACCCGGTCACACCCCTTGCAGACTTTCTTTGGTTTGGACCCAGATGGGACGTTGCCACCAACACTTTCCGACTCCCGTACTTCCACCGCAACGCTGCCTCTGAGTTCCTAGCTTGTCTCTACGGACAGGGCCTTGGCCGAAGCGACGAATTTCTACCCGGTGGTGGGAGCTTCGAAGGCTGTCACACACCTCATGGTGGCTTCCATGAAGGCTATCAGCATGGTATGAGGATCCATGAGAGCCAGCCTGAAAAAATTCTGACGGGTATGATCGAATCTCGACATCCACAAACCAAAACTAATCATTGCTCCAGATCAGTTGACCGTCATGATTGAATCTAGCCGACTGTTCCTCTGGACCGAATACGCACGTGTTGGATGTGGAACGATAAGCACCCACGGGACCGACTACAAGGTCTGGGAAGCTCTCCCAGTAAGTGGAACCAATGAGCTTCTATCAGCCGATCAATATGTTGCTAACTTGCTTACCTTAGGATCGCTTCTCCACGAATCCCAAGGCCAAAGAACTGCTCGCTCGGGTCAAGGAGGACCAAATTGCGGAGAAGAAGAGGCTTGCCCCTTACTATATCGGTGGCTTCGCACATGGTGCGAACACCAGCATGACCGAGGGTGTGCATTCGAAAGAACTGAAGCCATATCTGAACGGAGCACAGGAAACTAACGGGGCTACCAATGGTGCCAACGGCACCTAGAGCACCAGTTCTCATCTGCATCTTTCCATGAGTTATCAGTAGGGTACTTTTCATTCCATCCTCTGTGCAGTCCGCATTAGCTGCCATCGTTATATATCCAAATCTCACATCAATCAATCAACCAATGTACCATTTTGGATGAACGCGCCGCCTCTGTGTATTTAACGTGGTCCGTGCATAGCTGTTCCTGAATTAAGCGACCCCACATCCTGGATGTGGGGCAGGCTTTTCGCGCATCACAACTTTCTTTGATATAACACTTCAACGATCAATGATGTTTTTGAGGTAGCACAATCATGAAACCATTTTCCAGGCTTTACGTGAGATCGATATTACCACGTGCGCCTTCTTATTACCCGGTGGTCGGATTCGCAGAGCGGAATTTTAAGTTCCAGAATCCGAGGAGAGGCCTGGCTGCTGTCAATGGAGCTGTGAATAAGAAATTGGTGGAAAAGTTGCCATTGGCTGGAATTAGGGTCCTTGATATGACGAGGGTTCTCGCAGGGGTAGGGGCTTTCCTCTTTGCATATCATGCTCCTTCCTCAATGTCACTAACGACGTATAGCCATACTGCACACAGATCCTTGGTGACCTTGGGTACATCGTCCACACACTGGGTTATTCTATTCGTCATTTTAACTTTCCATCAGAGCAGAAATTATAAAGATAGAACATCCAACAAGAGGTGATGATACGAGGTCCTGGGGGCCCCCAGATGCACCATATATCGACGGTGTCGAACGAACATTTCCAGGAGAGAGCGCTTACTATTTGTCCGTATGTTATTAAATTTTCTTACTCCTTCGAATCCTATCTTTTTTTTCTTACGATATCGCCTAACAAGGCTCTTTAGGTAAACCGCAACAAGAAATCTCTAGGTCTATCGTTTAACAACCCAACGGGAATATCAATTCTACACGAACTTGCCCGGAAATGTGATGTAATTGTTGAGAATTATCTACCCGGTAGCCTTTCCAAATATAAATTAGACTACGAGACCCTCAGTCAGATAAATCCATCCTTGATCTACGCATCTGTCACTGGCTATGGGCAGACTGGTCCGTATCGCGACCGCGCTGGATACGATGTCATGGTGGAGGCAGAGATGGGCCTAATGCATATCACTGGAGAAAGAGACGGACCGCCTGTAAAGGTTGGAGTTGCTGTTACCGATCTTACGACAGGGATGTATACGGCAATTGGAGTGCTTGCCGCACTGTACGCGAGAAGAGATACTGGACTCGGACAGTGGATCGATGCGAGTCTGAGTGATTGCCAGGTTGCGAGTCTCGCAAATATTGCGAGTTCCGGACTTGTCAGCGGCAAGAAGGATTCTGGGCGGTGGGGGACTGCTCACGGTAGGCTATCGTCGTTTAGCTAAGCTATGATCTAGCATGCTAGTACAGAGGAATGCCAGCTGACTTTCGTAGCTACTGTGGTCCCGTACCGAGCGTATAAGACAGGGGACACCAATGTTGCTGTCGGTGGCTGCAATGACAGGCTCTACGGTATCTTGTGCGATAAGATTGGGAAGCCGGAGTGGAAGAAAGACCCACGGTTTATCACAAACGCGCTCCGAGTCAAGAACCGAGACACGCTGGACCGAATCATTGAGGACGAGCTGAAGACAAAGACCACGAAAGAGTGGCTCGATATCTTTGAAGGCAGCGGGATGCCATATGCATCAGTGAATGATATTCAAGGAACGCTAAATCACGAGCATGGTATTTTATTTACTCTCATTCACAAGAGTAATAATGCTAATGGACTATAGTGCTGGCCCGTAACATGATCGAACAAGTCAGCCATCCTGCCTGTGGCCCCTTGAAACTCGTCAACCATCCCGTCAAATACTCTCGTATTGAACCCAAGATCCGAAGCCCCCCTCCAATGCTGGGCGAACACACCGACGAAGTCCTGCGAGAGCTTCTCGGCTTCTCCGACACCGAAATACAAGATCTGAAGGATCAGAAGACCGTTGCTTAGACTTAGCGCGCACATTAAAAGAGCTTGGATTACCTACTCTGCGCATTCATCTACCGATAGAGACTTGCATTTCCTGGTGTATAGCATAGCATATGTAGACATCACGTCTTGGCCAAAATCCTGCCATTCATCTATCCATCCAAATCATTCTGTCAACTCCAATGCTCTCACCTTCTCCATCCATCTCCAAGACAATTATCATATCAAACCTACAATATACCCTCATATTCCCTATCTGCATACTATGGCATTGAGAATTGCCTGGCCTCTCCGATCCGCGCTAGCCCCACATAAACCAAGCTCCCCCACACGATCTCCAACACCTCACACCCTGGCACCTCAAATGCCCTCCAGAAATCTAAGTAAAAATTGCAGGGGCCTGCATGATGGAGTTAACGGGGGAAGGTAGTTGTGCGAAGGGAACGGGTGGGGAAGGTGCACGGGATGACAAAATACAAAGCACTGCACGTTCACTGTCGAGAGTAATGAGAGAGTGAAAGTGAGTGAGTCAACAGACAGCTATGACGTCCAGAGAAACGCAAGTGCCCACGGTGGCGAAAGAGGAAAAGGCAAAACCACTGCCGTTTCGGTATCAGTTTGCTGCTGGTGCTGTGGCGGGGATCTCGGAGGTGGGCTTTCGATTCCGTTCCGAACTCGGAATCACAATTCTCATGTTAACTGTTGTATAGATTTTGGTGATGTGAATTTGCCCCCGTTGTCCGCGCCCGACTAGGCTGGGACTAAGATTGTAGCAAGGTACCCTTTAGATGTCGTCAAAACTCGAATACAGCTTCAACATGGGAAATCCATTGATGGACATGGATACTCAGGAGTGTTGGATTGCTTTCGGAAGATCATAAAGAACGAAGGGTAAGCCATCATGTTATTTCTCAAGCCCAGGATTATATCGTAGAGAGATATGCGATTTACAAAATTAAACTATAGGGTAGCACGACTATACCGCGGAATCACCGCCCCAATATTAATGGAGGTTCCTAAAAGAGCCATCAAATTCTCCTCAAACGACACCTTCGCGCCGCTCTACCAACGACTCTTCAACGCCCCTAGCCTCACGCAACCCCTTGCAATCCTGACGGGTGCTAGCGCAGGAGCGACAGAGTCGCTCGTCGTGGTTCCTTTCGAGTTGCTAAAAATCCGACTGCAGGATAAAACTTCTGCCTCCAGGTATTCCGGGCTGCTAGACTGCCTTGTTAAGGTTGTGAGACATGAAGGTCCGCTTGCGTTGTATAATGGCTTTGAGGCAACGCTCTGGAGACATATCGTCTGGAATGCAGGCTATTTTGGCTGTATCTTTCAGGTCCGCGCGCAGTTGCCACAGCCGGAGTCGAGTCAGAATCCGAAGGTGCAGAAGATGGTGAATGATTTAGCGGCAGGGTTTGTAGGCGGTGTGGTAGGTACAACGTTTAATACGCCACTTGATGTGGTGAAGAGTCGGATTCAGAGCGTCGCAAAGGTGGAGGGGGTCAGAGCGAAGTATGAGTGGGCGTGGCCGAGTTTGGCGGTTGTGGCGAGAGAGGAGGGATTCATGGCGCTCTACAAGGGATACGTAGCCAAGATATTAAGGTTTGGACCTGGTGGAGGTGTGCTTTTAGTCGTATATTCCGCGGTTTTGGAGATGTTTGAAAATGTAGTGTAGTGTACTTCATGACTAAACTCAGAGCGTGTGGTACAAAAGAAAAGGCGACCAGGAAAGGAAATTCCAGCTCATGTTGCACAAGATATTCCTTTCTCGTAAGACCAGATTCGTATCTCGTGCTACCAAGTTCGGATGCAGAACCCCGGTGAGAACCGGGTACACTGCCGAATAAGTGAGCTCATGCATAATAGCAGGCTGATGGCTATCAAAAACTGCCCCTTGTGCATGCTATCCGACACTCCGAATTATATCCTATAGCCCGAAGTTATCGTATACTGGATATCACGGACCCGCACTATGCAATGTGATGTTGCAAAGCTTGATCGACGGGCGATACGACCCAGATCTTGAAACGTGCAACCGCATGAAACATTTAAATGAAGCTTAATAACTGATTTCCATCAATTAGAGAATGAACATATCAGCTCCTCTCGTCCTGCATTTCTTCTCGAAGCCGCGTAGAGTGGCAGTCAGCAGACAAGGGCAGCGAGTTTGTGCCCCACCAGTCGCATGCCTCACTAGGTCCCCACATGCTGCGAGAATCCGGAAGCTTAAGATTAGTGTTCACCTGCGAACTCCCGCCTGTCTCCTGCCTGCCGTTGGTCAGCTGGTCTGGGTAGAGCATATCGACATGTCCATGGCTTCTTGAAGGCGCGATGGATGGGGCGTGCTGCTGCAAATTTCTTCAGGCGGCGCGGAAGTGCAGATCTCATCACTGTGGCAGGGCATGCTTGAGAAGGATAAGAAGCTGTTCGTCCGCACGGCCGTGAGAGGATGATATGCAGGCGCCGCAATCAAGAGCGGCTACACCGCAGGTTTATATGGCGTTAATAGATGAAGATTGAATGAAGAGGATGCCCATATCCTGGCCTTATATTGGTCTTAGCCGAGTCATGGGTAGCGTCTTCCCCGCATTCAGTACCCCAGTCGAGGCCTCACACCTCCCACGCTAGATTCGCCCCCCTCCCGGCACTTCGCACTCCATTCACTCTTCAACAAGCCCTGCGCCAACCGACCACGAACCTTGAGGGCATTGCCAGCTCTCCCGGAGCTGCTCTTCGACACCGACACCCCCTATGGCCTTGAAGCAATGCAGCCTGTGCGACCGCAAGTTTACCAAGCTTGAACACGTCAAACGACATGAACGATCCCGTATGCATGCAATTGATCTCCAAATTCTAGACGCCTCAATCTAACCGCATGTTCAGACACGAGGGAGCGCCCGTATGAATGTCCGACGTGCAAGAAGCACTTCTCGCGCAGGTAAGTACCAATTGAAAAGTTCTATGTGCTTGCATCCGACGTGTATGAATAGCGACGTACTTTTTCGACACTGCAAAGGCCACGCTCAAAACGCGCTGAATCGAGTCAGCAATAATCAGCAGCAGAACCAGCAGCAACAACAGCAATTGACCCAGAATTCGTCCGACGACAAGCCAACCCCGCATCCGTCCGCGCCGCAAAACGACGGACAGAACTCCGAACCAACGCCGCAAAGGCAGCAGGACCCAAGCTTGTCACCGTTATCGCGGAGAACAAGTTCGCAGCAAGTTCCTCAAATAAACGGAGAGACCCTCCAGAATTCCAATTCTCCAGCAATCAATGTCCGGCCGTCTCTATCACAGCATACTTCTCCAAACGACAGCCGAATAGAAGCGCTGATCAATGCAGCGCAGCATCTCGAACCCCCGGCAGAAGTAGCTTGGCGGTCTCCATCTCCGATCAACATATCTTCTGATAATGATCGATACATGACCCGAAATCAAGATAGCATGCCTCCTCCAATAGATCCCGCGATTGATATGCTTTCGTTTTCTCCCGCAGGGCACGTCTCGAGCCTAGATCAATGGGCTTTCGAGCTTGTGCAGAGCAACCATCCGCTCCCAAATCGGACGCCGGCCGATGCTCTCCAGACATGGCTCTTCCCTCTGGACAATGATCTTCTCGCCTCGAACAACTCACATCACATGGCAATCGACAGTCATTTTGATCACGACGGGTTTCGCCATCCCGCCGATAGTCAGGCTAGTCCTTCTGGGAGCAGCGCTTCAATAGCAAGTAGAATACCGCGAGAAAGATTCGCAAGAGTCGAAAGTTGTTGGCCATCGAGAAATCGAACTTCGACTCGACTGATGCCCACGTTATGGCAGAAATTAGTATCTTGTGACACCACGAACATTCTGTCCGAAATCCCAGCCGGTGTTGTTGAGACGCCAATTAGCGAACGAGAGAGAAGGAATTCGCGTTGGGGACTGGACGAGGAATGTCGAGATATGCTCCAGGGAGCACTGAACAATGCACCTCAAGTGAACCAAACCCTGCGATCTTCTGAGTCCTATGGGGACACCGCATCCTCAAGTGGCGATGCGGGAGCAAGCCCTGGTGGGGAGGGCATCCAGTTTCCGCCCGCAGAGATTCTTGATATCGCGCTGGAAATGTACCTCTACTACTTCCACCCAACTCTCCCGATAATACATATTCCGACCTTCTCTGCGAAAAACGCGCCCCGGCCGCTCTTACTCTCTATGTGTCTTATTGGACTGAGTATTCTGGGCACAGCTGGAGCATCAAAATTTGTCTCGCGGACATTTGCAGTACGTCTCCACTAAACATGCTGTCTTATACACTAACTTACGACTGTGACAGAGTGTATTGCAGATGGTCTCTTCCGAATTGCAGTCTTTAGCGCCGAATTATCATCGCCCAGAAAAGCAGCTAAGGATCATTGCTACTGCACTCCTGACTCTTAACCTTGCATCTATCACCGGCGTAAGTATCCATACGTAATTCTTCCAGCCAGATACTAACCTTAAACAGCGGAAGAGTCGAATAGCACAGTCGGAGAAGCTATACAACGATCTGATCTCGGTAAGGAATGGGTAAGCCCTTCTCTCAATACATGCGCTGACCGATTCCAGATTGCCCAAAACCACGGGCTTTTCTCCTCGAACGAAAGTCCACTCCCAGATCCCCTGCTAGACGAGATCATGGACATAGATGCGCGATGGAAAGCTTGGAGTAGGATCGAATGTGTGAAACGGTTTGTTAATCACATCGATATTCTTTACAATCATTGACGATGAGCAGAACTATCGTTGGCTTACTCGAGGCCGATTGTTGGTATGCCGCATACCTGTCAGCATCACCGATGATTCGGCCAGAGACCGTGCAGATTCTACCTCCATCTGAATACAATCTATACCATGCAAATTCTGCCACAAAATGGTTCCATCTGATTCAACGTGGCTCTAGAATACACACTCATCGAATAACCCCCTCATACCTCCCAACACCAGGGCTAAAGCTAGAATCGACTAGTTTCCGGAGCCTTCTAACAATGCTTTTACTCCGCATCTACGAGTCCAACGACCGCTTGGCCAATGTCAGTGGACCTCAGAAACAACTCGAGCCGTGGCGTATTTACTCCGAAGATCCTCGAAGTCGCGACCTCATACCTCTCCTAGTCAACCTATCATCCTCATCAATCGACGCCTTGAGGACAGCAGACTTGAATTCGGCAGTTCTCTGGCATGCATCATGTATGATGCTAGGCGCTAACATTCGGTTCTTCGAGCTAGCTGCAGGTCGCTCGGGTGCTGGACCAGCAGTAAACGCATTGGAGGATATCTCTACATGGTCACAAACTCCTTCGGCAAGGCGCTCCGTTCTCCATGCCGCCCACATATTCAAGTTACTTTTTGACCGCAAGGTGTCTGATATCGTCAATCCTCACAGCGTTCTTTCTCTTTTCCAAGCCGCCTTAGTCCTCGGCTTGTACATTTTTACCCTTCCTTCCACTGCACCTAGCTGCGGCATCAATGACAATTGTATCGAACTCCTGGATCTCGTGGATTGGACCTGTATTGGGCATGTCGGCCTCATGGAAACGCCAGCGTCTCCAAGTAATTCGCTAGGCTTTAGCGAAGGAACAGCCGTCAGCTTCATCCGGAATGGTGGTTCATTCAGTATCACCGGCATCGCCATGGAGGGTGGGTACCTTGCAGCAAGAAGGACGCTTTTGCATTGTGCTGACCTAATGGACGGCATGGGTCGCTGGAAGAGTAGGACGTTTTCTCAGATTCTACATATCATGAGCGACGATTTAACAGATGTGGATGTGGCTGATAGTGATGAGTCATGACGGTTGACATCTCCTTCCTTGTACTTGTCAATTTCCGACTTACAGCGGATCTGGGGAAGGAGATAGGGGTCTAGTTAGGATCATATTAGGGGGCCTGGTTTCGAGGACGGTCTCTACCGTTACGGTATGCATGATACGGCGTTTTTATATCCGATATGAGGATTTCCTCTGGTTGGCCAGGTAGCTTGGAGGGATTTTAGGGCTGTCAAAACAGGCTTGGAAGGGACGGCATCTGTCTCTATATATGCTATATGCAGAGTACGACTTTATTGCCGCAACAAAAGCCGCCTTATATGAGCATGACAATGGTTCGAGAAGCCCCTGATTATCACATCTTGTGTAACTCGCAATCTCCACAATACCCTCCACCTTCTGCAGGATTCTGGGCGTGGATCACCTTCGCGTGTGGCATTCCAGCTACCCCATGTGCTCAAATGTGGGGTAAGAAAGGTACCAGGACCACTCAAACACGGCCTGCTAAATTCCTCGTGGTACCTTATTTTAACTCCACCATATTCACAAGGCTTCTCGTCACTCCATCCTCACCTCACCCTTCGCAATCCCAAATACTGGGCAAGTTGCGGTTTTCGAATCCCGTGAGACAGTCCCGAAGCTTCGCCCGCCCCACATGGTTCTCTTCGTGCTCCCACTTGTACTGCTGGCAGCCCTCGTACTCTACTATACCCGCAAGACCTCCCAACGACCACCGAATGGCGCCATCGCCGCACCTGGCCCTAAAGGCCTCCCAGTCGTTGGAAATGCACATCAGCTGTCCTCGCAGCCGCACCGCCAGATCGTCAAATGGGCGCAGGAATTCGGCGAAGTGTACAAGATCCGCCTCGGATGGAACGACTGGTACATGCTGTGTTCGCCGGACGCTGTTAAAGAAGTCCTAGATCGCCAGAGTGCGCATACGAGCTCGCGGGCACCGAGCCCTGTCGCGAGCGATGCGTTGAGCGGCGGGATGCGGTTTTTGTTCATGCCGTATGGACCTGAGTGGAGGAAGTTAAGGAACATTAGTCATAGGTTGTTGACGCCGAATGTAAGCGCGACGTTTAAACCAAGTCAGGAGTGGGAGGGTAAGATGTTGCTTGAGGAAGTTCTGAAGGGGGCAGAGGGAGAGAAGCTTGGGAATGAGAAGAGCTATATGGCGGTCAGGAGGTATACGGTCAGTGTTATTATGACAAGTACGTATGGAAGGAGGATTCCGGAATGGGAATGCGATGAGGTGAGGGAGATCTATGGCATTATGAACGATTTTTCGACGGTTGCAGCGCCAGGCGCTTTTCTGGCTGATACGCTGCCCGTTTTGGGATTGCTGCCCGTGTCCTTGCAGTGGTGGCGCAAGGGGCTTAAGCCGCTATTCGAGAGACAGGCAAATCTCTGGATGAAGCTTTGGGGTGGGTTGAAGACGCAAATGGAAACTGGCCAGGCGCCAGAGTGTTTCGTTAAGCAGGTCATTGAGAGCGGTTATGAGAAGCAAGGTGTCAGCGAACTCCAAGCTGCGTTTCTCGCCGGATCTTTGATCGAAGCTGGATCAGAGACAACGTCTGCTGGCATCAACACCGCGATCCTGTACCTCGCCGCCAACCCCGCAGTCCGACGAAAGGCATACGAGGAGTTATCGCGAGTCGTAGGACCATCACGCTCCCCAACCTTCTCCGACGAACCCAACCTCCCCTACATTCGCGCCATCGTCAAAGAAACAATGCGCATCCGGCCTGTAACTAATATTGGAACCCCTCATTTTACCACCGCTCCAATCATCTACAAGAACATCCACATTCCCGCCAACAGCGTCGTCGCAATCCAGCAATACGCAATCCACTACGACCCATCGCTCTTCCCCGACCCCGAATCCTTCAAGCCGGAGCGCTACCTGTCGTTTCCCGAAAAGGCAGGTTTCTATGCCGCCGGCGGCGCAGACAAACGGGATCATTGGTCTTTTGGCGCTGGCAGACGGATTTGCAGTGGGTTGCATTTGGCTGAAAATAGTATGTTTGTAGTGCTAGCGAAAGTGCTTTGGGCGTTTGATGTCTTACCGCCGTTAGATGCGAGTGGGGGGGAGGAAGAGATGGATGTGAGTGATGAGGCGTTTATGCCAGGCGGGAATACAGTGCCTAAGCCGTATAGGGCGAGGTTTGTCGTTAGGAGTGAGGAGGTGAGGAAGACTATTGAGAGAGAGGCGGAGGAAGCGAGGAGGGTAGGGTATGTTTTGAGGGGCGTGCAGGTTATGGATGAGGGAGGAGATTGAGCTGGCATGAGTGGTGGGTATGTAAAACCCTCAAGCAGTACAGCATGTGATTACATAACCTGAGACATGACCAGATTGGAGTTTATCTGCTTAACTTCTTGCTAGAATCAGGGAGAACATCAAAGGAGCGCAACCCACTGTTCTATACGAACCCCCCTCCGTCAGGTGCTCCGGGAGGGAATTAGAAAGAGCAGTTCCTGACTTGATTTCTGAAACAAAAGGCACTAGTTAAGGAAACTTACGCCTCGGGATCTTTGTTTCCCATTCTGGAAAGGGGGTGAAGTGTTGCCGTAGAAGCAGCGTTTGTTTGCCTCCCATCACAATGAACGGCCCATTGCGTCATCCCTACAACATTGTCGCACCGCTTATGACGCACGCAGGTCCCCGCGTGCGTTTGTTCGAGATTTAGTCCGTGTCCTCGCACGGCGTCTCTTCTGCTCCTCTTCTGCTCCTAACTTCCGCCATCATCGCTCTTTCTCGAAAGTGTTACATACCAACACGCCTCGACTACCCAGGGCTTTGCTTCAATCGCACAGAATATGCCATCCTCTCCCGAGACTCCAGTTTCAGGTCGCGATATCGCTACATCGCAAGACGGATACGACACTTCTCCAGTGCCTACCCCGTCATCAGCTAGGGCTCAGCGCCACGAGTCTTCCCCACCGCCGTTATCCGGCCCCTCCGCACTCGGCCAATCGTTTAATCAACTCTCCCCTCAAGTTCTATTGAGTTCACCAGCACAATGTCAGGCTTCCCGTGACTCCAGCGTGCGAGACAGCTGGGCCGATGAAGAGAACTTGATTAGTGGCCCTGTCACTCCGCCGGCTCATCCAGAACATATCAAAAGCAAGGATCTCACGTGGCTCTACAGGAATGGCCCTGGGAGCGTGAATCTGGTGGAGGAAAAAGCATATGACGAAGAGCCTAGGAAGCTCGAGAATCGGCTAGAGCCGCAATCATATCTGGTGGATATAGCCGATGAGGATTCGAACTCCGAGAATGGAGATGAGACCGAAGATATGAATGATAGTGGCGTCGATTCGCTTTCTAAGGACGAAGGTGCGGATGAGGATGTAACGAATAGCCCGGGAAGTCGGAGTGTTAGCATTCCTGCACGCCGCTTCCTAGATGGTGTGGAAGTTGTATCTCGCAATGGGGAGGATGGTGACTCTGAAGATGAGGTGAGTGCACCATACAGCGCAAACATTGACTCTGCCGCAACACGCTTGCCCACCCTCGATACTCTTATGTCCTACGAAGAAGAAGTCATGCCACGGGAAACAGATATACTCGAAAAGCGCCACCAACAGCTTAAAGAGGAGTTGGCTGCTGATTTGGTTAAGCGAGAGCGGGAAGGGACGGGGAACAAGGCCTTCAATGGCTCTGCCCTCCCAAGGGCCAGAGGTGATGGGAGCTCCCGTTCACAGACTACTTCACAAATTTCGTCATACTCAACCGACTACATTTCCCACCATGAAGTCCCAGCGAATCGGCCCGGCAACGGCAAAAGCATCACAACACCACCCATTTCAACCACGATGGCCCGACCTGACAGCGCATATCGTGCTCACAGCGCCTCGGTTCCACCTTCACCCACGCATATTTGGGGCACAGAGAACGATAACCCATCTACCCCGACTCTAGCAGACGCGCCACTGCCATCCTCAATGGAGAAACAGGGAAACTTCAAAGACGTTGTCCAACCATCTTCTCGAGGCAGGCGTGTCTCCTTCGCACCAAAGTCCATCGCCGAGGACACCCCTTTCACATCAACCCTGAAATACTTCAAGAGTTTCAAGAGTCACCGTCGCAATACGTTAACTCCTGAAGAGCTTGCCGAGCTTGCGCGTGAGACAACTGATACTGCAGACGTTGAGGAGGACCTCGACCAGTATCGTGAGAAGGATCTAGCACCCTTAGACCAGGTCATGGAGACGAACATGGCGGGTGATCTTATCATGGCTAAGACCCCGAGCCCTAAGATCCATAAGATCATGACGGGCGTGTATGAGGAGGAGGTTGGGGCGGAAGGTCAAGCAGATAGCACGCCCAAGATTAAGCCTATCATTTGGTATGCCCTAGATGTGCCGGGGTCTTACGGGGAGAACAGGATCCGGCTTGGATCGAGCTCTCCACCAGAAGATGTTGCCGACTTTATCAAGATGAAGGCGGAGGAGTTTTCAGCGAGCCAGGACGATATTGATCATGCCGTTGCTGTAAGCCATGCCTACTACACACTAACTTTCTATGAACGCGCACTAAATAGTTACAGAAATTCCTCGCTGAACCGGGCTCCTTTATTGTCGACAAGGACGCCGATTTCAAGGATTGGGAACCGCGAGATGTCGAGAACCCGACTTTCGTCAACGTCATTGGAATGCTGCCTAAGGTTATGTTCTGGACGGTTGTGAAGGGCGGAGCGTATGTGGCTGATAAAGCTGTCCGTAAGCTCACTGAGCAATTCGACAGGATGTGGGCGGCCACTGAGTGACAGCCGGGGGGGTCATTAGAAAGGGAGTTGATAGCAAAAAGGCTAAGACTCGGATTGATAACAAAGAGAGTAAGACTCAGAATGTACACTATGGGCACAGAAAGTGTTTATTCCGTTTTCTTAGTGAGTGCCTCTGAATATCTCATATGATTGGATCAAACATTGGGACTTGTTGATCGGTGGCTAGTGAAGTGGTATAAAGTAACGTTATCACTTTCTAAAGAATGCGGTGACATGGATCCACACGTGTCTCTTCGTACCTTCATCTTCCGAACGCTCCATTCGAATGTCGGTTATTGCTGCATATAGCCAGCTTATATTGGTAGGAGCACGTGAGGAATGGGACACTAACACGTAAAGCGCAATACCTCTCGTTTCTGTCCAAAGCCTCACCGTCTAACATGTTATTCCCTATTAAAATATGAGCAAAGTGAACTCAAAAGCAAAGCTGATAGAATAGATATTATAGACTACTAATTAGAGTGTCAAGTTTTAACTTTTATTTTTATTTAAAGCTATACCGAAGCTACAGTCTCTGGGATCAGTCAAAATAATATGTGCAATACACTAAAAGACATGGAGAACTTGTCCCTCTGTAGGGTAAATTGATTGAATGAACCGCTGTCGTCTCAAGACAGAGTTCTACTGTTGCTATATTTCTATTTCCTTGTTTTTATCATTGATTGCTTCCGGCTCGCGGCTGCAGGAAGTCTTCACCGAGTGAACTCCACTGAATGGCTCGGAGACAGCCTTTTTATGCCTTGGAGTACCCTCTTCGGCTCAGAAAAATCGCATCTTATTCTGGCATTCAACGTCAGAATAGGACTAGTAGCTCTAATCCAATGGTATCTCTCGTACGAAGTTGGACCCGAGATGATGCATCTTCTCTACGCGCAACCGTACCTGTTGGTGGATCGCTAGATCGTTGCCATTACTTACCTGCACCATGTCCACCTGAAACGACCAAAGTCCGAGAACGAAGTTTGGATCTATATAGGAGGCAATACCGCCACAGCGGACTGATATTTTAGTGGGGTTGGAAAGTACATGCTCCATAGGGTCATCGAGTTCCATCCTATTCACCATTTTTTCTCGCAAGCAAGATACAACGCTACGCTCAGATAGAGGTACTTTACTCACATTGAATTAGTCGAATGCCATTCTACTATGCGGAGAAAGCAACTAAAGCCATTATTCCGTTACTGGGAGCTTTTGACTCCCCCGGTGAATGGTGGGTTCCATGGTATCTTTCACAATATCAAATTCGAGAGGTAACTTCCCAATCCAGCTTTATCTTACGTGATTCTTGCTGCCTTTTCTGACATACTCCTTTCCTCCTCCAAAGCTACCAAAACAACCATAGAAGTAGACCGTCTAGCAACACATAAGAGACTGAGGACCAAAGCTTAACTCGCCTGGTATGCACTAAAGCGCACATCAATCCTACAAGAGCATAGAGAGGCTTACCTAGTCTCCTACTAGATTGTAGGAGGTGCCGACGGGATGGACTCTCCTGTTTTATACCACCAGTATGCCGATGTGCTACGTACCAAACCTACCCCGATTCCTGCTCTCTCTTCCGACCAGAGATGTGCTCCCCATATGCTAGAGAATGTCGTGCTGGGTGCTCAATTTGAGACAACAGTTCCGCCGGCGAACAAAAGAGACTTCAATACAGTCCTCTCGAAGGTCAGGATGCATACTCTGCTCTTCCTTCTAGAGTGTCACGTGAAGATCATATGTATATATGCCCTTCCTTCCTGTGCTACCGAAAGCGTTTTCTGAATGTGAAAAGCAGGCGAAGGAATAGGACTAGCGCTAACGATGGTCTTAGCTTTGGGAATGTTCGAGGTGAGTGGACTAAAGTAGAGGTAGTGCTAGTAGATTCGAAACAGAAAAATAACATGATAGACTCAGAATGATCCAATTCTTCCTAGTGATCGTGGAGGTACGCTAGACTGGCCAGAGGTGAGGTATTGGGGGTATTGGGGTATGGTGAACCGGATGGCAATATTAAAGATCATGAAGAAGGAGACCTTTTACAGTGTCCTCTTCGTCTTGAGGACTAGGCCAAGTTAGCTTCAAGTCCAGTTATTCACTGCTCTGATTGACTCCATTATAACGCAATTCATACGTAGTATATATTCATTTCCTTACGCTCCTACAATCCCAAATGCTTTTTCTGAGTACCTAAAGTCTTCTTATGGCGTGCAAGTACCGCGATAACTTATTTCCGGCCTTAAAATGTGTGAAGTTTGTGGGAGCACAGAGATATGAGAGATTAGATTGATTGCTAGAGGAGTGCACCTAGAGGTCTATATATATCGTGACATGCATGCGACTATCGTCAGAGCCATGCGTGACTACTGCAAACAAAATGTAACATGTGGTTCTTCACAAGCGAAATTAGGCATAGGTCAGACGCGTTCAGATCCTTAGTGTTGTGTTTAGCTTCCGCAATGCAATACAGATTTAGTCCGGGTTCAAATTGAGGTCCAAGAGGATTCCATAATCTCTTCTTGGAGATTGGGCATGGGTTTTCATTTTCACCTTCAACCTTTCGTTCTCACGTCAGCCGTTCATTCATTCCTACCTACAACCGTACATTCTCGCCTGGAGTCAAACCGCAAGCTCGGAGTGGAAAGAATAGTGTGCAAAGACCCCCTTTTCGGCTTGCTTTCCTTGTTACTATCTGCAGTAGTGTAGCTTTACTAGAACGAGATGTCCATTTCGCTCTTCACTGCCTGAGCAAAATGAACCGTGGTGCGTCCTGGAGTCTGATCACTTCGAGTTCATCACGCACAAGCATAAAGATGACGAGTGAATGGTTCTGTATTAGCCTACATATAGTGACGAGGGAGCTAGCCTCTGGAGTTTACGCTCTCGTGGATAAGGTAAACGGAGCTTTGGCGTGATGTATATTGCGACGCAACTCAACCCACGGGTTTCTGAAAGTGTACTTGAAATGCCCCCGGCTCAATATTTCATACCAATTACTGCTCTCTACCTACCATATCCAACCGCTGTCCTTCCCTTAGCTAATTCCCTAAACGAGAGGAGGATGCCTTGCGATCGACTCCAGTCTCGCCCCTAAAAATCCATTTCCTTCCCCGATTGTCGATTTATTTATGGCGTACCTCTCTCCTCTATATCCGCCAAACGGGGCGTTCTATTAAGCGGTTCTAATGCGCGATATTATTCCTGCAGAGGAAAGCGAGGACAGAAAGCCCTTTCTTAGTCCAATGGTCCTACTCCAGTACGCTCAAGGCAAGAAAAGCGGGTGTGTCCGATTTCATGGGAGGGATGTGGATGTCCCTTTCCCAGCTGGCGGTGGAAAAGTGTGCGCGCATTGCGATCACACGAAACTCATTCTGAGTAGTATCCTTGCGATGCTGTACTCCACCTCCTTAAAACCAGGAGCAGTCAATTGCACACTCGAAACAAACTCAACGGCATCTTCATTCTCGATCAACTACCCTATGTTCCTCCGACGGTTCCTACTTTCAATCTCTGGCCCAGTAATCCTCCGCGTGATGTCTATGCCGACGCTAAGACCCTTCCCCATGACTCTCGTTAGCCTAGCCATTGCGTCGAGCTGGTCAGAGCCTAACATGCCACCAATGTTCATGGCTTACTGCTAGGAATAGCTAACGGATGAGGGAGCACTCGTCGCATAGAGACTTTGGAAGGCTGGGATCATCGTGGATTTCAGCCAATAGGATTGCCTTCCATATGTCTTCCCTCTCCTATTTCTGCGGCCGCCTCAATCGCAGCATGCTTTCCAAATGGGGGATGATGCTGTCACAACACTGTGAACTCACCTGGAAAGTTGGGCAATGTCAATGTTAGGTACAGGCATGGTGAAGAGATATTTGCTGGAGAAGAGCCGAGGGTCCAGCTTAATTTGGAGGAAAACTTGAAGAAACCTCAGAGAGAGATGGTGGCAGTGAAATGTGAAGTACTAGCAGGGCTGAAGGAGAGTGCCATGTTGTGGACAGAAGAGTGAGTTATGAGTTATCCTTTCCGTAGTATCAGAGTAAAATGGGGTATAGATGCTAGATTATGGAATAGGGAATGTTTGACTATGAGAGTCGTGACGTAGCAAAGGCGTCTAACTGCGGAGGTCAGGAGTCGTGGGGAAGGTAAAGCTATTACTAAGCATCTCAATCCCCGCACGAATCACGGGGAGAACGAGGCGTGCTTCGGCATTCCTCAACACCGAGTCCTTACAAGCCACCAGAGCGATGGCTTTGGGCTTTGTCTTGATTGGCATTATAAGACGAGCAACGGAGGACCCTCCATAGTTTTGACGACTAGCATCCAGATGCTCACGCGACGAACAGCACCCCTCCGACTCCTTTCTGTCTTGTCGCTGTTACCAAACGCCCAGCGACGCCCCATGTCTTCGCTCACGCTCAACAAAGACATCTTCAACCCTGCTCTTTACCAGCGCATACGAGATGTTTGGTTTGAGGGCCATTCCGTCAATACTACGATTCCGAAACCTGAAGTGATGCAGAGGTGGTGGATGGCAGGTCCAGAACAGAAAATGATATTCGACGGGCACTGTCGGGATAATTTTGGACAAGCGTTGGAAGCAATTGCGCCTGAGAAGTGGCCAGAGCCAACTGCAGAGCCCTTTGTTCAGGAAGTACACGCGGCCGCGGAAAGAAGTCCCGGGGACGCCAGCGCTGAGGCAGCTTGGACGGCATTGGGCATCATTCTCCTACTAGATCAGATGAGTCGTAACATATATCGGACGAATGAGGGACTTGTGAAGATATACACTCACTACGACAAGATTGCGCAGTCCTTTCTATCGACCGTACTATCGACAGACGGCCCTATCATCCGTCCGGATATGCATCCTATGTGGCGGCATAATCCGTCTTATCGGCTATGGTTCTACATGCCCCTGATGCATTCAGAAAAAATAGAAGACCATCACAAGATGGACGCAATATTGAAAGACATGGTTGTTGATCTCGTCCAAGCAAACCGGCCAGAGGCTGCCGAGTATCTCGAGAAGAGCAAAGGGGCAGAGAAGCACCACAGGGAAATATTGGATAAGTTTGGAAGATACCCACACCGGAATGCATGCCTTGGGAGAGAGGCGACCGAAGAAGAGAAGAAGTTCTTGGCAGATATTGGCAACACATTTGGCGTAGCTCAGAAGTAATCAACGAGATGCCACACCGGCTCTTACTACCGTCTCCATAAGTTTTAGAGCGGAAACTTGGCAGTAATGCCATATCGTTTGCCGTTTAACACTCTGACGCAATTCTGGTCGTAAATACGCCATCCACTAAAGTGTATATATATAAAACGGCTTGCTACTGAAAGCTCCTAAGTCTACCTCTCTTCGAGAATAAGGAAAGTTCTGCAATGAAAACTTCTATGGGACTCGTTTTTTTACAGCATCGATCTTGACAGTTCATTATGACAGCTTTCGTACCCCTCCGATGGCCCCCCACGAACTACGCCTGACCATAACGAGAACTTCCATATAAAAGCCCTGATTATTCAATTCGTCCTCCCCCCCACCGCCTCAATCAATTATCCCCGTCAGCGATGCCTGTGTTACTTGAATTATCGTCGGGGAAGCCATTCTCGAAAGCTTTCTGATGCACGATACTGATCACAAAGTCAGATCCCATACACCGCTCTACTAAGATGACTCCATCTGATGCGTGGCTATGTCTTTATAAAGTCTCCCATAGGCTGGTTTATTCCATCAATCCCTTCACAAAGGTCCAAACACACCGCTATCAATATGAAGATTTCCCTAAACCAGACTTGCTGACCAATCCCGCCATCCGCGATTCGTCCGTCAACAATGTGAAACCATTGCTAGAGCCACAACACCACAACAATTAGCAGAACAGACCATTTTCTCAACAAAAATGAGGATACGTTACATCAAAGAGGGTTCCGATCGTCGTCCGACGAGGACTGGTTGGTCAGGCAGTTTAGGCAGCAACTAAAATAGTCGTGTTTCGCATTCCGATCCAGAAGAAGACATCAATGGACTAGGGGTAGTAGTTAGTATATAAACACGTCTTGGCTAGAGGCGGAGTATATTTCTTCACTGGAGCACCACCATATCAATTGACCAGTCTATCCCAAAATCAAATCTCAATTCCCCTAAACTTAACACTAAACCATATCCACTTTCCCTCTCCCATCTACCACCCCCCATAACCACCACCATGGCCCCCTTCGCAACCCTCCATACAAGCACCAATTTTCTGCACGCGCGGGTCGCCAAAACCCTTGCAGCCGCCAACTTCAACGGCCTTGACCTTGCCGTCGAACCTGGTTTCGAATATGGTGTCACCAACAAAACCCCCTCCTACCTCGCCAAATTCCCCATGGGCAAAATCCCCGCTCTTGAAACCCCCTCCGGCTTCTACCTCGCCGAAGCTACAGCCATGGCGTACTACGTCTCCGAATCTGGACCCTGCAGCGCGCAACTCCTAGGCCGCAGCGTCGAAGACCGTGCCCTGGTGCAGATGTGGATTGCGTTCGCTGACTCGGAGCTCTTCTTCCCGAGTCAGACCATTTTAGCACATGTTTTGGGACGCAAGAAATACGACCCCGAGGCCGGGGATGAGAAGGAAGCGGCGTTTGAGCGGTCGCTGAAGAGGCTAGAATTGCATCTTGCGCAGGAGGGGAAGAAGTGGTTGGTTAGGGATGAGGAGGTGAGTTTGGCGGATTTGAGTGTGGCGAGTTCGTTGTTGTGGCCGTTGAATTGGTTTATGGATCCGGAGTATAGGAAGAATTATCCGAAGACGATGGATTGGTGGGAGAGGTTGATGGCGGTGGAGAGCGTGGGAAAGGCGTTTGGCGCACCAGTGTCCATGTGTGAGGAGAAGGCAAAGATGGATGGGAGTGCGCCTCCAACTTTGGGATAGATGGGTGGGTAAGGCCAGGGAGGGTTCCGGGTGTTGTAAAAGATATCTGTCTGCTCTCTGAGGTAGGATATTTGTAGACAGACCAAATATCAAGTTGCACACTAAGAAGCCAAATGCAGATCACTTTGACAGCAATGGATGGTCCGTCAGTGCTACCTAAAAGAGTAAGTAGAATCCATGATAAAAACATTTCGACTAAAAGGTGTCGACACAGCCATGGGCAGATTTTTAAAGTTGCCTGAACAGGTCGCTGGAAATCTCCTGATGGCAAGTAGAATAAGATGCTTAATTCTAATTAACGTCCCTACGTCACGGGACGCACGGTGTAACGAGACACTTTCACGATCAGACCCCCAGGAGTCTTTCCTTTGCAAACTTATGAAGCTGCACCTGGTGAAGTGCTAATCTCTAGCCATTTTCTAAGCAGTAAATAGATCTCTACGCGCGACAGGTATATATACTATTCTGTATGCAAATCAACTGTTGGTTGATTATTCGCACCTTTTGGTTGTATTGGCGCAGTGGTACAGAGATCCGTCCTTACACTGGTCATCACAGATAGGATAACCCTTTAGTAAATAAAGACTCTACAGTAGCTATATACTAAAGTAAAGGCTTAGAAATCTAAGTAGGCTATCTAGAGCACCTTAGATAGTTATCTTACATAACAATTTTGCTACAACGTTAATAATATTTCAATATAAAAAAGATAATCCCAGCTCCCTGTTTGTATCGCGCTATCGAGAGTTGACTGTATCCTTTTAGGTTATTAATCTACAACCTTCACTAACAGGAATTGCAAACTCTTCAGCGAGTTCTATCCATGCTGAATAGACCTCTTTATGGCCATGCTTACTCGCACAGCTTAATCCCCAGAAGATTGCGGCTTGTTTTTGGACTTGGTCCGAAGATGCGTGACGCAATATCCTGGCATGTTCATTGTATGGTTTTGTTGTCCAATCCCTGAGAAGGGCTTGACAGTGTGGATTGAGTAAACGCATAAGGGGTTTCAACTGCGGGTCCAGACAGTTGTCACGAGCACCGTACTTTAGCAGCATTGGGACTAAGTCGTTATTCACTTTCAACACAGCCCAGAACAACGCCGAGTGTGATGTCGTCGATCCGGTAACATCGGGGTCGGCGTTTCGAGATAGCAGGAGAGAAACAAGGTTCTTCTGGCCAGCCATTACGGCTACTATTAAGACGGGACCGATTGCAGTTGTTTCATCGATGTCGGCGCCATTGTCGAGAATACACTTTACCAGCTCCATGTTGCCGGTGCCAACGGCAACATGAAGTGGCTTTGCTACAAGGTAGCCCGAGCGATCCATTGTCGCTCCGTTGTTTATGAGTAGCTTGACAACGTTCATATGCTGCCTGCTGATAGCCATTGTTAGGGCAGACTGACCCTCCTCGTTTATGGCATCCAAGTTCGCCCCAGCTCGTATGAGCCTTAGAACCTCATCGAAGTCAGCTTTACCGGCTGCCTTCAACAATGCCCGCTCATTTAGCCCCATGTTTGCCTGTGGGAGGTACGCAGCGAATGGGTTTGACTGATTGGGTCCCCTGGTTATGTTTTAGTCAATGGAGTTCTCAAGCATTCTGGTCAGGGACTTGCTTACTGTGAGACGTGGATGCCTCCATAGAAGTTACCAGACAACGATTGCTTTGAGTTGCCGATGTTTATATCTCCTCCTGTCCCTGCTATATTTAACCCGCTAGGAACTCCTGGTGGAATTTGAGGCACAGCTGACATAGCATAAGTGCTTCTTAACGACGTGGTAGGACGAGCTGATTCTGTCTGGCTCCGCTGACCAAGTATCGGTGTCTGTGCGGATAAAGAGGTAGGAATATTCTGGAGTCGAAATTCTTGCTCCTTCGGAATTTGTCGACTGTGTAATGTTGGCTGGTAGGAATCATTGCCGCTGGATTCGCCCAAGGATAGATTTTTGACCATTTCGGCTGGCGCTAACAGTCTGGAGTCTTGCACTGAAGTTGTGTTATCACATGGCAGTCCGCTCACGTAGCTGGTAGAAATTCAGGTTTGCTGCTTACTTTGCGAAGCACCGTTATAAGCAGTTTCTCCATCCTCGGCCTGGAGAGATGGCTGCAAGAAGTCTTCCGGAGATGTACTCGGGATGGCAACCCAGGGTACTGCGTTCTTAGCTAGATCGAACTTTTCATGCAAGATTTTAAGCTCTCCCAGGATCTGGCTTATGTCTCCTTTGATCACAGTGGTATCTCCCTTTATTTCCCTAGTATCGGTCTTGATATCTCTCGTGATACTCCTTCAAGGGGCCAGGAATCAGCGATTTTACCTCAAGAAGTCTAAAAAGTGATAAAACTCACAAAACCATGATTTCGAGGGCTAAATCCAAAGCTGCCCTATGTGCCTCGAGGTTGGACCTTAGCTTCAACATATCGCCCCTTCCATTCACTGACCACCTCACCCCCTTTGTAAATTTCTTTCCGTCTCCATGTTTTTTCAGCTCTCTGCCAATACTATGTATTACAATATCACAATTCTTGAGGATATCAAGCACCTGTTTCTCAAGTGTTGTTGCCATGTGGTTTTCCCCATATTGTTCAACATCGTCGCCAAGTAGCTCAAGAACTGTCTTGAGGGACCCGAGCTCTCGGGAGACGGCGTCTAAGTCGCTGCGGGCATCGCGAACTCTGCGAACAAAGTTGTTGACTGTCAGGGAGACAGTCCCAATGGAACCCACCAAAGCGCAGCAACTAGCACTGATTGATAGAGGATCCATGGACGGAAAGAGGTATGGGATATCGGACGGCTGGATACATGGTTACCTACTTCGACGTGGATTGAAGAATAATGCTTAACAGATAAAAAGCATGGGGCGAAGTGACATTGTGACTCGGCCTGTGCACAACTTCGCCTTTTTTTCAAAAATACGAGGCGTTTTTGAAAGAAAGCGAAGTCGTGCACAGGCCGAGTAGGTTCTAAGAGAGATGATTGCCCAGCTCTAGGAGCTGAACAACCGATAATTTTTCTCCCGATGACCATTCCTAAATAATTGAAAGCCCTTCCGTAATGTTAGAAAGTAAAGGAAAATTCCTGGTTGAAGAGGAGGACAAAGAATTACCCCCTCCATCGATTTGCATTAAAATTTCAGTCTCCATCAGGTCACGATCCAGTTGTATCGATTTTCTGGCTTTCTATAGCGACACAGGTGGCAGGAGAGAATCCCTGGATGATTTGCGATCCAGCGGAGATGGTACAAGAAACTCCGCCTACAGAAGTGAACAAACAGCGCAAATCCCCTCGCGGGGGTCTAGCCTCTTACAGCTTTTCCCCCTTACACCCCTGCCTAGCGTAGCCATGTCGTGCGCTCGAGCCCTCCCAGAGTTGAATTTTCCCGCCCAGGAAACCCCTCTATTAGTTACTTGCTTCGAGTATCGTCTCGGGTATGCTTGCGAATGAATTTTTCTAGCGGTCCCTGGTAGCGATAGCAGGGGTCGATTACTTTTATCTAGCGAATCCCTGTGCGTCGCGCACTAGAGATTGCTAAGCAAGACACTTGTCCAGTCGTCATCAGGGCCGCAAGGAATACCAATAGTGTATCCACGGTGACCTCTCTATAGCTGATTTAGCCGCTTACTTAGGACTTTAGCGGCGAGGCAGTCTGTGCGGTTAGTCGCTTTACATATCTACCTATGTCTATATGTGAAGCTATGTGAAGCACCAGAGGCATGAGGAACTGGATTGATTGCTAAAGGAGGGTAACTACGGGTTTATATAGTACTAGGTGAACCCGTCATGTGACTTAAGGCCAGCAATAGCTCTAGGCCGCAGCATGTGGCGTAGCTAGGCAGCAGTGGGTCAAAGGAGTGTTGGTGGCTAGCGCATGGAGAGCTCCGTAACTGCAAACACTATAGCTACCCTCTATTGTGTATATCTACTCTACTGCATGTAAATACAATCCAATTTTAATGCTAGGAGAGTACTGTAAGGACGGAGCTCTGTACCACTGCGCCAATACAACTAAAAGGTGCGAATAATCAACCAACAGTTGATCTGCGTACAAAGTAGTATATATACCTGTCGCGCGTAAGGACTGTAGTGCAAACCGCTTCAGGCCTTGCAGCGTATTATCATCCTTTATAAGGACTAGCGGCCTGACAAGTACATCCAGAGTGGTGGAGGCTTTTAGCAATTGTGCTTGTAGGGCAGTGACAATAGTGTTGTTGTTTACCATTCCTGTCTAAACATTAATATAAATGTCAAGAGAAATAGAGGCAAGAGCGAACTCATAACTTTGATTTAGACTAAATGAATGTATTCCCGAGACCATTCGACATAATTGCGAACAAGAACGAAGTCCCTACCATCGCCGTCAAATTCTGGGCCAAATCCTTATTACAGCACAAAAAGGAAACAGTGGATTGTAAAACACTAACAGAGAACCTTAAAATCTTAAATCTTTATAAAAGTCTAAGCTCCATCCTAGTCTAACAAACAACGCCCATAGTGCCCTCCTCCTTCTCCCTCATCAATGCCACTTCCTCCGCCCTCTTAAATTTCACCTTCTCTCCCTTCTTCTGATCTCCCAACACAGCGCCCACAAACGGAATCGAGTTCCCATTCAAAGCTTCATAATAAATCATGATCCCTGCCGCCGTACGGTTATCCGCAACAAGCAACTTCCATGACTTGCCCTTGGCATTCTGGACCACGATCTAATACTTAAGTCCTACATTGGCGTCCTCTTTACCTGACGGCTCTGGCACAACCCAGGCCTGTATCGAGCGCACGAGACAAGAAAATCGATGGAACATCTGTATTAATGGGGTTGTAGTACGGCGACCACGCACGTCGGTGATGATACACTAGCAGAAGCGGATATCATTTGCTAAGCTCGGTTAATGTTTATAATATGGTCAACACGCTTTGTATCCAACAACTCACAACGCTGTGGCCATAGCGGGTAGGCCATCCTCCACTCTCCCTGCTTATGTGAGGATATCTAGTGCAAAATCGCCTTCGCCGTGTTGTACCATTCATAGGCGTCCTTACGCAGGAAATGGTGACTTGGCAGGAAATTCTGCTTTCTCCTGCTCCTCCCAAGCCGCTGAGATGCCCGTGTTCACTGCCTTAGTATAAGCCACAATAGAAGCCTAAGCCGTTACATTTCTCAATACAGAAGAAACAAAGGACATCCGTATTAGTTGAGGGCTCTAACGCTGATGTTAAAATAAAAGGTTCTGATGCCTTACTACTAGTGCGATCTACAGACAAACTTTTGCCAATAATCCGAAAAGATCAGCCGACGACCTAAAGAAGATTGAACTATAACTAAATAGGTGTTGCTAGTCCGCCGTAAATCTTGTGGACTAGATCTTGAGGCAAGGACCAGACTCGCAAGCATTAGAAGTATTAGTATAAGTATGCTCACGAGTCTTAGTAGACTTGGCCTAGTCTGCCCAAGAATGATATTGACCTCACTTCTTCGCTGCTTGTAAAGAAGCGCCATCACTTTATGGCCGCTTCCCGTATTCTGTAAGGCAGCTGTAACTACCTCCCTTGTAATCTTAACCTCGCGTCCTCGCTGCTTTAGAAGAAGCGCCATTACTTCTCTTCCACTAATTTTATTCCCCGCTGCAGCTTTGACTACCTCTTCTGTAATCATAACTTCGTCTCCTCGCTTCTCCAGAAGAAGCGCCATTACTTCTCTTCCACTAATTATATTCTCTGCTGCAGCTTTAATCACCTCCTCCGTGACCTTGATTTCACCTCCTCGTTGCTTAATGAGAAGCGCCATCATGTCTTCCCCACTCTCCATATTTCCTGCTGCGGCTTTAACTACCTCCTCTGTAACCCTGACTTCTCCTCCTCGCTGCTCCAGAAGCTTCATCATAGATGTTGTGCTAAAAAATCTTGCCAGCCCCGTAACAAGTCCATCAGTGATCTTAACTTCGCTTCCTCGCTGCTTAAGAAGAAGCGTCATTACTCCTCTTTCACTAGAAATATCCTCTGTAACCTCGACTTCGCCTTCTTGCTGCTTAAGAGGAAGGGGCGTCGTCACTTCACTTGGGCACCTTATATTCTCGGCCGCGGCTTTGACCACCTCTTCTCCTCGTTGCTCAAGAAGAAACGCCATCACTTTATCTCCGCTTACTGTATTCTTTGAGACGGCTTTAACCACCGCTTTTGTGATCTTAACTTCCCCTCCTTTATGCTTAAGAAGAAGCTCTATCACTTCTTTCCCACTCCTTATATTCACTATTGCGGCTTTGACCACGTCCTCTGTAACCCTAACCTCGCCTCCTCGGTCCTTAAGAAAAGCGGCTACGTCCTCATGATGTGATCCCGCAAGATGGAAGAGAGATATTGTGTTTAAAGAAGTGAAATTGCGTAAGAGTTCTGAGATTTTATGACAAGTAAAGTTGGAGTGGCCGAATAAGAATGAAATGGCGTCGTGAACAACCTGCTTAGCGGTCTTCGTATAATCTGCACGCAGAATATCGGTGTCATGCGCGTCTGATGATATGCCGAGCAGCGCATATATCATATCCCGTTCGTCGCTTGCTTTGCTTCCCTTGAACTTTAGCAAGAGTGTGTAAAGATCTCGCTTCTGGCTCCACCAAGAACCTTTCCTTGACAGGCCCGGCATTATGTCCAAGACGGCTTGACAATGAGATTCTGGTGCCATGCCTATTAGCGATGGGGCAAGTGCAAAGAAGCTTGCCGGAATAGATTTAGTACCACAACAAACCTCAGCCCTTTTTGAGTTGGCGACTTCTTGCAAAATCCATACCCTCTTGAACCAAGGCCGCCCCAAAAGCAACTCCATACCTCTACGCTGTTGCGCCATTAGACCCGAGTGCTGTCTACTTAATCCGAGCTGTATTGATGACCATTGGGTCGCCCAGTGCTCGTCCGAGGGGTTCCAGTCCTTATATGGATATATAGCAACCTCCTTCTGCAGTTCATTTAGAGAGTCCATAAGGATATTTGTCTCGCGTGTCGGTAGGCCCAACCAGAAGATAACCCCATCAGCTTGAGAATATATTTTTCCCATTTGTTGAACCTGGTGTCCTCGTTCACTCGTATTAGCTTGATCAATGCAGATTGCATCTACCCAAAGTATCCGGTCCGTATGTTGCGAACGGAGATTATAAAGTGCCCGATACAAATTTTTAGTTATGCCGAGACTTCTCCCGTTAATCCTTATATGCTCATATATTGCCTTGTCACCCCATGTATACGACAAAGCCTCGTAGGGAATCGTGCTATCGCCGTGGAGCCAGGCTTGAAAGAGCTCGCACTCAATGGTAGGCTCTGCGCTTTTAAAAAGGCGGAGTAACCGAAACGCAGGCCCCTTAAGGCCGATCGGTTCGTATTTGAAAGAATCCATTCGTGTCATAGCAAAGCAGACAGGGGGCAAATTCACGTATTCTGGCAAGGTGCAGGTGGATAACTCGCCGGAGGAATTATCAAGAGCAACGCAAAAAAGTGCAGCTATCTCGACGGGAGGAGAGGGCTATAATATATATGTGGAGTGTAAGAATGTTGTTGCAAACCCCGCGCTGAAGAGCTGAAGGGAGAAAGTAGCTGTCAGGCAACTGTGGGCAGCGCAGGGCGGGAATAAACACATGGCCGCCGTAGACACTTTTAGAAACCCATTGCTATGCACCACAGCTATTTTGGCGGCTGGTCTACGGTAGGTATAGGGTTAATTTCAGCGCAATAGCATCCAGCGACATCTGAGCACGGTAATGCAAGCTATGGCATGCTAAGTGACTCTTGAGCATCCCGCCACGCTGGTACGCTTTTCGCGATCTTCTCTTCGAACTGGCGAAACTCTCGGACTACATCCTTTTTATCTTAAAGCAGCCTTTCAAGCTCAGAGATACAATCTTCCCTGATCGTGCTTTCTCTTAGGCCCACCGACTTCTAGGGAGATCCTCGAAATCGAGAATAGACAGGGGGGTATCGCTGAAGGGTCAATTGACAGCGTTGACGAAACAATCGACAGCATAACTAACATCGCGACCGGCCTCGTCAGAGACTGGTCTCTTAAAGGAAAAATAGCTATAGAATCGTGGCGCATTAACCATAGCTTCGTACACTTGCGAGGGAGAGACTCCGAAGGTCCAAAGCGTGAACCTGTCCCGCAACACCGTGCATCCGGCAACGCAGGGACGAACGTTACTTGAGATGTGCTTGTGGAAATCTTTAAGCTTTGCCAGCCTTCAAAACAGACCTCCCTACATTGGGGTAGCTAATAAGAGCAACAACACCACGGAAATTCACGACTAGTGTTAGCATACTTTCCACATGTTCGAAGAAGGTTACTCCAATTTTTGTGTTTGTAGTCTCCAGTTCGACTTTGGGAAGTTACTATGGAATAAATTTCATGAGAAATAGAGGCAAAAGCGAACTCATAACTTCGATTTAGACTAAATGAATGTATTCTCGAGACCATTCCACATAAAATCGCGAACAAGAACGAAGTCCCTACCATCGCCGTCAAATTCTGGGCCAAATCCTTATTACAGCACGAAAAGGAAACCCCGGAACGTAAAACCCCCGCAGAGAACCTCAAAATCTTAGATCTAAAAGCCCAAGTTCCATCCCAGTCTAACAAACGACGCCCATAGTGCCCTCCTCCTTCTCCCTTATCGATGCCATGTCCTCGAGCCCCTCCACCCTCTCAAATTTCACCCTCTCTCCCTTCTTCCGATCTCCCAACACAGCGCCCACAAACGGAATCGAGTTCCCATTCAAAGCTTCATAATAAATCATGATCCCTGCCGCCGTACGGTTATCCGCAATAAGCAGCTTCCACGACTTGCCCTTGGCATTCTGGACCACGATCCAATACTTAAGTCCCGCATTGGCGTCCTCTTTACCTGACGGCTCTGGCACAACCCCTGTATCAAGCGCACGAGACAAGAAAATCGATGGAACATCCGTATTAACGGGGTCGTAGTACGGCGACCGCGCACGTCGGTGATGATACACTGGCGGAAGCGGATATCCAAATTCATCGACATCTACGTCCACCTCTCTTTCTCCTCGCCTGCCGATAAACGTATCCTCAACTCCATGCACAAACAACCACGACCATTTTTTGACATCACGGTCGGTGAACGGGAAGGTGGCAAGGTAAACGCTAGAGCGGGCTGGGAATGGGAGATCGGCGATGCCGTCGAAGTTCGAGACTTTTCCAAGGAGGGCTGTGGATGAAGAAATCATGGTTGAGCGAGCGGGACTGCGGGAGCGGTAGCGGATGGGAGAGCGGGAGTAGATTCGGATGGGGGGGTCACGGCGGCGGCGTGTGCGACCCGAGCGGGGAATATATTCGTCTTCGGCGGCAGAGTCGTTGGTGTCGTTGCGTTTGATGGTGGGGCGTGCGCCACAGGTGCAGTCGGAGTCCTTCTTCTCGGTGGCAGTGGTAGTGGTATCGTTGGGAGTGGGTTTAGTGTTGATGGTGAGATCGATTTTGGGCTCAGAGGCTCCGGCTTGGGGAGCTTGAGTTGGGGTGGCGTCGGAGTGGTTCATAATGATGGTCCACTGGTCGATTGGGGAGTTGGGGGTCATATACGAAGACTTGGAAAGTGAAGAAATACTCCAGAAAACGCAGAAGGCTTTGAAAAGTACTGGGTGGTTGATTGGAGATTGACAGACTGATGGAGAAAAGTGGACGAAAATGGACTTGCTATATACCGAGTCTTCTTCTGAGAACCTCCGAGTATCTCACCGCCGTCGGCCCCCAGTACTGCCTGGGAAGCTGAAGTTGGTTCAGGTGAGATAGCTTCGCAGTGACGAATTATACTTCAGCGATAGATGCGGGGTTAGAGATGCCTGAGCAGCTGAACGCGGTGTGGAATTAGCTTGCAGATGTGGCGCAGTGTTGCCTGACGTTGCCTTGGACTTGCAGGGATACCCTGCTTAGCGAGGTGTCTGTGAATGAGGCGGTGCTAAGGTAGCGAGCTCCGGGGTTAACAGCAATGAATTGAGGTTGCACTTCTTGAAAACAAAATCTCAAACCTGTGTATGCCAATGAAACAATCCCCTTCCTTTTCAAACCACGACCGTCTCCCCGACATCACACAACCCAACCTCCGACCCCCACACCAATCCCTCCTTCTCCGCCGCACTCTTCCACCTCTCCGGCGGCTCGGTAACCGGCTCAAAATGCTCACTTAAGCTCCCCCTAAATGTCCCATAGTGCATCCCAATACTCTTCTTACTCCGCACGTTCTTATGTATAGAAATTGAGTCCTCCGGGCTTGAGTGCACTCCGGACATGAAAGCACGAGGTTGGTAGCAGCCGATGGGCAGGAGAGCGAGATCGAAAGGCCCATGGAGAGTCCCGATTTCGCTAAAGGCGGGACAGGGAGGGTGGGGCGCGGAGTGGTGGGAGGGGAGGTCGTCGGAGGGGACGTGGCAGTAGCCTGTATCGCCTGGGAGGTGTTAACAACATTCACCACACCATTATCCATGCCAGAAAAATGTATGGACACAGGGGTTGGGGGGCTTACCTGCGAAAAAAAGAGACTTCCCAGCCCTAGAAGATGGCGTGAGAGTCTCCTTCACAACCCAACTACACCAGAGCGTCCTCTGGAAATTCCACGGCGCTCTCCCCGACCGATGTTGCGCAGGAGTACACACAAGTTCCACACTTTCTAGGCCTTCTTTTTCAACCTTAACTCCATCCCACCAATCCAATTCCACAACCTGCTCATCTTTTATCCCTATTTCCAAACCCAACAGCACAGCTTTAACCCCCAACCCACAAAAAAAACTCAAATCCCCCTTCTGCTTCGCATTCAACTTCTTCAATGTATCCGAATCAAGATGATCATAATGGTCATGACTGATACACACAGCATCAACATTGGGTAGCTCATCAACCGTACACGGCGGAGGCGTAAATCGTATTGGGCCGATCATACCATACGGCCCGACTCTCTCGCTCCATACAGGGTCCAGTAATATCCTCATCCCCCTTTCCTTCCCTTCAGCTTTTGTGGCCTCGACGAGGAAGCTCGCATGGCCGATCCATGTCGCTTTCAACCCATTCTCTGCAGATTCTTCCCCGAAATTCAGTGTCCGGATCGCGGGAAGGCCGACCCTGTCCTGGGGCACGGGAGCGTAGTTTTTCGGACTGAACCACCGTGTTTTAATGACCTGGGATACATTTGTGTGGTTGTAGGAGGGCCAGGGGTTGACAAAGGATGTTGGTGGTGTGCCGACGTGGTGGGGTGGGGGGGTAGGGTAGTTTAGAGGGCAACGGGTGGGGAGAGGCGTTATGGTGGATAAGGGAGGCATTGTTGCTTCCGGAATGTGCGTGAGGGTATTGTGGAGGTGGGGGGGAACGCCATTGCGATGGGGAATAATGGTAGATGTAGTAGAAGCAGAAGACGATGGGCAACGGAGATAGAGTTTAAGAGAAGCAGAGGGACTGCAAGTTCGGGATGACGGACAAATTGTCAACCCGGCTTGCCGTTGGTCGTCTTGGTCCACGCTGGCAAACGCGATTGGTGGAGGGCGACATTTGGCGTCGAGATCGGAATCCAATGGTTCCTCCACGCACGGCTTCACTGGATCTCCACCACCAGTGGACAGGCATGATGGTCTCAAGTCCCCAATGTCTGGGCCATCTTATCTAATTCTGTTAATAGTGCTAAAATTCAAAGACCAAGGACATTTTTTTATTCCATTTCGTTTTCAATTCATTCATCACACATTACCATTCCCTCTTCCCCAAACTTCTTCTCTCAATATGGTACCCTAGGGGTCCGCTCGGACCCCTTCGTCCTCTCATAATAACGAATCGCCCCCTCGACCTTCGCACAATTTGTCTGACTCCCCGTCGCATTAACCGGCACCGTCTTCCCATCTTGCGGCCGACCATATGCCTATACAACAGTCGTTAGCACATCTTCGCTTCAAACCCCTTTCCCAGATGGTGTCCAACATACATAATCATAGTACCAAACCTCACTCAGTACCGTAAACCCGCTATCTACCCCACCCCTCCCCTCCTCTGTATTATTCCATCTCTGTCCCGTACACCCCACATACGGCACTGCTCCATGCCTCCTCCCCAGCACCCCCGCAATCTCCTTATAACTATACGTCGTCGTATTACTTGGCACAATCCCCTCCTTCCTCAACCACTTATACGTTGGGACTTTCTTATACCACTGCACCGCAGTTTCAAAGAAATCCACCACCTCGGAATGCTGAACGTATTTCGGACCATAGCATGCGGTGTTGAAAGTTGAGAAGCAGGTGGCATGTTTACTAAACTCATGACCCCAGAACCCAGAGTTTTCTTGGTTTTGCGCGATCCAGTACGTGTTCATATAATCCAGCAAATCATACCTCCCAAACCCCTTCACGAACGTCCCGATATCCGGCCCTGTATACGGGGGCACCTTCGTTCCATTCCTCGTACCGTCAGTAGTATTCGGCGAGGGAATGGGATCGTATTGTCGGGATAGGTCGCAGTACTGCGTAAAACTCCCGTTGCAAAAATCAGGCCACAGACCGTGCAGTGTCCAGGAGTTTTGGGGGAGAAGCTGACCCGAGGACTCGCGGTTGGTGTAGGTAGACCAGAATTGTGTGGACAGAAGGAGGCCACCAAAGGTTTCAGTGCAGCAGGAGTCGACGATGGAGGGGTTTTGCGGGGGACAGGAGAGGAGAGAGGGTTCTGGGCCAGGGAGTTAGGGGGATGGGGTGGGGCTCGGTTGGATAGGGTCGGGTTGAATGGGGTTGGATTGCATGGGAGGGAGAAAAGGGGGAAAGCAGGAGGAAGGTGGGAGACGTACGAAGTAGACAGGTATGATTTACAGGACTCTGCCCTGGATATAATTGTGCCACAGCTCCTCCCACCATCCCTAGCCCCACTGCTGCAGTCTTTAAATCTTTCAGCCACATTGTATCACTTTGCCACAAAAACCAAAAAGCCCACACAGACGCTCAACCAAAGAGAGTCAGTGCTAATTGAATTTACCTACAGGACATCTTCCTACTTTAAATGTCCCTCATCATACTGTCCGGTATAGCTCCTTCCCGCATACGGCAGGTCCGCAACTCAAGACCCGGGTTGGCGGCGAACAGCGAACTGTTCCTGCAGGATAACTAGGATGGCGATCTTTACCCCGTGCTGCGTTCATTGGATCAGAACCCCGATAAGATACGATCCTAATTCCATGTTACTCTCCTGCCAAATGTCTGACCTTGCACCGTGCCTAAATGATGCGATTCGGAGCCCCCGAGAGACACGATTGTGGCAATTCAAGTTTACGAACCCTAGAGAGATGACATGCTGTTTATTCGTGATACGTTTGACCTGGCAGAAGTGCATCCAAGCCCCTTCATTGATATGCATACATGTATGCATGCAATGACAAACCTAAACACCACCGCGAATTTTCCATACACAATCCATGCTAACTTCCGCACTCCGCGTGCCCCAGCAGCAACTATCGCCAACATTTTCCTCGCCCCTGCCATTCAGAATCTCTCGCTCCCTCTCCCTGACCTTTTCCAACAGCCAGTCGTTATACCCTTCATTATTTATATTCGCATTTCTCTGTACTTCTACCTCCATCTCAAAACTCAAACTCTCCTCGAAATTTCTCCACATCTAGACCCGGGCCCACCATATCTGCAAGATCCCTCCTTCCCATCTGCCCAAATACTCTCCTTAGTGTATCGTACAAATTCGTGCTCTGGTTTTGCTGGATCATGTTATCGAGCTGGCTATCTGACACGCCATCGCCCACCACTTCTCGCGCGCGCTCTTTGCCTTCCCGCTCAACGACTTTGTGCATCGCCAGAGCGCCGAGAAGGTGTTGCGCAGCTTCCGTAAAACATCCAATATTAATGCACGACACGCCAAGGTTGTAACGTGCGCGGACGAAGTTGGGTCGGAGGGACAGAGCACGGGAGTACGCGTCGATGGCTTCTTCACTCCTTCCTGAATTCGCAAGGGTGGCGCCGAGGCGGTTCCAGAGTAGATGGACTTGCGATGATGAGTTTGTGGTTCCTGATTCGGTCGAGGCGAGGGCGGCTCCAAAGCAGTCGACGGCCTTGTCGTATTCTTCCACGCCGTAGAAGAGTACACCTAGACCCACTTGCACATCCGGATCCATCTGTTCACCCGAAGGCGACAACTGTGCAGCCTCGATGAAGAGATTCGTGACCTTCTCGTGGAGGAGGTGTCGGTCCGTGAAGCCCATGTCAGCGTCCGAGGATAAAGGTTCTTTGATCAATGTCGGATACTTCGTAGCTAGCCATCGCTCTAATGTGCGGTATGCTGTGCTCTCATATCCTTCGTTTGTGTATGATACCGCGAGACCCATTAAGGCATCGATATTCGAAGGATCATACTTTAATGCCTGCTCAAGGGCGCGGATCGCAGGTGTCTCTTTCTCGTTTTGAGCTTGCGCTTCTCCCAGCTTCACCCAAGCTGCAACGTGCTGTGGATCTTTCTGAACAGCAGCCTCAAACGCAAGCGCCGCAAGCGAGAGGTTCCCGCCTTCTTCCATTATTTTGATGCCTTCCTCGAATGGATTGACCATGTCTTGTAAGGGATTATTCTGCTCGAAAAGATAGTCGCTAAACGGGGGATCGCGAGCGGAATGCGTGTTCAGCCCATCGAAGCCCTCCCACTGATCCATGTCGCCCATGTGCATGCCGTCGACGAAGTTCTCCTCGTTGGCAAGTTGTCTAGCGTGCTCAGTCTCAGCTTGGATGCCCCTCCAAATGGACTCGAAATCGCCGAAATCAGGAGCGTCTAGATCTACTGACCTGTCCATTTCATTCAGCTCCGCCTCTATATGCGCATTCGCTTCCCTATCTAGAGCATCGAGATCCTGCTGTTGATCTGACTTTTCGAGTTGTGCGAACTGTGCCTCCCAGTCTTGATCGTCGAGCTCAACCATGCGGCCTTTGCCCTTGCCAGAGTCTTGCATGGGCTGCTGGAAGTTTTGTGGAGCATATGGCTGCTGCATCATGCCCATGCCGCCCATGCCGATTCCATTCATTCCCATGCCAAAGCCCATCGGCCGCTGGTACCCCATCATCGACGGCGGAGAACTGACTGTCGGGCTCGCTGTCCGGGCGGTCGGGTTCATCTGCTGGTATTTTGCAAACTCGGCGGGATTGAAGCCTGCGGGTCTCTCCTGCAGCCCCGGGCCCATGGCTGCTGGTGCCTCCATTCCTGGGTCAAACTCTGCTGCCCAGCCTGGGGATCCGCTGTGCTGTGCCCGCTCCAGTTCTCTCCGCATGTGCTCCATCGCGAAGGGCGATGCTGGACCATGTGCCTGGGGGAGCTGGGCAGGCTGCTGCATGAATTCGTTCATCATCTAGAAGCCTCATCGTCAGCCTGGCCATTGCTGAATAAGGTCTTCATCCCTCAGCCTTCGAAGCTGTCCAAAAGCGCAACAACGTCCCTCTGCGCCTAAGATAACTTACCCCGTCCGACCCTCCACCCATCTGCTGACTCCTCATACCCTCCTGCACACCCCCAGGCCCCCTCCCAACCAGACGGTCCCTCTGCAATGACTTATCGTCCTGGACATGTTTTGTGAACTGTGAGAGTGGGTTGCCCGCGGTCGAGCACTCCGCGCCTCCGAGAAACGACATCGTCGAAATCCAAAATCGAGAAAAGAAACAGTCGATGAAGCTCAACCTATGTCTGGGAGGAGCTCCAGGGTTGCTATAGAGTATACAAGAAAGCCGTAGAGGGCTGTGGCTATGTATTGATCAGCAAATGCTTGAAAGACGTGGGGCTCGGTTTCGCTGCCGCACGCCGAGGTCCAAATCCACAAGTGGGAACCGGCGACCGTGCACGAAAACAGAGCAGTGAATGAGCGCAAAGAGCCTCGTCTTCGGATAATAACAACACATCAAGCCATGTCTTGGGCCTTTTCGGTAGACGCCATTCACAGCGATGCACATTTCCCACATCTCCACAGTCCTCAACAGTGAGGCGTACATAGAAAGGATAGAGCAAGTGGTGGAAGGTCAATTGTAAATTCATTCCAACTCACGTTCACCTTTTCATCTATACGCCAAAGAGAGGGGTTAGTCAAACGCCATGACGCTCCTCTAATATTATACACATCGCCCAATTTATCAAAACAGCAGGGAAACGGTAATCGAGAAGATCGCAGTATGCGACAGGAAGAGGAAGTCCTTCGCTTCATGACAGAAATTGACCATCCACACTATTATGCTTGCCAATCCACATGTCTATCCTTTTCACATTCTCACTCCACTTAGAACTGCTCAGGCCTGTTGCTTGACCTGTCGTCTCTGTCGCCTCTGCCACCTCTGTCAGTCCTCTCTTGCCTCGGCTCCCTTTGCTGTTGTGTTCCCGACTTGCTGAAATCAACGCGAAGCTGTCTCCCGTAGATGACCTTCGTCTTTAACACCTCCCTTGCCCTCGTAGCGCTGGCGACGTCAATGAAGTCGGCGTGAGCGAAGCCCCGTGGCTGGCCGGTCCTCCTGTCAATTGCAACACGGACGTCCATGACATTGCGAATATCGCGGAACAGGTCGTTGAGATCCTTGTCTGACATTTCAAACGACATGTTTCCAATGAAGAGAGTCTTGGCGGGAGGGTTCGCCGGGAATTCACCAAACGTCTTCTTGGCAGATTTGGGTCGGTGGAATTGCACGACGAGGTTTCGGCCTTCGAAGACCTGCATGTCGAGATTTTCGACAGCGGCCTGAGCATCGGAAATGTTCTCATACTCAACGTAGGCGAAGCTGGATGATGCGGTTAGCGGAAAGACATCATCACTTGCGAGGGAAAGTCATACCCTCGACTCATTCCCCTGTTGTCGTAAACAACCTTGACACTATCAATGGCACCGAAACGGGAGAAAACGCGCTTCAGTTGGTCCTCGGTGACCTCGTAGTACAAGTTGCCAACGTAGATGGTCTTATTAGGGGTCGCATTGTGACCCTTGAATCCTCTGCCCTCGGTACCTTGAGAGGCGGCTGCCTCTAGAGCATCGACACCAACTGTGGCGGATTCATTTGTTGACTCTGCTTGGGGAGCTTCCGGAGCGGGTGCCACAGATTCCTCGACGGGCGCTTCGGCGGCGGTTTGCGCAAAACTCTCGGAAGATGCTTCTGATGCAGCCTCTGCCTTTGCTTCCTCGCTCTCTGTTTTTGCGACCTCGTCGCTTGCGAATCTCCGTTGGAAGACCGATACGTTCCATTGCTGTTGTCTTGATCGGAAAGCAACAGGCGCACGTGTATTGATTGAACGTGGCTTCACGAAGATAGCCTTCGAGGGACTCGCCGATAGAGCACGAGCTGCTGTGCGGCGGAGGAGAAACCTGGGGTAGGAAATGTGAGCGTCGCATAACAGGTCAATTGATTCATTGCGGGCTTACATGGCGAGAGATAGAGGGAGGGTTGACAGGGAAATAGAGGAATACTCGATGTAGAAGAAACGCAGGTCAGAGATTATTCACGGTTGAGGAAATCTTCTGCCCGCAAAGCACGCTTGTCGACTTCGGTTAGCCTAGTCACGGGACTTGCATGGATCATGTCGCCCCTGAAGAGAACATCACTTGCCCAACATTCTCAGAGTAACAAGATTTATGTTTTTGATAGTGCTAGTATGGTAATTTCCCCGTTGCCCTATATTAAACCTATAGCTATACTCACAAACACCAACATTGTTGTTGTCGCTCTACGGTGTATGTACATTTGGACCTCCGCGCACCTCATGACGACAAAAGTGTTGCCAATTGATCTTCCTTGAGTGGCCTCCGTGCCTAAACCTTCTACTATGAAGTCCTCGTTGGCTTTTAAAGAATGCTTGACAAGAAGATTACTCTTAGATGCGGATAGTGTTACCATAACTCAAGATGTTTTGGGTTCCATATTCCCGATAAGTAGTGCGAACCGCCTCTCGTTGCCCTTGAAATGTGGATGGTGACCTCGAAATTGATCCCCTATAGGAACCACTATCTTGACGAATGGCTTACGTTCTTCTTGGCCACTGAAGTCCAAGCCACATTAGCGTCTTAGATCAAGAGCTTCCTCGAAACTCAACTCAAAAGCAGGGACTTGAATCTGCCCTTAGAATAGAGTCCTGGGAACTCCGGAGGACTGCCGTGCCAAACTTTGATGTCCATCTCTTGCTACATAGCCACGCAATCGGAGGATGCAGGCGTTTCAGACACCCCGCCATTGTGGCCGCAAGGGCCTCCAAAATCGAGGACATGGCGAAAAAATTGGCTTAATGTAGTGACAAGATGTAGAACCCAGCCTGTAAGTGCAGACAATTTAGCGCCGAGTACAAAGTAAGCCTGGCACGGCTGCAAAGGAAGGGTATGAGTGCATGCGTCAAATATCTCTTTTGTTCCATCGGACCCAAACAAAGCGGTAGTACAATAGGGCTGGCCGATCCAATCCCCCACACACATCCCAGCAAGGAATCAGCCTAAACGGAACTTGCCCAGCTTCTCAGCCCCACGAAGAAAGTCCGGAGTCTTCTAAGTCCTCGCTACGGCTTTCTCCTTTCGTGCTACCTGGGGCTAGAACGGGAAGCCGACTACGGCCCGAAAAGCAGGGCGTGAAAACAAGTCTGGTTGTCCAAATTCAGCATATTACATCTGAGCTAAGACACTGTAAGGGTCCATGCCACAGACGACGTCTTGATAAACTTTGGGGAAGAAGGCCGGAGGGGTAAGCAGGGCTGACTCTGTGACAGATCCCCCCACGCCGCGCAGTTATTTTCGTGGCCTCGGCGGAATACGAGGGTGCACAGCCTAACTAGAGATGAATCTCGCAAAGCCGACAAACCCTTAGTCTGTAGTCTTAACAGATGTCCGAAGGAAAAGTGATGTTAAATGGAGAAGCTATGGTGCACCGAATGGCTGGATGTGATTCACGATTTCTAGGCGGGGAAGCATCCGATTCGTCCGTTTCGCTTGAACAGATTCGCGAAGACTTGAGTGGGGTTTCCCCGGGACGACACGCGTGGGGGATGACAGCAACACAGGAACGGGGCTTGCATTTGATGATGCTGGCGGCGTCGACGTTGAATTTCTCTGATTAAATATCTGAAGTCGTGGGGTCGAAGTGTTTTTGTCTCCCACGCCTGCTCCAAATTGGTTCATGTGCAGTATCAGTTCATTTCTCAATGGATGGGCGTCTTCAGAAGTAATTGGAAGGTAATCCTGAAACATGCGTGCATGCTCTTCGTAAATACCCGTTGGTAAGGTGCTTCGATTGGAGATTCCACAGAGACCATCAGCTACAAATTAGGTGAACGGCCTATCGACTGAGTAACGTTAGGGTCCCCGGTTAGCGAACGATAAAGTCGCTAATGAAAAAGAAACACAGTAGGGACTTACTGCTAGAGTCCCCAAAACGATCGGGGAGTTCTCCACTTGCTCGGGGGAACGGAGAGACTCGGAACAGTTCCAGTGTTGGGTTGCTTTCTCGGCCGGCGGACCAAGCTTGTCCCACTCAGCAAGGCTGCAGTACCTCCAGTCTAAGGTCGCGTGGGGGCTTTCCAATCCAAGAATGGGGACTCCTGAGCCCTAATAGTCATTAGCAGTGGAGTCTTCATGGAGCCGATCGATGACTGGAGCAGCGGGGCAACGACGCGGGGGGTTGGAGACAAGTCACAAGTCTGGACACTATTTAAAGGGTCTCAACTCTCCGCACTCTAGTTCCGTTAGACGAGCTCTTACTACCTGCAAACTTAACAATCGGAATACTTTGGGCTTCTCTGAAATCCCTATTTTTCAGCTAGCATAGCCTCGCCGCATGTAAAAGAGATCACCAGCTGGGGTGATCCCAGCGGAATCTCAACACAACGTTGTAAGCCGCCAGTGTTGACCCTTCGAATTGCAAGCGACTAACCCATCTGAAGGTTCTTCTAGATCGTCAAACCGAAGCGTCGAGGTGCAGTATGGTTGCGGTTCTTCTCAAAACGAGACAAGCTAGGAGGATGAAGAATCAGGGAACTGGGTCGACGACGTCTGGTAATCGTCAGAATGAAAGATTCGATGTAAGTAATCCTCAATCTTCGATCGCCAAATAACCCAACGTTGACGGATTTGTTGTGATAGGAATCAGTTAGAGGTGGTACGGCTAAGGCTGAAGAATCAGAGCTAGTCGGAGGGCCTGTTCAACCACCTCGAGGGGAGGTGCAGTCGTACACTTTGCTGCAATGGCTCGAGCAGTCTAGTGACGAGGACCATTTTCATGACCTCCGATTTCATGCGAACATGTAGTGGTGGCTAGGGAAGATTTCCGAGTATTTGACTGTAAGCTCTTGTCTTCACGTAGTCTAAGTCTAGATGAATCGAAAAAGGTGCTTTGAAGACGACGGAGTTTTTGGCTTCGGCAACCGTGTGGAGATCTCAAGGCAAGGTGACCAAGAAGCGCTCCTCTCTGAGAAGAGTAGACCTGAATAAACTGCGTAAGTCAACTTTGATCGGAGAAAATCAAAGACTGGTAATTGGAGTGTTGCTGCCCATGCTATAGGATAAACTTTAACGTGTTCCCATGACTGACTCCCCAGCCGAAGTACAAGTGTTACATCAGAAAAGTCCTTCCGACAGACTTGACAGATTTAGGCACCATTGTGGCACTCAAGTGATTGCTGTGAAATCTTTACGAAACGTTGAAGAAATCTTCCGTCTAAAGACAAACGACAGAATCTGATATTGGTATCTTTAGCAGTTAGTACCATATAGCCAGAGTCGCCTCAACACTGCTCGGGTGGCATGATTTCCCATGATCAAGGTCCGACGCACACATGGGAGCTAAGTAAACACCACAAAGACTATGACAAATGGGCGGTACTTACCGGTGAGATAGTATACAGGTTGACCGGTCTCAACGCCCCGGTCGCGCGATACATGGTAGAAGGTATACGAGCGGGTTTGCCAAGGGAGAGACAAGGTAGTTAGGCAGGAGGCGATCAGGGCATTTCGATATCTGATTATGAAACGTCCAATGAAAAGACTGCCTGCCGCTGAAATTAGATTGAGATCCATATTACCCCAGATGCATCCCTACTGGCTGACTGACCCGGTGAACTGATATTTGCAGGGATGAAGGAGGTGTCTCTGCTTGATACTCTCCTCAAGCGTCCTGTGCCTTGTCGGGAACAGGTTTTTGGCGTAGTGCTCGCAACTTTGCGTAAGTAATGGCCTTACACATTATCTTGAAGACCCGGTTACGTCTGGGGTATTGGTCTCGATTATCCCCGGAATTGCTGACCACCAAGGTGGTTGAACCCGGAGAGTGCATATCCAAAGTTCGTCCCAAGCCCTTTACAAACACTATACGAATCCCGATTCGAAATATGAGGAGTGGCATGGGAGGGCCAATCGTCATATGTGGGAATGTCATTGGAGTGACCAAAGGATGTTATGGGATCTGACACTCTATATGCAAAGGATGAACGAGGTCATACGTCTGCACCAGCTGCGCTGCAATAAAACCGACGGGATCCGATCCAATGTGTTGCGCATGAGTTGCCCGCCATAGCACCTACCTACCTTCAGGACCATTTCTTGGTCAATGCCCATATGCAGAGATAAGCTGAGGGTGGCATTCACAGACTCGGTGTTCTCGAAACCCTCATCGGTGTGATTAAGATCTTACGCTGTAATATGCCTCCCGTATAACGAGTGGTTTGTGCAATTCTTCCATGACCCTTCTAGAAGTATAATCTTGAAAGCTTAGAGTCGCTGTCCAATCGAGAACTGCAGGCCTCGTGGGTGTGTTTCACAAATCTTTAGCGTCTAGAAAGTTGAGCTTGTTGTCCTTTCCGCATAAAACACCCTTGCGTGCTCGTCGCTATGGTGATGTCTTGGTAACGCTCGCCAGCACCACTCGAAAAGTGAGAAAAGAAACTCTGGTTTCCTTGGAAGTATGGAAATCGGGGACGACGGGTCTAGTCTGCCACCCTAACTGACTAACTGATCGGGTGATTGGACCCCGGTGGCCCCCAACCGATCCATCCCTCGGACTTCGACCAGCACTGAGACTGTGATCAGAAGAAGGGTCTTTTGCGAGCGAGTAAAACCACTGCTCCTCCAATTGAAGACGGCAATACTCTTCGGAAGATAAAATCATCCGAAAAGAATTAGGGGGGTGGTTTGAAACAGGGATACCCTTCTGAGGATCTCAACCACATTATTCACCTTAAAGACTGATTACGGCAAGGCGGCTGCTGTTAGTAAGCTGGTAGAAGCGTCTGACCCGTGCGGAAAAGATAACCCAACCTATATCGATCGGAGCAAGCCCCTGTTGTCTCAGCCCCAGACCGCAAAACATAGTATTTTTAAATGCCGTCTCATTCGCCCAGTCTACACATGCGGTCCGCTCTTGCATATGCTCCGGCAGGGAGATATTCTCTATCCGTTTGGAAGATCGTGGCTGGACAAATGCCGGGCTGTACAGTTGCACATAACCTTGTTCTAGCATCGGAGTGTAGCGATCTTGGCCAAACATGGGAACAGCCCAGTTGAACGTCCGAGAGTTTGATCGGAAACAGCTGCATCGCACCATTGCCCAATGCCGGGATACCAACAGCTCGTAAACCTCATAGCCAGTTGAGGAATACCAAGTAAATGGATCCACGACGCTCGCTGAGACAATCATTTAAGTCGCGCCCCCCTAGAGCATGGGAGTTGTTGAAGACACCAACCATCCATCGCTTCAAATAGTGGACAGGCAGGCAGTCTTTTTTGAAAGTAAGTCAATCTCTCCTTCATCTTGATTTCTATCTCTTGACTTTATCTTCTTCAATTAGACCCCTTGCCCTTAGCGTCGCGAACCATCACCTAGGTCATTCCGCCATGCCGCACGCCGTCGAAGCACCCCGAAGTAGCGATTTAGGAGTTAGCCGCGATATCCATAACTCAAGAAACCTTTCTGTGAGTAGATTTATTTCCAAGACGTCTTGTTACTCCAGCTCTTGCAACATTGACTAAGTCCGAATTCTTCAGATCGGGACTACATTTCAAGATACTCACGACTCCGATCAGGGATCCACAACCGAACCTAGTGCAGCACATTCGCCAGCACTGAAGCGTTGGCTCGACGAAAAGGCTGAGGAGGAGTTCTACCACGGGCAAAAGTTTAGAGATGAGCAGTTGGAACACAACGAGGGAGAGAAGGAGAGAGCATCAGGCGGTGGGCACAACTCAAAAGACGGTAACTGAGAAGGGTCTCGAACGGAAAGAATTTTCTCTCCAGACAGCAATGGTTTAATATAGATATCCATTTCTTTCATTGCTTCATAGACCTCATATAGAAATAGACGACAAATGGCCGGCTGGCAGAAAGGACGTAAAAGAGGGACAAAAGCTCTGCTATACTAAAATTCCATCGTGACGTAACACAGGTCGATGGGAAAATTGAGAAAGAATGGTGTTTAAACGGAGGAATGATGATTGAAGCTGGATCAGGCGTTGGGCAGCAGCCTCAGACGCGGAAAGGTTAGTGCATCACGTGACTCGCGCGCGGCTCCGATAAAAAAGTTTGGAGCCTCGGCAGACTCCCGCAGGCTGCGCCGACGCTTTGCGGCAATCATATCCTGGCATCTCTCCGCTCTGCCAAAACTCCATCATCTCTGCGACACAATCCCTTATGTTTTCTTTGCTTGGGAGTGGATTCACTCGCACATATCCCGGTACTTAAGCTTCAATGGCTCGTGTACAGCTCGGTGTTATCTCATAGTGCTTGACAACTCTCGTTTCCTTTTTCGGGGTCCAACCGTCTGGTGAAACGACGACATCGTTCTCAAGAGACAAATCGCAAACTTCAGTTCCAGCGGCCCATCCACCCTACGATGCGAAGACATGGACTCCAGTGACCATTTCACGGAGAATTCCCTACGAAATGAATACTTTCATCGAGAGAGGAAAGCCCCTTCCTCGTTAGCCTCCAGAATTGCCTCCTCTGCCTCTGGTCTAGCTAGGAATGCTGTAGGTAGTTCCAGCGCCCACGACCTCCCGACGACGCTCTCTTCTGGGTCGGGTGTTAGAAGCAAGCTGCCAAATGGCCCATCTTCGAGTTCCCACTCCCACTGGCTCGAAAATCTGCCTGTCCGTTCAGGACGATTCGGTACCTTGCAGCCAAGCTCTTCCCATTCCAGTTTCCGCTCAAGTCCCACTCAAGAAACTCGAAACCACGATTTTGAAGAGTTTCTGAGCCCGTCACAAGCAACGTTTGACTCTGGTGGAGAAGTACTGCCACACGACCCCTGGACGCACCAACTCAGCCAAGATGCTTCAAACAACTGGACTTTCTCAGGTTTACCAGCTAGCCAGCATTCTCTCCAACCAATCCAGAGCTGTGACGATGGCACTGAAGTTCGACTTCTTCTATCTGATCCAAGGTACAGCCTGGAAACAGACACAAGAGACATTGAAATGATAGACGACGACATGGAAGAAACCTCCCGTGGCCTGTTCGAAGTGGAGTTCTCTGCAGAGGAACAACGCAGCGTGATGCATATCAAGTCCGTGCTTCCACCAGCGCCTGAACATCGACCAATATCAACAGACAATCCATTGTCACTAAATCCACACTGGACACAAGTGGATCACTACCAGGAGCCCTCAGCGTCCGACTGGGTCGATGTACTGAACGGTTACATAGACAATGTTTGGGGTCCTAACAGCCATGCTGCGGTCCAGCTGAAGAAGCTAAGACATGAAGATCTTGAGGATGGTATCGCCAAATGGAGCAATCGTCAGTTGGATGGCCAGGCACTTTCTCGATTGAAAATGGTCTTGGGTCACATGGTAGAGAAGACACAAATAAGAAGCACCATTCAAGAAGCTCAGTCTTCGTCACAAACTTCATTCGATACGGCTGTCCGGCAAGAAGTGGGCGCTACGTGGTCGACTACTCCGTCCTTCGCCTTGCCCCAAACTTCTTTTCAGCCGCTATCGAAAGACCATGTCACCAAACTTGCAGCTCAAAGCGCCGTCTACCAAGAGGTCATGCGGACAAATGAGCAGCAACAAACTCACAGACCCCAACACCAGCCCTTGAGGAGAGACAGTCCAATGGCAGAGCAAGGTATGGACGAAGAGTTGTCGAGGCCAGAGTTTCATTGCCCATGGATTCGTTGCCACCAGGTGAGTCCCCCTGGGTGCTTCTATGACTCCCTCATGCCAATGCCCTTATGATAGCGCTTCACAAACGCCATAGAGCTTCATCAGCACACGACCGCACACGCACAGTACTCCTGTCCTCATGAGGATTGCACTTCTCAGTTCCAGAGCCACCAAGAATGGGCGGACCACATCACAGGTCCACATCATGACCTGCTCGAGTTCAGCATCCGGGCCCCAATCGCTGCCGAGGGATAAACTCTGTCTCCTGCAGCCTCATGGGTCAAGCGATGCGGATCCGCGTCCCTCCCCCACATGTGGGGTAGAGGACAGAATTTAGAGGGTAATTGGCCTCCTCGCCTTTACTTCTATTTTTGGATTTATTGGAGTCGTTCGCTATTATGCATATGGAATGGAATTCATTGGCTCATGAGGCGTTTTGAAGAGGATCATCAGGCAGTTCAGGCACCAGCTGGCCTATTCATGGCCTAAAACGGCTTCTAGATAGGGACATCTCCATAGTCTTCGCCGGGAACACTATTGCATCCATGCAAGAGATGCCAATTTGTAACTTGCTCATTGACAATGCAAAGTCTCCCTTTATCCGTACCGAAACGGAGTGTGAACCGAGGGCAAATCGCATCGCGGAGGAGGGGCTAGATTCGGTGGACAGCAACATGCACTTCCTTTTCTCTTCAACCTCCTTCGCAAGCGAACTATTGCAATGATTGACTTTCTACGAGACCATGGGTGGTATCTTGCATGGGCAATCACCATGGGTGGCACGGGACGATGTGATACAGCCACATCGTCACATGCGGCAGCGCCACGACCGCGTTCCCAACATCCTTGCTGTAGAGCTGGCTGTAGCAGCTGCTACCATCGCACCACGACGCCATGATGAAAGGTGAATTCAAGCACCCGCCCGTGCCCAATTCTTCTCAGTACGTACTGACTGGTGCGTTTGCGTCCAGGTTCGCATTCCACGGCGCCAGACGCCTCTCCGGACCTGGTGGCCGCCCACGTCGACGACCAGCAAATGCCCTCGTCAGAGGACGAAGATGACCTGAGCCCCGAGTCCTCTGACCCTGAAGCAGCTGGTGAAATGGCACAAGCAAACAATGGTGCAACTGCAGCCGTGAGAACAAGCGCCGGTGCGAGTCTGGAAGGGGACGACAATGGGCCGTCCAACGAAGCACAGGGTGGTGGACTGCTCCCGCGCGACAAGCAGCGACGGACTGCGTTCTACGACTACGCATCCGAGAAGCAGATGAGCCACTCTGAAGCAAAGCAATTCTACCAGCGCCACCAATTGGAGAGTCAGTACGGCGGATCCCAGGCGGGCGATGGGTATAGTCCAGTCATCCGCGCAAAGACGTTCCCTGCCAACTTTGGCGGCGGCGACGGTGTCGACTTCCTCAGCAGGGCTGACAGCATTCGTTCGCGGAGGAGCAACGCCAGCCTCGCGAACCAGACCTACAGGCTAACGCTCCCCGTCGGATTGTCACAGGCAGACCAGTCACAAGAGCCGCGCGGGCACATGACTGGGTTTGCGGCAAACGACCAGGTACAAGACCACGCTGATGTATTGCTGCTGCAGGCCGACCAGCAAGCGAGAGAACCCTCAATGCACCCTGGTCTCCCCCACGAACAGAAGCCTCCACTACTGGCAGGTGAGGGCATCCACGGTGCGGGTGCAGGAGTTGGAGTGGGTTCCGGAGCAGGAGGTTTCGCCATGTCTGACTCTAGCGTCACTGCCGAACTTAGTGCCATCTATACGAACGTTCAGAAGGTGCTCGACCTTCGTCACAAATATATTCGCTTGTCTTTGCAGGGAACTTTTGATAATCCCAAAGATGAACCTGGTTGGAGAATCTACCCACCCCACCCAGAACCAGTGTGGGATGATTTCAAGGGGCGTCAAAATGCGTCGAGCAGTATGCAGAATAGTGCCGTGCTTGAGCCTTCAGAGCCGTTGAAGCCACCGAGGAAGATGGGCCATGACATTGGAGAAGACTTTACCATGGACGACCTGCTTCCACTTCCGGGAGCCTCAGAGATGTCTTTCCGATTGGACGACAGCGGCGTATTTCAAGTCTATGAGACGACGAAGTCAGCCGAGCTAGACACCCCGATTGTGGCTATCCCCACATTGCGCGAATTCTACATGGATCTAGATGCCATTCTCGACGTATCGTCAGACGGACCTAGCAAGAGCTTTGCATTCCGACGGCTGCAGTATCTTGAAGGCAAATTCAATCTGTACTATCTTTTGAATGAATATCAAGAAATAGCAGACAGCAAGAAGGTGCCGCATAGAGACTTTTACAATGTCCGAAAAGTCGATACTCATGTCCACCACTCGGCTTGTATGAACCAGAAACATCTACTCCGGTTTATTAAATCGAAGATGAAGAGGTCGCCCGATGAGGTCGTGCTGTACAGAGATGGCAAACACCTTACCCTGAAGGAGGTGTTTGAATCTATCAACCTGACTGCTTACGATCTGAGCATTGACACACTCGATATGCATGCAAGTATGACACGCTCTTTTTCTGGTATCTTCTGCTGACGAGGTTAGGCTCATACCGACTCTTTCCATCGCTTTGACAAATTCAACCTAAAGTACAACCCAATCGGAGAATCCCGACTTCGAACAATATTCCTTAAAACGGACAACTTCATTCGCGGTCGCTACCTCGCGGAGATCACAAAGGAAGTCATATCTGACCTCGAGTCTAGCAAGTACCAATTCGTCGAATGGCGAATCTCCATCTACGGTCGGGAGTTGGAGGAGTGGGATAAGCTGGCCGCTTGGGTGGTCGATAACAAACTATTCTCGCCCAATGTACGATGGCTCGTTCAGATTCCACGATTATTTGACGTGTACAAGGCCACCGGCTTGATGGAAAATTTCGACCAAGTTCTTGTAAACGTCTTCAGGCCTCTATTTGAAGTCACTAGGGATCCGGAAAGTCACCCAAAGCTGCACATATTCTTGCAGAGAGTTATTGGGTTTGATAGTGTCGATGATGAGAGCAAGGTTGAAAGGCGGCTTTACAAGAAATTCCCGGTCCCGAGGGAATGGAATACGGCTCAAAATCCACCTTACAGCTATTGGATGTACTATCTCTTCGCAAACATTGCATCTTTAAACGTCTGGCGGAAGCAAAGAGGCTTCAATACGTTCTTGCTTCGACCGCATTGCGGTGAAGCTGGTGACACAGATCACTTGGCAGCAGCAGTGCTCTGCGCTCATAGCATCAGTCACGGTCTTCTTCTTCGGAAGGTTCCGTTACTACAGTACATCTTCTATCTTGAGCAGATTGGTGTGGCAATGTCTCCGCTTAGCAACAATGCCCTTTTTCTCGCATATGAACGCAACCCCTTCCTAAGCTACTTCCGGCGCGGTCTCAATGTATCTTTGTCTACCGATGATCCTCTTCAGTTCGCCTTTACCAAGGAGCCCTTAATCGAAGAATACTCTGTCGCGGCACAGATCTACAAGCTTAGTGCGGTGGATATGTGCGAGCTAGCTAAGCACTCGGTCGAGCAGAGCGGTTTCGAACACGTTATCAAACAGCGCTGGCTTGGTTCCAATTATCCCCTCCCAGGTGTAGCCGGCAACGATATGGCCAAATCGAACGTCCCCAGCATCCGCGAAGCATTCAGACACGAGACCCTGACTCAAGAGTTTGCAATGTAAGCCCAGACTCCATTCCCTCCCTCCCACTCTCAATTACTCCTTCCTAACCAAATTTCCTAACACCAGGATCGACCGCTACACACGCGCCTCCCAAACCAGCAGTAACACGCTCACAACCTCTAACCTCTCGGGCCCTCACCCCATCCCATCCCAAACGCCCAGATCCTCACATGCCACATACCCAGGCTCCCCAGTCGCCTCTCTCCACACCAACCCCTCAACTGTCCACCTCCCCGAACAAGCACAACAGTTTTCTACTCTCCCACCAGGCGCTATCCCCGGCCCGCACTCCCAACCCTATACAATTCAGCAAGCGCGTCTCAACCCCTCGGCGTCAGCGCAAGACCTCACACAGCAACCACAGCCACCCAACTCCCCCACCCGCAACCGCGATAGTTATGGACAGAAAGATGTCGAATTCTCTCGCCCCCATCGCACCTCCAGCATGATCCTCAACAACCCTGGTTCTTCCGCACCCCCGCCGCCACAACCGCTCGGCGCCGGACTCTCACAGACGTCGTCTCAGCAGCAATACCAGCAGCAATCCAACTTCTCACCGTTACAAAACGGCAAGTCCGCAGACGAACCGCAAACGTCTTTGACGCGTACGTCGTCGGCGGCGGGACTTACGCTCGAGGGTATTGAGCCAAGGATTTTTCCTGGCGTTGTGAGTAGGAGGAGAAGTAGTTTGAGGAGTAGTGCTGTTGAGGATGGGGAGATGGGGACAGGGCAGGAGGGAGGGAGGGAGGTAGCTGTGGGGAAGGAGAGGGAGAAGGATCGGAGCGGACATTCTGGATTCATGAGAGATGGCGGGAGGAATGAGGTTGTTGTTGAAGGGGGGAGTGAGAGTGATGACGAGGAGTCAGTAAAGTGAAGTAACGTGGTTCAGAGATATTTGGGAGTCCTGGAATTTAAGATGGTGAGGCGTACATAGACTAGATTGATATAAGACGGCAAACACGTGAACACAGGGTGATTGGGGAATGCAACTTAAGTTTTAGATAACATGGATGGTTGGGATTTTCAGAACGCCTGCCTCATCTTGCGAGTGTATTCCAGTCCCTATCGCTAATCCGACTAGAAGAAAAAAGCCAACTACCCTGTCCAAGACTATCCTATCCTATCGTACACCGCCCAATGCGGCCGTCTGTCTAACAAAAGAGATGGGTTTGGAAGGGTTTGATTCGAACGATTGATCGATATAACCAAGGAAAAGGGGAAGTGTAACGCAACCCCACCTCACACTCCACGCTTTTACAATCCCACGTACCCTACTTGAGCGATCCCAACCGATCAGCAAAGACAGATTTGTGTCTCTGTGTTTATGGATGTAGAACGCCCCTCGCCTCTGTCTCTCCAAACCATCATCCCCAACCACAACTTCAACCAAGCACGCTACTTCTCCACCTCCATCTTCATCCCCATCCCACTGACTTCCATACCCAAGTTGTCGTCTACTTTGCAAAATGCAAATCATACGCCAACCACTTCCTCGCCTGCACTTGCTCAACCGTCAACCCCGGCTTCCCATACGTCAATGGGGCAAAGAACATAAAGCACCAGAAAACCGCGCTGAGAACCACAATCGTCGCAATCCAGCTACCCAACAGACTCTGCGTCGCCACTCTTTCACGTACAGGGCGGGATTGCGTCCTACGGTGGCCTTTGGTATGAGATTGGGTGTGGGACTGGGGATTTGAGGCTGAGGAAGTGGATGGGGGTGGGGCAGGGGATTCCGGGTCCACGGGCTCGATGTTGAAGATAAACTCGATAAGTGCGCCTGTGACAAGGGCGGAGGCGAGGTGAGCGGGGAGATAATGGTGCAAGAAGAGTTGGCGGCCCATGATATAGAAGGGGATGTAGTGGGCGGCCCAGGTAAGGAAGAAAAAGCCGGTGGAGTTGTATAGGCGGGCCCGAGTACCTAAATCGGACAGGTGGGTTAGAATTTGGTGTTTAATACTGTTGATGGCTGGTAGAGAAAGGGTAGGGTTTGAGTGATGTCAGAAATGGAAAAAGAGGGACGACTTACGATCATCAAGGGCATCCATGCCGCGCCGAAGCGCCAGCTGATCCGCACCGATGATACCAGCAAATACAGCGAGAAGCGATGAAGCAAGCCACCAGCCAACGGGGTTACCAAGAAAGTAGATTTGCTCTCGGGTGTCATTATTGGTCCAGAAAGAGACACCGCGAAGCAGGAATGGCCAGGAAATGGGGAAGGAAGCATAAGGATGCGAGCTGGTTAGAGCGTTGTTGTGGAAGAACATGGCGCGCTGAAGTTCGAAGTATTTTTTCAAGAATGGGACGTGCTTGATCTTGCGTGGTTCCTTCTTGTTGCGCTCGCTGTCGGCAGGGAGAGATGGGATGTCGTCGACGTACCAGATGTTGCTAGTTTGCTGGACATTCTTGTTACCGTTGATCTCAGCCTGCTTGTAGGCCCAGTCGGGGAGCGGGGTGGTATGAGTCCACATAGCGACTTTGGTTGGAACATGGACTAGTTTGAAGTGGGAGGACATAGTTTTGAAGTCTTGACCGGATTTGACGTTGTCCACCCGAATCTCGAAAAGAGTGTTGTTGTATTGCGCACCGGCAGCATCCTCGTGGCTGATGGTGGTGAACTCCTGGTTGGTTGGGTAGTAGGGAGAAGCCACATCGTGTGTCATCAGAATGGTATCCGTAACCAAATGACGAAGACGGACGACATCGCCAGTCTTGATCCGCTGGCCCTCATTGCTAGGAAGCGTCTTGTGGGGAAGAAGTTGCCAGTGATTGTTAGTATCGTTGTGAGGATATCCCGTGACTTGTTGTCCCTGTGAAGAGATGCGGCCATCATCATATCGAAGAGGGTAGCGATCAGGGTGGCTGTGGAGGTAAACCTTGGTGTCCTTGTGCCGAATTGTGATGGTATCGAAGAAATCAATTCCAACGGATTGAAGAGTCATAATGTTGTCGCTTAAAGTCTCTTGGAATTCGGGGCTCATAAAGTCGTCTCCAGGCCCAGAACGTGTGAGAATAGAGAAGTGGACCTGGAACCAGAAGAGGTAGAGGAAGAATGGAATGATGATGAGGCCAACCGCACGAGCAGCAAAGTGCTTTCCGAACTCTGGAAGGCTCAAAGCTCCCTGACGGCGGTTGATGTCCATGAGGTCCCACAGGTCAATTAAGACGGGCACCCCAATGGAGAAGAAAGTAAAGACACCGACGTATTTAGTAGAGATGACGCAGCTGAGGCACACGCCAGTCAACAAGAGCCACTTCCACCATTTGCGGCCGAAAGGTACGTGTCGGAGCTTGTAGAAGCGAATGTAGCTGAGCACCGACAGAGCCATGAAGAAGATCAGGGTCGCATCGAGCAAGATCAATCGGGTCTGGCCAATGTGGGCGTTGTCGAAGAGCATCAGCCCAGCCGCAGTTACACAGGCTGGCAGAGAGTATCCAGAGTCCCACATGATCATAAACACGGTCGGAACGGTGAGAGCGCCCATCATGGCGGGCATCGAGCGGTAAGCGACATAGGGCACCTTGTTGGCGATGTACGAGTCGCCGATGTTTTCGAACAGGAAGTCACCGCGGTATCCCACCAGCCAACCAGCGAAGGCGAAGAGCAGCTTTCCGAAGGGAGGGTGGACGTCGAAGAAGTAGGTTCGCTGGAGGTAGTAGGAGGCGAACTTTCCAAAATGCACCTCATCGAAGACGACCTGCGAAGGGTGGCTGATTCCCCAGAAGCGTGTTGCAAAGGCTAGGATAGTGATAATTGTGATAGCCAGCTTGTAGTCCCATTCTGAGCTCTTCTTGGGCTTGAGCTCCTTCTTGCCCTTGGAAATAACATCGAAATCCTTCTCGGTGGAAATGTCTGGGTTCGGCGTGACAGGCCGCTTTTTGTCCTTGGGACCGCGATGCCGTACGGCGGCCGGAGAAGACATGGTAGATGAGCTCAAAAAGCTGCCTGATGCGGAGGTAAAGTCAGTCTATGACGCCGGGTGATGTCAATTAAGTTCTGTGACACGACTTACCAAGACAAGAAGTCGAAAACCGGGTTGGAGGGCGGGCAAAAGGAGTGGAATCTAGAAGCTACGAGATGCGGACTGGATAGGTGGTCAATTCGCAATCTTTTGGTCGACGCGCACGCCCCTTAGACGAACCCTGGGGGCGGAAAGCTGCTCAGCCACCTGTGTGGCGCATCACGTGCTTCCATATCCTGGGCCATTCCAAAGTCCAAACCAAGACATAACAAAATAACTTCCCAGTCATTCATCTTCAGTCGCAAAACATAGGAGGGTTTTCCGCCGCACCTTTGTATGTTCTGTGAAATGTGCCAACGTGGAGTACAATCTATTTCGGGGGAAGTCAATGTGTGGTCTCATCTAATAACCGGCGGATTTACTGAGGAATCTAGCGTCTCTCTAACTAAATGTCCTATAAAAGCTGCAGTAATATACACCAAGAGTGCCACCCTGAACAAACTCATTTCTATAATCCACACTAAATCGCATCCTCTCACTGTGCTTTCTTCGCCTCCGCCTCCTCGGCAGCCGCCCGCCGTCTCTGCGGAATCTTGTACGTAGTCTCCCAACCGTACAGCGCACCAGCTCCGAACACCATCGCTGCTCCCACCTTCATCAGTCCACTCATCTGGTTTCCAAAGAGCCAGATGCTCAGCAGGAAGCTGACCAGTTTGCGAATGTTTAGGACGATAGTGACTGTGACTGCCGAGGTGTTGGCACTGAGTATGTTGACACCAGTGATGCATAGCAGTTGCGTTACCGCATTCGCTGTTAGGAAAATGACATGCTGGGATGTTGAGGCCAGCGCTTTGCTGGCCATCGGAGGTAGACTTGCGGCCATTAGAAGGGGCACTTGAAACGGCTGAGAGGCGTGAAGCCTTAGAAATTGCTTATAGAGAACCGGAGTAAAGTTGGCGAAGAGTGGGATCGAGAGGAGATGAGAGTAGAAGAGGTTTGCTTTCCAATGGTTACCGTGTTCGATGTAAATATCCTCAACGTAGGCTCCCATGTATGCAGAGAGAAGTTGGGCAACGAGTAAGATGAGCAGTCCCATCTCGAACGATGCACTGGTGAGATCAATGTTGGATGCATCCATTGTTTTGCCCTATGAATGGGTAAGTACAACTAGCACTTCTTTAGGGGACAAAGCATACCTTTGACATCGCATCGGCCCAAGCGGAAACCATGACTCCCAACGTCAGGACAGCAACTGAGAATATCTGGACCGGAGAGTACTTCTTCCCGCGCATCCACCCAGCCGCCATTGTGGTCACGCTTCCAAAGCTGCGTAGGATGATATGAACCGGTACAGAAATGTTAAAAGCAAAGGCCCAATTGTTCATCATGTTGACCGTAAAGAACAATGCCGCGCTTATGCACCACTTCCGAAATGGTACAGGCGATGGCTTGACGAAATATCGACCATTGGGGTCGAACTGATAATGTAGAGTCGAAAGGCACGTGAAGATGAACTGGAAAAGGGTGATAAGGAGGCCGCTGTCCGGTTCATGTCTTATCTGATGTCAGAATGTCAACACTTATATTGGTGTCGAGCTATCTCTCACTTTACGATGGCCTCTAGACAGTAAACCTGCGGAAGATTAGCTCGGAGGCTGTACGAAGAGTATTATGCCTACATTTGAGCAACATCCACCGAAAATGAGTGCAAAACTGCCAGCGAGCGGGGCAATTGCTGCCATGGTGATGCAATTCAGACCTCGAGACAACTAAAAAGGCAAATTGAAGAACGCAAGGATGCTGCTATCCAAAAATTCTCGGGAACCTACACAGCTTTAGCGTTTGTCGAAACTCCACAAAGGGTTCGTTCATCCGCAGAGACTCCTCGAACCAACTGGGCTGGAATGGCGATTGAGATCGGTTAAAATACAAGCAGTTCGACCATTGATGGATATGTGAGGAGCAAGTGGGCAAATAGAAGAAAGTCAGATGCTGGTCTGAGACACAATGTAAGGAAAGAACGACTCACAAATGCAACAAAGTCTACCTAAACAACGCCAATGGGTTGGAACCTGTCATGGTCAATGAGAACGTTAGGGTGGATGGGATTCGAAGTGAGACTGTCAACGTGGAAGATTGTGGTGCGCTAGCGGCAATTCTCCGTAGGGCTGAGAGGCCGAGGCTGTGCTTTTTTGAGACATATAGCATCCGACCATTTCAATGTGTTAACTAGGAAATTATCTGATGGCAGTCAGATTGAACTTTGACATGGGATGAATGATAGTATTTTCTCATTTATTGCGATCACAACCGGTACTATCATGTCATAAGGGGTTGACATCATTCATCGCTCGTGATGATTAAAGAGCACTTCTACTGTTTGCAAATTTTTTTCATTGCCAAATGCACCACTTCATTATCATAACCATGGTGCGCAATTTACATCCAGCTCTGCTAGCGCTTCCGAATATGCATTGCCTACACAAACCACCGAAGCAATCACTGTGCACGCCCACCACCATGAGAGTTTCCATCTACCATTCCAGCGCCGTCCAATCAGGCCACTACCAAACAAGAATGGAAGAATGGAAGAATGGAAGAGGGAATCTGTGGCCAAGGAAACAAGCTCGGAGATGAGTCTAGTTGCGAATGCCCTTGATGAGATGCGCTTACGCCAATGATGAAGGCTCACCCTACAATGCTGAGAAGACGAAGAGCTAAGGTGGACATTAGTATATCACGAATGGAAATTTCACTTAGGGGAGAACTCACATTGTTCGTGGCTGCGATTGCAATGCTGTCCTCAAATGGATGCCAACTCATGTGGAGAATCTTCTTGTTGAAGTCAATCTGATCAGCATCAGTCTCCTTCCGCATACGCTGCCCCTGGCCCACTGCTCCGGCGGCAGGGCTCCCTGCTCTTGATCCACCCTTCTTCCCGGAGCTACCTGTAGGGCTTGTGGAGGAATTCATCGGTGTCGGAATCCCGACCTTCTTAGCCTTGAATGCTGACTTGTCCGCTTGTAACACAACCTCCGTATCCTTCTCCGGGTCTGATGGATATATCATGAAGTTGTTATTATAGCTCCCGGTCATGACGTTTTTGGCGTCTCCGGAGAAGACTACCTCGAACTTATCGAATATGCTGTCGTTTTCGTATGTGTCACACAATCGCGGCCGCAGGTGCTCATGAATAGGAATGGTCTTAATTGGAGTCCGCTCCATGTTCACGTCCCAGATCTTCACCGTTAGGTAGTCTCGTGATAGTATATATCGTCCATCATGTGAGAAGCGAACATCTGATATGGAAGAGATGATTTCGGAAAAGAAGGATCGGGAGGATGGATCTTCCTCCTGTTCGAACTCTATCATGTAAATGTCAACATTAGTTGCTTTCCGGGAATTCTCACAGTCACTTACGTTTCGCATGTTGATCGCACAGAGCGCTCTCCCTCATATCTGCCAGCTTGATAGTCCCTTTTGAACTAGCATACATGAACCAGTTACAGCTCAGCGGGTGGAACTCGGCAGCAGTAATGACCTCCGTGAGCTCCTCCATATTAGCCGGCTTGATGTCAACAATGTTGAAGCTCTGGTCCTGGATATTGAGGTTCCACAGATTAATCCGCAGGTCATCACTACTGATGAAGGTTTCGCCATCGCTGTTGACTGATATACTGTTGATATGATAGGCATGTGCGTTGGCATAGGTTTTGCGGGGTACGGCAGCGACAACGGTGTCATGGTGAGTAAGTCGGGGAAGTTTGAGGTCGGCGACAGTTCGGAAGTGAGCATTTGGGTTTCTAACAGGACCGCCGGCACCAGCAACGCCGCCGCCTGGTGTCAGTTCGTGGGAGAGGTTGTTCTCGGCTACGACTTTTAACGACTTCTCAAAAACCTTCCATAGCTTTATGGTTTTGTCGTTCGTCGAGAGGAGGTAGTGGGAAGCATTCTGACGGCGGCACCATTTGATCTTGTTGATTTTCTCTTCTATTTCGAGCGATTTCAGATAGTCAAATTCGGGCTCGTGTGAGTGGAATTCGGTGTGGAACTTATACTCGCATGTTTTTTTCTGCAACTGCATCAGGAGCCGAACGCCAGGTCGGGTCGCGGGGCAGAGGACGCAACGAAGGAGAGAATAGAACGACATACAGTTTCATTCCTCTCAAATAGGACCACGCGACCGCCCTTGTCCCCGGTGGCTAGGTAGTTTCCCGTTTGGTCGAATTCGACCGTGGAAATGATGTCGGCTAGTTACCAGCAGTCAGCCAAAACAGGTCAGACGTTTTCAGGAACAAGTAAGAGAACCTTCGCTAATCTGCGTACCTTCTGTTATATCTTCAACGTCCCCTTTGTCGCCGAAACATCTAGTGGAGTCAGCAATGTCACCCGTGGGGACTTCCCGGTCGCCGTGAAGAACGAATCACTTGTAGCCGAAGCGAGTAAATTCAAGAATAACACAAAAGAGGCGAACAAGAACATACTGCGTGAATTTCCACGTCGTGGGGTTGCCCTCTCCGTCCACCATGGTTATAAGGCCCGGCCAGTAGGATAGACGGCAGCTCGATCAAGACCGGTGGTTGTTGTCCGGAGTGCTAAACGCAGCACAAATATGGCCGGAGAGCGAGCGCGCAAGACTGCTGGGGGTATCGGGATTCCTGGGTGGGGCGCCGCCGACGTCGAGGCTGGGTGAAAGTGGGAGGGGGGTTGGCAGCGGTGACGGTGACGGTGGGAGCGGTGCAGGTGTTTGCTGGGCGAATTAGAATTGGTAGGAGCTGGAGAGGCGAAAGCAGAGCTCGGGAGACGGGGTCAACTCGTCGGTGAAACAGCGCGCGGCGGCGACGAGGCAACGGGAGAGAGACGCGAGATGGAGACAGAGGTGCGGTGGTGTATTTGGTACCTCACTCAGCACTCAGCAATATGCCCAGGTGCTGGCGGCAGTGGGGTCTTGGGCTGCTGCCTGCCAAGGCCCCGTGCCAAGGTGGACAGAGACGGTGCAAACAGGCCAAACAGTGCCGCTCGCTTCTGGCCCACGCAAACGAAAATCGGGCACCCTCCACCATCAATTTCGAGCCCAGCTCTCGACATCACCAAACTAACCTACCAGCACGTCGAGCTTTCCACCATGTCTCACAGGAAGTTCGAGGCTCCCCGCCACGGGTCATTGGCATTCTTGCCCCGCAAGCGCGCCGCCAGGCACCGCGGTAAAGTGAAGAGGTAATCGAGTGCAGCATATCCAAAAGTTCACACGATAGCTGACAGAATTAACAGCTTCCCCAAAGATGACCCCAAGAAGCCTGTCCACCTCACCGCCGCCATGGGCTATAAGGCCGGTATGACCACCATCGTCCGCGACCTGGACCGACCCGGTGCGAAGCTGCACAAAAAGGAAATCGTCGAGGCCGTCACCGTTATCGAGACCCCCCCGGTACGCACGCCAATTTGAAAGGCAATTGGAACTTGGAACTAACAAAATTTCCAGATGATCGCTGTCGGTCTGGTTGGCTACATCGAGACTCCCCGCGGCCTGCGCTCCCTCACCACCGTCTGGGCCGAGCACCTGAGCGACGAGATCAAGCGACGATTCTACAAGAACTGGTACCAGAGCAAGAGGAAGGCATTCACAAAGTATGCCAAGAAGCACTCCGAGAACAACGGCCAGTCCATCACCCGCGAGCTCGAGCGCATCAAGAAGTACTGCACCGTCGTCCGCATCCTCGCCCACACTCAAATCTCCAAGACCCCGCTCAAGCAGAAGAAGGCACATTTGATGGAAATCCAGGTGAACGGCGGCAGCATTGCCGACAAGGTCTCTTTCGGCCGCGGTCTGTTTGAGAAGCCAATTGAGATCAGCTCCATCTTCGAGGACAACGAGATGATCGACGTCATCGCTGTTACCAAAGGTCACGGATTTAACGGCGTCACTGCTCGATGGGGCACCAAGAAGCTCCCTCGCAAGACGCACAAGGGTCTGCGAAAGGTTGCCTGTATCGGTGCGTGGCATCCATCCCACGTCCAGTGGACTGTTGCCCGTGCTGGTCAGATGGGTTACCACCACCGTACCTCAGTCAATCACAAGATCTACCGCATTGGCTTGGGCAGCGATGCCGGGAACGCCGCCACAGATTTCGACGTTTCCAAGAAGCAGATTACCCCGTAAGTCACGTGATGTGTCCCCCCTTTGAACCCTACTGACCAGTCGTAGAATGGGTGGCTTTGTGCGGTATGGTGAGGTCAAGAACGACTTCGTTCTTCTCAAGGGATCTTGCCCTGGTGTGAAGAAGCGGATCATGACGCTCCGCAAGTCAATGTTCACACACACAAGCAGGAGGGCGTTGGAGAAGGTCGAGCTCAAATGGATCGACACTTCTTCCAAGTTCGGTCACGGTGCGTACCAGAGTGCGGCAGAGAAGAAGCAGTACTTGGGTGTGCTCAAGAAGGATCTCCAGACGGCGGCATAGAGTATTGTTGTGGGCAGTGGATGTGGAGTGCATACTTTCTTCCCGGGATGTTAGGCAAATGGCATTGGGTCTCTGCATTGCTGAAGGTGATGAGCGACTCACAATAAGGAAAAAAAAATCAATGATTCCCACTTCATTCACGTCTTGGTGCTGAACCTGCAGGTGTGCATGAGTTTCGGCCCGCACCGAAGTTACCACTTCTCCTACTATAAATACTTTCGAGATGAGAACTAGAAGGGAGTAAATATGGCGAAAGGCCCCGATCGCCACGCAGACATGTCCGGCGCATTCAAATCCATGGATGGAAAGGAAGTCCACAATAAGCACAATGAGATTGATATTAGTCGAGGGTCTAGAATGCAGGCGTCGGGGAGTGAACACAGCAGTCGATGACGATGACGATTTGAACTATGAACGGCAATAAGCAATTAGGGTATTCGAGCATGAAACAGAGGTCGCAAGCCTCGTGATATCTAGAAAGAGCCCTGGGGGTGTCAGCCTTCTTCTTAAACTGTCTACGGGCAAAAATAGTGGCCAGTTTCTGGCGTGGAAGGATTTGGGCCCTGCCTCATCGGGAACTTGCGCCCGAGTCTCAAAATGCAGAGCAGGAAGCTACGATCGAGGGAGAAGCAATAAAGGCAAGATCGTAGTGGCACTGTCAGGAGTCGTGCAAGGCTTAACAGAAGCAACTATTCGCACTGTGCCTAGCTATTCCCGCTGTGGCATGAAGAGGAAAGAAAACAAGCCGGGACGGGCAATCCTCACATGCGGCTTCCCGAGGTTTCTTCGTTGGCCAATCACGGCGTTTGCGTTACAACCGTTCCATGATCATTCTACCCAAAAACACCAGGCCACTCGAACACCACATCCCTCTCCACTCCATACTCCGTCGCCATCATGAGCTGCCTCAAGATGCGTCGTCTGCAGCTTGCAAACCAGGTAAGATACCACTCTAGAGCTTCATACGCTGCCTCTGCAACCAAGTACCACCCGGTCCGCTCCGCACGGGGCGTCTACCACCCCGCGATGGCCTTGGAGCTGTGCCATCAGCACGAGAAGATGTCCCAATGCCTCCATGTGGAAGAGGAATTACTCTTCTTTGATGTCGCTTTGCGTTGGAAGCTCAATGGCTAACACTCACCCCACCAGCTCACCAAAAGCCTCCGCACATCCACGCGAGCATTTTCCTCCACACGACCCGCGGCACGCATATTCGCAACCGAGCATTTGAAGGCAAGGGAGGCTTCAGGCTTCATTGCCCGCAAATACCCTGTGATAGACCACCAGTACGATGCGATTGTCGTCGGAGCCGGTGGGTCTGGCCTGCGTGCGGCCTTTGGTCTTGCCGAAGCTGGCTTCAACACTGCCTGCATATCGAAGCTCTTCCCGACTCGATCCCACACCGTAGCCGCTCAGGGCGGTATCAATGCTGCTCTCGGAAAGTAAGTTTGAGCTTTCAGACTCTTCTGACGAAATCTGGAACGCTAACACTACTTGGCATTCAGCATGCATGAGGACGACTGGCGGTGGCATATGTACGATACCGTCAAGGGTTCGGACTGGCTGGGGGACCAGGATGCTATTCACTACATGACAAGAGAGGCTCCTCAGTCTGTCATTGAGCTCGAAAATTACGGCTGCCCTTTTTCGAGAACTGAAGATGGTCGCATGTAAGCTCCAAGCAAACCATTGTAGCGTCAACCACTTACTCACAATCTTTGTAGCTACCAACGTGCATTCGGTGGGCAATCTCAGAAGTTTGGTAAGGGTGGACAGGCATACCGATGCTGTGCCGCCGCCGACAGGACCGGGCATGCTCTGCTTCATACTCTCTACGGACAGTCTCTGCGGCACAACACAAAGTACTTCATTGAGTTCTTTGCTACTGACCTAATCATGGAAGATGGTGTCTGCAAGGGTGTCATTGCGTACAACCAGGAAGATGGTACCATTCATAGGTTCGTCGCTAAGAACACCGTCCTCGCCACCGGAGGCTACGGACGAACCTACTTCAGTTGCACATCCGCACACACCTGTACCGGTGACGGTATGGCTATGGTTGCTCGTGCCGGTCTTCCCAACCAGGATCTTGAGTTCGTGCAGTTCCATCCGACCGGTATCTACGGTGCTGGTTGCTTGATTACCGAGGGCTCGCGTGGTGAGGGCGGCTATCTCCTTAACTCTGAGGGTGAGCGGTTCATGGAACGTTATGCCCCTACCGCTAAGGATCTTGCCTCCCGAGACGTTGTCTCCCGGTCTATGACTATGGAGATCCGCGAAGGCCGTGGTGTTGGTCCCGAGAAGGACCACATCTACCTTCAACTCAGCCATCTACCCGCCGAGGTCCTCCACGAGCGTCTCCCTGGTATCTCCGAGACCGCCGCCATCTTCTCGGGCGTCGATGTCACGAAGCAGCCCATCCCCGTCCTACCAACGGTCCACTACAACATGGGTGGTATACCCACCAAATACACCGGCGAGGTCCTTACGGTCGATGCGCAAGGCAAAGATCAGGTTGTTCCAGGTCTCTTCGCATGTGGTGAAGCCGCATGTGTCTCCGTCCACGGTGCCAACCGCCTCGGTGCCAACTCCCTCCTGGATCTCATCGTATTCGGCCGCGCAGTCTCCCACACGATCCGCGATAACTTCAAGCCTGGCCAAACCGCCGACTCCATCTCCGCTGACGCCGGTGCGGACTCTATCTCCGTCATCGACCAGATCCGCACGGCCGAGGGCCCCAAATCGACCGCCGAAATCCGTCTCAACATGCAAAAAGTTATGCAAACCGACGTCTCAGTCTTCCGTACCCAAGAATCCCTCGATGAAGGCGTCCGTAAGATCCGCGAGGTCGACGCCACCTTCGCCGACGTTGGAACTAAGGATCGCAGCATGATCTGGAACTCGGACCTGACCGAAACGCTTGAGCTGCGGAACCTTCTAACCTGTGCCGTGCAAACCGCAGAGTCGGCGGCGAACCGGAAAGAATCCAGGGGTGCTCACGCCCGTGAGGATTACCCGGATCGAGACGACGAGAATTGGATGAAGCATACACTAAGTTGGCAGAAGAAGCCGCATGGCAAGGTGCAGTTGGGGTATAGGGCTGTGACGGGCCATACGTTGGATGAGAATGAGTGTAAGGCTGTGCCGCCGTTTAAGAGGACTTATTGAGTGGACACGGACCAGAATCGGGAGTGGGAGGTAGATGTGGAGGTGTGAAGTTTCATGTATTTTATGTATATTGGATGAGATGAGAGGGATGATTATGGGGGAATATATGAGGTGAGAGGTTGAAATGAAATGAAGTGCATGTGGTGCTGTGGGGTTGTTGGGAAGATGGAGATTGATTGGAAGTTCTTTTTGTTCCTTTGTGGATTGAGAGGGGAGTATATATCGAATCGAATCAAAAGGAAATTTTCTTGGTCGTTAAGATTTGAGTCTGCACTTGCAATGGTGAAGTGGATGTGGGGTGGTCATGTACATTTGATACATACTATCGTCGAGATATCTACCCACGGGCACTCTAGGGGCTCAGTTCTAAGTCCGAGATCAAAGAGTATGTTAGCTGTCCATGTGCATTTGGACAAGCTTTGCAAGAAAGTGGGTTAAGTTTTTGGAAAATTTCAGGGGTCTGCTTTCGGGAAGTTTACTATTAGATCTCTTAGCTAGCCGAAGGTTGTCTACCAACTGCTTTCATTACGTCTATGGCCGAGAGAGTGGAAAGAGGCACGTGCGGGCATGCAATACTTCTCTACACTCCTGATCCCTCGTATTGGTACAATGACAGGCAAACGCTGCCGTGCGCTCAGCTCAGACTCCAAAAATGCACTTCCTTCGCCCTGCTCCTCCTCATTTTCCGCGCTGCCTCCACTCTAATTGTACTGCATATACGTCGCCGTAGAGTTGAACTTCAAGTTCCCCTTAATCACCTTATCGACCGCAGCCAAGAAGTCCTTCTCCGTTGCCACCTTCCTCCGCGCACGAATCGCAAACATGCCCGCCTCGGTCGCCACACTCCTAAGCTCCGCACCCGTGCTATTCGGGCACAACCGCGAGATAAGTTCCCAACGGATATCCCGCTCCACGCTCATACTCTTCGCGTGGATGCGCAGGATGTTAGCACGACCCTCCATATCCGGCAGCGAGAACTCGATTTTACGGTCGATACGGCCGGGACGCATCAGCGCGGGATCGAGGGTCGAGGGACGGTTAGTAGCAAACATGACCTTGATATTGCCGCGAGAATCGAAGCCGTCGAGCTGCGTTATAAGCTCTAACATTGTGCGTTGGACCTCGTTGTCGCCGCCCGCGCCGTCGTCGAAACGTGCGCCGCCGACGGCATCGATTTCGTCGAAGAAGATGATGCAGGCTTTCTTCGTCCGCGCCATTTCGAACAGCTCGCGGACCATGCGGGCGCCTTCGCCGACATATTTCTGCACGAGCTCGGAGCCGATGACCCGGATGAAGGTGGCGTCTGTTCGGTTGGCGACGGCGCGCGCGCAGAGCGTTTTTCCGGTTCCTGGGGGTCCGTAGAGAAGGGCACCTTTGGGGGGATCAATGCCGAGGTTTACGAAGCGTTCGGGGGAGAGTAGGGGCATTTCGACGACTTCTCTGAGTTTCTCGATTTGATCTTTGCAGCCGCCGACGTCACCGTAGGTTACGTCGGGCTTGTCTTCTACGGTCATCATGGTGACGGAAGGGTCGATCTTGGGTGGGAGCGGGAGGAGGATCTGGTACTTGTTTCGGTCGACGCTGGACAGATGGTTAGCCTTCCCGACATTGGCTAAAGCGGATATGGCCTATGCCTACCCTACTCGCATGCCCTCTTCAATATCTGTCGGTGACACCCGCTCGCCCAAGTTCACGACGAACTTGGCGATCTGCTTGACGTTGATGACATATTTGCTCTTCTCGGTGTCCTTCTCGTCCTGTATTATCTTGGTGCACCGGGCGACCTGGAGGGGCTGCTCTTCCTGCATTCGCTGCCGGTCGGCGGCGATATCCCATAGATGTGGTGGTGCGAGGCCAGTATCTGATTCCTACGATATTGTTAGGTGAGGGTAGGAAGTGGGTGTTGTGGCTCGGAGGTAGCTACCTTGACGCCTGTCGACCTGTTAGTTGCGCATCTCATGGCGGGATTGCATGCTGAAGCTTACCAATCTTCTCGTTTATCGTCTGCTGCTTGTCCTTAATCTCCTTCTCGAGCTTCTTGAGCTCCGCGGCGTAGGGAGCGGCTCCGTACGTCTTCAGCACCTGGATGTCCCTGTCGCATGCTCAGCTATGAACCGGAGAGCTATGATTCCATCGGTATCTTACTCATCGGTTAGAGGAGTGATCTTCTTCTCTTCTACCTCATCGTCGGCAAAGGTCTTCTGGTACTTCTCCCAGTTCTGGCCGGTGGCACTGGGCATGTTGACGGCCTAGTCAGCGCTTGCGTTCCGAATTTTGAGCTTGTGGTGGCACTGGAAACTCTATCTGGTTTGATAGGCGGGAATTCAGGACAGAAGGCGTCGAGCGGCGGGATAGAAGACCGTGTTCGGGGCAGATATGGATGAAGCAGTGAAGGTGGTGTTCCTGGGTAATCACTGCCAGGCGGTCTTGGCGAGGGCTCCCCCGAGGTTCTGCCGTCCAGAATTTCTGCAGTTACAAGTAGGACGCGACCAATTGCTGAGCGCGTCGAGCAGCCATATACACCCCACCAACACCCAAACCACTCCCGTTTCTCTATTGCATCAGACATAATGGCAACTCAAATCGCGAACGGAGGTGCCGGAAATGCTGCCTTCAGGGTACAGTACCCTTCGTAAAGCTCTCAAAACATTCACTAATGGAGGCACCAGGATAAGGAAAAGCCCAGGGCGGTCCGGATAGCCAATATTGTGGCAGCGAGAGGTATTTATGCTTATGTTGAAGTCATGGAAGCTGGTAGCTGACCTAAATCTTACAGCTGTGGCTGATGCTATTCGAACTGTATGGCCTATTCCATTCTGTGCGGGGAACAGTAATTCTAATATTAGGGCAGTCTCTTGGGCCGAAAGGAATGGACAAGATGGTGTGTGGCTCAGCATTCTATCCCTACACTGGTTCTAATACAGTCCCTAGATCCAAACCGGCAAAGGCGAAACCATCATCACCAACGACGGAGCTACAATGCTGAACCAAATGAGCGTCATGCACCCCTCCGCAAAGATGCTCGTCGACCTTGCCCACGCTCAGGACATCGAAGCCGGAGACGGTACAACCTCCGTGGTGGTGATAGCGGGAAGTCTGCTCGGTGCGGCAGAACGTTTGCTGGGAAAAGGCATCCACCCCACCGTCATATCAGAGTCCTTCCAGCGGGCAGCGGCAAAGGCTATAGACATCCTGACAGATATGTCGATTCCCATCTTACTGTCCGACCGTCCGACCCTTCTGAAGACTGCCACAACCGCCCTTTCGTCCAAAATTGTAGCGCAAGAGGCGAAGCTACCGATAATGGCTGTGGACTCGGTCATGAAGGTCATCGATCCCAAGACAGCAGATAATGTAGACTTAAAGAACATCAGGATCATCAAAAAGGCAGGCGGAACCATCGAAGACAGTGAGATGGTGGACGGGCTGGTGCTTAATCAGCAGGTGGTTAAGAGTGCAGGAGGCCCAACAATGAAAGAGAAGGCCAAAATTGGTCTGATACAGTTCCAGCTTAGCCCCCCGAAACCAGATATGGAGAACCAGATTGTGGTGAACGATTACAGGCAGATGGACAAGATTCTCAAGGAAGAGCGGACGTATCTGCTTAACATGGTGAAGAAGATCCAGAAGGCGAAGTGCAATGTGCTCTTCATTCAGAAGTCGATCCTGAGAGACGCAGTCAACGACCTTAGTCTACACTTCCTCTCAAAACTCAAGATTCTTGTCGTCAAGGATATTGAGCGCGACGAAATCGAGTTCATTTGCAAGGCAAGTTCTATCATTCGCCAAGTCGTTCGAATCAATCTAACAGTCGCTAGAGCACTGGTTGCAAACCAATCGCCGATATCGATTCCTTCACCGAAGACAAGCTCGGCTCAGCCGACCTCATTGAGGAAGTCCAAGCCTCCGGCGCGCGATATGTCAAGGTCTCTGGTGTGAAATCCATCGCATCAACTGTCTCCATCGTCTGTAGAGGCTCCAACTCTCTCATCCTCGACGAAACCGAACGCTCATTACACGACGCTCATTGCGCCATCCGATCCCTAGTAAAGAAGAAGGCCCTACTCGCCGGAGGTGGTGCCCCTGAGATCGAAATCGCCCACCAGCTATCCCTGCACGCTCGTGAACTCTCCGGCACAGAAGCCATTTGCTGGAAAGCGTTTGCAGACGCTATGGAAGTCATTCCGACGACGTTGGCGGAAAACGCTGGATTGAACAGCATCAAGGTGGTTACGGACTTAAGGCATAGGCATGCACAAGGCCAACAGAATGCGGGTGTGAGTATCAAGAGTGGAGGTGTGAAGAACGATATCGCCGAAGAAAACGTGTTACAACCCCTGCTCGTGAGCACAAGCGCAATTGAGTTAGCGGCCGAGACGGTGAAGATGATTCTGAGGATTGATGACATTGCGTTGTCACGATAAATGATGCAAGTGCGTTTGGCGAGGGCGTAACGACTGTATGTGGATTGCGAATCGGTTGGTTGGTAGTATACCATGAAGATAATGAAAAGATTTTCAATCAGCTGTTCGGGACAGCATATGATGGTTCGTAGACAGCGGTGAGATCGAGGTGGTGTAATGTGGATGGTAATTCCGATGCAGTCGGCTCATAGGTAAACAGTAGAGCGGTAAGTTGAACGCCAACAATCTCTACCTGCTCGTGAAGCTTACCTACCATGACAGACTTTACATACTTCTTACCCCACCCCGGCCTTCCCCTGTCCCTCGCCACCCTCGAGTCCTTATCAATATAACACCCCTCTCTCCCATACTCCCCTCTGTTCCTATCTTCATTCAGCAAGACCTTCATATTCATCCTAAACAGCTTTCGTGATATACAATATGAGTCCGCAAAACCAGTTGCTGCCGGAGAGTGGACCGTTGCTGGTGGACCAACAATTCCCCAATACTCAGTCTGATAGTTGTCTCTTTTGCCTCGAAAATAGAACACGAATGGTGGAAATGCGTTTGGGCCCAGAACCGCGAGTCCTACAAGTCCACGGGTTACTTTTCGAAAAAGTCATCGTAGTGTGGATCATAGCTCCTGTGCCCTGGGCAACAAGGACCCACCCCTATTATACCATCATTGGCCACTTTGCACTTCTCAGTTGGAGGTCTTCTACCCTAGATCCTAGAGCAGAATCAAAACCATTGCTGTTTCCGCCTAATGGCTTATTCGAGAAAACTAAATTTTTCGATGGGGACGTATATATGTAGGCCAGCGACTACGCAATTTGAAAACAAATTGTCACCACCTGTATGGAGTGCTGCACTGGAAATCCTCGAGCTCGATGAAAAACTCTCCTAATACCTGCCTGGAAGAGGTCCATCATGGCTCTGACCGCCGGGCTAAACTAGACTGTTGGGATTGTGATGGCTCCGGGACTTGGGAGACCGGAAAACGTCATCGATCCGTCAAATGAACCATCTTGGAGTCTCGCCACTGAGAACGTCCCCATGCCGTACGATGGCTTGCTTTCCGGGGCATATCAGGGGGATATTACGAAGAAGTCTCGGTGCTCGTCAAATGGTTTTGGGGGTTTAGAGAATCACAAGAAACTGTAAGACTGAGGGTGGATCCTTCTAGTATTCCTAAAGTCATCCCCCAAAATTATGATACCCTGTTCCGGACGGTCTATCTTGTCATGCGTGACTTCTAGCCCATGGAATAAAATCATACCTCCCGATCTACAAGAATTATTACGGAGACTAAGACAATTTCCCCTCCAAGGACTGGTTTCAGATCTCAACCAGAACATATCCAATATCAAAGACCGAGGTTGAGATCAAAAGCCGAGATCGAAAAGCTACCAAGGTGCGATGTATGGTAATCGGGGCTGTGGATTCCTAACAGGGACAAAATCCAGGTATATGGACGGCCACGACCTCCAAAAGATCCTTGTCAGACTCTCGCATATTCTTGTTCGATCAAGAGTTCAGACATTAGCAATGAATGATCAGGGACAACAAATACATCGCTTTCTTCGCCCCTAGAACCTAAGATCTGGAAGCCTGATTAGAAAAAAATCTTCACTCATACATCCATGGGTGCTTTCTGGATCGATAAACAGGACCATAACACAAAAATGTCCCTGGAAACCAATGGATATATAGCACTCTTCTCGTGGATTCAGAACTCTATATTACAATAACCCCACCGGTATGTGCTTCCTCTGCCTGAAAACTCGTGCCTCCTTGCGTGACGAGAGCAAAATCTGAACTAAATACAATAACGCAGGCTGTATGTTCGGTGTGCCTCACTCCCGAGTCGATAGCATTTGGCTTATCAAATAATAGACGCGGAGAACAGAAAACGACACACAAAGTCACTCCAGGAAGAAAATCTCACTGGAACACGCCATGCGCTGATCTTTCTTCCAGATCTTCATATTGATAGTTATCAGCTCCTGAGCCTTCGATCATAGGAGCGGGGAAAAAAGCCGGCATGGCCTTGTTCTGGTGCAGGGGTTTTCTTATCCAAGCTCCGCCTTGGCTGGGTAAATCAAAACCGATATATATGAAAGATTTGATATCATTTCCGGCCTTCGTGGATTAAAACTCCCTACTAAGAAGAAGAGTGGATCGATACCTAGACTTAGACCTGGACTAAAATCGAAGTCCGATCCATAATATGGCTACCCTCTGACCCTGATTCTCCAGGCTTAACAAAAAGGCGTCTGAGGCGGAATGGACTTCTCGTGGATCTGAACGAATCGTAAAGAAATCGGGTGTATGTCAACCTCACGGAATTCAGATTAAAACTGGCAGGATCCATGGCCTTTTCTCCCGCTCGAAAGGAACACCATCCAGCTTCGGTGGGTTTGCAGTTTATCAAATGCGTGAGGTGTATCTGGCATGGTGCATTATCAGATCTACATTAAATTCAACAGTAGCAACGGATATACACGGAAAGGTTTCCTGCTAAGGACTGGAAGGCTTAGTCATGGGGCCAGTAGTTCTTGCAAAACCCACGACGATTCCGAGTTATGGTTCCAAGAACTTGACTAGGGATCAGTGAGGGCTTTCAGCGGTGATTGAGACGGGAGCTTGGGTGTTAAAAACCGAATGCTTCCAGGCCATGAGCTCCTGGTTCCTAAAAGAAGGGGGGGTACAAGCATTAATGGGCAGCCTGAAAAACTGTTCCAACAAAGTACTCCTCTAAGCGTAGGACCCGTCGAAATCCCTCCACCCCCACCCAGCGAGCCGCTTTCACGAAGATTGCGAATCAGTGGGCATTGACCAAATCCACCACAAAATCGACCTAATGTTGACTGGTCAACTCACTTGCAACGCCTTGCATTGTCTCCTCAGACGCTGATTGTCACCTCAGCCCCCATATTTCGGACAGAAAATTCACCATACGCATGCTCATGGAATCCTCGCCTTCCTTCCAGAGACAAATAGAGCTCAGGCAATGTTACTGGGAAAACAAAATGGGAGTTGTGACCAAAGGGAAACCTGGAAATGTGCGTCGACGAGCCTTGTGCTGCCTGTGTTTAACAACTTATATTATCGTTACGGAATTTCCATGGATTCCAAGCTTTGGAAGTCTGCTTGAAAACTCACAACTGTAGGGCTCCCTCTGGGTGAAAACCCGTGTCCTGTACACGGCTAAAACGAGAATGGAGTATCCTATACCCAACCCATAATTTACCACGGAGTGGTTGAATGATCTGGGCTTCGCTTCCTCTAACATCAGGACGTATCTCGATCTGCATTACTAAAAAGACAGCACAAGAGATATAGGAGTCTTGTTCCGGAACCTTTTGTTTGTTCTTCCTTTCAAATTAGTATTCTAATACGTCAATGCCTCCAGTTGTGGTTTCTATACTCATCGAGAGAGCTCTTCAAGGTCTGGAGAGGATTTTCGCGAATCTTTATAGTCTCCTTGAATCCTGCTCACACCCCAGACCTAAAGGAACAAAATCCCCCTGACTTCAACCTAGAGGTCTTCTTGCTTGTGGAAAAAAACACATCGAATGTGAGAGAACTCCGACTGATGGATCTTCTTTCCGGCCCACTTCCGATCGTAGAGATTTCTTCCTGTCACTACAAAACCAACTACGAACGTTGCTATGGCTTTTTTGTTTCGTTCTAAGTCTGCGACGGCTAGTGTTATAGCTAGAAAATAAAAGCTCGAGAAACTCCGGTCATGGTCGAGTTGGCCTCGAACATTTGATCATGTAGGAAACTTTGGAGTCTACACGCGACATGATCCGGCTTTTGAATCAAACAACCTCACTGCCTTGGTCTCTGTGAAGCTTTCACCAAAAGGGCACCTTGGAAATCTGACGGAATCGTGTTTCCTTAAAAATATTCAATCTCGGCCCGATGGGATTGGGACCCAGGTTGTATCATACTTACCTAGTGTGATGCAAGCATGTAGACAGGTATTGAGCTTGGAGTCCGTGGGGCATTTCTCAACGCAACGCTTGCGAGTCCTGCGTCTTAGAATCAGAATTACCGGTTCCCTAGCATGATTATCACCTCCTTCAATGCCAAAAACGGAATCTTTCAAGGCCATGGATCCAGATTGCGAACTATCGAGAGGCAATGATATATAATCCGGAGCAACAAACACTTTCGGATACTTCACCATGCTGCCTTCTAGACGTCGCGACGAATCCCGATCACCATCTGCTTGGGTCAATCCATGGTCTTTTTCCTAAACGATTGATTTTAAGGCTGACGTGTTAGAGCGCCGCTTTAAATCCAATAGATCTCACTTATGGAGCGATGATCACCGCTCCTGCGGGAAAAGCGCAATTTTGTTTGATGATTTCTTCCTTTCTAAGCTCCCTAGGAATGTTTCTCTGCAGCTCTTCCAACTCATAGAAAAGCTCCCTGCTGGCACCCATGTATGCGGATGCTGGAATAAATCATCAGGCAGACCCCTAAATGCTCTGAACACGGAGTTGGAATGCAAGAAGACGAAGGTATTAGATGATCATATCCAGGAAGTCAAAACTTCGGAGCGAATATCTATGTCTTCGGGCTCGGATTCCGTGGAATCAGATACATCTCCTTTTAGAAACACACGCCAAAAATCGTGTCCAAATACCCATCAGCTTCCGTAATAGAGTTGCTTGAGCAGGGGCTTCATGGTGGTTGTTCCTATCCTTTCTAGAATTTCAAACCTCGGAAGGTCTTGACGACGCTGCCTCTTAGCCTCGAACAAATGTTTTACCAGTCGACACTTGAATCTAGATCCTGGAAGTGACCTGATTACTTCCTCAGCCGCGGTCAGGCGAGAAAAAGAAAGGCTGAGACATTTCATGGTTGAGGCGGTGTTGGCCGAAAATAGACTTTCATACCGACTTTTGCTTCGAAGATCCTTTTTGGCGATATCAATGTCTTACAACAAAAACAAAACTTTCTCAGCCCCCTTTCGTTAGGAAAAATGAAGAGTCTAATAGATACGCCTCATGCGTGGAAGTACTGCTCCGAAGCTACCACTCTTTTGCCTCATCCGCTCTAGAGGCGCGGTGTAAGAAATTGGTGTCTTTTTCTTTCAGCGGACTTTCCCGACCTGGCCGGTGGACTCGCTCCTTCTGGTTTGCCCACCTGCGATAAAACGCTTTCCAGGTCTTCTCCTGCACGTAGTCAGCTGCTAAGATGCTTCCTTCTTGACCTCTCCTCTACCATTAAAGGTCAGCCACTATATCTTTAAGGCCCAGACATCCTTCTCGGCAGTGAAAAAAAAAAAAAAAATCCTTAAACACCATGCATGGCCGGCAATGCGAGAGGGTATTTCAAAACCTGAGCGGAAATTCCTATGGAGAGATCCAAAGCCAGAAGACTTTGGAGGCAAGGCATACAACAAAGTGCACACACTATCCGACATGAGATCCAATGAGAGACGGAGAACCTCAAATCACCCAGCGAACACATCACGAGTTTTGGGTGGACTTAATACCCCCTCTTCGGCATATTCGAAAAAGAAATTGGCTCTTCAACGGCTGCAGCCTTCCTAACTACTTGCCGTCGAAGAAAATTGCCTAAATCTAGGAACATGAGAATCTGGACTAAAATCTCCGGATTCCACATGCCATGGACTCGCAGTCCTGAGCCGCAATGCTATTTCCAGGAGTCCCCCCAAACAACCAATTTCTTGGGTTTTGTCATGGGTGGATTTGCTTTGTTTCCAGCCTAGAGGCATCGCGCCCTCTATATAAATCTCCGGCCTCCATGCTTCAACCCTCCCTCTGGCTGTGGAAACCCGATAAGTATAGTGTATGACAGTAGAGGTCGAAAAATTTAAGAGCTTAATACCCTATGTTTGGGGAACCAGAAATCTACAGGAATTGAAACCATGAATGAGAAAGTTATCAGAAGAAAATAATGATGAGCTCATGCATAGGTGTGAAGCATTCCGAAACCCAATCGGAGGACTACAAAAATAATGGACAGTCAGGATGATGTGTTCCTACCCGCCGGAGCAGCTTTCTAATCAAGACATCGTGATTGTATACGAAACTGATTCCGCGAGAACGTATGGATTACGCATTTGGATGAAAGATGAATAGTATAAGAGACATCGCTTATATCGGTAAATGCCCTGCATGTCTTCATAGCCAATACACTAATCGAGAAGCTTACTAAGCAATGAGTATAGCACACAGCAAGGAAGCAGAATTGGAAGACGACAGCAAAACGATGGTGAAGCAGATATACATATACTTGATATCTATACCCTTCTTCACTTCACTCGAAGATTCAATGTTGCCACTTAGCTAAACCCATATGTACGCTCTAAAACCCCCTTTGAAAATGCAGAAAGCCGATCCGAAATGTACCTCCGTGTGTATTTATATACAAGAATGGGTATATCTGTAACGTTTCCTTCAGCACCCCTGCCTCTCCCCCACCTTCTCCGACTCTCCATCTCCCGCAGCTCGTTTAAAGGACTCCTAGATCATCTTTAATGAGGGTTATGCCTTCGCCTATGCTCCCTAACATGTCTCGCTCGCCTCGCTGCTGGAGCTGGTGTCTCGCCTGGATACGGGACGGTAACGACGACAGTTTGGTATACAGTTTCGACGATCTTTTTGGAAATGATGTCGGTGACGACAGGGACTGCTACTGTGGAGGTGCAGGGTGTAGATGAAGCCGATACTACGCCTGCGACCGTGTTTTCCGAAGGGGTTGGGACGGTTGCTGAGCTACCTGGGTTCAGCGGCGCGGAAGCGCTTGGTACTGGGACTACGGTGCTTGCAACCGCGGACGAACTGGCCGCTGGGGCTCCGGTACTCTTGCCTGGAGTTGAGGGGGTTGCCGAAGAGGCTGCAATAGTGCTAGCGCCAGATGGCTGCTTGTGTGGGAAGCTGAAGCCGCCCATTGGGCCAACTTGGGTAGGCTGAGCTCCGACGGCTGATGTGCTAGGGGCATCGCCTGTGGAGACTGCTACACTGCTTCCTGGGACGGGGGCGGTTGCTGTTGGGACAACGGCAGAAGGGTCAGCTATGCTGCTAGGAGTGTCCGGAATGGTTGGAATGGGAGCAGATGCACTGGCTGAGGTAATTGGAGAGATAGCTGAAGAAACTGGTGCGGTCGATGCAATAGAATCGAGGGCCAGTGATGTGCTAGATCTGCGTCGAGACCTAGTGCGTCGTCCTCCAGTAGGGCGAGTCAACGTTGCCAGAGTGGTGGGTTTTGGAATTGGGACAGAGATTGAGGGAAGGTCGCTGGAGACAGGAGGGATGATGCTTGAAACGGGGGGGATGATGCTAGAGACTGGTGGAATCACACTCGAAACTGGGGGTACGATGCTAGATACGGGTGGAACCACGGAAGAAACTGGGCCTGACGGTGCGGGACCATTGCCGTTGTCCTGGTACACCTTCAGCGCGTTGATAGTCCAGTAAGCGTTCGCGAAAGCAGAGGGGTTGTTTTGCACAAAAGCATTGCAAGTGTCTGCTTTCGAAGCGCATGAGCCACTGCTCCAGACCTGACCAGCCCAGTCACCACAGAACGTTGTGTCAAAGACGATCTGCTGCTGTTTAAAGATGGATGGGATGTCGCAAGCGCCCGCGAATTTGGCAGCAGGCTTCCCCCAGGTAGTTGGATCGGGAGAATCGCCAGTGACATCAGCCGGGATCGATCCACGTGGGAAGAAGTACACGCTGATGGCTTGATCCGTCCACAGAGTAGCATATACGCCACCATTGTTGGCGTTCAACCCGGCACCATAGGTATTCTTCGAGGTGGCCTTGATAGAGCATCCTGCGTTTTTATCCTGGTTCGCCGCATTCACATCGCAATTGGAGGTTGCGATCTCACCCGCAAATGCTCCGGCATCAGAGGAAATAGAGCAACCGGCGCCAGTATGAAGTGTCATAGCATTCGTTTCCTGCTCGTTGACGCCCTCGAGGATATCGATCTCTCCACTGCAAAGCGTCAGTGCTAGATCTTCCTGTCCGTAAAAATCATCTTCTCACTTGGTAGGCCACGATGGTCCAACCATCCAAAAGGCAGGCCATGTTCCACATCCTGTTGGCATATGCGCCACATCCAACACTACCAGCCCGCTGTTATACGTCTTTTTGCTGGTGAGACGGATGCTCGGCCTGCCATTTGGGGTCTTGTTGGTGCTATCTACACCCCAAGATACTGCGCCGGAGTTGGTAGCATTGATCAAGCCGCTGCTTTGAGCGGTAGCTTGGTCAACATACTTCACGAAGCCTAGCGATGTTAGGATCTTCTTAGAGAAAGAGGCATTGGCACTTACCATTGGTTGGGTCAGGTGCAGTGAAGAAGTCAAATTGCTGATAAAAGTCTTTCATGTAGTCATCTTCGAGAACATAGCCAGCTATGGAGAGGTGAAAGAGGGTAGCAGCAGAAATGAATGTAGAGAAGTACATCTTGAACACAGAAAAGGAGCGACGTGCGTACTAGACGCAATGTAAAGAAGTGAAAAGAAGAATTGAAGAACGATGCGTAGATCGATGAAAGATCTCAGAATAGACGCGACCAATATGGGGGCACCACCTATATAGGCATCAAGGCCAGCGGGCCGCCCGAGGGGGTTGTCCGTTACGGTAATACCGCCATGCTACCACTCGATTCGACATCAAGGGTCCTGTTCCTGAGGCTAACGGGCGGCTGACGGACACGTCCTAATCAAGCTTTGTTTCAACACCAGACCAAAGCCACACTATCGCAGGGGCAGCGTACAGTGTTAGTGGCAGAGTCCGGTGATGAACACCTCAACCCTTCCAGCGGGAGCCGCATGAGCCACTCATGCGCAAAGAGAAGGCCTAGCTAAGCCAGGTCAATGTGCCTGGTTCTGTGGGACACGCAGACACTCTGTTTCATGCACATTGACGAGGTAAGCTGGCCGGGTGTGAATGGTGGTGCATGAAACGGTGATCCTTGGGATAGAACATACGACCAGGGCCTACCTAGTGGATCTGGAAGAAACGATGGGTTGAGCTCTGTGGCCGGCCAGTGTGAAACACAGAGGGGCACGAGGGAAGGGTGTTTCGAGACTGATTCGCTGAGGCAGACTTTCGGCAGCGGCACAGGACTAAGGGTTCGCTAAAGGGGAATGCAATACAGGATTTGTCAGCGATCTGTCGAGGACTTGACCGAGGAGAACATTTATTTCGCGGCAACAAGTCCAATCAACATTCGGCGCTTCTCGATATGGTCGGCGTCCCGCGAAAGACCACCAAATAGGTCTAATAATGTTTCCACTAACCTGAAACTTCGCGCTGCGACCCAATTAACTGATTTCTTCTCCCCAACACCAGAAACCTCCATGTCGCTTACCACCTTATCGCTGGCAATTATTGCAGCGCAAAGCAATAATACCCAAGAGAAGTGTACACTACCTCAAGCCACGTCGTCCAGAAATGTATTCTCTATTCTAGGTTCTGCTTTTTGACTTCCTCTTGCGCTATCTGACCTGGGTTTCCGACTTTCACGACACTTCGGACTTTGATGACACTCCGGACTTTCACGACACTCCGGACTTTCACGACACCCGGACTTTTCTGCTCCCAAGGCTTTGGGCGGACATAGCAAGTTCCCCTTCAAGCAACCAAATTTTCAATGCTGAGCAGTTCCATCCCCCATGTTCTAATCCTACACTACCAACTTGGACTTGGCATCTAGGAAATTGAAGTGAGATTGATTTGAAACACTCTCCCATGGAAGGATTATCCGAATCCTGACGATCATGGCACGACCTCTGAGCCATTATTGAATTTATGCCTTGCGGCAAAGGTTACTATTACAGTGCGATCGCAGTTTCTAATGTTTCACCACAGAAGGTGACCGCATTCCCGAACCTTTGAACTTGAGGTCAGGACCTCTGCTTTCTATGGTGTTTGATTCTGCACATTTAGCGTGCTGGGCCGAGACGGTGCACTCTCTATACTATCATATTAGAAAAATATCAATGCATCTCTTTCGGCCCTTGTTCCATGAATATAATGATTACAATAATCACTCTGTGATATGCAGCCATACTAGTGCTATCTAAGGCTTATTAAGGTTTTTTGTGTTCTCCTTCGCCGCGTCCTCCTCCGCCACATAGTTTATTCATTTGCCCGAATCTTTAAATCCTTTGAAGCTATACAGGGGAGCGATCCTCAAAGTATGTAGTTGGCCATTTCCCTATGTCCATATCCTAGCCGTACATATCCCACCGATTCCGTAGTGCTTCTGCAATATCATCGCTATTATCGTCATCGTCGCGAAAGTCGTCCTGGGGTTAGCATCTCCGCTCGTTGCTGTCACGCGGTGTAAAATCCATTGTATCTCCAATAGCCTGAAGTTAGGAAGCGGCCGTGATGCTGGATCATCGGTTTTGTGAGAAATTTCGTACCTAGAATAGATTACCAGGTTGGTCTTATATTGAATAGCTTCGCTAAGTTTGGTCCTTGATCTATGGCTGATAATGAAGGGGCTTGCAGGACATTGACTCCTGGAACGTGGGGGCATAAAGACAGCTAGTATATCCACACATTTCTTGTCGTCTGACATTCTGATCGGCTTAAGCGTGGAATATGCTCTTGCCCAATATCCATGCGCGTTGGGGGCAAGGCATATAAGGTTCTGACACACCTTTGCACCAAGAGGGAATATCGCGTTGTGCCAGGCATCCACACGCTCCTTAGACCAAAACTTTCATAAGGTGTCCCAAAAAGACTGTCATTACTGTTTAATAGTGCTATCATCGTATCGCATGGAGAGTGGGTAGATATGTGCAGCTTCATTCGGTTTCCTGGACTTCGCAAGAACACATTTCCTTTGGTCACTCTCGCGGCACTAGACATTATTAGTAAGAAAGAAACTTTACTGAGGATAGACTAGCCAGGTCTCGCTGTATCTTAGAGAGGATGGAAGGAGAAAGGATTGAAAACAAAAAGTTGGGAAGTGACAGAGTGGCGTTAGCGAACCTTCTACTCGCACATGCTCGATAAATTTACAGTCGAGAAGCCAAGGATTTGTCAACGAGTTGCTAAGTAGGACTTAGTAGTCACGTGTTTCATTAAGGGTCGATTAGGATATAGGCAAATAGCGTTGACAGTGAGAGACTTAGCCCGGCGGACTCAGCACTTGGAATCTCCACATTCACGGATATTGTATTGTATAGATCGTATATCGTGCGCCTTTTAGTATTTCTAAGTTCGCATAAACTCAAGGCAGCCCAACCGACAGCATTTTCCCAAATCGAAACCAAAGTCTTGCGACCTCCGTTTATGGCGCAGCCATGAACTAAAAAAGTACTCCGTTGCGTACGTTTTGGCTCGACCATTGTACGAGTGGGAGCCTGGTTTACTAGATTCGGCAGTGGCTGTATGTTTAAGGATGGCAAGGTCCGGTCCTTTGAAAGATTAACTGTATAGTAAAAAGTCCGTACCTGGGTGATGCTTGCGCGAGAATTCTTTGTCGTGCAAATGACTTTCTTCAAACAGTACATCTCTTTATGCTTATTTCCATGCATCACCTAGTTTGTTCTTAGTTCCAACAGTTTATTTTAGAACTCTCCGCACACTTTAAACCTCCCCTACGGATTCCATCAACACCACAACCACGCGACGCCTCCATCCTCCACTCCGGACTCCTTCATCCCTTCCAGACCCATCTCCCCAAAATCGCCCCACTTTCTGAAACCCCTACCTCTTCCAGCCCCTTAAATAACCATCTTTATTTCCGTCGTCCAATTTTAACCAATCACATGCTCGATGGAGCCTTAACGATCACATGCTAGTACAACACCATCGTGCGGATCCCTTCGGGCTAGTTTCCGAACATGTTAGTCAATAAGGCTTAATTTGGAGATGAGCCAGTGTTTCTTTGGCCTCCTTCCGAATAGAGGATATGGTTGCCTGACATAATTTTTTAGAGGTTGGAATGCTTTGTCTCATCGTCATCGGAGAAATCCATTTCCTCACCACGGCACGCCAGGTCGTATGGTAGAATACCCAATTTCAAGTTTTTGTCCTTTCGTTACTGCGCCGCACTGTGCAAACTTCCATTATGATGTTTTCCTTCAATCCGCCGTCAAGATTTCCATCGCGCACTAGTATTTCATAGCTAACCTTTCATTTCATCTCTATCCTTGAGTTCAGCCAGACCTCCATCTTCCTATCTCCTATATCCAAACCTGCTCGTCCTCCAAAATAACCCAAACACTTGCTCCGCATCTGCCCCAACTCCCCGGCACTCTTGAGTCTCTCTCTATATGCTTCAATACTAGCGCGAGTATCACACCTACCCTCATCTTCTTAACTTTACATATCCATCTCCATACCCATCAAGCCTAACTCCCCAACCCGCAGACGCTCCTACCGCAACAGCGCAAACAAGCACCGGTTTTCCATTTCCTTCATACCCACAATTCCTGGAATAATACCTTTCTCCCCGCTAAACAATATATTCCTGTTCTCGCTACTGCGCTACCTTCCATCCCCGCTTCTCTGCCAACTCTAACGCACCAGTCCTGGTAGTTATAATAGGTCAGTCCTGCGGGCAATACTACTCACTACCCGCGAGCGTGCGATGTGGGGACGGTTATAAGATATACTAGCCACCATTCCACCCCTTCTGGGGAGAAAAGCCATGGCGGAGGAGGGAGTCGATGGGCGTGTCTGAGATGCCGAGGTAAATCGTTTTAGTTTTGGGGTTAGTGTTTGGGTTGGTGGTTGGGGAGTTGGATATTGTGGTTGAGAGGGAACGAGTCGGTAAGGATTCATTCTGTTTTCGCAGGCTAAGAAGCGCGAGCCGTATGTTAAGGGTGCTCTGGATAGCTCGAGAGGAAACGAGTGGCTACAGGGGCGGTCTGACGGGGATAGAGGCAAGAAGCTAGGAGGGAGGTTGCATGCGGTGGAAGTGTTAGCAGTGAGGGTGAACAGCCTACCTTTGTCTGTCTCACACACAGCCCAACACTGTAACTGGCACTGGTACTAGCACTGGAATTCCGTGAGTACACAGAGCCAGGCCCAGATCCAGACACAGGACTGGACATCGCACTCGGCAGATATACTTTGCTTTATCTCCCTGTCCTGATCTCTATCCCGATTCTCTATAATGCAGGTTTTTAGCTCGAAGCCTGGGACCCTAAGCGAACTCATCTCTCTCTCATCACCGCCGGTAGTTGACAGAGAACAAATTCTAGAATGTGAGAGTTTTGAGCTGCGTGTGGCACGCAGAAGCTTTCTCCCTGCAATTTTGGATGTGTTTGTATTCGCGAGTATATTGGTGGTTGTGGTTGTGGTTGTGGTTGCACTATATGTGGTATTTTTGTCAATGGTTTTTCATTCAAGGGTAGAATGGCGAAAGAGAGGCATGGAAGAGGAGAGGAAGCGGGAGAGGGGGGTTAAAGGCAGGATGTGAGAAGACCATTATGTAGATCTTAAAGGGGGTAGGGCAAGGAAGGCAGATAAGCGCGGGGGGGTTGGTAGAAAAGGAATCGAGTTTGGGTACGCTTTTGATTTAGGAGATAATAGTCAAAGAGTCGTGACGATAAAATCCTGGAATCCGTGAGACATTGGGGTAAAGAACATGGAGGGGAGAGAAGGGGTCATTGTTATTAAATGACTGGTTAGTGGTCTTAGTATGTTTTCTCAATTAAATAGGCATGCAATTGTCTATGTAGTCTCTCCCCTACCGTCCACTTACATATTCCTCCTTCCTGTTGGGATTTACTGCAATGACTCAATGACAATAGCAGAGGCGCCACCGCCGCCATTGCAGATACCCGCACACCCAATCTTGCCCTTCTTTTCCCTCAACACACCCAAAAGCGTTGTCGTGATCCTCGCACCTGATGCCCCCAATGGGTGACCTAAAGCAACGGCACCACCGTGAAGGTTAACCTTGTCTTCACTTAGACCTAGCAACTTCATGTTCGCCAGCGCCACAACGCTGAATGCTTCGTTGATTTCAAAGGCATCCACAGCGCTCTGCTCAACCTGTGCGTGCTTGAGAGCCTTGGGGATAGCGAGCGCAGGGGCGGTGGTGAATTTGGATGGGTTCTGGGCGGCGTCGCCCCAGCCAAGGATTTTAGCCATGGGTTTTAGATTATGGGCTTTGAGTGCAGCTTCGGAGACAAGAACGAGAGCCGCTGCGCCATCGGAGAGGGGTGATGCGTTGGCAGCGGTGACAGTGCCGTCTTTAGCCTTGAAGGAAGGGCGGAGGTTGCGGGTCTTGGATTCGTTAAACTGGCAGATGATCAGTAAACGCTGCAGGCGGATTATTAAACATTAATTATGGGCATAGTGCCTACATTCTTGGGCTCGTCGTCTGTGTCGATCGTGATAGCCGGCTTGCCTCGACCGCCAGGCACTTGGATAGGAGCAATTTCCTCCTTGAACCAGCCTGCTGCCTGGGCTGCATTGGCCTTCTTATAAGAGCGGATGCAGTAGTCGTCTTGGTGCTCGCGGTTGAAGCCATGATCATCCGCACACTCTTCTCCTTGAAGACCCATATGCTCCTTCTTATACGCGTCTGTGAGACCATCCTTGAGTACACCGTCGACCAACGACTGGTCGCCGAACTTGGCACCAGTCCTCATGTTGGGGAGGTAGTGTGGTGTGTTCGACATGCTCTCGGTTCCGCCAGCAACGACAATGTCGGCATTTCCAGTTATGATTGTTTGGGCGCCAACGATGAGGGCTTTAATGGACGAGGCGCAGACTTTGTTTACCGTTGTGCAAACGACAGATTCAGGGAGCCCGGCGCCAATAGCACATTGACGGGCGGGGTTTTGGCCGAGACTATTAAATACACTTAGACACCAACAGAGAGATATGGAAAATATACTACTCACTTCGCAGAAAGCACATTGCCCATGAAGACCTCCTGGATATCTTCAGATTTGAGGCCAGCACGCTCGACGGCGGCTACAAGAGAGAATTAGGCCAATTGATGAACTAAGTGAACAAGAAGCTAGCCCCCACCTTTGATAGCATGGGAACCGAGTTGAATTGCCGTCACACCAGAGAGAGAGCTGTTGGGGAGGTGAGCGCTTGCTTTTTGCCCCGCCATGCAATATGCAAAACATACCCCAGGAACATGCCCACCGGCGAGCGGACAGCCGAAACAATGTAAACTGGGGGGAAGGAAGACATTTTGGGGGGAGTCTAAGGACTGATGTTGAGAAAAGAAGGAGAAAAACCGCAAGATTGACACACTGCACGCGAGCAAGTTGTGTGAGAGCGAAAGAAGCTGGGGTGGAGTTTTGGGAGTGGGAGAGGAACATTCCAGCACCTGATTGGCCGTTCCCTTAACAGTGTTCACCGCCTTCTTTCGCGCTAGGCTAGACGTTTTGCCGGACCCGCGCCAAGCATCTCGAAATATCTGGAAAGCTTCAAGCTGGAGCTGTCGTCTCACCTCAAACGCTGCCTTTACCCATCTTCCGCCACGATGGATGATCTATACGACGAGTATGTATACTTCGGGTTTCTCTGTTTGACTTGGCACGTCTAATGCGCCCCATAGGTTCGGAAACTTCATTGGCGAGGCCGACTCGGGATCGGATGCGCAATCCACGGGCGAGGGTGCGGATGCCTACGTCCTTGGCGATGAGGAGAAAAGCGAGCCCCCATTGGAGGAGGATCAGCAGCTTATGGAGGTCGACGATGAGGGCCCATCGAACGCCGTGATCCTCCACGAGGACAAGCAGTACTATCCATCCGCCTCAGACGTCTATGGGCCCGGTGTAGAGATTCTTGTCCAGGAAGAAGATACGCAGCCATTGACACAGCCGATTATAGAGCCGGTGGTGCAGAAAAAGTTCACAGTGCAGGAGGTGGACTTGCCTCCAGTTCACTTCAAGAGGGACTTTCTCGCGGATTTAATGAACTATCCCGATCAGATACGAAACATCGCAATTGCTGGGCATTTGCATCATGGAAAGACGGCCTTCATGGATATGCTGGTTATGGAGACACATGATATCCAGGAAAGACTGGACAAAGCAAAGGGCCGCAAGCGTGAGGAGCAGCTGCGGTACACCGATGTGCATGTTCTTGAGCGTGAACGCGGCCTCTCAATCAAGGCGGCACCCATGAGCCTGGTTCTACAAAACGGTGCGCGGAAATCGCATTTGTTTAACATTCTAGACACCCCAGGACACGTCAACTTCGTCGACGAGGTTGCCGCCTCGATGCGATTGGTCGATGGCGTGGTCCTAGTCGTGGACGTGGTCGAGGGCGTTCAGGTGAACACGGAGCAGATCATCAAACACGCCGTGCTAGAAGACCTGCCCTTGACTTTAGTGGTTAATAAACTGGACCGACTGATCCTAGAGCTAAAGCTTCCCCCACAGGACGCCTACTTTAAGATCAAGCATGTAATCGAGGAGGTCAATACCGTTATCGAAGATACCCTCCCAGGACAGGGAGAGAAGAGGCGCCTAAGTCCTGAGAAAGGCAACGTGGCATTCGCCTGTACAAGCATGCGTTGGTGTTTCACACTAAAATCGTTCGCCCAGATGTATGCCAATTTCTACCCAGGAGGCAAGAGAGGGCCTGGTTTCGGGAAACAGAGCAAGAACATCGATGTCCCTGCATTCTCCATGCGATTGTGGGGAGATATCTCTTACAACCCTCGGAGTCGCAAATTCACCCGTAAGGGAGTAGAGGAAGGCTCAAAGCGATCATTCGTTTACTGGATACTCGAGCCTGTTTATAAGCTTTACTCACACACACTTAGCAAGAGCCCCGAGGACCTGAAGGACACGCTGGCCGAATTAGGCATTCAGCTCAAACCATCACAATATAGAACGGATGCTAGAGAGCTCATGCGCCTGGTATGTGAGCAATACTTTGGCCCTGCTACGGGCTTTGTCGACATGATCCTCGAACATGTTCCATCACCACAGGAAGGTGCGCAACGGATGCTAGAAAAATACTTTACCGGCCCTCTGGACAGCAAGACTGCAGAAGCTATGCAGAAGTGCGACCAGGATGGCCCGTTAGTCGTTCATGTTGCAAAATTGTTCAATTCAACAGACGCCAAATCGTTCCATTGTCTTGGACGAGTCATGAGTGGCACTGCACGGTCCCCTCAGTCGGTGCGCGTTTTAGGCGAAGGCTACACGCTTGAGGACGAAGAAGACATGGTTGTCTCCACAATCACGGACACATGGATTGCGGAGTCGCGATACAACGTACCTACCAGTGGGGTTCCAGCAGGCAACTGGGTCCTTCTCGGAGGTGTCGACAACTCAATTGTCAAGACTGCCACCATCGTGGCCCAGAAACTCCCCAATGATGAAGATGCATATATTTTCCGACCGATTAGACACTTCTTTGAATCTGTTTTCAAAGTCGCAGTCGAGCCTATCAACCCTTCCGAACTCCCAAAAATGCTTGACGGCCTACGGAAAATCAATAAGTCCTACCCTCTCATCACCACGAAAGTAGAAGAATCTGGAGAGCACATTGTGCTCGGCACTGGGGAGTTGTACATGGACTGCGTCCTTCATGACCTACGGCGGCTGTACGCCGACATGGAGCTCAAGGTCTCGGATCCTGTCACCCGTTTCTGCGAGACTGTTGTAGAGATGTCTGCCATAAAATGCTACGCCCTTACTCCAAACAAAAAGAACAAACTCACCATGATTGCTGAGCCGTTAGATCCAGGGATTGCAGAAGACGTCGAGGCTGGCAAGGTTAGAATTAAGGATCCTGTCCGCGTTGTTGGCAAGTTCTTCGAGGAGAATTACGGCTACGATTTGCTGGCATCGCGAAACATTTGGGCATTTGGACCTGACGACATGGGACCGAATATTCTCCAAAACGATACCCTTCCGTCAGAAGTAGATACGAAGCTACTTCGACAGGTGCGTGACACTATCCGGCAAGGATTCAGCTGGGCTACTCGTGAAGGACCACTCTGCGAAGAACCAATCCGCAACACCAAATTCCGTATCACCGATGTTAATCTCGCTGATGAAGCCATATTCCGTGGTGGTGGTCAAATCATTCCTACCTCCCGGCGAGCCTGTTATTCGAGCTTCCTGATGGCTAGCCCGAGGTTGATGGAACCGGTGTACAGTTGTAGCATGATTGGACCTGCTGATGCAGTGAGCAGTTTATACACGGTTTTGGGCAGGAGGCGAGGTCATGTGTTGCAGGATGGTCCCATTGCTGGGACCCCGTTGTACAGTGTGCGGGGCCTAATTCCGGTCATTGACAGCTTCGGGTTTGAGACTGACTTGAGGGTACGTCAACATCTATCCTCTCTTTCCCCCAGCTCTGCTTACACATTAACTCTGCGTAGATACACACTCAAGGCCAAGCGACCGTCTCACTGGTCTTTGACCGCTGGTCCATCGTTCCGGGCGACCCTCTCGACAAGGACCTTAAATTGCGACCGCTCGAACTTGCTGCTCCTCACGCGCTGGCAAGGGACTTCGTGCTCAAAACACGGAGGAGGAAGGGTCTGGCTGAGGACGTCACGATCAGCAAGTTTTTGGAGCCAGAGCTCTTCCGGCAGCTAAAGGAGAGCGGAATTTTGGATGGCTAGCTAATACACGACCAATAGGCGGGGGCACCTCACAAATGATTGTGATTGTACAATAGCATCTCTTGGGTGAATGACAGGGCTATCGTCGTATGATCAAATGATCGGAGCATCAGGCTTTAGGCTGGGGCTTCAAAAGGCTTGGAATGGGATATATATACCACGTTACAAGGTACGACCTTAAATCACCTTAGCTTCACCTCATGTTTCAGCGAGCAGCTAGTTGGCTCGCAGGGTCTCAATAAAATCCACAGAGAGCCATCTAAATTTCGAATTCAAAGCTCAAACAGTATATTTACCAATCGCCATCCAATTCCCATACCCAAGCGCAATCATTATATGTACAAATCGCCTAAAACCTCTATTTCTTGCATTTCTGCAAATCACACTTCACATCTATAGTATTCGCAATCCCACCAGTTGCATCACTAATCGTCTTCTGCGCCTGGGTCTTCTTATCCCCCGAAATATTATTCTGCGCACAAAAAGTGCAATCCTTCTGCACAATATCGCCCGCATCACTGCACTCGATCGTCCACTCCATGTGTCCATTCCCGCGTTTATTATTCGGCTGAATTGTCGCGTACATCGAGAACGTCATGGGGAGGTGAATGTACTTGAACGTCGTGTACTGAAATCCATCTTGACACTTCCCAGTCTTCTCGTCTTTGACCCCGTTGCAGCACCCGCCGCCCGGTACCAACCAGCCATTGCAGTGCACCGCTTTCCGCTGCTGTGAATACTGGAATACCGATTGAAGGCCATCTGGTGCGGACAAATCCAACAACACTTTTTTCATAGCATCTGACAGTTTCTTGCCGTTAGCCAGATCTTTATATCCCTTGGTACTGATTTTGCATTTCGCAGGCAAGTCCTTCGTCTTCTTCTCAAAGTCCCCGGAATCAGTGACTTTGAAGATTTCGTCAACCAGTGCAGCAGCTTCCGGCATATCACCTCCTTGGATAATCTTCACCGTCATCGGCCCTGCCCAGATCTCAACTTCATAATGGTCTGGGCCGGGGGGTCCGCCATTCCCGGGATCCAGGCCTTTCAGCCCGTCGTTGAATTTCGTCGCATACGTCGCCATCTGCCAGACATCATTCTTATCTGGATGCAGTTCGCTCGCGCGACCGTACGAGTCCCAGCATAATTGGAGGGTTTCAGGGGGTGCGATACAGCCTGTACGGAGGGCTTCGCAAATGTAAGAAGCGACGAGGAAGAAATCAGGGTCTTGCTGCAGGTTGAATTCGTTTTGGTTGGTGGGCCTGAAGACGATTTGTTTGTTGGCGAGGGCGTAGACCCCAATGAAGGGCTCTGTGCAGCTACCATAGTTAGGGGTGGCGCGTGGGAGGATGAGGGTCTTTGAAATTAGGGGCTCCGTTGAGGGGTGGGCGAATGTGAGGGAGAGGAGAGGGAGGAGAGGGAGGAGGGGCGTTAGGGAGAGCATTGTGGGTCGTGATCTATCTGGAATAATAGTGATAGAACGGAGAAGAGAGATGCGAAAAGACCGTATATGGTTTAATGAACGCTATTAGATGGAACTGGAAGGAAAAAAATGTCCAACCAGCCTAGAGAAGAAGAAGACGACGATAAAGTAGCCAAAGTTGATGACCAAAGAGAATCCCATCCCCCTCAATCTTATATCACGACGCCGGGCTCCCTCCCATCCCTCCAATGCGTCAAAATAGACACACGCCGGTGTCTCCTCCAGAGAGCACTGAGCCCCATCAAGGTACAGTAGCATCCAGCCTCAGAAGCAGCACTCTTGGCATTTCGGATACGAACAGTGGCGTCCGAAGCGCAGCTGTTGCCCATGTCACCGCCTTCCCTACAGGGCTACATTTCAGGGAAACTTCCTGGAGAAAAGTTGTCCCGGACGGACCTCTCAGCCTCCATGTTACGTTGGAAGATTCAGGACCCAATGAGATGGATGGCGGGGGTGGCTCTGCATGCATTCTTACGCGGTGGACCCCTGTCCTCGCCGACTCTCTGAATAATTTTGTGGTGTTGAAACTCCAAAAGCCACTTGCCTTGCTCGTTGCGGCTAGCTCGCTCAAGTGTGATTGGCTGAGGCCAACTCAGCTCATGTGCCAAGGGTTCCGTATCAGCATGCTCGGACGTCACCGAAAAAGGCGGACGAGATTTTCATGCCATCTCAAAGATGTTAGAAGTAGTGCTGGGCGACTTGGGAGGCCTTAAAAAGTTAATGGAATGAGAGACATGTCGGTGGTAGAGATAATGCGATGCTACCCACATATTATGGAGCAGGCGACATTGATTGCATCAATTAACGCTTGCAGGTGTTCAAATCAAATTTCGACGGCTCTACTCCGCTTTTCGGCCCTCAAATACATGCACAGCTACGTTATCCCTCTCAACCACACATGTCCTCCTCAGGAACTAGCAAGATTCCTATGAATTAGCCCCCCATCCTCTCTTTCAGTGCTTTACTAATCCCCTTTTCGAGCATCATCCTCGCGTGGACGCCTTCTTTAGTCTCATACCACTTATCCAAAAGCGCATCGAGATTCGCACTCCACGCTTTCAATTGTCCCTGTGTCACTAGCATGGCGAACACATCATGAACCTCATCAGGCAGATCCCCCCACTCCACCCTGTTCCGCCTCATATCAAGTTTTCGGCTAATTTGAATGATTAGGGGCAGAGACGTGGAAAGAGACAATACCAAATTGTGTACACGACAGTCGAGGGGAGTGCGTTCGAGAGGGAGCCCAGAGGACCTTCTCCAGTGAATATGATTGATGGTTCGACGACGCTGGGGACAAGGGGCGGCATCTAGTCCACTGTCAGGTGCGGATGGTAGAAGAGGAGGAGATCCTGATGATGTTCCATTCACAGGACCGGACACTGGGGCTTCACGATCAGTGTACGCTCGCCGCTGGCCTAAAATGTCGCTTGTCTCATGATGTAGTTCATAGCTAGTCGAGATTTGAGGTCCATTGCACATATAGCTCGATCGCGGATTGACAGGAGTAAAAGACGAAGGCGTAAAAGAAAACTCGAACCCATGATCGAGTATGCCATCGCTTGGTATACTCGGTTGTAACTGCTTCTTCTGTCTAAAGAAGTCCCGAATATCTGTGTTGTTCGCCAAATTGAGTCCATCAACAAGATGCTCAGCGACTTCAATTACAGGCCCCTGAAGTTGTGGGTTCTCACTTCGAGGGAATAGAGGGAGGCCTCGCGCTGCTTTTATTCGTTTCGGAGCATTGGGATACGACAAAGAAGGTCCACTACCAACCCAATTTTCATTGCCCTGTTGTTGTTGTAGTTGTAGTGGATATGAGAATGGTTTGGTGGTAGAAGCTTGCGGCTTGCAGTGACTCCGACGCGGAGCCAACGATTCGTCTGGAATCGTGTGAAGCGGTGTGCCTGATGTACTTGAAGGTGCTGGAGGGAAGGGACCCATCTCATTGGTGTCAGAGTGAATTTCACCGAATTGGTGATGAGCATTGTGTAGCGGAAGGCTTCTAGATGTTGAAGGCACCTGAGACAACTGGCGCGGCTTATTGACTTCAGAAGGAGGCTCACTGAACTTCTGGTGAGCAGATAAGAATGCGACCTCTTCGTCCGTAGGCTTGCCGTGCATGGAATCCTGACTAAGGTTTCGAAGACGAGTCGCAGGAGCTGACTGATTCCTGCTCTGGAGTTTTCCCTTCCTTGGAGATATGCCTAACTGTGAAGTTGATGGAGTCTGAGGGGTTATTAGCTCAATATGAGGGTTCAATCCACTAGCTGCATGCGAAGGTGAACTTGAATCCGTAGTAGCATCTCCTGGACCTTTTGCCAGAGTCATAAATTGCGTTTTAGCAGGTGATCTTCCGGCTTTGACTGCCGTGTTCATCCTCGCAATCGTCCACGGGTTAGACATGTCAAAGGCACGTTGTCCTTTCTCCACCTCTAATAGCGCCTGGTTCTCTAGAAGCATGTCCATGTCTTCGTCGTCAATACTATGGATATTTGATCTGCATTCCTGTTCGTCTCTCCGGTCCACAGATTTCCGTTCGGTCCCGGCATTCTCATCTTCAAAAACGGTGAAGGAAGATCGCTCTGGAGACGACCATCTGTCGCGGATATGGGCCTGCGACCATTGGGCAGACTTACGTGGCTGAAGTTCTTCTTTGACCACTTCGGGATAGTGAAGTCTGAGCAGTTTGTCTACTACACCCAGAACGAGTTCTCCATTCTCGAAAAGAACGTCGTCTTTGGCAGGCTCAATGTTGGAATCATAGCTGTCAGGTGGACACTTGATATTCATGCATATGAATGGATCCTTCGTCGAAGCAAGTGCTAGATTTGCTTTGCGTAATCGTTCCTTGAAAGCCGCCACAAGCTGCCTCATCAGACCCCTACTAGTTGATACCGGCCTTGAGTCGATAGAGATAAATGCACCTTCATTGGCAATTTTCGCTCCAGCTGCATCCGGCCTGGGAAGGAATGCTTGAATCTCAAAACCGTCCACTTCCAAGGCAGTCCAATTGCATTGGGAGGCGCATTCTCTGCCGATAACTTTTAATGCAGCATCTTCCGGACTGAGTCCGGGTTTGGGTGCGTACACCCAGTTACCCTTATCCGTCTTTGCCTTCCGGACCTGAAGGGAAAAGCGGACAGTCGGTCTCGCGAACGCATATGCCTGCATCATGCGCTTAATCTGGGCTAGGCATCTTGCGGAATGCTTCAGAGCTGCTTGCTTTCTAACTGGAAGAGTCTTAAAAAAGTTAGTCACCTTGACAGTTGTACCGACTGGACGTGAGGCTCGTTCGGTACTGAAGTAGATTAGTCCTTATACGTGATAAAATATTTTGACAGGGTAGAGATATTCTTACGATTCAATTTCACCACTTCGTCCAATTTTCAGAAGGACTGCGACGGACTCGCCTTCGACTCTCGTCGTGATCCCAAGCGTCCCGCTCATCTCTGCTATACCAGCCATCGCCTCCCCACGAAAGCCCAACCACTTCCCTCCAACTTCTTTCAAGTCATCAAAGTCTCGGATTTTGCTGGTGCAGTAGCGTCGACATACTAATGGCCAGTCTTCGGCGGGAATACCATGTCCATTGTCTTTTACTTCGATGCAATCGATTGTGTTGGCAGATACGAACACAAAAATGGCTGTAGCTCGAGCATCGAGAGCATTGTCAATAAGTTCTTTCACAACGGAGCTTGGGTCGACAAGAACCTGAGACGAGCCGATCCGCTTCACTGTTGACTGGGGCAGTGCTATGATGCCGGACTTCGGCAGGTCTAGATCTGATTCATCAACCATCCCTCAACATGAGAACACGCGGGGTATTAGAAAGGATTGAGAGAAAGATTAAGAGATGAGTTCATTCTGCGGTGACCCTGCTTCAAGCCATTCGTGACTTCTTCATCAAGAAAGAGAGCTAGGCCGAAACCAGCAAGAAAGGCACGACGCGTTCGCGCCGTCAGGTGACAACTGTTCGCACCCAACTTACACATAGGAATTGATTGGTTCGGTCTCGTCGTATGTCGGGTCGAAATACTTGATCCAGAACTTCCAATGCACCATGCTTGGGAAGTGGCCAATCAGAGCCCTAAGAATCTCGCAGATCCTTGCATCTCAGAACTTGCGCGGCCAACCCTCTGCTCACATGCAAGCTTCATAAGAACGGCGGGTCTCGCAGCTTTAATACCACCAACTCCACATGATCTTGGGCATCGCCTATTCTTCGTATTTTATTTCCCCATGTCTTTCACAACAGATCAGGCTCGGTGGCGAGCCCTCACAATCCGCGATGCAGCCGCCAACGGGGCATTCGTCTACAGCGTGAAATCAACTGGTATTTATTGCAGGCCAACCTGTCCCGCCCGTCTGGCACGCCGTGCAAACGTTAGCTTCTACAAAACTCCAGGAGAAGCTGAAGCAGCAGGATTCCGGAGCTGCAAGCGATGCAAACCAGAGAGTGTCACGATCGACGATCCACAGGAACGCGCTGCTTCCAAAGCATGCTCGCTCATTGATGAAGCCTTGAAAGAACCGAAGCCGAAATCTTTCAGGTTGCAAGATCTTGCGAAGAGAGTGGGCCTGACTCCGCGATATTTCCACAAGGTCTTCAAAGATAAAACTGGAATGACTCCAAAGGAGTATGCGAACTTTAAGGCCCGGGAACGAAGAGGTGGAAATGGTGGCACTATCTCAACTGAAATTCAAACAACTCTCGAATCTATCGATACTAATGGTATGGATTTTGTCGATCTGTTTGACTTCAACCTCGATCTGGATTTGCCACTTGACGGAACGCTCACGATTGGAGCATCGAGCCAGGCAGCCCTAGAGCTATTCGGACAGGAGATCGATGCCAATACAAATCTTCTACCTTTGGGTGGTAGCATTGGGTCTGACACTTTGAGCCTTGCCTATCAAGCCAGCAACAGCAAGCAAAGCCAACAGCTAGAGGCGCCGCAAATGGACAGTCTTGTAGGATGGGACTCCTGGCCCTCGGTGATGACGAATACCACAACCTTCAATCCTCTCGAGGCGAATCTCGAGCAAAACGGGAATACAATACCAGTAACATTACCTGAGTTTAGCGTGGATCTCTTACGTCTTCTTGATGGGGGCGGGTCGGATAGCCAGTGCTGCTCTTGGTAGCCTACATATAAATATATCCCTTCTCGAAAGTTCTTCCCATAGTTAGGGCGTCATTGCTCCTGTATGCGACTTTTGTTGCTGTCCAAGCCAATAGATCCTCCATTGTAACCGCTCTGGCCGGAAAAGTTGTCCGGTGAGCTTCGAATCCCTCAGGCGCCAACTAACATGTCGAAATTATCGAATGTCCGGAGTAGAAGCCTATCTACTCGCGTCCCACAACTGAAAGGGTTGAAATTGGCAAAAAGGTCCAGCTATGGGGCAATGACGGCTCAGGAGGGAGAATTTGTGACGCGAGTAGTACCGCCAAAGGAGGTTTGGGGACGCGTTGACATGAAGTCTTTGAGAAACCTGAGGTCTTGAGTCTTGTCAGCTCCCATTCTCTCTAAACATATGACGAGAATTTTACTGGGGTGAGATGAACTCAGGGACCTAGTTATAAGCAGCGACGGCGTAGCATATGTCGATGCTAGCCATCCTTTTCCGGCTCTTCCTATAGAATGTTTGGTCGAATAATCTCATCATGGAGTAAGAAGTGAAGAGAAGCAGGCTATGTACGTACAGTAGTAAATTTGCAGGCTAACAACCGGGTTTGGGATCAGCGGGATACGCTGAACAAGGCAAGAGACTACAGGGCCAACAAAGCGATGCGATCGGAAATGACATAACAAGAGAATTTCTCGCTGTGCACGACACTGTAGGCGATGGACTTGTTGGTAGGGCAAGAGTTCGAATTCTGTGGTCGCCATTGCCAAGAAATACAGAATTGACGAATGGTACTATGCCTATATAGGCTAGCCTATTTCTCAACCGCTTATTTCAAGGTCATCCCCATCCTTCACTACCAGGCTTCTTCCTGTTCTCCGAATTCTCGCACAAGGTCCTTAATCTTTGCTCGATGCTTTTCAAAATTGGGGAAATTATTGGCTTTGGATGTTGGAATGGTTTCTGAGGGGGCTGCAGGACAGGAAACCATCAGTCTATTTTCTGACCCACCTCATTCTTAGGATTTACATGAAGTAGGATCTGCGACGCCTTGCAGGTTTTGCGGCGCAGTTTCTTGACAATATATTAAACGTGAAACGATTTCGTTCCCAAGTCCCCTTTTTCAGATGTGTTCATTCATCTGTCCCAACTTCTTACATTGCCTTGATGTTTTGATTTCAGATCAGGCGACATCCAGTCACCTTCCATCGGAGAATGGGTACGCCAGGACTTCGTTGGGTCATTGTCCATCAAGGTTAAGAGGAGGGAACAAGAAAAGCTGGGATCTACATTTTGGTAGTGATCATAGTCATAGTGGTACTACTGGTTGTCGCTCTCATCTGCTATCATTGGCGAAACATCATGAAGGGATGGTAGAGCTTTCGGGAATAAGATAGCGAAGATTCTGAGGGCAAGCACTTGAGAAGCCGAACCAAGCAGTGCCGCAGAACAACTTGTTATGGCTCTCAAAATGGTGGGTGTAGGTGTTTCCACCGGTTGACAAGACGAGGCACCTTGTTCTCAGGCGAACTCCAGACACGCGCAATCTCCTCCTACCACCACTTCTCACGATCTTTCAGTCTGTTAATTCGGACTACAGGAAGCCGTCTTCTATGTACGATCCGAGGGGAAGAGAACCCAGAGCTATCTGGATATCGTTGGCGACCTCATCGGCGGCTTCCGAGTTGTTTGTGCGGATAAATCCGGTTGGGATATATCCTTCTAAGCTTCAAGGTGTGAGAGAGTGTGTGTGCGTGTGTGCGGAGACCGTCATCCTAGAAGCTGCATCAAGAATATAGTTACAGAGGACCACAGGGTAGCACACGCTTCAACTAGTGAGTGGAGCAGCTTCAAGCAGATGGACACGATGCAGACAACGCAGATCGATCAAGGCAAAAGAGGGATCTTCTACTAAATCGCTAAGTGTGCTCCTTAGTCACGACAGCAGAACACGAGATGATCCCCTTTCCAACCTTTCAAGACTCTCCGTAAATCCGCCTTGGCAGGCTACTGTGTTAGCCACATGTTCATCTCGCGCGACGCAAATCCCTCCGCCGGCCGTGGATTTAGCCTTCTCCAGCAGCGTCATAGACTTACGCCACACGTTACATTCTTATAGAAATCAAATACCTCGCCCTGCACGTTTGAATCGAAGATATCCGCGCAGCAAGGTCCGATTTCTGCTCCCCAATATTCCTTCCGTCTTTCGGTCTATGTTTTGCCAGATTACTGCTGGAACCTTACGTTCAAGACTTCATATAGATGCTATGCTGCAAGGCATTTTCGTAATACCAAGAACACCGAAGGGGAGAGGCGCCAGCCAGTGCTTGTTCACTGCACTATGAGCAATCGGAAGTTGTGTATCCAGCTGTAGTCTTCAGGTTGAGAAATATGGAAGTTGGGATAAAGCCAAGACGCCGGATCTAGCGGAGGTCTCATAGAAGCTTTTTTACGCGAGACGGCAGCAAAAACGGTTGAGTAACTAGGGTACCGCTAGTTGTGACTTCCTGGCGGATTCCCGTTGTTAGCGGTTTCGTTTGACTGCCGTGTTTGGTTAATGCAAAGGAGGGCGTTACTCAGGTGGAAGTTCCAGAAAGGTCACGTTCCTCGCTCAGCAATGCCAAAATCAGGATAGTCGCGAGAGATGAATCGCAAAATGATAATGCCGCAGTCCCTTGCTATTATTAGGTACTTTTTGCCATGCTTTCGCATTTGGTGGCGTCCAGCCCTCGCTTTCAAGAGTGTCGAAGAGGAAAATTTCGCATTGGCGGTTAGATTTCCCGATCAATCTTTCGTGCAACACTCTGCGACAGACAGTTAAATGCCCGTTGTTTGATCATAACATATCCTCAAATCAGATGCGGCAGAGATCTGATACCTGCAAGACCAAGGCTTCAGCACTCCCCCTTCACGTTGAAGATGTCTCCATCCACTCATTTCTGCAAGAACACGAGAATCAACCGCTTCGAGATAACAGTATCTGAGACATGCCATGCAGTTCCCCGCAAAATCTGCAGTATTTGCCTCCAATATTGCCAGAATGCTCTTCATGCAGGCGGTGCGAACTTGAAGAGCTCAGCTTCTTGTCCCCACACCCTCTTCCGCCAGGTATCTGATCCACGCGAGGAGTAATACGCTCCGTAGCCCTCCGGATGCTGCCTGCCCGATCCCACGGTCAGACCGGAACCAGGCTACCCTGGCTTCAGGTATGCCTAACATACCAGCAGTTGAGCACCTAGTGCGAAATTTCCCCGGTTCTTGGAAACCCATTGGCGAAGAAGCTTTTACGAGCCAAGCTGGACGTTCGTATCTGGAGGTCTTGTGAAGGTTAAGCATCAGCTGGGCGGGAGCCCTTGGCATACTGCAAGCCGGTATTGAGGCCATCCGCCAAGCAACATGATTCAAAGTGCTACCAAAGATGTTTAGAGCCAATGCAAACATCACACAACCAAAATACCGCTTCGGGATCCTTTTGGGTTGTTGTCTCACTTGTGTCGAGTTCCTGGCATCGAAGTGGGAGTGGGATGAAATCTCAATAGTGCAGATGTAGGACTGCCCTCGTGGGTAGGATATGACATAGGATTTACACTTGGGGCTTTCGTAACATTGCCCAAATTGGCAAGATTTGAAAGACGGCTCCCAAGAGATCGGAATCAAGGTGAGCTAGCGAATTAGGGATCCTCACAAAATCGACGATCCAGCATTCGCCTATTAAAAGTCCGACCGAGTCTCCCGCGCGCCGATATGCAGATACGGAAAGTGTGCAGGGGTGATTTACCTTCAAAGATACTCAAAAAGGGTTGCGGAGTGACCAAGTGTGGGCCCAGCGACCAGGTCGACCAGGCCACATGCATCGGACAGTACTACTCTGGCGGGTACAGTAGACCATGCTAGATTCAAGTACGGCTTCTCCATGCTTTGGCACACTTTCCTGGGGTAGCTCTGCAGAAGCTCCTATCGTCAAAGACAGTCGCCGTAGTGCCGAATCTCCACCATTCTACTCACATGCATGATATGTACAATTCAATAGGAGGTAGCCGCAGGAAACCTCGTGCCAGCACGGATCAGTCCAAATCCGTCTGACATGAGTTTTGATGGCGGTCTTAGCACGCCCCCGTGGCCTTGCAAGGGTGGCTGCAAATGGTGCATTTTCACGAAGCGGCTGATAGTCAACAAGTGAGGTTTAGAGCGACTTCCCGAGTATCTTGGTATTCTTGGCTTACACTTGGCAGCACACTTCTGTTGGTCGGGATTCAATCACGTTTTGATCCACCGCCAAGTGTGGTCTAGCGGACACCATTGAGTCGGCGCCAACTACAAAGAACCCAGTCGAGACCTCGACCCTTCCGCTGTCCAACAGATCCATCCTACACAGCTGCGGAGTTGCGCCTCTCGCTTTTTTACTCTATTGTCTATTTTTATGGCCTAGATTTCTCCGAGAGCATCGGGACCTGGACATGTTGACCGGTTCTCAGCCTGCCACGATGCAAGTTCCTCTGCTAAAATCTCCCGCTCTGGTTAACGCATTTTCTGTCAGAAGCAAACCATCTGGCTCCTCTCTTCGGGCAAGACTCTGTCCCGAGCCTATTCTAGGTGATGCCAAGCTTCAGCTGTGGCTTTTGCACAGCTCTGAAACATGACAAAAGACTGCGCCCTTATACGCTCCCTGCGACCTCGCCTTACTTTACTGCATTTGCTCTGCTATCTCAGTTGACGAGGTTCGTACCCCACGTACAATACCGAATCTTCTGAGCGCGGCTCCTATTTTGTTCCTGTCAAAGGTTGGACTTTGCTCACAGAACAAAGATAAATGTTACAGAGCTGCCTCTCAAAGCTCAAAAAGCACCTAAGCCGTTTCCCTGCTTCTAGTGTAAGCACCAATTCTGCTTACCGAATTGCCAAATTAGATCCTCGACAGTTGGCATTGCCGAATTTAGGGTCCACTTGTGGATCCCAGTGTATGCTCTTGTCAGGTGTCGTTCGCAAACCAGTGCCATGCATCATCAACCATTGATTTAGTACTAGCTCTTGGGGCTGCCTACCTCAGCCATGGCTTCGTACCGTCAACCACATGGCACAAGGCTCGAGCCAAAATGTTCACTAGTCGTCCGCCATGCATCCAAGCGACCACCACTTTCCGTTGCCACCGCCAGCCCAAGGACTGTTCGTGCTTAACGGCCTTTCAATAGCTTCCCAAAATGGAATCGGAAGGTTATGGCGAGCTAAATTTCTCGAGAATGCTGAATGGGGGCAAGTTGGACCGTCTGATATTTTGATATAAAGCCCCTTGGAGCATCCTTTAGGACATCCACATCAGCCAAATTCCCTCAATTCTTCTCAGGTGCATCAGGGTAACACTAGTATCGCTCGTGTAACCAAGCCCTCGTCACACATTATGACAAGCTTTCGGTCTCTCGTGGTGGCATCGCTTTTGTCATGCCAGGCTTTCGCTGGAGACAAGGACTGGCTGAGTCCTGTCTATAAAGACATATTCCAGAATCCTTTGCCATTCCCCCCTAACAAGGCACCGAAATAGTATGTTGCTCTATTTTCCATTCATGAGGCTATTACTAACAGCTATAGCCAATATACTAATGCATCAACCGGTGCCACGATAGACTACTACGAGATCGAGATTAAGGCTTTTGAGCAACAGGTATATCCCGGCCTTAAGCCAGCGAAGCTTGTTGGGTATGATGGGATTTCGCCTGGCCCGACCTTCCGCATGGAGAGGGGCCGAGAGGCTGTAGTTCGATTTGTTAATCACGGCGAGAAGGATATCTCAGTCCATCTCCATGGTTCATACAGTATGGCTCACCATGTGGAATCTTTTCCATGTTTCCGGATTGGTGCACTAACATATCTTAGGTCGCGCACCATTTGACGGATGGGCTGAGGATACTACTAAAGTTGGACAGTATAAAGACTATTGTAAGTGTTGTTTCTGATCATCATGTGATAGGTCGTCCTAATTTTCTTAAGACTACCCGAATAAGCAAAGTGCGCGAACCTTGTGGTACCACGACCATGCCGTTCACCACACTGCTGAGAACGCCTACTTTGGACAAGCCGGTTTCTACATTCTCCACGATCCTGCTGAAGATGCCTTGAATTTACCTGCTGGCGATTATGACATTCCCTTGGCGTTGGCTTCAAAGCAGTACAACAAGGACGGAACTCTCTTTGACCCTAAGGACGAGACCGTTTCACTATATGGCGATGTAATCCACGTTAATGGTCAGCCGTGGCCCTATTTCAAGGTTGAGCCTCGCAAGTATCGCTTGAGATTCCTTGATACCTCCATCAGCCGTGCTTTCCAGCTCTGGTTTGAGGCAGACGGCGCTCTTGGCAAGAAGATCCCATTCCAGATGATTGCTTCCGATGCTGGTCTCATGACAAAACCAGTGCAGTCCGACCTCCTCCATATTTCTATGGCTGAGCGATGGGAGATGGTTTTCGACTTCAGCGCTTATGCCGGCAAGAACGTAACGCTCCGCAACAATCGCGACGTGCAAGCTGATGAGGACTACAACAGCACTAACCAGATTATGCGTTTCATCGTCGGAAAGGATGTTAAGAGCCAGCAAGGCAATGGAAATCTCCCCTCTTCCCTCCGTACTGTTCCTTTCCCACCATTGAAATCTGGCGTTGATCGAACCTTTAAATTCGAGCGCACCAATGGTGAATGGAAGGTCAATGGTGTCAGCTTTTCTGATGTTAAGAACCGAATTCTCGCCAAGCCTCAGCGTGGTCAGGTTGAGGTCTGGGATCTTGTCAACGGCGGTGGTGGCTGGTCACACCCGGTTCACATTCATCTCATCGATATGCAAATTATCTCCCGAACAGGTGGTCGATCTGTCCTTCCATATGAGAAGGAAGCTTTAAAGGACGTAGTTCTTCTTGGTACTTCTGAGACTGTTCGTGTTATCGCTCGTTACGCTCCGTGGGATGGTGTCTGTAAGTCTCCTCAAATCCCACTACCTCACTTATTCTAACGAAACATTCTAGACATGTTCCACTGTCACAACTTGATCCACGAAGACCACGACATGATGGCTGCCTTCAATGTCTCCAGCCTCGGTGACTGGGGTTACCCAGAGACTACTCACTTCATTGATCCCATGGAACAGCAATACCGCTCCAAGGATGAAAAGGATAGCGACTTCGAAGAAGAACATATTAAAGACCGACTTAACGAATTCTATCTCTTGGATGCCTACAAGGACGTCGACAAAGTCGAAGAAGCACTCGTCTCGTACTGGGAAAACGGCGGGGCAAAGCCCACCACGTTCGCCACAAGCGTCAAACCCAGCACTATTTCCACAGCCGCGGCTAGAATAACGAGTGCCCCTGCAGCAGCCACCACGACGAAGAAGTCTGAAGACAAGCCGAAGACTACCACCAAGAAGAACTGATAATTTCATGACTGAAATGGGAAATGTTCATAAAATGCGTTTCGTTTTATGGAGACTTGTGTACATTTATATCTTGTGGGGCGCTTTAGACTGGGTTATTCTTTGCAGACGAAGCGTAACGAACCGAAACGAAAAGACTGTCCAAAAGCTTGAGCTATAGCTCGCTTGTAATTTAGTAAATTTTTAATGTAATTGAGACTTGAATGTCTTCATCTTGTTTTACACTCTTTGCCGCAACTAGCTCCATCTCATCCTTCATCCAGCATTCTCTCCTACCTCCGCGCTTGAGGTTTCTCTTACGTTGTAACTGCGACAATTAGTCATCTCCAAGCCCAGCAAGCACCGTAGCTGATGGTGCGAAAAACGTGCTCCCCGTCACCGCGGTCGAATAATCCAGAATTCGGTCATGCATTCCATCGGGAACGCCCACAAACATTCTCTGCAACATCTTCTCCAGCACCCACAACCTCCTTGTATAACCAATGAAATATGTTCCAAATTCGCCCTTCCCGGGGCTCCCATATGGCATATTATCTCTTAGAATATCATGCTCATCGCCATTTTCATCCTCGATTGTGGCCAGTGTTTTGTGCGCTTTCTGCTTATCCGCGTCCGCATCGTCAAGTTCCACGTTTTCTAGTTTAGTCCTACCGATAATGGATTTCTGTTGCTCTGTGGAGAGCGAACGCCATCCTTTGATATTGTGGAAGTATTTTTGCACGACAATGTAACTCCCTCCGGCTGAACCTTCGTCCTCCTGAGCTACTAGAATAGACTCTGGTACAGCGGGCCCAACGGGATTCGCAGTGCCGTCTACGAAACCGAGGAGATCACGCACATCGAAGTATCGGAAGCCAACAGTCTCGTCAACAACTTTGACGGCGTCGCTAAGTGCGTCTATTAGTTGTTTCTCGAACTCGAAGTTCAGGTCACGACGCTCGGATCGGATGTGGAACAGCAGGTCTCCTGGTGTTGAGACAGCCGTATGAGTAGCGCCTTTCACTTCCGGGAATGGGTGCAGTTCTGCCGGTCGTGGGAGTCCGGTGACACGGTCCCAGGTGTTACTACCTATGCCCACAGTACAGCTAAACGACGCATTAAGGTCACGGATTGCGACGTTTTTGGCGAGACTATCGACACCGGCGAGGGTTGACCGGACGGTTTTGAAGGCGTCAGGGGTATCGTTGATCGTCAAGACGAGGAAAGTTGCTGCGCATGTTAATGGCGCGTCCACTGGTTGGGCCTCGATAGGAACACGACGACTCATGGTCCTCGTTCTTTGCAAAGGCGAGAACAGAGATTGAATTTTGGGTAGGCGTCGATTCCGGATTTCGATACTATGTTGACTCAAGAGTCGGCGACTCCTTTCTTGCATTGAAACCAATGGAAGATAGCTTTCCTTTATCCCTTGAGATATTGACCAGCCGTACAACACTCTTTGGGCTCCGTCGTGCAAGCCGTGGGAGATGGATCTGGTGAGGCTATTCATACCACATCCGTTCCGCTCAATCCTAATCCGAACCTTACAATCTGTTGCCTCAATGGCGTGTCATTTAGGATGACAAAGACACAAAAGCAAGGTATGGTGGATCAGCGTGAGGGGTTGATGCATGGTCTAGATATGAGTAAGCCGATGAGGAGCAAAATTCTCCCGAAGTCCGCGAACAAAGACGCTGACGAAACATATTCTACGCTTAGCAGAGCGGTCTCGCAGGTGTTGTAGCCATCAAGATCATGATCAGAAAAGCCAAGTTTCAGCCCATGTGGGAAATGTAGACGATCGGTAGCTAGCGCACGTGGTTTCTAAACTCTGCGCTATTCCGAAAACGGGGACCCACATCGGCCGACATAGAGAACATCAGTCTCCTCCCACGGACATTTCCTGGGATGGAGCATCTGCAGCAACAGAATCATACCATTGTTCTTCAAAGTATCTATTGCGCGGGCTCTTCCTGCCATCTCGTCTTCGCCTTGTCCTCACTGTCATCACAAAGTGTTGGCATGGTTTTCAATCGACCTCCATCAATCGTTTGAGAGTAAAATTTCTCCAATGTCTAATGAGATGAAACAGCCATCTCCTCTCATAAACTGAACGAAGCCGGCCGCCGTAGTATCAGACTGTTCACCGAATATGGATCTCTACGTTGGTATCAACCCAAGAATCGGAGTCTAATAGGTGAACAATACTGAATGCGGACGTCTCAGGGCAGGAATATCCGTACCCTAGATACCAAAACTAGATTAGAACAAACTCAGTTTACTTCGGTCTTGTTTAAACTGAAGTGTGTGAGCCACTTTTCGGTTTCTGCCCACCCATGGTGAGAACCTATTTTGGGAATGATTATAAGGAATGATTAGTGCATGCCTATTGAAAGGGTAACAAGTGAAGAATTAGCCAACTCTGAATTCTGCAAGTGCGCACAGGGCAATCTGACTACATACTACATATCCACCCCGAAAGCGGGCGTTGCGCCAAATCAATGCCCCAAGAGTGACCTTGTGCTCTGCTACCCTCACCTCCGGAAAACATTATCGTCTTCGATGCCCCATTTAATTATTTTCCAAGTATTCTCTGCTCACCGGCCTTGCCCCATCCAGTTAATGCATGGTGAGTTAAACACTTGTTAACACGAATGCGCTATGGCTCCTAAGTTTACCTCAAATATCTTTCGCATTGGTCTACTTCCAACAGTACGATTGAATGAGACAGATCTCCTCTAACGACACTTTGGGGCATTTGTCTGGTGTGACTTTACCCTTGAAACCATACCGGTTGCACATTATGGGTACCCTTTCAAGGGGATGAACCCCACCGCTTTTTAAAATTAGCAGTTCTTCAGGAAAAAGCAGTTTGTTCTACCACATTGCGTACATACAGAAAGTACATAATATATGTAAATTAGATAATAGATGCGCTGCATAGATAAGTGTTATCTTATTCCATGTGCGGGAGTGTGACTGCGTTGGGCTTACACATGTGCTACTATATTAACCTCTAGTAAAGTCACGGGTAGTTAATTAATGAGTCGTCCAATCCCCTAAACTAGCATCTAACATGCCTGAAGAACCACAAGGCTGTTAGCAAGGCTATTCGCTTTAATCTTGTCTTAAATTTCCTTCTCTAGTATGTTAAGTAACAAACCACAGCTGGTAAGGAGAGCCACACCACGGACAGTAAGGGTGATGCTTAATGTAATCACCGGTCCGTACAGCCCATGTCCATGATTGCTGATGCCATGGGCCTATATTCTGTGGGGTTGGAGACCATCATAGCGGCCATCACAGATATGACATGTGGGAGTTTAGTCACCCCCTTATCTTTCAAGTGTCAGCTACACGTTTCCTTTCTTCCCCTACGTAAAGCTTCGGGTGTGCACCCTCTGCTTCAGCTTCCGGTTTTGAATACAATTTCGCGGCCGGAATTTCTACGCCAGGTACCAAGGCACCCAGCCGTTACGGTTTCGATAGCAATGTTTAAGAAGCTTTACAATCACCCACATTTCTTCTTTTAAATATCATCATCAGTATTGTCCTATATAATACATAGCCCTCCCCTATGCCGAACTGAGGGTTAATCTACTCTAGAGAATATGTGTCTTCTATAGCTACGACGTTCCTCCATTTTGACTTACGGACCTTCTCTCGAACATCTTCCCAAAAGCCCCCTTCAATTTAATCATCTTCGCACCATTTTCTTTCCTCCCAAGCTCTTGCTCTACCACAGGCCACATCTTCATAATAATTTCAGAGTCAGGTCGCACTACAGTTTCCCAAACCTGAGGAAGAATAATTTCCCCATCTTCGCCAACGAGATCATAGTGTCCCTCCAGTACATGTGGCCCAAGAGGCTCAACGCCTGTAAAGGCGTGCTTAATAAGCTCCTCCATACCCTTCCATGTCTTGCATAGGCTCCAGGGGAGACTGAACTTGCGTCCAATTGCATCTTTGAATCGTATTGGAGACTGTTGCCTGGGTTTGAGCTTTTCAATCTCCTCTTCAGCGACTCTTTTAGCCATTTCAAGCTCTTCTACGGCTGCTTTTGCTTCCGCTAGCACCTTTTCATGAGCCTGTTTAGCTTCTTCGGCTTCTTTAGAGGCCCTACCCTCAGCCTCTTCGCGTGCCTTCTTCGCCGCCTCAAGCAATTTGGCTGCTGCTTCCGCCGCAGCTTTCTTTTCAGCAGCCTCTTTCGCCGCTTGTGCAACTTGTTCTGCCCGTTCCGCCTGCCTTGCCGCTTCGGTGGCTGCTTCCCGTTTAAGTTGTTCTTGTTTTTGTGCTAGTATGAGCTTTTCGAGGTTTGCTAATTTGGCTTCATCGGCCTTAGCCTTCTTAGCCCTGGCCTGCTCCTCTTTTCTTTCTACTTCGGCAAGTGCGTCTCGGCGTATCAGTTCGTCTCTCTCAGCTAACATAATCCTCTCTAGCTTAGTCAATCGCTCGCTACCGTCCTGAAATCCTACTCCAGATGGTGGCTCCGGAACCGCAGCTTGCCTAGGCTGTGAATGAACAGTTTCCTCCATGATATGATGCTTGGAAGGCTCCGTTTGTGGCTCCACGAGAGTTTCGCTTTTGGCGGACGGGGTCATCTCTTTTAAGATCTTCTTTATTATTGCCTCAAGCTCAGGCGCGTCACCCCCGGCCTTAAGTGGATTTGGCTGACTTGATTCTTCCCGTCTGTCGATATAATGCATCGTATCGGACGGTATGGCAGATGCTCTGCTTTCCGTGAACCTTGTGGGGTCCAAAGTTGGATCTTGCTCTTGAACTTGCTGGAATGAATCAGGGAATCGCGAAATATGCTCACTTGGATTTGGGTTTACACTCTCCGCGTGAGGAAGGTCATATCTCAGGAAATTTAAGATGCTTGCTCCTTGCTCAGAATTCTTTGTCTTTCCTATTGATGTCCAACTCCAGGTTGGATGTGGATTTATTCTTAGTAAGCCCTCAGCCATTGTCAAAGTCTTTTCTTGAACGCTCAAAATCCCACTCAGTTCCCGTGGGCAATCTCTTAGACACATGGTTTTACATTCCTCCCTGTCTGAGCTAGTGCGGCATAATGTGGTATCATCACTTTCGTCGCTCTCGCCTTCCTCGTACGAAACGAGCGACTGAGGAGGTGAATTCAGCAGAGCCAGAGCGTTTGGGGACGTATTGGAACGCGTCTCCTGAGATTTAAGGTCCTGGAGTAGTTCTGGTACTTTCGCCATTTGCTGCGGCTCCTTAAACCGAAGTAGGTTGGCTTTTGCATCTTCCCCAAATCGAAGATTTGTCTGGACTTGCGTTTTGAGACTTTCCCTATGGCAAAGTTAACTATGTAGAATTCAGATATTCTTTCATTTAGCATTCAGTGTCTATCTCCTGCTGCATGTCGAAAGATTTAACCTGAACCTACCTAATCTGATAATCGGCGTCTTTATGGATTGCCACTGCTAAGTCCATGGTAGACACCAGGAAAACCAAAGTTAACTTGAATGACTCCATCAGACCCTTCACGAATAAAAGTTTTGGACCCTGGACAAGCCATTTGAATCGCATGCTAAGCACCCGTATCCACAATGAATGTTTTATTCGGAAGTCCATCGGATCGCCGATTAGCTTCTTCAGCTCATCTATCAGGGTCGAACATGCCGGTATGAGAACTTCAACGATTTCGCATAGCTGTTTTGCTTCCGGAACTTCGCGATCGGATATGAGTTTACTCAATTGTGTGAGCGAGCAGGCAAATACGGAAATGTCTGCCGCGATGAGTCCTGCCTCATATTGCGCTGAGTGAAGTGTATTCACTACATTTCGCAAGGTGTCCGCTAATTTCGCCCCCAAACCTGCGAGCGTTATAAGCGAAGCTGTGAAGCCAATGATCTCAGCCATTAAGTCTTTCGAGAGCTTCAAATATCTTCAATGATTCTGAGTTTGATCTTTTAGCACAGGGTCTTACACTTATGGTCAGCATTCCAGCTTACCTAGGAGCTGTGTGAATATCCCAATCAGAACGGAGGATCTTTGCTCTAATGAGTGCCATTTATACAAGTTAGCTTACTGCATCTTCTTGCCCCACCGGTCAACAGCAGACCTGTGTGTGCAGCACAGCCTTGGGAGTTCAGCAGGCGTTCTTTACAGCAGCCAATCAGCGTAACCCACGTCTTCTAGTGTGATTCGTTTTCAAGCGCTCTCCAGGATTTGCAGTTTAGATTAGGTACTGAAAGCCGGTCTTCGGAGGAGTCTTCAATTGACGCTTCTTCGGCACGTATGGCATGCTCACTCGGATTAGATGTCTAGTGTCCTTCACGAATTGTATCATAGCCTTGACCACACTGATACCTGGCGTTTATTGCCTAATTGACCCATGAATGTTTTCATGTCTTTCTTGTCTGCTCGAGTGGACTCCTAGCGCATACGACCAGTCTTTAACTCGCTTGTTTATATATGTGTGTGCACGCTATTGTGGCTATACACCCTTAGGGATAGGCTATAGCTAAGCGCTAGCTTTTCATGTTGCCTCAGCACACTTTCTCTAGTTCGTTGAGACTGGCAACACCGCACTCTTTGTTACTTGCCTTACTGTATTAGGCTAGAGCCTCTTTAACTAAGAACGGATGGGCACCGCTAATGTAGGCAACAGGGGTCAGCTCGAGACGAGCAAGGTTGAAGGCCGACTTGAGGAATGTATACGTACGGGCGCTGCTATGATGGCCGCAGAGCAAGGCCACGATACGGTAATCAAGTTGGTGCGGTCGGACATTAATCTCTGTTAATACTGATAAGCCACATCTTGGCTTAGTTTCCTCCCCGCCTACTAATAACTACTATCCTCTTCTTCTATGTATTCTATGGTGGCGAACTACGAATGTAGAGTGGCAATATGTTGTGGTTAGTGGCATAGGAGGCGGGTATGCTGCGACCCGCTCCTCCTACATTCTTGTCAACTCAAACAGTGATAGAGATGGACCCACTTGTTTTATGGCAAATCACGTGTGAGGAATAATAGCACTTTACCAGATATGGAAGGTGAATCGCCAAGACTTGTGTTCGCGAGCGGGAGCCGGTTTTGACAGCGGCTTGCTGAGGCTTAGCGTTTGTGATGTTCTACCTCTGGCCTGAAACACACTATTGAGTGTGCTCAAACGGTTTTGCTGACAATCATTCGGACACTAGTACGCGTAAATAGAGCTTGTGAACTGCACGTCACTGTAGCAATTTGCTGTAGAAAAGGTATTTGCATAATTCGCAATCAGGATAGTGACGATAATGCTAGCATGTTTTAAACGCTTAGTCCAATTCAACTGAGCACAAAAACCGGCGTTGTGAACAACACAGGGCTAAAAATGCTTGCGATACTTCGCAGGAGATAATGATGTAGCCCGTCTTAGGAATGTACTTTTCATATCAATAGCTAGCAGGAAGGGTGACAGGCACATAATGCAAGTATTGAGCTCGTGATTCAAGAAGATGAAAATTAGGTTTCAGAGCTTCTTAGCAATCGTAATTTTGATTTGATGCAGATCCCCATTCTGCTACTGAGCATTATTCTGCCCGTTTCCTTCCCCTCACGGTACCAGTGGCAAGGCTCTCCGGACACAGCATTAAGGATTCCTTGGCACACGGGGTCTCCAGTTATGACCCCTCCTAAAGGACCGGCAATAAGATCGGTGGTGCAATGCTGATTCACCATGACCTGCATGTTTCCTCGCCTCGTATCCTATCCAAGTTTAGCCCAGCTCTAGACACGAAAATTCGAGATCCCCATGCAAACATTCTCTGAAAACAGACAGAAACTGTCCACGAGCTCCGGTCGCACAATACAATATCCTCCCCAAGCTCAACCAAAAATACGTCTTTGCGGGGTAGCAAGTGGGACAGGCCCCCCAGACCCTCAAATAGCTACCTATCGCCTCACTTGATGCCAAAGCGACTTACCCACCCTCACAAAGCCCGCATCTTGCGAAATTTAACCCACGTTTCCCGAAGGCCAAGAAAACGTGCTTCAATCACCTTCCTGGTCTGCGGGACGGGCCCTAGCACGAACTTCTAAATATACCCGGGATCTGAGCCGTTTTGTGACCAGGATCGGCGGGGATCGACGAGGAAGGCAAATGTTAAATAAAATTGATTCCACTACTTGGTTAGTTAGTGCTAGGATAGATATAAGATGGAGACGTTCGCGCCCAGATTTCCTGGCAAGGCTAAGAGAGAGTTTTGGATTAGATCAGATTGGATTAGAGCAAGTCACGATACGTTCACATTCGCATCCCGCTCCTTCCAACATTTCTGTGTTTATTTCCACATAACGTCTCTTGCAACTTCTACCTCCACGTCTACCCCTTGCATACATCTCTGCTCTGCTCTACTTAGAATATCCATCCTCAAACGCCCCTCCCCCAACGATGGTTTCCCCAACCCTCATAAACACCGTCCTTGCAAAAGCTATTGAAGTCGCAACCCACAGCTGGGAATACGGCACCGTCTCCGAAGCCATTCTCGAATGGCGCAATGCCTCACTCAGCATCTGGGATCACCCATTCCCAAACAATAACATTCCTACATTGAATTTAGACAAGGTACCTGCGTTAACATACGTCAAACCGTTTATTCGGACGGATAATGTGACACTTGTGGATGGTGACGGTACGTCTGCCCTCCCAAACCTCCGTTCCTTCAAAGCGCATCTCTACGAATCTGATACTGATATATGTCTGCACAAAACAGGCGCCGCAGGCGATCCCGCCTCCCTCGGAATCCCCGCTCTCCTAATCGGAAAATCCCAGCCTTCGTACTACTCCGCCGCCATTCGCCAAGCGAACCACCTCCTAACCGCCGTCCCTCGCTGGTCGAACGGTGCCATCTCGCACCGCGAAGCGTATCCTGAGCTCTGGGCGGATTTTATCTACATGGTGCCACCGTTTCTCGCGTACTACGGCGTGGCTTCCAACGACGTGGGCCTATTAAAAGCAGCCGCGAATCAGTGCAAATTGTATCGCGATGTGCTGGTTACAAATAGCGGGTTATGGTTACATATTGTCGGTAACCATACTAAGGACCTAGCGCTGTGGAGTACGGGGAATGGATGGGCCGCGGCCGGGATGAGTCGCGTGCTTGCGGCGATGAAGAATTCGCAATACTCCCACCAGACTGCAGCTGAGCAGACTTTGCTCGAGGACATGGTTAAAGCGATTCTAAACGGCGCGATTAAGCTCGATGTTGATGAATCCGGGCTTCTGAGGAATTATCTCGATAATGCGACGTGGTTTGGTGAGATCTCTGGGACGTCGATTTTAGCGGCTACGGCGTTCCGGATGGCAATTTTGAGTCCGGGGAAGTTTGGGAAGGCGTATACTGATTGGGCAAAGAAGAAGATGGACGTTGTGGATGGGAAGATTGATAAGGGGACGGGGATTGTGGCTCCCGCTATCAATCCGCTCAATTGGCATGATATGACGCCTTATACGAGTGGGAGTCCTGAGGGACAGAGTTTCGTCGTGTTGCTGCATGCCGCATATCGAGATTGGGAGGAGGCGAAAAAGTCGAAGAGGAATTGAGCACTAGCGTTAGAGAATAGCAGGCCGTAGATTCCATGCATTTTCCAGACAATCGAAATCCTCGTCCATGATCGCAACTCTATGCCTTCTTAACCGAGAAATATACAAAGCTCTTCATCATACTCCTTTCTCGAACAGCTAGACTCCTCGATCTTTGCTACTGCGCCTGCATCTGCACCTGCATCTGCTCCTGCCCTGTACCCGAACTGGAATTCGATCCCGTAGTCCTCGTTTGAATCAAACGCGGACTCGCAGGCTGACGCGGGATCTCTAGATTTGGACTCCCAAGTGGCGTAGGATGCGGGCTCAACGACGAACCGCGCGACGTTGGCATTTGCCTCGGGGTTCCAGTTGGGCTCGGGCCATTGCTTTCTATTGTTCGCTCTAGAGGAGAGTTGTCTCTTGTGGAGTGCCCATCTGCACGTGGCATCTTATTCGCAGGCATGTTTTGCAGCATGATTTGTGACGTTTGTGATGGCCGAGTTGAGCGTGAGAAGCGATTGTCGCGGTCTTCGTCTTTTTCTTCTGTGGGGAAGTAAGTTTTTGATACACATCTCTAAGAAGTAAGGAATAGGTAGAGTATTGATGCAGGGAAATATTAATATAAGGATAAAACTCACCCCAAAAGCTCTCCCACGCAGCAAAAAGCGGCAACGCCAACAACAAAATGGGCAAAAACTGCCCAAACCCCCATTCCTTCTCACTCCCATTAATCACCACGCTCGCTGATCCCAGTGCCTGCGTCTTCTGCAACGAAATCCCAGCCATTACAAATCCATACACTGCATAAATGGGCGCGATGAACCAAGTCCGGAAAATCGCTCCGAACCACTTCCACCCCTTCCACTTGCGCGCTGGAGACTGGAGGACGGTCTCAGGGAGGAAGTACATAGCTGCGATGACAGTGACGTGTCCGCCTATTGCGCCGACAAGAAGTGCGGCCCAGCGACCACCGAAGGCGGCCTTGAAGGGGGGACGTTGGCCCTTGTAGAAGCAGGCAAGGCTAGAGCTTAGTTCTAAGCCGGCGATATCGTAGGAATAAGCTACGAACGACGTGTACCCCAATAGCGCGAGGTTTCCGAGCATGCTGAAGATACGGGGTAGGTTAATCCATCGGTATTTGACGAAGTAGTTTCGGAGGGTGACTACAGTGAGGAGATGGGTGACGGTTGTGAGAAAGGCGAGTTCGGTGACGATTTGGAAGTGGTAGATTGTGAGTTTGCAGTGTTGTAACATGGCTGTGAATTGGATGGCTAAGCCAGTCAAGAGTTGGGTGTCGGAAAAGGAGAGCAGATTCTTGCTCAGAACTCGGCTCCAGAATCCCGGTGAGCGCCAGTATGGCCCTAAGGGATCATCCTCGTAGTTGGTGGGATTGCGTCGCTGCGTGATGTGTTTGCGGATTAGGTTTACGATCTTGGCGTAACGGTCGAGGAATAGCACGGTAAAGGCGATTAGAAAGGCGAGGCAGGTTGTTGTTAAGAAGCCTACAATCACCTATAAGATAGTTGTCAGTTGGTTGAACGAAGAAACTAGAACAGATGAGCTGGAGACTCTTACACCTATCCCCGCAATGTCTGGATTTGCATCAACGGTTGTATTTATTTTGGAGCAGTTTGGATGGTAGTCTGCACAGTGCAGTAGTCGGAGTCCCATGGTTCCTTCTGTCTCAAATCAAGTCCTTCAAGCTCGAGGTCTACAATTTTGAACAAGAGAAATGGGAATTAAGCCCAGCAGCGAGGTCGGGATGTTGGATCAGAGCCGCATTTATGAAATGCTAAGAGGCCGCTTGTGACAGCCCGCCACCACGAGCTGAGCAACCTTTACCAACGCCACGTGCGCCATCGCGGCCCGACTGAGAAGGGTTTCCACCTCAGGAAACAATGCACGCGAAATGTTACCCCCTTTTCACCAAATCCGAGGTCTGCGACAGCGCCCTAAAGTGCCATCGAACTAAAGGGAACATGCAGTCAGCAGACATCAGAGATAAGACGTGTTGAACAGGTGGCAAAAACCCGAAGCATTGAAGGAGGAAAAGAAAAAAAACTCCAGAAATCTGCCTCTTAAGAGTCAGAGCAAATGATGGTCATGTTGGAGCCTACATGGAATAATTCCTTTGCTGTCATTCGTTGAGATTGAGTGTCTGAGGTGAGGGCCTCGCGTGGTGGCTCGCTCCTCTGTGACTGAACTTCCCACCACAGCCGCAGCACACCAGGCTCCCACGCTTCCCTTGTGACCATCTTCGCAAACCACCCAACAACATCCAGTGCTCAAAACCATACTCCCGAAACCTTCATGCAGTGTATTGCACGCAATGCCAAAATATCCAGGCATGAAAAATAATCGAAGTAAACAAGAAGTCTAACCAAGAACACGGCATCTCAGTATAGGTGTTGAAATCTATGCGTCAAGCCACATAAGACATTACAAGACAGGCTAAGAGTAACATGGATTAGAAGTTTTTCCCGCTGAACTCTCCAAAAGGATGCAAACATGCAAGATGAACACCCACGGGTCTATAGTGGGAGCGAAGCCAGTCCGCTCGGATGGATATATGCAAGAATGTAGGAAACAGGCCGTCTCCTGCTCGCGCATTGAAGCTGCAGAGTCTGCGGCGTTTTTTTTGGAAGAGCCGATATCATGTGCGTATACCGTTCGCTTAATAGAAGTGGCTCAGTCCCTGCGTCCCTTGTGTGTTCCATTTGCAACGCCATTCGACCTCGCCCCTTTATCGGTCGACGGCGCCTTGGTCGGGATGGTTAGGCAGTTTATGCCTAGGAAGTCGCAGATGCTCGTGATCACTAGATGCGCCCATTTTCCGTATACGATGGTGGCGAAGACGAGGTAGGCTCGGAGATACCACAATTCGAGTTGCGCTGAAACAGGTCCAAATGTCATGCTTGTAATTGTAAAGAATGGGTGATTAACAAGAAGCGCTCCGCCAATCATGGGAACAAGCATCACAGTCCAGTATGGAAACGGCTGCCGAGTGAGATGGGCGAGGATGATTTTGGTCGTCATGCGCCCAAATACCAGGGACATTGTCACACAGTAGAGTACTAGGTGGTTGTCCTTCAAAATGAATGAGTAGGGCGATCCAAGCCACGCCATGCTTGCGACCACGAAGACGACCAGGGGGGTCCATTCCTTAAATAGTGGTGCCAGAGGAAGGTTTTGAGCCCGACGCGCTCGCGCAACATTGACGATGCAAGCGGGGAGATGCGCGACGAAGAAGGTAACCAGAATAATAGGTATCCAGAGATCTCGGAACGTTACATCGTCGAGATAGGCGCCATAGGAAGGGAAGAATTTGATTAAGGGAGTAGACCAGATTTCGGGACCGTAATAACCGGAAAGGCACATGATTGTGCAGGCAAGGATCAGCCCCTCTACAACTTGTATCAGTCGCTGCTTAATCAGAGTCTTGCCTGCCTGCCTGCCTGCCTGTTACTTACCCGTCGGCCCGTTGAAGTATCCCAGATACAACGTATGGGTATGGTATGTCTCCCATGTCGAGAAGAACATAGGAAGGACCGGGACGAGAGCCGTGAAAGCCCCCGTCTTACTGCATCCGTATCCAACAGCTGCTGTCTCCAGAAGACTAGCCAGCGTGCAATTGAGCGAGTCTATCCCATGGCTGCATCCTAGTCAGTCTCTCTGTATTCGATGGATGGTCTTGGGTCTTGCCATACTCAAATAGCTCTCCTAGTGGGCTCGAGGTTCCTGTTCGGCGCGCCTGCTTGCCATCTACGTTGTCCATGGTCGAGTACCTAGATAGCATGCCCTTTAGTATCGCGTACTATGCATCATGTGCTGGGGCGTGCTTCAACTTACATCCAAAGGCCGATAGCAAAGCTATAGTACACCCAGGAAGGCGCCTATGGGTCAGGATGATACGTCAGCCCCACTCGCCGCTACAACAGGGCGCACAAATGCAACTCACCGGTCCAACCAGATCCGGCACATAGACTTCCAGCACGACGACATTCCCGAGTATGAAGAAGAAGCCCAGCAGGGTGACGAGATTCGGGGCAAGCCACAGTGGCAGAAGCTCCACAAAGCCATTCCACTGTTCACTTTGTCAGAGGCGCGTTGGGCGACAAGCGAGGCGGAAGAGGGCCGCGTACGTAGTGCTTCAGGATATATCGGGAGATCAGGGACTTGTCGACGCTCGAGTACTTGTACGACCTCAGGTGCTGGAGCGCGTCTTCGGACACGCACTCGTGGGCAGCCGTCTCTGCGTTCATGATTCCTCGTTAGCATACGGGTGAAAGCCAATTTTGCGCGCTCTGGGTCGCCGTGTGCGGTGTCGGTGTGCGATGGGCAGTGGACAGCGTGGTGCGGTGATGCGAAAAAAGAAAGCGGAACTCACGGGCGCTCGGCGGCATCTTGGGATGGGTGACTGGCGTTGGTAACGACATAGGCGAGACGTGAAGCGGGGTGACGGGGTTAATTTATAGCGACAATATCGAGACCATGTGGCTGAACAAGTTTGCAGGTGGGGAAATTGAGATGCAGGACGAGACGATTGACGCAACCTTTGAGGCTCTGGACGATACGTCAAACATGAAGGCTTGGGCGGAAGCGGGCGGACCATCGGATTGCTCGACTCGGGAAATCGCCAGGGGGTCCAAGAATGATGAGCCTTGGCAAACAGATATTTGCCCCGTGACAGTGTCCCTGTCGATTGCATCGTCATGTATGTCATCCGTTTGCGTTTACACTGCTATGTGTGGGCCGTCGACATGTCTCCCTGAAAGCAGCACACACTTCGAAGGCCATTTCAATCAATCCCCACGGTTTTGCAACGCACCACAATTGCCGGAACACCCCTCCGCTTCAAAACTCTCTGAATATATCCAAGTACGCGGAGGGTCTGGTGGTAAAGAGCTGATCTGGGAATCTTCGCACACTCCCTGCTCACCGGTATCATCAGCTTCAGCTATGCAAAATAGTAACGTGAACATACTTGAAGCTGCGGTGATGCAAAGTGTGCCATCTCCCTCAAAAGCACAGTCTCTGAAGTGGAAACCAAGTCCCCGGGTGACTGCATGGAGAGATACTAGGCGGCAAGCTCCAACTTATAGCAAGTCGATCTAGAGATAAAAGATGTGCAAGCTACAGGTCAAGGGGACAGCGTCCTGAAATGTCCGAGGTAGGGTCTCCAAGGGCAGAGTTTTGCAATGAGCAGGCAAAGAAGCCCGATTCGTCATAGAATTTCGACAAGAACTCCAGCAATGGATGGGCGCCGTATACTGATCCTAGAGAGAAAGTTTGTCAAAGGTTCACACGAAACATGGCTCTGCACTTCCATCTGGTGGACTGACATCTATCATCCCCCTTGGCAGTCGAGCAGAGCAACAACGGCATACTTCATGGGAGTGAACGCAGTGGCGGGGCTATTGCTCTAAGAGAGATACTCGTTGCCTGCCATGGCCAACTCTTTACCCCGATGTGATGTGCTAGGTAAGTGGAGGAACATCTCATTATCGAGATGTTGTACAATGCTCTCCAGTGTGTGATTCGGTGTGATTTGAAGTGTGATTAAGTAGGTGCGCAAAGAAAACGTCGTGGTGTCAGCGAAAACACCCAGCTAAACTACCCAGCTAAACTGGACCAGACGCAACAATTCTTCTCAAACCTTCCAACTTCAGGACCAGCTCATCTCTCATAACACATTGCAATTAATATGGTAGCTCGTTCCACCATGGCACGAGCTTTGGGCTGAGAAATTGAGGTTGGCCTGCCTCCTCGCTTAACCAATAGCTGGAAGTTCTACACACGATTTGCACTGCCAAGCCCTTGGCACGTGCACAGGTAAAAAGGACAGACAACACTAGATAGTAAACTATAATAAAATCTTAAGAAGATATTACTTGAAACGAGGAGAAGAGAAAGAAATGTGGTTTTCTGCAGGGGAATGCTGAGTAGCATAGGAATATCTCTTGTTTAACACTACTGTATGTACCTTTTCACGGCCGTTCTTCGGAAAAATTTGACTGCAACCAGCTCTTTGCAAGGCACAATATGTTGCATGCGGGCCTATTTTGAGCTGGGAATTAATTAAATCCCTTCAGCTACCACACGTACGCATTAAACGAAACTTTTATCCTCCACAAGAAACGGCGTTGGCCGGACCGAATCGGGCTACAAATGGGAGAAACTTTCCAGCTGGTGTCGAGACTGTGGGGAAATTGACGATTGGTCGTGCATCTTGGACGTGTTGCAGGGGATGCTAGATCCAGGCCTGCTGGTTGGTGTCCTTGAAAATGCCAGCAAAATTTTAAGAATCTGGGGAAATTTTAGCAACTCGCCGAAGTGTCAAGGCGTCGTCGGAGTTTTAAGATATCGGCAGTGTGAAGTCGTGCTTAGTGCCCAGTCTCTGCTTTGCTGGGAGGCCTTGTTAAAAGACTAAATTTGCAGCAACGTAAACAGACATATTAGAGTGACAGCAAGGTTGAGTGCATACATCGATTTGCTGGTCAAGAGTCAGAGAAGACTCTCACCGCGTAAGCATATAAACCTATCAATTTCTTGGAAGTATGCTCGCAAGCGCGCGTTCCAGACTAGCGTTACATTAGAAATTCTGCACTGGCTCCCCGCAGAGGTCATGGCCTGGTGGTATTTAATAATATAGCGACATAGTAGTTAGACGATACTACTTAGCCCACAAGTCTCTTGCCATGGTCTGATGTCAAAAATTAAGGTTTCTGTACAGTGTCTCCAACCCGTGCACTCCCAGAGGTCAAAAGCTGACTAGGAGGCTTAGCATCTCGTATTGCAATACATACTAACCCGTTTGAGACGTAATAAATGCCAAGTACACTTTATAATGCTTGGTTTCAGCCGCATCCATAGATGTGATGGAACAGACTTCATCTTCAGTCTTGGATAACTTCCTGTTCGGGGATCTAGTAGTGGTGATGGAGCACTGTTCAGCCTAGGCTTGGAGTGGACGGTGAGAAGGCATTGGTCCATCGCGAGGTCCGAATTAAGGCGAAGGAGGGAGAAGAAGGGCGACTGCGAGTCCAACGGTGGAACCAGGCCTGCCTCCGTCAGTATATAATTCAATGATTCTGCTGCAATCGAGGAATATCCAGAACATCAATCCAGACCTCCCATCTTTCTACAACTCAAAAGAACCAGCACCAATCCGAATCACTTCACCCAAATTTCGACAAAATGGTCCAATTCACCCTCACCCTCGCTCTCAGCATGGCTGTTCTCGCCGTTGCAGTCCCCTCTGAGCCAATCCTTGAGCGCAGCAATGGGAACTGCAAGAATGGTGTTCTTTATTGTGGGCACACGCTCGACAACATGGGTAGGTGTCTTTCATCCACTGGGCTCACGCTCTCTCTTTCCCTAGTAAAGATTGACTTGCTGACTATCGCCTTAGGCTGGAATTATCAGACCATCAAAAACGCTTGCTACGCCTCCAGTTACAACAATGGGCAAGTTCCAGATGATGGACAGATCGAGCAGAGCTTGTTCAAGTGTGGCGCTTCCGGTGGCGCCCTCGTTTGGGTGAACAACCGCACACCGTGTGCGCGTGGATGTGTCGATGGAGGAAGCGGAAACTCGGACTATTGCGAATAAGTCCAACGCCTAGACAATGTTCTTGGAAGAGGGGGAAAGAGGGCGGAAAGAGGAACAGGAAGAAGCATTGGGGACGAGTTTTAGTTTCTAGAATGGCCTTTTGGAATAGTACAGAGGCATTTTGTGCTTTATCATATCAATGAATGGTGTTGAATGAGACAAGTCCTTTCTGACGAGGATGTCTGAGTGTTGAGGTTAGATTGCTGGGTTGAAGCTGATGACTGTGGTCTACTTTCCACAGCTAAACATGACACGGTTCTTCCCCGGAACGCCACAATCTTGCGCCCCCAAACTTCAACATATCTTGAAAACCCTTGGGCAGCTCATGCAACTTGACATCACCTCTTGACTCTATAACGTCTTTCAAAATAGCCGTGGAACTTCTTATGATAGTTCACGTCGTGCGGAAGATCTCCGCCGTCGGCTTGTTACGGCTCAAGAAATCTACTCAAACCCTTCCCCAGACTCCACAAGCTTGAGTCTTGACCACCCACCATGCAGTAACTGAGCCGCTCACGGCCTCCCTTCCATGCTGTTACTCGCGGCTCAACCCGAAATGAAACGACAGCGTCGCATCCTCATAACGGCAAAACGTGCGGTTTCCCCGCCAAATTTGTCAAATACGTAATGATAATTGGGTACTCTGGGGAACTAAACAGGAACCGGTTGAGATCATCATAAGCGTCCGCATGCTTGGGGACGAACCTGCCTTCTCCGCTCTTGGAAGGTCCTTGCCTTTGTCTGACGACTTGCGCGTGTTCGAAAAGTTTTCTCGAGTGCACTGCGACTCAACTCAAGTTCTATAAAAGACGCCGATCCCCTAACTATGGAACTCCCAGTGTGTTCAGGGCTCAAAAGAGACTTCCAGCAAAATGAATCGTCACGACGCTGCAGAAATCGAGAAGGGTGACAAAGCCCAGTACTATGAGTCGAAGAGTGGGATCCATGGGGACCAACCGATTCTTGGAGCTAAGAGTGTTGCAGAGGTAGAGGGCAGAGGTGGTGAGACACAGAGGGGGCTAAAGAGCCGACATATCCAGTTTCTGTACAGCGTAAACCAACCCCTTTTTCATTCTCCGTCCCGCTAATTAGAGAGTAGAGCTCTTGGAGGGGCCATCGGGACTGGTCTCTTCGTCGGTTCAGGTGGGATTCTCGCCCTCGTCGGACCAGCGCCCCTTTTCATGGCGTACTTGTCCATGATGATAGTAGTCTGGAATGTCATGAACAATCTTGCAGAGGTTGTGACTTATCTTCCAATGAAGGGGATTACAATTCCTTATTTCGTGAAGAGGTTTGTGGATCCAAGCCTGGCTTTTGCAGTCGGCTGGAATTACTGGCAAGTCTAAACTTCTCCGCTTTGAGGGCAAAGGATTCATTAATTTTAGGTATGCCTACGCTATTCTCGTAGCAGCTGAGGCCACAGCTGGAGCCATTCTTCTCGATTATTGGAGCACACCAGTCCCAGACGCTGTTTGGATTACCATCTTCCTCCTAGTCATTCTGTTTCTGAACATTGTCGTAGTAGGCATTTTTGGAGAAGCAGAGTTCTGGTTCGCCAGTATCAAGTTCATCACAATCATGGGCCTCATAATCCTTGGATTTGTCATCATGCTCGGCGGTAGTCCGAACGACCAAGGACGTCTAGGCTTCCGATACTGGAACAATCCAGGAGCGTTTACACCGTACTTAGTTGGCGGCTCTACAGGTCGCTTCCTAGCTTACTGGGCAGCCTTCGTACGGGCAGGTTTCGCGTTTATCACTTCCCCTGAGCTCATCGCTCTAGCGGCAGGAGAAACAATTGCGCCCCGCCGCAACATCCCTAAAGCGGCCCGCCGCTTTGTCTGGCGTCTCGCCATTTTCTACGGATTTGGATCTTTCATTATTGGTGTCATTGTTCCCTCAACTGACAACCGACTCTTAAGCCCCAACTCCAATGCCTCAGCCTCCCCTTTTGTTATTGGCATCGCGCGGGCTGGAATTAAAGGCCTCAATCACGTCATCAACGCCGCAATCCTAACATCCGCCTGGTCTGCCGGCAACGCCTTCCTATTCTCCGGGTCTCGAGTTTTATACGGTATGGCTCTCGGCGGCGACGCGCCACGCATCTTTGGCCGCACAAACCGCAACGGCGTTCCTTGGGTTGCTGTCCTTGCAACCTGGCTCATCGGCCTTCTCGCATTTCTCAATGTCTCAAATACCGGAGCCCAAGTTTTCACCTGGTTCTCCAACATCTCAACCATCAGCGGCTTCATCGCCTGGATCGTAGTAATGATAACCTACATCCGCTTCCGACGTGCCTTAGTCTACCACAACCTACTCCATACACTCCCCTTCCGCACCCACTTCCAGCCCTACTTTGTCTACTTTGTTCTCTTTATTGTCTCCCTCCTCACCCTTACAAACGGCTTCCAAGTCTTCTTCCCGAGTAAATGGTCTGCAGCGAACTTCTTAGCTGCCTATATTACCTTACCGATCTTCGTGGTGCTGTATTTGGGCCATAAACTCTGGTTTAAAACGGCTTGGGCAATCAAGGTACATAATATTGATGTGATAAGTGGGAAGCGCGAAATGGATGAGTTGTGTGCGTTAGACGCGGAACCGATGCCGAAGAACTGGCTGCAGAGAGCTTGGTTTTGGGTTGCGTGAAGATGGGAAGTTGGAGATAAAGTGAGATTTGAGATAGAACTCTAGATATTCGTGACTTGCTACTTGTTACAAGTAACAAGATATTATGGATAATAGACATATACATCATCTTGTCCTCTGCTTTAGGTAGAATTCAAGGCCGTAGTCTGCGACCTGTTAGTATTACACTTTATCTAGTACTACAATCTAATTAGAACAGAGCTAAGCATCCAACTAGAGCTTGCCTGAATCAATTTCAATAGGCTCAACACATCAAACGAATACATCCTACCTTAATCTCTTCCGCTGAAACCTTTGGGGGTACCTGATACAGATATACATATTTCACGGGGCATTAAACTTTGAAAACGCAGGTCTGGGAGACAGCATCATCGAACCGCTCGAGCAAGCTGTTCCCAGAACAGGTTTCAAGCGCGCTCGATCGAACAATGCATTCATGATATTGAGAATGCCGCTGTAGGGCAGTATGCTCTAGCCCCAAGCTCGATATCTCTCACACATATACACACAGAACTAGTGAGCAATCAGCCGTAAACATGCATGCTCAAAGTTGGATTTGGTATGCTATAGATGCCTTAGGATATCGATATCTGATAAGATAAGAAATTAAACACTAGAATCACCCCTTCATATAGGAAAAGCCGCAGCTATGTCGACAACTCAGCTCGAGAGAAATAAATGCAAATGTGCAAAGCGTAAACACGTGACGTAGCGACATATTTGACGGACGACGAAAGAGGAGAGTCTCACCATCCTTACGGTTGGTAAGTCCTCTTCCAAAACTACTACGATGTGGTCTGATCGTACAACGGCAGAGATGCCGTAGGCCGCCTGAATCTCCTAGCTCATCCAACCCCTTCCTCCTATTTACTGCTGTTCTAACCGCCTGCCAGAATAACCCTGTCCCTAAGAGAGACATGGATTTACAAGGCATCGGAGCAACCGAAGTACTGCTCAACACCGAAAGCACCAGGGGCCTTCCATTTGTCATCCTGGTACGAGAAAAGGCAAGACTCCTTTCCAACCTGCTCCATAATGCTCTTGATCGCGGTCTTCTGTTCCGAGTACCCAGGAATAGCGTTTCCGTTGGCCTCTCCTGACTTGGGCCATCCAATCTCGGTGATGTATTTGCCCTTGGCAGCAGCCTCAGGGCACACGGCGGCAGCCTTCTCCAACTGCTCCTTGGCGAAGTTACCAGCACCGGAAGCGGTGACCTTGGCGGTGAAAAAGGGATGAACCTGGCACGCGAAAACATCGATGTGGCTACAGAGAGCGGCGCCTTTGTTCTCCCACACGTCAACGGGCTCGGTGGTGGTGATAGCGATGTCGGACGGGAAGCCGGCGCCATGGAGAGTCTCACGGACGTAGTCGATGTACGCAGCGAGTTCCTCGGCAGTGCAGTAGTGGTTGAAGAGGGACTCGTTACCGACGATGACCATGGCAACGGAGTCCTTAGGAGCCTTGTTCTTGATCTCCTCAAGCTGCTGGTTGGCGTAGTCGGAGAAGGGTCCCTTTCCACCCTTGCCGCCGGCCTCGAGGAAGATGCCGTAGATGACCTTGAGACCGTGGGCCTGGCACGCTGGGACAACATTCTCAAAAACACCACAGTCGGTGCTGTAGGAACGAATCGTGGTGAAACCCATGCCGGCGATCTTGGAAATGTCGCCTTGCACCTCGCTGGAGGACTTGCATTCACCACTGGAGGTGTAGGGAGTATAGGTGATAGCCCACTTCTCACCCTTGGTCACAATGCGACCACCAGCTCCACCATAGGAGGGGGTCTTGCTTGGCTTCGGCTTGGAAGCAGCAGATGTTGATGGCTTAGCGGGAGCAGAGTAAACGGGGGATGAGGAGTAGACAGGGGCGACATAAGATGATGGCGGTGCGGAGTAAACGGGAGGGGGGGTGTATGCCTCCTTGGTTGGGGTTAAAACAGGCGTTGAGCTCTCTGCACAGGGCGTCGACGATGACGAATATGGGAGAGGGGAGGGAGACATGTAGACAGTTGAGTTGGCAGCGGGAACAGGCAATGCTACGACTCGTCAGCACTAATCCAAACATTCTGAAAATTCCAAGTCTCATGTCTCGCCACCTACCCGACGCATAGTAGTAAACCGTGGTGTACACAGTGCAGACATCCTCATACACTGGAGCAGACGGCATTACGTATCCTCCATCTCCCCTTCGGGCGTGCATTCCAGCGTGGCCGTTGTGCGACGCTGAGACACCCCCAAGCAGAGCAGCCGACGCTGCGACAATTGACGCCTTCATCTTTCTCGTTTAATAAGAATAGTGATTTAGGTAGTTTTGTTATTGTAGACGCGTGAAGTGAGTGCCCGCTGAACGAATGAAGCGGTAACAAGGAGATAACAAACGAGTGACGACGGCACGAAGGCCAAAAGCTTGAGGATGCGAGGCTGGGGAGACGTACAGAAGCCTTGCAAGCAGGAAGGAAGGAAAAGCCACGATACAGCGGGCAGTTAAGAGGTTTTGATCCCAGTGCGTGTAGCACCCACCCTGCGCCGGAACGGCGTTAGTTAGGGGTCTCGATAATTAGCAGCCGATACAAATACGCATGCAGCTAGACCGATGCCCGCTGGGCGGCAAGCTACACCGGATTCTTGCCATGATGCACGACAAGGCCTCACAGCCTGAGGGTGGAAATGAGTAGTCTGGGGAAATACGGCGACGCATGCTCAATCGGTTGAGGCGTCGCCCTAAACCAGCTAGCGCCAATTTCCCCTGACTAGCCACTCCAGTGCACAACACCAGCACAACTCCATCACAATGCTCCTAGGAAGAGCAATCCGCCGACCAGGCGCGCAACGTCCTCTGCAACGCTGAGAGATCTCTAAGCTGTCTCTAACGACTCGTTGCCTTCCTGTTGGCCTTGAGCTTGTCATAATGACAATTTCCCTGTGATGACGGCTCACTCACCAGCCTCGTATTGCTTGATGAGTTCGGCGTATGCTTCCCGAACGCCCTTCGCCTCATCATCAAAAGTCCTCCAAAAACCAAAGTCCGCGGCGCGACCGCAAAATCAAATTAACACATCGCCTGGATAATCTTGCAACGAGGCGTGGGCGGCATGTGGTCTCGGGTGCCTCGGAGCTTTTTGTGAAGACAGTGAACGAAAGTGGCTGCAGGAGTGCAAGATGCAGGAACGGTGCCTGTGCTCAGGGGCCATGCAAGTCGCTTGCTTTGGATTCATTTGCAGGGCCTATTATTGGGTATCCCATTTCTGCTGGTCCACCTGGACCCCTCTGTGGAGGGTGCTTTAACCATGTCGAAGGACCCTGTTTGCTGCCGACCTGCCAGCATCATCACATCCGCAATTCCTCACAGAACATCATCACGTTTTGGAGCCACGAGCTTGGCTCAATTCCGATGCGCTGTCGGGCCAGGGTCCTGCTGACGTTGTGCCTGTGTTCCCCCGAGCGCTATGTCCACTCAGGAACGGGCGTCGTGGAATCTCTGCGAACTGAGCGGTGAACGTCTTGGAGCCTGGGGCGTAGGTTGGCGCAGCGGCCATCGGGCGAGAACATCGTGGGCTTCCGAATTGGTGTTGCAATTTGAGAAAATAGTGCTTGGGGGCAGGTCACACGATGGTAATACGAATAGCTGAAACATAAATGGGCTCGGCCAATTAGATTTGTACCCAAGGTTGAATTTCGAGAAATATAGGGCCTAATGAGAGGTCGTTTAGGCGTGAGCAATCCCACCACCAATCTGAAAGCTGCGCAAGACACCATTTCAAAGATCACAAGATGCTTCATTTAAAGGAAACAACTCATAGAGAACCACGAAACCAATCAGTGCTCTACCTTCGCCGCTGCCCTAGCCGCCCTAAGTGTATTTACTTTCCCTCCTTCTCCAATTCCAAAATCTTCTTAGCGACATCACCAAACGTCTCCTCAGCGCTTCGCAGCTTCATTCCAAGCAATTCATTTGCCTCTTCAGCTCTAATTCTCGCAGGTGTGATATTGTTATCCTTTCCAGTGTCCTTTGGCAACCTATCATTCAGCTCTGGTAGTATCCCTTTCTCTGCTAAAGCTGCTAATGTCTTCACGATACCTGAAGTGCTGAGGGGTTGACCGCCGATGAGGAAGCGCTTATTTGCGGCGCCAGGGGTCGTTAAGGCGCGAACATGAGCGGTGGCCAGATCCCGAACATCAATGTAAGATGGGAAGAGGCCGTCATGGGTGTTCGGGATCTCGTCATAGGTGCCGTTGAAGAGTTTGTAGAAGACGTTAGTGGAGAAGTTGAGATGATTCAAGTCCTTCAGCGATTGGAGTGGCGGGCCGAAGATGAGTGCAGGCAGAAACACTGTGACCTTTGGAAACGTTAGCATGGTGTGCATTCCTCAGGTAGGCGTGGATCTCTTGCTTACTGCGAACTTCGGTTTCTCAGTTTTAACGAACTCCCACACTGACAACTCGGCTTCCTTCTTGCTCGAGCAGTAGCTGATATATGCATTCTGCATCTCACGAGCCTGTTCAGGAGTGATATTGCTCCACGTCTCATTCGTATACTCGGTAGATGCGTTCTCCTCTGGTGATCCCGTGGTCATTGAGTTGATGCTGCCTGTAATAGCTATAGACTTCAAAGCTGGGGCATATATCATCGCAGATTTGAGCATTGAGATATTCGCACCAACACTAGGTTTCAAGAAGTGTGTGTCGTAGTCTGTGTGTTCTGGGTTGTCGAGAAGAGGAGCCGCGATATGGACAATATAGTCGAACTGCTGTTTCTGGAAGACGCTATCGAATGCCCCTTCTTTGGCATAATCTTCGATGACTACGAAGTCGAGCTTTTCTTTCCATTCAGGATGTCCTTCGAAAAGAGCTTCACCGGCCGAGGTACGGCGGACGGTACCCGTAACTGTGTGGCCGTTTGCAATTAACTCGTTGATGATGTGGGCGGCGACGAAAGAGTTCGCGCCGGTGACTAGTGTGTGTGGCATTTCAATTGCTAAGTATTAGAGGCGCTGAAGAGAAAGACTTTGAGAATGGTGTGAGAAAGAATAAATGGTGTGAAACTAATTTGGCTTGAGACTGTTGACTTGAATTGTTGATGGGCAAAATAGAGTCCCTTGCCCGCCACTCTACCTTTATATGCTTCAGATGCACCATCACTGCATCCACTTCAGAGTCTTTTCTATCGTTACTGCATGCAAATGTTACCTAAACTACAACACTGTACAGCTTACATTTACATCGTCTTTGGCCATCTTAGCAAATCAGAACCACATTACCAACCTCCGGCCGAGCTCGAAGGTGCGAAGCGCGACGCCTGGTTCTGCACGTATTGCGCCTTACATTATCAAATGAATGACAAACTCATGCTGCAGGATATTTGAGATCTGGGAAACCGTGTGGTTGGGTCATGCCCTGCTGGTTGTGCAACTAGTCCGGCAATGCGATAGTAGACGAGCTGACTGAGCGTTTGCCCTTATCGCGACTGAATCGAAGGGGATGGAAATTCCTGCAAAGAGAAATTTAGTTTAGTGACAATGATTGGAAGCGGTAGGTAACTATTTTAAGGGCTGATGACTAAAGTTTACTCCACACACTTGGCAAGGAACCGAATATCAAGCTTTTGTCTTCACTTGAACCTTTTCCTCTCGTCAAGTGCCGTATTTAGTTGCTTTTAGTCGTTGATGCACCAAGGGCTTAATCACCGCTTCTGGGAGACTAGGGGAGGATGGCAACTCGGATTCGGGTTACAAGTGTTGGCTGAATAAAAGCTGCAGAAACCCAAGGCTCGTACACAAGAGAATCGAACACTTAATAACTTAGTCGCGAGGTATTCTTCGATGATAGGCTAGAGTCCTTCTTTGGCTCAAATACTTTCCAAGTCCATCCACCAGCTGCGCATTCTTCTCGTCGGAATCGGGACCAGGAGCATCCACGTCGCACCTAAATCGGACCCGCTTAACATAATTCATTAGAGGATCATCATGCAACAAGCTTTATTCGCCAAAGCTTAGGTCCCGAGAAAGCCCTCGGGAGTTGCGTACCCGTTGTAAGGCTGCAGCTGTCGCGGCCGTCTCGTGGATTTTGAAGGATTGACGCTGGCAGCTCCTCGGGGCCGAAGAGCCTCAACACCAACGCGAGCCTCCGAAACATGTATCCGCATCGGAATATTGGAGGCAGGCAGCCACAACTTGAACATTATAAGTATTTCACGATTTTCCTTCGTCTTTCATCATCACACAGCCAACTTCAGACATTTATCAACTTCCACATTTTGCAACTACGACATTTGAACACTTACTCTTACCATACGAATCTCAACAAGCATCTTGCTCCACGCCCTTCAGTCCAATCAATTCCGAATCTGCACCACTCAACATTTAATACCTAACCGCAAACTCAAACATCCAACGGTCTACCATGTCTACCACTTCTATCCGCCCCAAGATCGCCCTCATCGGTGCTGGCCCTGCCTCCCTCACTTTGGCCAACATTCTCCAGAACCATTCCATCCCCTTCACTATCTACGAAAGTTCCTCCACCATTCGCAGTCAAGGAGGGTCCCTGGACCTCCACCCCCGAACTGGTCAACTTGCCCTCAAAGAAGCCAACCGCTGGGACCAATTCGCTAAGCACTGCCGTCCTGAATCCGACGTCACAAAACTCGTCGACATCTTCGGCGAAGTCTGCTGGGATGAAGGCGGCGCAGACAAGCACGAAGTCCGCGAAGAGGAGAAATTCGATGGACGACCAGAAATTGACCGCGCTAAGCTCATGGAACTCTTGCACGAGAACATCACCCCAGAGGCTATCAAATTCAACAAGAAGCTCTCGAAGGCAGTTCCAAGCATCACAGAAGCCAAGAAATACGATCTACAGTTCGCGGATGGTACCATCGAGAAGGACGTCGACCTCGTTGTCGGCGGTGACGGGGCTTGGTCCAAAGTTCGGGATCTCTTGACCGGTGTCAAACCGCAATACTCCGGCATCACTGCCATCGAAATCTGGGCCTTTGATGTCAAGGAGAAGAACCCCTGGCTTGCCAACTACGTTGGTGAGGGCTCCATGTTCTCCTTCGGTGAGGGTCGAGCGGTGCAGGCGCAACGACAGGGTGACGGAAGTCTCCGTACTTATGCTTCTATGCGCGCCCCAGAGAATTTCGTCGAGACGTGCGGCATCGACTGGAACGACCACGCTAGTGCGCGCAAGGCGTACGTTGACCAGAATTTCTCAGACATCGGCGAAGACTTGAAGCGCGTAATTCTCGAATCCTCGGATAACCTCATTCCACGCACCATGTACGAACTCCCGATCGGAATCACCTGGCCCTCTCGCTCCGGCGTGACGCTCATCGGCGACGCAGCGCATCTCATGACACCATTTGCAGGTGTGGGCGTAAATGTGAGCATGTTCGATGCTCTGGAACTCTCGAAGGCGATTGTGGCGGCGTGGAATGGACAGAAGGGGCTTGATGAGGCAGTGCAGGAGTATGAGAAGGAGTTGTTTCCGCGGGCGGAGATGTTTATGAAGAAGACCGAGAAGAATAAGAGGGATCATTTCTCTGAAGACGGGACAAGGCGACTGGCGGCGAAAATCAGGGCTTTCCATGCGGGAGAATTGCAAGGCTCAAAGAGCGAGCACTGAGGGGAGTGCAGGGGGCATCTACAATGCGCTTTAAGAATAGGTAGGAATTTCTAGTAGTAAGGCGATAAGAGGCGTGCAAAGCTCAGAAAGGGGAGCCTTTGCAGTGCTTTGAGATATAAAGCCTTTTGGAGGGAGATTTGGTCATTCGGTTATACTTCTCCTGCCACTCGCTGGTTATATCTTAACTCATTGGAAACATACCCAAATACATCTTCCAAATGACTACCGTGAACAATCGTCCCTCCAAGACCTCTCCTCAAAGCATCAATCAACCCAGCATCTCCAAGGTTGATTGGGTGTGACATATTCCTCCTTATACACTCTTATGGGAATAGATAGTGGTGAAATAAGAGAAAGTGTATATTCTCGACTGTAATTATCCTAAGGCCGTAAACATACAATAAAGCCGAACCGAAAATTTCCAAACTTATGTCATCTGAAGAGTTCCTCCTCTCGAACAATCTAGCCAAGCTCTCTCGATCATTCTTTCTTTGCAATTAGTATCTGCCCTCCTATTCGACGTGCTTCCCTCTCTTTCCCTCGCGTCACTGTTTCGGCGGAGCGGGATAGAACCACGGCTGCGCCTTCTCCTTAATATCAAAGTTATTCTTCTTATCTAGCGATAGCAACCAATCTCCCTCCTCCCTATTCTCTTTAACACACTCCTCATACCATGACCTCTCAAAATTGAATCCAGGATTATCCTGCTCAAGGATAACCCACTCAGGTATCGGATCACCATCATTGTGAAACCACCAATGCCTGCCCTTATCACCCCCATTCTTGACCAAGGTGCGATTGAAGTCGCCTAGAGCGGATTTTTCTTTCGGTCCGCGGATCATCTGGCGGTATGCGCAGACAGGATGGATATACTCGTTTGTATCGCCGTGCTCTTTGATGTATTCGAGTTTCCATTGTCCGCCGTCCTTGTTGTTGGGGTCGGCGTACCAGAATTCCGTTCTGCAGTGTCCTGGGACGCGCGGCTCGCTTCCATTGAGCTTGTACTTGAACGTGTAACTATCATCAATTGGGCCGGTGCCCCATCGGCGGTCTAGATCTGGGTGTTGGTGAGGCTTGTCGCGCCTTGGTGCGGTAAGTTCATCTGGGGCAGGGTTGACAAAGGGAACGTTGGGGAGAATAGACACGGCTTTGCCAAACCATCCCTCGTGATAGTATGTGCAAGTCCAACGGACCTTGTCCAGCCATTGTTGGTACTGGGTGATGGTTTTCTTGAATTCGGCGTCATCGATGGTGAGGTATGGTGCGATGCACTGGAGCATCCAGGAGAATGTCACATTAGCTAATTCTAGAAGATAATCAGCGCACTGTTAAATTGGGCATGTGCAAGGTTATAAGACTTACGCTCTTTGTCTCCTTTCATGTCCCCGATACTGTCGTCCGACCCGCCACCGCTGTTGATATGGACGCCAGGAAACCAGACTTGCTTCAACTCGGGAAGTTTGTCTGCGGGAAGCCTGGCTTTGAGTTTATTGGAGATGTACCAAAGTGTAGGCCGAAATGCTTTGCGGTGTTCGTCCAGGGCCAGGGCATGGAATGCGTGCTCGATATCTGCAATTGTTCAGTCATCAATCTTCGTAACGTGATAAGTGTTACTTACTTTCGTTCAGCGAAACGTTGTGAAATGCGTACTTGGACCTGAGCGACGTGTTGTCAATCCATGCGATATCTGGGATCCCTAAGCTGCCAACTGTGTCCCAGACACCGACCACCTTGACTTTGTTACTTCCGTCGATGGCAAGTTCACCACGAGGGGGAATTTCCCATTTTTCGGCGTCCAGCTGTGCCCTTGATTTGTTTGGTTCATTTGAGGGACTTGGAGACTTATCCCATTTCTTTCCATTAACAATATTCTTCCATGCATCGGTTTCCCGGAAAGCTATCCCAGTCTTGTTGCTCTTGTACAGTCGATACACCTCGGGGAAGATTTGCATGTGTCTTGGTTCGAAGACGCCAATATCGGTTACCAGCCCAGCCACCGCTCTTGCGGTATACGCGCCCCTGGAGAAACCAAAGCAGAATATCTCATCGCCGGGCTGGTAGTTGAGGACGATGAAGTTGTAAGCTTCGATGACGTTTTCGGCTAGACCGAGACCCGTCCCTCCTTGTCGAGTCTTTTCCCAATTCGATAGGGCTCCTGTGCCAATACCGCCATCGTAATACACAAGTTGGTGCCACTTCTTACTCGAATCTTTCTTCTGGTCGTCGCCGATCCGGTTTATGAGCCGGCAGAGCTTGGTTACATTAGAAGGGACATTGTCGCTGCCTGATACGCTGGATTGCCATGTTCCGTCGCAACAGACGATGAGGCGTCGTGGCCATGGGGCTTCTAACATCTTAACTCCAGAGATATTTCAACAATATTCGCAGAAAATAAAGAAAAAAAGGGTAGATAAACAGCTAGCGGAAATAGAATCTTAGATAATGGTCAAAAGACAGAAGTTCGGATTCGCGAGGCACCCTTATAAGAAGGGTGATGTTGTGCGAGAGTAAGCAGGGCAACGATAAGCAGAACTTCTCAGGCAACTAGGCAAACTTCTATTTATCCAGAGTCATCTGTGCTCCCTCTGGCAGCCAAAACCAACGTTGACCCCTCAGCTGAGGTCCAGTCGGTGAGGCGTATTGGACGCTTACCGCCCACGGACACAAGCCCAGCTGAAGAAGCCACCAAGCGGCATGTTCGCAGGTCATGACGATCATGACCAGAATCAGACTTTTGACTTGCTTTGTGCTTTTCAATCGCTGGAATTGGTCGCATCGAGGCTCTTTGTGGCTGGCGTAACCGACCTGAGTCCGCGGTTGACGGTGAGAAGCGACATCGAGAGCGAGCGGTTAGGCCAGCCCGTTGGGAACGGAAAAGAAAAAGACGCTAGCCGGATTAGGAGTTCAGGCCACACAATTCTGTCAGCTCTATCGACTTTAGAATATCCGCGAGACGGTTAGACTGGCTTACGCTTTTGTTCGTGAATGCTAGTATAGTTCGTGAATGCTAGTATAGTTCGTGAATGCTAGTATATCATTCAAATAAAAAAAAGGCAAAGTTCGCAACCTTCCGGCTCAATCTTCAATAAGCAAATTCCCTTTCGTTCAGGTTTGGAAATCTTGGCTCAGATTCTGATGAGCCCAGTATTCATGTGATTCTAATGCTATCTTTCCCAACCTGAGCACTTCCATCCCTATCCATCGCCACTCCTCCGTCCTCAAAGGCTGTTGTTCGCTTGGCTCTCCCCGGAGTCAGTTTCGCTCAATTGCTTCTAAAGGTTCTCGCTTCCAAATCGAGCACAACACGCTTACACAAAACAAGTTACTCTAGTCTCTTCTCGATAGTTAATATGGCAACGCCCAGCATAATTAGTGGAGTCCATTCCTAGGCCATATAAGATATCGTTCTAGTCAGAGTTTCCGACATTAATTTCCTTCTCGAATCTCTGAGCCACCACGTTAAAGTAAGACGACAAGTCCTCTCCATCCAATGACCCATCAATCGCCATGCTAATACGGATCCGTATTACAGTCATTATTGATTCCAATGACGCTAGAAAGTCTATAGGGCGGAATCCCTGTAGCTTCGCTATATGCTTGTGTAGCTAGGGTGTTAAAGCCTACCTCTCAGCTGGAAGTTGTCTGGAGCCGCCCTGCTACTTTCAGGCGGGAACTTCAGGGTCAGAGTAGGCTTCGGTGGGGTACCTTGTGCTTCCGTAGAATGTGGATCGACGAGTCCACAAACCTAGCAGTTCCAGACTCACCCCTCGCCTCCCCAAAGATTCGAAATGCTTCGGCGACCTCTCCTCGATGTCTCGTATTGTGGAGACAACTTATCAACGCAAAGTCCATTAGAAGCACAATGCTCGCTATGAAGACACCTTGCAGAAACCTAGCGAAATTGAATCGTGTAGCAGTGTAAAGGTCTGAGTTCTCTGGATATGATTTAGACTGGAGGGTGAGCCGTGAGGATTTGCCACGCATATCCCGTGACGAAGGGTACGCGGCATCGACGGAACCACGGGTGAAATGAGGTGGAGCTTACACCGCTGCTCGTAGAGGCAGACACAAAACATGTATCGTTGAAGGATATTCGCTCCTTGTATAGGGTTGAGCTCGTAGGCCTCTATTAACTTGGCTTTAGACATGAAGAAGAATGGCGGAATATTATTGATAAGCATCCATAGCATTGTGTTAATGTCCATAACATTATCGTGACTTAGACCGCCGAGGTGGGCCATTCTAAGAGTGCGATCGAAAATATTCCGAGAGCTCTCTACCAAGCGTATCCTCTGCAGTGTATTGGCGGAACTCTGAAACCAGAATCTCGGCTCCCGGCCATGTTTATTGGTGCTCTTATTGTGCCTATCGGGGTGGTTTTTGTATGTCTGGTTAGCAGACAAGAAGGTACATTGGATTATTCCGATCATCGGCACTGCGTTTCTCCGTGTTGGATTGTTCGTCCTCTTCGTGAGTTATCCCGCCCCTCAAATTGAAGAAATGCAGCTAACTCTGAATAGATGCAGGCATAGGCCTACCTTGTTGATGCGTATACTGTATATGCTGCTTATGTATTCGCTGCAGCAACTGTCTTTCGCTCTCTTCTTGGGCGCAACTTCCGCTAGCTGGTAATAGCATGCATGATACACTTGGGGTGGGATGGGGCACATCCCTTCTGGGTTTCATCGCAGTCGCTTTCATTCCACTCGCTCTCATCTTCCGGAAATGTGGCGAAAAAATTGGAGATGGCAGACTCTCTCAAGTCAGATTTTGACTTAATTTGAGACGGAAAAGTGTCATCAGTTAGAAGGGAGCACGCACTAGCTTAAGAGAGCGGATGGCTCGATCAGGCCATTAGAACCCTTGGAAAGTGAACGCTAGGAAAGAGGCTAGCCGGGTCGAAAGACCTGACTAAAATTCTGCCAGACTCCCTCATGTTGTTCGCCATTATCTCTTGACCTGCCTGTTGACAACCCCAAATTTGAGATGTTTGTGGGACGGTGATAGTGGCTCGTGTTTCAGTCTGTAGATACTATCGCATATTCAGTGAGTCTACGGTAGAGACAACAAATGTGGTAGATAATCACGAAATTCACAAAGAAGATTGTGCTAAAGAGACTTATGAACTCTACGCCAGATACAGCAGATTGTAAGATTCCCAACTTCCTAGGATCACGGTCAATTAGGTTTCCATGAGTTCGGGCCTTCGAGATCAACATCATCTTCCAGCAAACCCCCATGGCTACAATTTTTTTCCCGAATAGTTAAAGATCTCTCTTCACTAACACCAAGATGCTGTGATACCGCTTGTTCCAGTCTCTTCGTAATGGCGTGATACGGCAGCAGTCTTGCCAGACTAAGTGGAGTGTAGCCTTGACTACTTCGCATCAATGGATCTGCGCCCCATTGAAGTAGCAAATCGACCACATCTTCATGTCCATGTTCCACAGCTTCCAGTAGCGGAGTCCACGCATCCCATGTTTGAGCATTGACATCACTGCCCCACTCCCTCAGTCTCGTCAAGATGTAAATTGAGCCTCCGCGGGCAGCTCGATAGAAAGGTGTGGTTTCAGATCTAGATCTAGCGTGTGGGTCTGCACCATGATTGATTAGTAGGTTGAAAGTCTCTTGGCACCCGTTTTCGGCAGCGAAATGCAAAGGAGTCAGTCCTCTATCGGGAGTTTTGAGATCCACGATTGCTCCAAGGTCCAAGAGTTTCTGGGATATGATGACTTGGTTTGCCGCTGCCGCAACATGCAGACATGCATGATTACCAATGTGGCAACAGTTGATGTCTTGCAGGTTTGGATACAGGTAGTCGAATAGCTCGTCTAATCCAGCATCAATCGCGAAGCAAATCCGTGAGAGGCACCGCGCTCGGGGACGCGGATACGAGTTAATGAACACTCGCTGCCATCTATCGTAACAATTTGCACCATTCATGAACCAGTTGAGGTATGGCTGGTAATAGTCTTCGGTTCTAGGAAAACCTCGAGCGTTGTGCATGTGGGTAAACCAATTTAAGGCGGCGTATGGTAAGAGTTCATACTGGCTGGGTGCTTCTAATTCTCGACTGGTTGCGTCTCTCTCTACTGGTAGGTCAAAAATGAAGAATGAGAGATACTGGAGACAAATTGCGCTGAGCCATGCGTTGGCCTGCCTGGGATCGACATAGAAATTTTTCGCATTTCCTTGAAGAATAGCCTTAGAGCAAAGATACTCCTTCACCGTGTAGTGCGAAAGTTGAATACCATCAATTATTTTGTCTCGGTCGATAGTTACTAAAGGAGCTATCACTTCAAGTGTATCGAAGGAATCGGTATTCACGGCATCGCGATCTAAGCGTCGTTTTCGAGGCTCCATTGCAATAATCTCGGACAATTGTGTTGCAGATAACGGCGATGTGGCTGCAACAAGGCATCGCAGTAGAACTTTAATATCGTCTGTGCGCTGGGGGTATCGAGAAGCCAGAGAGCAAAGGATGGTTTCGTATGTGCTTTCAAGGCCGCTGGGTAGGGTTTCTAGCATCCCTTTCAGGCTCTTGTCATTCCGTGCAGTAGAGAGGTAATCAAGTCGCATCTTGGCTTGGAGAATCCTAGGCTCGTTAGTGAATCTACTAATATGCCATCGAAAGGGATAATTAATATATTGGAATTGAACGGGCTTGAGATAGAGGGTAATAGACAATACTATCGTTAGTATGTTTGAGTTTTCATGCGAAGAACAGGAAAATACTTCCCCGGTAGAGAAAAAGCAGCTACAATGCTCCTTTCTGTCGATGGTGGAGGATAAGAAGAGAATTTGCTTAGATGAGATAAGAAACTTACGTTCCTGCTTCATTGCTGACTCGGCTTTGGATGAAGGGTATCAACTCCTTATCGCGTACTTTCAGTATGCCTTCCCGGAGTCTTTCCTGCATTTCAACTTTAACGTAGTATTCAATATCCGGCAACGTGGTGTCTACAAGTGAGACACGGCTGGATATAATGGAGCCCAATAGTTTCTCTAGCTGAACGTCAAAACGGCTGGTGAGCAATAGCTTCACGCTGACGCCATGTTGATATCCCAACTCGTACATGTGACTGAGTATTTCTGCAATCTCCAATGGTTCGGAAGCTTCGTCAAGTGCGTCTAAGATGAGAAATACCTCTCTAAAGTCTCTTAGACACGAGTCTATCAATGGAAGGTACTCACTCGAATTGAAAGTACGGCCCGAACTTCGCTTTTGCTTTTCTTCGTAAAGCTCTTTTGCTTTCTGCAAGCATTTTGGAGATGTATCTAGAATTTGTCTTGTGACGTTGATTAATAGACTTTCTTTCGTTTGCTTCGAGCTATCTCGGCGATCACAGAAGAAGAACAGTACGACAGTTGTCGGTGAGGTACAAGCAACCCTCACTCTTTCTATGATAGATGAGCTAGTAGAAGTGAGCCACGTCGACAGAAGAACAATAAGTGGCTAACCAGAGTAGGGTCTTTCCAGACCCGGCTAAAATGCAAGCCAGTCAGCAAGGGAAAGGTAGTCATTCATTTTAGATTACGTACGAAAGCCGACGATCCAAATTGCTCCAGCATTGGACATATGCCAGTCCTCGAAAGTTTTAGATTCAAGGAACCAAGCACCAGTACCAGTTGTCCGCAAGCTCAATGCAGTATCCAGGCTCACTTGGGCGGCATCAGCGGGCGGAAGACGGAGCCAAGACATGATAGTCTGAGTTTCTTCGCGACTGATTTGTGTCCTTGCATTATCGGATAGAAACTCGACCTCATTGATGATGCACTGTTGGTTTTCTTCGATGCGTTGTAGTGCCGCCCTAGTCTGGCTTAAGCAGTTATCTTCGAAGTTAAAGAGAGGAGTACTTGCGTAACGTTTGCCTGGAGAGCAGTCGTAAGCAGCTCTCTAAGTCGGTAAAGTCGTGCAAAAGCATCCTTGGTCTCTTTCTCTTTGAACGGCCATAGTAAGCGACGCGTTAAGTTTGTCACATCTTTTCCATGCCCCTTTTCACATTTCGCAAGTGCCTTTCGTATAAACTCTAGAGTTGTCCCACAATCATGAAAGACACCTAGGCGCTTAAGACTTTGAAGGGCATTTTCATGAGCGGGGTTTATTTTTGAATTCGATAGTATCTCGAGCTGGCTTAGTAGGCTGTTGACGGCTGCAGTCTCAGTTAAAAGGTATCTGATTTCCGCTGGTGCATTGGAAACTCTGGAGAGAAAGCCATAGCCACCGGCAAGGAGTTGTCCACTAAGCTGTACGAGCTGGACTACTGAGGCGACTATCGCGAGGGCTTCAGCCATAGTTTGGTGAGCCTGAGTTTTCTGGAAAGGCGTGGCGCTACAGAAGGAGGGAGTAGAGCGGGGATCAAGGCCTGCAGCCGCACACAGCTTAGATCATCTGTTTGCCGTTAACGTATTTTACCAGGCATCCGCCAATGCCAGGCATCCACCAATCCAGGCATCCACCAATCCAGGCATCCATCATCCGCCAGCCCTAAAACTCACCAAAAATGGGAAAATTGTACCCTGATATCTCAACAACGGCATGATAGTAAATTCTATAATTCTATAATTAGCCTCATATGCCTCCTGTAAGACTCTTGTTTAACTTTAAAGGCTATTTATTAGCTGAATCTTAAGAAACAGCAATTCAGCTAAGTTTAGGGGCCAGGAACTTGATACTATTAGAATAATTTACTATGGCTAATTCTACTTGTCTATACTTAACTCTTTTCTAAAAGTTATGTTTGTATAGTTGCCTTTATTGCTAATATGTCTAGCATCCTCTTTTATAGCGTGATAGACTTCTCTTTTTATAGCGCTAATATTAAGCCTTTTTTGTTCTAATTTTTGGTAGAATAGCCTTACCCTAGCCTCAGAACCTCTGTCAGATGCTTAGAGGTCACTATAAGCCTTGTGCACGCTATCGCGGGCAAATTCATGTAAGGTCGCTTCGCCGTTTGGTACCTCCAGCAGAAGCGACCCACTGATCTTGGCTAATGCGAGATAATTTACATGTCTCCACTCGTCACCCGCGGGTAATTTACTGTAAGATCGGTTGCTACAGATCGCATAAGCGCTCAGAAGATAAGTAAACCCGGCTAAGGATTGGGAGCAGTGCGAGGACTTAGCCGATCCCGGCGCTTGTGTAGTCAGCCAACACGTGTAAGCATCGAAACTAGCTTCTGCACTAGGTTGCAGCTGGCACAGTTGCTGCTACGGGGCAAAATATCCGATATGTCCTAAACGCTGGAGTCCGTTGTTGAGAGGTTGAAGTGGCTCCATCAGCAGAAAATGTCCGATAGGGTTCCGTGCTGTTGACCGGCAACAGCAACATCGACGTAGACGCTCAAATTACTACCAGAGGTGGACATCCCGCGAGGCAAGGCAAGCCGAGTGAAGGTAAGTGAAGAGCATCACCCTGTACTTTGTATACACTACGGATGTTTTCTTCAGAGAAGCAATGGGAAGTAGCATGTATGAATACGAGCAGGTATGAGCCTTCCTTTTCGGAAGCTTGGATGAGGAAAATTTAGCAATAACAAAGGAAGAATAGAGATATAGACGAACAAATCTCCTGTGCCGCCAACAATGTTCATACAGAGCACCGCGTCGGTCAGTTGCAAAGTCAGACAATAGGCGATAGGTTTGACATTTAGAAGACAGACGCCAACATACTGATTCTAGCTTAGCGACACCTTAAAACTGTGAACAGTAACAAAGGGGTAAACTTTAGCCCACAAACAACAGAACACAGCATTATAATATTGCATTAAAACATCTAGAATATAGTAATAGACCTAGTAAAATATATTTATTTGCTTTAAAAATCTAGAATATTTGTAAAAGTGGTGGAAAGTTTTATAGGCTAATTAGACATTAATCCGGCGCTTTTTTAAACTAATAAGAGAAAAGACTTGGCAAGATGTACAGTGAATAATAGAGATGCGCACATTTGGGCCTATAGATTCTCTACGCGCAGACTTCTAGCTCGCTAATGGTGCTTGTAGCATTCGAGCCTACAACAAGCTTACATTCTCGGACAGCTGAAACCACCATTGCTTTCAAAGTTTTGCAATAGGTATCCGAGAGCAATACTATTTGAGATGACTTTGTGCCCTTGCGCCTCCGTTTCCTTGTTGTGGACTTCTTTCTCATGATTCTTGATGTCCCCATGAGCCTTAGAGGACACTTCGACTGCTTGAATATCCTCAATTGTCTCAAGCATGTTAGTATCCTTCAGAAAACATCTCAGGATAGGGAGTACTGCGACACATCCAAAGGCAAGAAACTATACAAACTGTTTTAGCCTAGAAAACAGGAAACATGCGGCTCAAGCTTGCATTCGAGCTCACTTACTGCCAAAGAAGTACTAAACATGAATTCCTTAGAGTATCCACAATAGTCCAAAGTATACGCGAAGACCATATACAGAGCATTCAGAAGTCGGTATAGAGCGGCGTATACAGAAAGCTATGCCGCCTCATCAGTCCAACTCAATATTTGAGGATTTTGATTTCCTTACCTCTATAGGATCGTTACTCAGTGCCCCGATAAACCAGTATGCGTAGCAATTGTACGTGGCGTCTATAAAGCCATTCATGGCGAACAAGAACGACCACTAGCTGTACCCAGAATCGTAGACATCCAGTCTCTCTGCCTCACTTAACCCTTCTCGCGTCTTGACCATGGCAAAGTATCCTCCAATCTAGCTCGCATTGATGATCGCGAAGATGTATACTAACGCCCAAAATGGCCTTTTCCTCATCTTCATCGGCAACCTATCCGTGAAAACCCGGAGTATTCACGGCGCAATAGCCTGCGTAATACCAGAAACGAATGCGTTGAGCGAACGACCCCTCATCGTGAACTCAACGCCATTGAAATCATTATTCTGGTACACCACAAAGAAATTAACGGCCCAACACATCGGCGCGAAAAAAACCACCAATTCCTCCCCTGGACTTGGCCAGACGACTTCAACTCCTCGAGAAAAGTTCTCCGATGCTGAATCGTGACTCTCGACCCATCCTCTCTGATAATCTTATGCCACGGATAAAGCACAAGACTCATCCCCGCCCCCACAATCATCAACACCATCAACCCAATATACGTCCCACAATTCACTCGACTCTGATTCCTAGTCCTAGCGCTCCAATTCTGCCCACCGGAATCGCCGCCGATCACGACGCCCACCTGATAAATTGACCAAACGATAGAGACGTAAGGTTCTTTCTTTTCTTCTGATGCGAAAGACGTGACACCAGCCCCCTCCGCCGTCCGCAAGAATGCTACACTCACCCCACACCAACAACCCCCACAAACCACAAAAGGCACACTCCCGGTGTAATTGTAGCACCAGAGGTTCGCAGCGTAAGCCGCGTACCCGATACCGCCTACGAACAGCGTAATGCGGAGACTGAAGTAGTTCAAGAAGGCGGGCGATATTTTAGTTTCCTCTGCTGTCTTTATACTTCACTATCATAGGGAACCAAACCTCCTGCAGCTTCAGCGCATCAGACCGATGCGTTAGCTCCACCAGCATGTGCTCTCTCACCATCACACGGAGGGATGTGCGAAAATCTTCCAGAGCATTCGGTAATATTTGTGTTGGGCTCCCATCTAAGAATTCATTCACCTCCTTGATATGATCGCGGAACTCCTTATCACCTTCGAGAGCAATCTCAAATATCCGCACAACTCCTTCTCTTCCTGAATGTAAGAGACCCTCGATTAAGGCAAAGCAGCAACCTAGAGACCATACATCTGTTGTGAAATTCGGGGGGTTATCTCCACGCTGTTCGGGAGCCAGATACGCATTGGTTCCAGTGTGTGATGACCGGGCGGGGATGCCATAAAAGTACTCCCCGAGCCCAAAGTCTATGAAGTATGGCCGAATGAGAAAGTCAGGGGATTCCGGCGCCCATCCAGGCTGGAGAAGTATGTTCTCTGGTTTCAAGTCTCTGTGCCTAATTCTGCTGTCGTCACCAGATAAAGTCAAAAGTTCATTGGCTAAGCCAGCCAGGAACAAGCTGCAATCCAGGATAAATTGAGGCCAGTGCTGGAATTCATCTTCTTTGTACCATGAATTGATGTTAGATAACTCCTTTTCTCTCACGGACTTCTTGCCTATGAGATACATTAAGAAAGTATCCAGCGACAACTCAAGCCAAGGTTTCAAAACAAGGTAGACGGTGCCTCGACCCTTTGAAGGAACGTAGTAGACAGCTCGCAGCTCAATGGTACATCCCCAGTGCCCCTTGAATGTTTTGAGAAGCAGTGTCTCCGATTTGACAACATTGGATGATCCGTCTTCGTCGAGGTCCACCTTCTTACAGGCAAGGAACGGGTCTGACCTTAAGCCAAAATAGCGATCGACAGGGTCTATATTGGTGTCTATATCAGGGTTTCTGATCGGGTAAACGATACACGAACTGCCAGATCTGATCTTGGTGTTGGGAGGAATGCTGAGATCATAAGGGGGAGCGAGACCTGTGAAATCTTCCTCTAATTCGATGATGCCGAGGCCTTGAAGTTCCTCAGGAAGTCGTGATTTTCTCTCTACCGAGTTATCCAGTGGACTGTTTCTGCTGTCAACATCGCTGGAAAGCGGCCATCTGAGATGATGCTCGCTGAGTGCCAACCTGGAAAGTGTAGATTTAGCTCGGTTTCCAGTGCCTAATAAACTTGGTATCTGGTGCGTAACTCACGGGTTGTAATAATCACCATTCCTATTCGCAGACATTGGTTCTGTTGAGTTTTAGATCCTGAGATGGGCGATGGGCTTGGAATCACATATAAAGTAGGTGGCTGTTCAAAAAAATTTGTAGCGGATCGGGCTGAGATAAGGCTTTCAGATAAGGATCAGGTAGGGCTTGGGCCGCCGTGGCTTCCCGCACCCCTCTCCGTTCAGATGACTGGAGATCTATAAATACGTATTGACACTTATTCACGCTTCGGCGACAGACACCTAGACTAGATCAGGCTCCTCGTATTCTCAATGCTTCAAGTACGAGCGCCTTCAAATAGACTTCGCGGCTTAGCTAGCTCTATAACAACTGTCAGGTCGGTATGGACACAAAAAATCCGTTGAGATTTTCAGCAAGCCCCTGAATCGTCCAATTCTTTCTAATCTATCTCTATGATTATCGTTACATAAAGATACGATGCCTTGTTCTCCCTCACTGGCTTTGCTGACATGTCGGACAGTTCCCACTTTTAGACGTCGTAGTCGTCTGATCTGCTGCTGCTATGCCATTCGGCTTTCCAACTTCGTGCTGGGTCCCGCAGTATTCGTCGAGCTTGGCCACCTCCTTCTGGCATTTGCAGCCAGAGTATTCTGTACGATGAAATTTCCATGTGCACATTGCTTAATAGACTTGTATTTTGTTAGAATGAGTCAGTGATATCTGCTGTTAATGGAATACAACCTACTTGCGAGAAATGAACTTGGATTTTCTTTATCTGGTTTTCTTGAATCGCGTTCTTACTGGCAAATGTTGATGGGTTTGGGGAGCTTGTTTGAGGGAGCCCACTAGCCTTAAGTACGGCGGACTGTTAGCTGGTGAAGGGAAAAAACTAATTGCTAATTTAAAAATTCTTTACCCTGCACATAATTATAGCCTTTAGCTACTTATAACTTTATAATTATTTTATACACGTTTATACATGTTAATTTTATAATGCCTAGTAAGCGTCTTTTAAATAGTTACATTATACAAGTGCTTACTAATATAGTGGCAATGTAAGAGGACGTTCTAAGATTAACCTTAAACTATACTAACTCTATCTACTTAGGCTTTTTTATAAAGGTGTTACATACACATAGATAGCTACTTACCTTTTTAAAAAGTTTTAAGTCTATATTACTTTTTATATAATTAAGCAGTAGTTTTAAACATAGAATATAAAGCAACACTTTTTTACTAAGGTTAAAAATAAAGTTAAAAATTAGATCTAGGTGCTATTTTTTAAAGTTAAGCTTAAAGATTTAAATATGCTTTATATACTATATAATAAAGGCTTTTAAATTAGAAAATATATGCTTATATAACTTTAATTTAAGCTTAGATTATATAAAAAAGTGTAAAGTGTTAAATAAAGCTAGTAAGTAAATAAGCTTATATAATAACTTATTAGTTAAAAGCTAAAGAAAGGTGTTATTAATAAGTATAAGTAAAAGTATCTTTATACACACTTTTATTAACATAGCTATATTATTACATAGGACTAGTTATTTTACATCTATTATATAATAAACTATAAGGCAGTAGAGCGCTGCAAGCGCAACCTGCAGCAACACTATAAAGAGTATATTGTTCCTAGCCTAAACTTTATTTAGTCTATTAATAGCTATAGTAAGCTAAAACTATACAGCGTAGAGATCTATGCATGTATTAACGTGTACTTATAATACATTGTATAGATTTATGTTAGAATCTCTGCCTACACTACTATTAGCTGCCTTTGCTAGTTTCTTAAGACACTTAAAGAAATAAAGTAGTAACTACATTTTATATAATCTAATTAAAAGACAGAGATAGTTATGCTAGTAGATGCTTATTACTAGCTTTAAAAGTTTATAGAGCCTAAGCTTTTATTTAATTAGTGCTACTTTTACAGCATAAGTACATTAAATTAGTAGATTAAAGCTTAGTAGTAGTAACTTTTAAAGAGCTTTCTCTTTTATTAGTAAGTTAGTATTTTATATAATACTTATTACTTTATTTTACTTTAAGCAGGATTACTTTTACTACTTTTAAACCTAAGGCTTTTTTTTAAAAAATAGCTTAGCTAATTAGCTTACTATTTATGCTATATATATTTTTATACTTTATAAGGAACTATATAGCTTTGTATAACTATAGAACACACATTTAATTTAAAGGCAAAAGAACTATCTAAACAGTGTAGTTAAAAAGCCTTTTATACTTTATTACTATTTTAAAGCCTATATCTAGAACTAGGCTTTTTTATTTAATGCTAATTAGCTTTGTATAATTAAGAAAAGGGTTAATAGTTAGAATATAAATGCCTACCTCCTATAGGATACGCTTTAGTAGTGCAATAGGGTACTAAATTTGCTTAGATTTAACAGCGTAGCTGCAGCTTACTCTAACTTTTAAAATTATATAACACTATATCTAGATGTTTATCTTTAGCTTTAAGTAAAAGTATAATACTATATCTAGAACAGTCTTTAGCCTGTACTGTCTTTACTTAAGTTACTTATTAAAGCGTAAAATTAGCAAGTAAAGTTTTATATAATATACTTAATATAAAAGTATCTAATTTAACTAAGGTAATTAAGACATAGTTTAAGATGTTAATCTTAAAACTAACTTTAGTAAAAAGATGCCTATTAATCCTAATTTAGCTTAGTAGATTTATGTAGATGTAGTAACTAAGCCTTTATTTTTTCTATAGTATATTTAAATTTTTTATAGTTTCTTTTTTAGTTCTTTCTTTAGTTCTTTCTCTTATATAATGTATAATTTATTATTACTATAAGTGCCTAAGATAAGTTTTATCTTACTATAGAATAGTTTTATAGTAAGTAGTTTACTAAATATAAGTTTTATTTAGACTATAGCATTTAAATTTAACCTCTTACACTTACATAAATTATATAAGATAAAGAAGAGATAATCTGTCTAAAGAATATACTTAAGAGTGTAAAAAAAGAAATGTTTATCTCTTCTATATAAGCTACTTTACATATACTAGTAGAATTAGCATGTTAGTAGTTAATCTAGTGTACATCTTTACTTTTTATTTAAGGCTATATAATAGCTAAGCTTTCTATTCTTGTAATCCTCTACTTTATATAATATAAGGTAATTAATAAGTGTAAGTAAATTAATAGTATTAAACAGCTATATATAATACCCTCTTGTATATTAGCTAATATCTAATACATAGTAGATTAGACCTAGATATAGCTTTAGAACGCGCCTTTTATAAGCTATACTAAGTTTGTTAAGAACAGCCTTTTTAAAAAGCTTATATAATTTAATTTTTTAATTACTAAAGGCTATTCTAAACTATATCTTATTATAAATATTAGTAAAGATTATGTTACACATTTTCTAAAAAGTGCTAAGAATTATTATATAATTAAAGACTTACTAGAAAGTAGATACTTTAAGAAAAGTAACTAAAGCATAACTTTATACCTAGTATATAAGGTAACTATAGTAGCTTAGAATAAAATCTTTTTATATAAACCCTCTACTAAGCAGACTAAAGTTAAAAAGGAGAAAAAGCTAGTAAAAAAGAAAAAAGTTAAGCAAAAATTAAGCTTTATTAAAAATAAAAAAAATAAAAAAATGCTTTTATATAATTATAAGTAAGCACTATTTTAGCTATTTAATGTTAATTCTTAAGTGCCTTATTAGCTTTATAGTATTAAGAAGTAGTATGTTTTATATAATAATTTAATTTATTTCTTTTATTTACTAGCTTAGTTTAGTTTTACTATTTAACAGCTACTTATCCTAGTTACTGCACAAAAGTATAAGCTTTAACTAAGTGCTACAGACATCTTTATATAGCTAGGTGCTATAGATAACTTTTATAGCTAGAGCGCTTTACTACTTTTAAAAAAAATATTATATGTACTTTAAGCTAAAACTATTGCATTATTAGCTAAAGCCTTAGCAGGTTTATTTTTAATAAAAATAGGCTACTACTATAAACTATTACTAGCACTACTAATCTCTAGGTTATAGCCTAAATATAAAAGTTTACTAGCTAGCTTATTATTACCCTTTTCTTTTATAGAGCAGTAACTAGCATAGTTACACTATTTGTAATTGCTACATGCTTTGCTAAAGTGCCCCTTAGCGCAGCAGCACTCTAGGAACAGTTGTGGGCCTAAGACAGCGCTATAGCATGCGCTGCACAGGTTGTCTACTGCCCTTCTGCAAGATTATATAAGAATAGTGTTAATATATAAAGGCCTATGTAAAGCTATTTAATAAGAGGATATACTGCTATATATAAACTCTACATTCTGCCCTAAAAGGGCTAGCAATGCACAGGCCTGTAGACTATAAGCTAGTAGAGCTAGCTACTGCTATCCTACATGTAGGACAAGATTAATATTAGCGCTAGCTTAGTTAGCAGTAGTAACAGCAGCATTATAGAAAATAAAAGCTCTATTTTAAGTGTTAGCTTTATATAATAAGAGTAATTAAAATACTACAAGCTTAATGCTTACATTATTATTATTGTTATTATTATTGCTGCTGCTGCTGCTGTTGCTGTTGCTACTGTTATTACTATTATTACTGTTATTGTTGCTGCTACTGCTATAGTAGTAGTAGATGTGGAAGAGTAGTGGTGGCAGTAAGTATCTACAATTATTGTACAACGCTGTAGTAAAGGCAGTTGCTATAAAAGGCAGTTGCAATACAGTTACATAAAACAACTCTTTACTCCTTAGATCTTTAAAAAACATTATATAAATGCGTTATAGTATGTTTTGCCTAGTAAAATACTATAGTGTTTTATACCTAAAATGCTTCTAAGCAATTAGCAATTAGTTTTTTCCCTTCACCAGCTAACAGTCCGCCGTACTTAAGTTCGAGTTCAGCTCTGAGGTTTGAGAGCTAAGTTAGCGCCAACAATGCTTTTTCCATTCACCGGAAATGGAACCCACTTGATCATGACCCCGCATATCAGCCTCGATATCCAATATTCTGCTGCCTGGTTGATAGCCTTGCTTGGCGGGGCAGTGATTACGAGGCTCGGTTGATCACCTATTTCTGCGGCTAGGTGCGAGCGCAGCGACCTATAGTCTCCTGATTTGTTTCAAACCACCCTGTGATAGAATGCACCCCAAGCTGGAAATTCATTGTTTCGGTTCTGTTAATTTATGTAGAGCCTGCAAGGATGTGTTCCACATGTACTTCATGGATGCAACCATCACACGGAAATCGCATCATACATCTGAAGCATCGCTAATACAAGCAGAAGCTGAGCATTGCTCCATCTGCTCTATTGTATGGAACAATATCAAGAAAGGGTACCAAAAGAACGATACAGTGAATTTAGCGCATGACATCAAGACAACGTGCAGCATTTATGAGGATGAGCGAGAAGGGTCGTTGTCAAAGGTGGAAGTCTACCCTTACCTCTCAACCCAAAGTTCTGGGGATCTTTTATCGCGCTGTTCAGTTATCAAGTTCCGACTCATACCAACTTCAGGTACGCTCCATCCTCCTGGCTAAGAGATGCTCTTTTCTTGCAATCTTTGCACAAAGGGTGAGGCTGAGGCTCCTACAAGCCATGGTGCTGATCTCGTCTCACAGCTGAAAACAATGTTAGTCGAGTTGACACTCTCAACATGGACATTAGCACCTCATCGGTTGCTTCGCTAGACTTGGCACTGGACTGGTATAAAAGCTGTTTCAATTCTCACAATCAATGTCAAATACCTTTGAACGAGGACACGGATTGGAGACCGACACGACTCGTCGACATCGGGCTTAAGCATGGGGACATGTGGCATCTTCGTACTTGTTCTTCATTACCACCAGGGCCAGTGAAGTACATGACTCTTAGCTATCGGTGGGGATCAACAAGTAGCCTAAGACTTCTCCAAGGCAATATTGACATGCTACATCAAGGACTTCCCATATCACAGCTTCCAAAGACCTTTCAGGATGCAGTTTCAATTGCTCGGCACTTCTCTATTCGGTACTTGTGGATAGATGCGCTCTGCATCATACAGGACTTCAGTACTGATTGGTCCAGTGAAGCACCTACGATGCGATATGTCTACAGCCATTCAACGTGCAATATTGCAGCAACAGCCGCGATTGACCAAGATAGTGGGCTATTCAGGCAAAGAAACAAGGAGGAACATTTGCCTCGCACGATTACAGCGCCCTCTGGAGCTTTGAAACACCTAGGGGAGTCGTTTGTGCTGTTCGACAAAGAATACTGGAATCGACAGTTAGCACAAGGAACTCTTCATAACCGTGGTTGGGTCTTCCAAGAGTGTTTGCTCGCTCCTCGTGTCCTCTACTTCACGGGGAATCAAATCATGTGGGAATGCTTCCAAGAGACCAAATGTGAACGCTTTCTACGTGGGATCCCCTACCATGAGGGCTTAAAAAATCTCACCATTCTATGGGATTCTCTGGATGGGCGGAAGGAAAGCAAACGGGACGCAGGCGCAGGAAACATGACTTTACAAATTCAAAATTTATGGAACCACCTTCTTGAAAGCTATTCGTCCCGTGCCTTGACACGCAGCGAAGATAGGCTCCCCGCCTTAGCAGGAGTCGCCCGGCTCTTTGCGGACACTACAGGCGATGAATATCTCTGCGGGCTCTGGCGGTCGAAGCTGATCGAGCAACTACTTTGGCGCGTTCCACGACCGACGCTAAGGGCCCCAACACAGCTTGGTGTACCATCATGGTCCTGGGCCCTGACTATAGGGCAAGTGCTATCAGTAGATTTATGTTCCGATCGTCAGGATTTGATCACCATCACACATGTTGTGAGACACGAGGACCTGTCCATATGCGAGATACCCTCATATTCATCGATATCTATTTGGTTAACTGGTACTTTATCCATTCTCCAAGAGCAGAGCTCGGATGGCAATTCTTACAATAGCCTCGGATCAAGGCCTCTGGAGGCGAAGTTACATCTTGATTTTGCAGACGCCAATCCAGATGCAGGAAACCAGGAGATGTATTTACTACCTGTGCTGTCGTTGCATCCATGGATTCCCCCTATACCGTCAAGCACACGGCTGGTTGGATTGATATTGACAAAATTAGTTGATTATGGGTCCAGCTCATTTCAGAGGGTTGGTCAATTCAGCACGGATTCCTCAGAGGATATTGGTAGGCTGGGCTTTGACATTTCATCCACGGGACTAGCTGTACCGAGGAAGGCGAGCAATCTCTCCGAGCTATGGTTGGTGTGATGAGAGTTAGTTTAGTCTCTATGAATTGAATGTCAATCACAAGAAATCCTGCGCTATCAATCTAGTTGTTTCTGAGAGTGCGCGAGGCAACTTTACTCAACATGAGGGTGCGCTCCACATCTAAATTATAAGCGCAGCCCACGACCAGCAGACTATATTACTAGATCTTACATATAGCCGATCTTCTCATACTTAATCCCAATCATGGCCCCTCAATGCCCAGATGACTAGCAACATGTAAGAACAGAATTGACAACGTAAAAGGTCGATTACTTGCAAAGATATAACCTTTTAGCGCAATAGAACGGGAAATATGGGTGCCATGATGAATATCAGGTTCCAATTAAACGATGGAAGTGCGGAATGGTCATATATACAACGTCATTGGCGACTCCGGAATGATAGCAGAGCATCTGATGTCACGAGTTTCAGGCGAATTTAATTATATTCTCAAAATTCTCTTAGTGAAACCTGAACTACATATAAAACTAATTATGGGTGCCCATTGAAGGACAACCAGCACGAATAACACATCGCTCTGACCACATCGAGCCTTCCAGATACAGGTGATGATATAACTCGCCCGCAGTTTTCCGATCCTCAGGCTTCCACTTTAGCATACACCTCATCAACTGTAGAAAGTCATCCTGCTTTTTTCCTTGGTAGGTTCCTTCTAATTCCTCTAGGCCGGGTCGAGAATCGGAAGCTCGACTTTTTAGTTTTAGTTAAGCCAAAGAACTCATTGCTCCACTCGCCCCTCTGTACCAATTCCAACTGAAGCGGCCCTAGCACTGAGATGATTTCGGCGGGATAGCACGTGTTCTATTTCCGCTTCCATCCGGCCCCCTGCCATAGAACAAATGCTCGTCTTCGAAAAGACCTCAAACCTGTTGTGATGTAGAGACATTAACGTGACGCAGCCGGAATTCAGAGGAACGAACCATGCAACCATCCTTCCAGATATCCACAGGGTAGCCCCACTCGGCCTTGAGCATAACTTCTGGAGGCCGGTAGACTTGGGGTTGGGCGTAGTGATTCAACTTCTTGTCGCCTCGGGCTGCAGATCCAAAATCGCCAAGAACTGCTCTGCTAAACCGTTTAAGTACATTAACAAAAACCTGGGATGCATATATTGTAGTGGTATTAATGGTTTTACGTGCAGAAGGTGTCTTGAATTTCCCTTAGGTAGATGACTCAAGGATTGATTCATCTATGATTTCCATGAGGATATTATCGCCTTTGATATCTGCAAGATAGCTAGGGCAAGGCATCCTTAGTTTTTAAACCCACATGTGTGTACTAGCTGGCACCCGGTATGCATGTAGTCGAGCGCGAGGAATACCTGAGCTAGAATTGGTTTAAGCACTGTATCCGGTAACCGATGCGAGGGATTGCGATTCAGAATACTTTCAAAGATATCCCTACATAGGCTTCTGCACAAGACATTTGTAGTCTCCTTCAGATCTCGGGATAGTAAATAATTCTAAATAGGTTCTAACAAACGGGCGTGACTTGTTCCCTTGGCTTAGTCATTGGTAAATTACGAATTCAGCTTGATCGAGTCCTTCACGAGTGAACACTTTGAGGGTTGCATAGTCATGGTTAGTATTATAGTTAGCGCGTAGGAGACGACGATGGGTTCGTATTAAGCTCCTCTATACTCGCTTCATGGCGTATAGGCTAGCTGGGCGGCGTTAATGGAGGTTCTCGAAGCAGATTCTTTGCATATCTCAGAAGGTTTACTATCATGAATACAATGAAGCGTTTAGAGAAGGAAATTTAAAGTAATCTAAGTGGTTCTAGTGTTGTAGTGGGTGCAGGAACGAGGGAGAGCCGTCCTTGACCTTGAGGAGGTTTAGGAACAGGGACTTTGCTGGCGCCTTCTGGGCTTACAAATGCGGCCTTCTGTCTATCTGTGTGGATTGACCCACCGCTAAGGACCGTCTATAACCTCCTCAGATCTAGGAAGTATCTGCCCGTAAGTGGGAGGGCGCTACAATGGGCTGCCCAATCAACCTTGGGCTTGGCGTCTCATTATACTATATGAAGTATATAGCTCCTTGGACCCTTAGTCCACAATGTATCACTTCTTTTATAACTCATGCCTACTGAAATGCAACATTCTTATAGTCTTAAGCACAAATAACTGTAATACATTCTGTGAAGCCGCAAGCTTCCCTTGTTGTGTCACCCTCTCCACATCGCTTCCCAACCGATTTCTCTTAGCATTTAAAAGAATTGGGCATCCTTCTACTCCTATCATAGCTATGTCTTTGTCCCATGGAAACCGTAATGTCTGCATATAACTTAAATTATATCGCTGAGTGAAAACGATTTGGGCATAAGAACTAAGCTGACTGTAAAGGAGAACTGGGATGAGCCTTCTGTGCAGAACATGGGTGAGCTATGGCTCAAATTTAGTGGAAACGGCTAATAACAAGCTCAGACAGGTGGCTGGGGGAAACTAACCCTGTATGGAGTATCTAGGCGCCAGCTCTGTGCGACTTGACATGCCCAATGAGCTAGAGAGGACACACTACTTTCAACTTCGCTATTTCACCCAACAGCGCGTTCAGTTGGAACGAAGGCCCTACCTAGATCCACAGTAAGAGAAGCGTTCGTTTGTGAACTGCAATCTAAAGTTAATGGTAATGGGGGCTACCTTTACAGTGAAGTGTCTCCTGCTATTCTGTAAAAGCAAGGTGTGAGACTACAGACTTGGGTAGAAGCAGAACACAATTAGCGCCACTATTAGCACACTCTAGCGTCCTCCCCAATCACCATCTCTTCCTTTTCAACCCAGTATATTTTTCATCTTTAGATATACCCTCAATCATGTCTATGTATGATCAATATTTAGTTTCTTCCCTTCTAGCCTATTTTAAGGGATTGTAACATCTTAAGACTCTATTGAAACTCTCAATCTTTCGTCGTATACCTGAGGACATAAAAATAATTTTTATAAGTGCCTGAGGATGCATGGCTAAAAAATGCGTTGAAATTGTATGTGGTAGTGTAGATTAGATTTGGGATTGCATATAAGGAGGTTCTTGTTCAATTCTATTTACACGAAGGACTGTGTTCAAAATCGCCAGGCTTTCTTTTAAACTAGAATCTTAGTCTTCACTCACTCGTGTCATCTAAAGTGAGAAAATTGTACATCTCCTTCCGCTTCAATAAAATGAACACAGCCTCTCCCTCTCCTACTAATCTTCGTGACAGTGCTAATACTCGTGGTGCCTCTTCTACAGCCAGGGCTTGAGCTTTTTGGTCGCCCCTCCATTCAATGTCTCCCCACAGGGTGGGGTAGCGATATGTATGAACAGGCTTGACATCCGGAGCAACCCAGCCTCACAAGTCGGGCATCTCAACGCGTTAGTTCCTTAATCAATAGAAATATGATTGAGAAGATAAATCCGGTAAGCTTTGGCGGCCCACTTACTCCATTGATAAAACATCGTGGGAGATTTGTTGATATCTAGGATGTCAACGCCAGAGGCACAAGTCCCAGCTCCAAGGTGAATAATCATACCGCCTGTAGTTTGTGAGACAATTCCTGTTCGTGATTATATCGGAACTGACGCAAGGCGTAGGTAACATCAGCGGTGAAGTAAAAAAAAGGATTAAGCAAAATATGGAGGTGGTGCTGAGCTTGGCTATTCGGCAATGATAGCCTCTCTGGTATTAAATTGACGGAGGATTGAGATGATAACGCTGAGGCGTACCGTGAGAACGTGGGTGAGGGCTCCTTGGTCTAGCCTATTTTGGTTAGTGTAAATTTCTGGAGATCAGCATCAACGTTTCAGCATGGGGCTTGGAAGCCTGCCTTTTTGCGTGAGAGTTCTGCATTAATGACTTAATCGAGTCCAATGCAACAGTCTCCTTCGCCTTTCCGCCAAGAGGGAACCATGGCTCCACGACGTCCCCAACGCCGGCGTTCTCCAACTGCTGCCACGGCTCTCGGCTTGTCCTCGCTCATCCTCCCCACCTTCTGCCTCGTCCGCTTCACCGCGCGCACAGGCTATGTATCTGCCATCCTCTATACCTGTGTGATGAGCGTCGCTACGTTCCTTCTCTACGGCTACGATAAGATGCAAGCACGCAATCTCGAATGGCGGGTCAAGGAAGCTACACTCCATACCATGGCACTGCTAGGAGGGTGGCCGGGCGCGTTAGTCGGGCAACTCTACTTTCAACATAAAACTAAGAAGACAAGCTTTCAATTGGTCTTCTGGGGAATTATGTTGGGGTGGCAGTTCGTGTGGTGGGTGTTGTGGAACGAAGGGATTGAGGGGAGGAAGACGTTGGCGAAAATGTTAGGAAATATCGAAAGGGAACAAGCGAGAGGAATTGAGAGAGGACAAAAAATACGGAGCTAAGAGAAGCATGGAATGAATCATTCCACTATTGGATACCGATAAATACGTATATGGAGAGGATCCTGTGCGTTAAGGGGAAGGGAAGGAAAGACGCCAATATCCAACCCAAACGCGAATCTAAACCCGAACGCCAGAACCCATCATTTCATCGCTTCTTGTGTCATGGTAGAAACTTGTTCAAAGGCGTCTTTGGAGAGGTCGTGCACTTTGCCCCAGGCTTGAGCGGCCGCCTGACCTAGATTGGCAGAGACTATTAGCGACCCGTGAATGGCTTGGTTAAGTCATCGGCAGTATCACCGCCGGCCTCGCCAAGAGGGTTGTTCAGGCTTCCGCCAACAGCATTGCTAAGGCCCTTTTTGAACTGCTTGATGTCCTCTTGGTCGGAAGCAGGGATCTTGGAAATCTGGTCTAGTGGGAGCGTCAGCACAGAGTCATGCATAGCCGCCATTGTATTTACCCTTTGCTATGTAGGACATCTTGTTCTCGCCCATGGTTTTCAGGGCCTGCTTTTCGAGCCTGCGCTTGAGCTCAGGGGGGATTCCGAATAGGTAGATGGCGAGGACGATGACGCCGATGACACCAGCCAAGACGGTGAATACCTTTGCCGCGGTCATGTTGAGGGATGGTCGAAGGTTGTGTAGGGAGTAATATCTGGTGAAGAAGTTGGTCTAGAGGTGGAGTAGAGGAACGAGAAAGTGAAGCTGATGGTGTTGTATAGCCCTACGAACTGGTTTATATAACTTAGGTATTGTTTGCCATTCCGACCACTACCCATGACATCAGATCGTTGTTTCCCTGAAATAAGCCCCTGTCACTTCTCTAACCTACACACGGTCCAATCGCTCTTGGCTCCCCCCCCGCAGGCCTTTCACATCGTGAGATTCTCCGTAGCCGTGTCTCGCGCATCTGAAGACGGTACTCAGAATACTGAATATGGCGGACGTTGAATTACGCTTCTGATATTGTTCTGACTACAAGCCCCAGCTGCGGTGTCGATCTGACAGACAACAGCCAACCTATCAGATGCTGCTCAGCCACAACTCTCCAGCCTCAGAGGCGCATGCAGCAGGAGTTGACGGCGGCCCCCACCACAAGGCAGACCCCTCGCAAACACATCAGTCGTGCTGACCCCTAGCTGAAGCTCCCGTTCCTCTCTCTACTCCTCCTTTACCTCCTGTTCCTTTCACACATTTCTTCGCCTTTCAACACTCTCGTTCACCTTCGACAAGCTAGCGTGGGCTTCATATTCATTCCACTCATCGCTTCTGCACCACCAGACATACGCCGCCTGATAGGCAGCCCCTCCAACCCAACCTGAAGGACAACGCAGCACATCAGGCGCTGCTCCTCACACTTCCAAAATGAGTTGTACGTACTTCGATATACTCAAATCGCGAGCCTTGTCTGACTCTCAATGCCACAGTGACAAACATGCTAAACAAGCTGCATGGTCAGCCCGACAGTTACGATAGAAAGTTCGCTGCCTCTAATACCCTTACAGGCGACAATAATACTGAGAACATCGATCGCAGATCACGATACCGGTTCGGAAAGACATTGGGTGCTGGTACCTATGGCATTGTCAGGGAAGCCGAGTGCCCTGAGGGGAAGGTTGCCGTGAAGATCATCCTCAAGAAGAATGTTCGGGGTAACGAGCAAATGGTGTATGATGAGTTGGAGATGCTTCAACGCATGAAGCATCCTCACATTGTCAAATTTCATGACTGGTTCGAGTCTCGGGTTGGTGTACCCCGCGCTCCAGCTGAGGCCATGGAAGGCTGACCCAAGCAGGACAAGTACTACATCGTGACCCAATTAGCGACGGGTGGAGAATTGTTTGATAGGATTTGCGAAAAGGGTAAATTCACTGAGAAGGATGCCGCCGAGACAATTCGACAAGTGCTCGATGCCGTCAACTACCTTCATCACAACAATGTTGTTCATCGAGGTTAGATAATGTTCTCGTTCTGTCCAATTTAACCGACTGATAAGCTTTAGACCTCAAGCCCGAGAACCTGCTTTACCTCACACCAGACCCCAACTCTTCACTTGTACTCGCGGACTTCGGTATCGCCAAAATGCTCGACTCCAAGAACGAGGTTCTGACTACCATGGCTGGCTCATTCGGATATGCAGCCCCGGAAGTCATGTTAAAGAAAGGACATGGAAAGCCAGTTGATATGTGGTCTCTGGGTGTTATCACGTACACGCTTCTCTGCGGATACTCGCCCTTCCGATCGGAGAATCTTGCCGACCTCATTGAAGAGTGCAAGAACGGCCGGGTCATTTTCCACGAGAGGTATTGGAAAGACGTGAGCAAGGATGCCAAGGAGTTTATCACGCTGCTGCTTCAGCCTGACCAGAACAAGCGGCCCTCAAGTGAGGTAAGAGAAGAGCCAGTGGCCTTCGGGTCTGACTGAGCTGACTGTCATTTTTAGGATGCCCTCAAACACATCTGGCTGAGCGGAAAGACGGCATCCGATCACAATTTGCTTCCCGAGATCCGCGCATATGTCGCCAAGGCACGACTCAGGCGCGGTATTGAGCTTGTAAAATTGGCAAATCGCATCGAGGCTCTAAAGATGCAAGAGGACGAAGAAGAGGACGTCCCAGGAGAAGCAGATATGCCTTCCAACGCGCGCGAGGCAGCGGGTGAGGCGCTAGCAGCACACAGCACCGATCGCGGATTGACAACACCAGAGAGCTCAACTACTCCTGCTGGCGGCAAAGGTCGTTTGAGCAGACTTGCTAAAGGGGCCATCTTCCGAGAGGTTGTCCTGGCAAAAGTCCGCGAAATGAAGGAGGTAGAAGCTCAGAAAGAATTCGAGAAGACTGCTGCCGAACAAGCGAAGAAGACATAAGCGGGCTAAAGAGGGCTGATTAATATCGGAGAGGGCTAGTATAGGCTACGGATTCAACAGTTTTCATTTTCTGGTTTCGCTCAGTACATCCGTAATGCTTTTGTGCCGACTTGCAATTAATTGAGTTGTCAGGATACCATGGATAGCAGGTGCCAGGTCAGTTTGACTAGATATGTAGTTCTGGGGTGTGTGGTCTCTTGAGCACTTTGTAGCCTTGAAAAGTTCTGCCGCCGTTGCAGTGTTTTGAGATGGGCGCTCTGATGTTATCAAGAAATATGGCAGCGACGCCATAATCACGTGATAATCTCGCTAAGGGAGCGCTAAGCCCTCTTTGGTTCTTGGCTCAGTCAGAACCCCTTCACACGCAAGGAACGCGTTCAGCAGTTGGAGGCTTGAGATACGCTTTGCACCCGACTGCATCCACCACGACGCAGATATTGTGTCTGCCGTTCCCCCGGAGTGACTTGGATAGCCATTGCGACCGCGCCTTGGGCAAAATGGAGAGCGCGGCAAAGCGCAAAGCAGCCAGCGCTGCGGCGCCGGAGAGCGAGAGTCGGCCGTCGAAGCGGCAGAAACTGCCGGTAAGTGCACGTTGATGCGATGGGGGAGGGATTGTCGACGGCGTGTCGAAGAAGATGAAGGGCCTCGGGTTGCGATGTGGGCGATGCGGGAAAGCCTCCTGGACGTGGAGCGCGCGACACCTTGGTTCGACGAGCAGCCCTTCACGACCTCCGCCGTGCGCCCCTCGTGCTCCGCACCCACTCGAGCGCGCCGCCGACAATGGATATGGGCATACTGCGCAGGAATACTGCAGGGGAACTTAGAAAGAGTCCGCTGACGATGGATTTCTTTGTAGGGCGATGCGCAACCCGTCAAGGAAACGGTTGAGACGACGACGACCATGGGCCTGAAGTTCCTGGACAGCCTGAGGGCAGCGAAGGACAAGACGTAAGAGTCCCTGCGCCCTTTCTACGCTCGCGCTCGCTAGCACTGCATCACTGCTGCGCTCGATTCCGCTCACCATTACTGACACCACGTTGCAGCGGCCGCCCGATTGCGACGCACTTCCTCTCTCTCCCCGACAAGGTACGCACTGGACACCATCCCCCGCGAAGAGCCCCGCTAACCACAGGCTGCATAGGACGAGCTCCCCGAATACTACGACGTGATCAAGCTGCCCATCGCAATTGACACCATCGAGGTACGACCGCCTCCGCCTCTGCCCCTCCCCCTCCTCACGACGAATGCTAACGTGCGCATGGCTAGGCTAAACTCAACCGCGGAGTATATACAACGCTTGCTCAGGTCGAAAGTGACTGCAAGCGCTTGGTCAACAACGCAAAGGCATACAACGACAAGAAGTCGCTCATCTACGAGGATGCCGAGCGTGTGCGCAAGACGGCGTCCAACTGGATGGTCAAGCACAACCCCGCCTATCGAGATACCAGCTATCAAGCGGTAGCCACCCCGGTACCTGGCGAGGAGCACTCTCTTCCTGGTCGACTTATCCCACGAGTTGTTGCAGCTTCGAGCCCGAAGACGCCAGTCCCAGTCCCGGTGGCAGCGCCCACGCCGGATTCTGCCGCACGTCCTCGACGAGCCGCGGCAGCTCCACAACCCCTTACACCGGCGCCGTCGAAGCTGAGGCATTCCGCATCAGCTCCCCCAAAACCAGAACCAGAACCAGTCGATGACGATACCCCAGGTTACAGTGGTAAGAGCTTCCAGCAGGCTCAGGATCAAATCGTTCGCGAAATGATCGATTACCAAGATCCACAGTGAGTGCTCCCCTCGCAATCTGGCCCCAACGAAACTAAAATCCCCTACAGCAGTGAATTGCAAATCTTCATGCCTTTCGTTAACCTTCCCAGTCGGAGTCTGAAAGATTACTACCAGCTTATCAAACACCCTATGTCGCTGTCCGCGGTGCAGAAGAAAGTTCGCGGCGTCGTGGGTCGGAATCCGCCGACGGGGAAAACTGACTTGAAGAGCTGGCATGCGTTTGAGAATGAAGTGAGCTTGATTTGGACGAATGCGCGGGAATACAATGAAGATGGTAGTGACATCTACAATCTCTCGGTCGAATTCGAGGTAGTTCTATTGCAACCCCTCCTCTCTTACCAGTGAGCTCACAACCACAGGAAATATTTAAGCAGCGACTTGCCGAAGCAAAGGCCAAGGTCCAGGAGCCACCGCAGCCAAAACTTAAGCTAAACATGTCTGGGCCGCCCAAGCAACAGATCAAAATAAAGCTCCGACAGAGTCCTAGCTCCGATCCCAACACTCCTGCTGCTCGCAGCTCAGCGACACCAAGCGTCATCGTAGACAACGAAGCGCTCCTACGGCAGCAGCGACACGTGCAAGAAAGCATGAACGGCACGCGGTCCTCTCGTCCTTCGTCGTCTGGGAAGGTGCAAACACCTCTGGCTTCCTCTAACCCATTCAGCGGGCCCAAAGGCGCCTCTTCATCCGTTCCTCCATTGAGCTTATCCCAATCCAGAACTGCCGGTTCACCTCCGGCCGTGAATGGCATCAAGAATGATGTGCAGTCTCCGGCGCTCAACTCCATCCGACCTGCGAGCACGGCATCTGATAGTCAAAGTCAAAGACTAAGTGTTCCTGCGCAGACTCCGCATCCTGTCATGCCTCCTCCGCGGAGCATGTCGCGTCCAGCCAGCGGCAGTCCACACCCGACTGGACCGATTGGTCAACAGACAGGGAGTTATTCACAGTATACCACATCAAATTACTATGTTCCGCCAACAACGCCTCATTTCGAGAATCTCAGAAAGGCGCCACTAAAGAGTAAGACTTCATATCCTTATGACTATGTGCATTCCAGATACCTAACTCCACCACCAGGCATAGATGAAGCACTCATACCCAAAATAACGCTCACCACACACCCCGCACTCAATCTCCCAAAACCTTTCTTCATCTCCATTCCTGCTCACAAAGAAAAGACAAGCCACAGCATCACCATCTCCCTCGCATCCTCCCACTCCTACCTCCAAATTGTGCCCCACATCCCCGTCGCTCTCACCAACCGTCTCTACCGCCTCTTCGTCATAGTGAACGGAAACAAGACCTTCGAAGTCAATCGCGTGCCCGTCACGGCTGGCATCAACGGCAATAGCATAGCTGCGGGATTCGAAGGCGGTAAGAAAAAAGGCGAGCCCCTTTTCGAGGCAAAGCTATCCCCTGGTGTGAATCGGATCGAGGTTGAGGCTATTGCGGAGAAGGATAAAAAGACTGCTGGGAAGACAGAGGGGAGGGATGGGAAAGATCCGAAGGAGCAGGTCGAGGTGGAAAAGTGCACGATTTTTGTGCACTTGATGAGGGCGTATTAAATGCTAGGTCTAGGTTTAGAGTCTGCTAAGGGAAAGAATGAGGGTGCAAGAGATTGCGCGGATTGCATGGCTCAGGTGTTTGTGTTTTCCAGGTCTCGGGTCCGGCATATCACGTTCATGGGTCTTAATTACTCACTGGAAGGGATGGGTGAATGGATGGATGGAGTATACAGGTGTTAGGACTGTATATACCAACCATCATGGCAGACAGCATGAATATTCGGGCTTCTCTGTTCCAGGCTGTTTTTAGTAGTCTTTTTTCTATTTAATTTTTGTTGGCGGATGGATGGAGATGGACGAATGTTTACATACGCAGATTGAGGATTGAGGATTGAAGGTCCAGCGCCCCTTGAGTACCTTTTCTGTTCTACATAGTCTGTGAGTCTGTGAGTGGATTAGACTAGTGCATGGTATGCCTCGAATTGAGATAAGAATCTGTAAGTGAGCCTAGTTCCTGTGTGTAATTCTCAATCACCCCTGCCCTCTCAAGGTACCTCTTCCCTAGGACCTCTCAGCCTTCCTAGCTCTATTATTCTTCCCTTTATCCAATCTAAGTCACCAGTCAAGACTCCATTTAATGTTTCTCGCGGCTACTCTGAGTGCCCTCCTTGCTCCCACACCTGGCATTCGTCAATCCGAATCAAACTCCTATTTTCTGCATAGGGCATATAGAGTTCGTCGTCCTAGATTGCGATTTTAGGTGTTTGTTTTGAGGTGGTGGTAGCGGCATGGACACAAGAAAGCTAGTGTTAGACTTTGAATATCGATGCGAGTTCTTTGCAGTAGGGTTAGGAGGGTGAGAAGTGGCTGTTCTAACCGTCGTCAAGACTGTTTGTGATGATGGATGTTGAACAGCCAAATGGTCTAGGGCTGTGGAATTGAGATAGGCTGACGAGGAGACTCGTGGCGATGCTGGAGCTGGAGGTAGAGGTGCATATGCAGGGGTTGCGAGGGATGAAGGTGAGAAAGGGTAGAGGTTGGATTTTATATAGATTGGATTGAATTGGATTGTGTGAAGAGGGGAGTTTGTTACTTCTATCACGTGAATGTAGGGGTGGAGAAAGGTAAGTCGTACAGACATATTCTCAGTCTTTTCCAGTGTATATCGTCGTGATTTCTGACTGACCTCTCGGAGAACTAATATAGGCGTCCAGCTAGCTAGCACTTGGCACCTCGGTATCGATCGGTTCACGCGCAAGTTCTGGTTTTGGAATGCTTGATTGTTTACTACTAGTTATGGCGCTCTGAACTCGAGTAGGTTCTCTCCTACCGGTAGTGCTGAGACCGAGATCCGCCAGCCCCTGATCTCTAGGAGAACTTGATGGGAATGGGGGCGTTCTAGCTCTACATAACTTCACGGGCGGTCTGTCCATCTTCACCACGACCACTTACACCCTCCACATCTAAGCAAACGCATTACTCAATTGTTGCACTCTTCATCGCACTTCTACTACATTCCCAGTTACTATGGGCTTCTTTCTTAATGCTCTGCCAGGTTCAGAAGCAGGTATATGCCGTAAGTAAGTCACACACCTACGTTCACGCTGTAGCTTCCGCACGTCTCAACCCCATCAAATGAATGTAGCAAATCCACGCGGCCTCCCTAGCATACGAAACGTTAGATAATAGCCTTATATATAATTCTCAAAGTTCTCAACTACCTACAAACGCAGCGATGGTGAGAATGTGGAACCAGAAGGGATCCCAGATGCCCCTGCCGGGCTCGTCGGGCCCATCACTATGAAGGGAATGTCAAAAACCCCCGACCTTTCCGAACCTCCGATACTTCCAAGTAATAATTAATGTACGTTGGAGAACACAATGGACCAGTGGACCGCTCGATCGAGGGGTTCGTGCCCCCAGGGTGGTTCACGAGGAGCTTCAGCTATGGGCTATTCTTCTAATAGCATAGTATACCGTCCATCGCCTTTCTTGGCACGCCGGGGATTTGGTTGCCAGTTGCACTCGCTGTTCGTTGCTGGACATTCATCGGAAAGTTGTTTGTGGTGATGGTGTTGGGGTGACGTTGGATATGCAGGGCCTCTGTTGTGATACGCTGCACAACTCGAGCATTTTCTGGTTGGATGAAAACTTGAGAGCTGAGATTGAACAAGTTGGTCTTGTATTATAACGCCTACTGGAATACGGAGTTCGTAATCTGGATTCGAGATTTGCAAATGTGCTGAGGTTGCGCGTGCTGTCCAACTCGCAGGCAACATAGATGGCTTGTGTGGCTCGCACTGGTGCGTGCTGGCATCCCCCAAACAGGAATATACCGAAGATGTCCTTTTAAGCAAACGATTTTCTGTCCTCTGCATCGCTCTCAGCATTTGAGTTGGTTGTCAAAACCAAGTTCCTTCTTCACATGGCAGCCGTGACTCGCAGATCTACGGCACACGCCATGCGATGCTATGCAGCACGTTCTTGACAGCAATCGTATCGGCGCATGCCAGAATCCCCAAAAGCCGGTGTATGGACATGGAGGAGCATTGTATTCCACCATCCATCCATCGTCGTGTAAATAAGCTCTCCAGCCCTACCCCGACGCACACCTAACGCAAATCCGATTCTCCACTTCAAAGTCTCCGAGAACGCACTGTCCAATGACTATAGCAACTGAGCGCTTTCCCTCGCATACGGATGGTATTTGGTGCATTGCCTCTTGAAGGCACTAGGAGCTCCTAGTGCCGCGTCGGATGGGGAAGACGGGAAGGATGTGGAGGTAGGGTTCAAGGTCGGATCATTGCGTGATTGGAGCAGGCGAGGGGAGTGCGGTTGATCGTTGGACGTGTTCGCTTCGCGAGTAAGAAACCCCCGGGGCTGCAGGGCTACAGACGATGTCGGTGATGCTTGTTAAGGATGTTGTGGCAGTAGTAGAATGTTGCGAAGCTGAGCCAGGCAACTTTTAACACCTATGGAGGGTTCTACAGTTAGCTTGAGTGGATGATGGGATAACGCGCCGATATCTCTCGTGTGTGGAGGTTGGTGTGTGCAATGCATATTGTCACTCTTACGTTGCGTCGAGAAGCTTTACCTAAAATTTAGTTACGATGGTGGTTAGGACGATGTAGCGGACCATGTTGAGTCGTGATGGATGAAGATTGAGACTTGATGAGAAACCAATGGGCGTGGTATGGGCGGTCAAGCACTGAAAGCTGCATTTGCGAGTAGATTCCCTCAAGGAGAATCACGTTCTCAAGATGAGCTTTTTCGAGTACTAGTTGCAATGAGGAGGCTGAAAACCTGGGGGCTGCTCTCGTGGGCTTCGGGCTGTCACCATCCTGGAGGGGCTGGTAAAGGACCCTCCACCCGGACCAAGAGAATGCCAGCGCCCATTAATCCTTTCGCGAACCTTCCACACTCTCATCCCTGCGGCTCAATAAAACATCCACTGACTTATTCGCCTGGGTGGAAAATGCATGTGGCAGGCGTGGTGCCCCTTGCTGTCTCGATCGAAGCAAGACCCCAAAATATGGTAGGTCAGCGAGCGAAGAGTCGAAACACCACCCTAGCCATGTCCTTGTCTGCAAATGCTCCGTCTGCTCAAGAGGATGAGCTACGATGCAGAGGAGAGCGCTTTCAGTCAGGCCTCTATCTCGTCACCAGCATCATCTCTGCGCCCCCTTCGACAGGCATGAGCGTCAGGTGTAAGTCCTTAGAGAAGGGGAACCAGGGTCCTGAAGCTGAGCTGTCACCTTTCTCTTAGATACGGTCATATCGAGCCATGAGACGCCAAATGATGCTACGGCAGTAGCCCAATCCTACAATCCCAGCCCGCAGGTGTCACAGAAGGGCAATGCAAACTGTGGTGGTTGGCAGTCAGCCCCTCATTCGCTGAGAGCACAAAGCTCCCAGGGAATTTACGGAAACAGCCTCTTTGCTCCGGTTTCTTATAACCACAACCGAATGGGGCGTGCATGGTGTGCTACACGGTGAGGTCACGGCGCACTCAAGGAGAAATTCTGAGGGCAGATTTCCAAGTCAAGTTTCGGGTGGGAAAATAGGGGCCAGGGAGAGATCATCTCTTGCTCAATTTCTTTCGTCGGAGAAGCCTCAGATGTTGGACGCTAGCACGATTGTGCGGTTTGGAACTAGGTGGCGGAGCTGTGAAAGACCCCCGCAGGGGCTATCTGTGGGCGGGTCCCTCGGCTCGAAAAGCTTCGAAAAATCTGCCCGCATCGTTCGAATAGTGCGGTAAAGAACACATGAGCAGTGGCGAATCCCGGTGAAGCTATGCCTGTTGGAAGATCTCGATTGGCTCGGAAGAGGAGCAAGTTTCCGCGTTCATCAAGTGCACTGATAATTAAAATGGATATCCGTCAAGGGCAAAGCTCATCTCTCCCCGCTTGCTCCGGCCGACCAACAGGATCGCCATCGTGGGTGGTGGCATTTGAAGATAACATCTTGGTTCTTGAGGTGACGCAACATTTTGCTCCTCTCCCGAGTCGAGGCCTCATCCATGATTCACTCGTCCGCAGCCACTGATGAGGGAGAGTGGACGGAGGGTAACGCTTCATTCGAATTGTGTGAAGCGCTGTGCATCATGTCTGCACAAGAGGCGGTAAACAGGCGATGGCTGCAGCTGGTGAACGCCTCTCGCGAGCGGTGTAAGCCGCAAGATGATGCGGCGAGCTGTACAGGGGGGGAGAGCCATGGGGCTTCATACATCGCCGGAAGTGATACTTAACGGCTCACGTAAATAGCAGCGTAAAATACGATTCGGCGTCTCTGCCTATGATTCACGTGCTCCGGGCCGGCGGCACGGATCTACCTTAATCCTCCTTTTTGAACGTCCTACCATTTTATTAGCTACTTGAGATTCTGATGGAAGCACTCCACACAAGAACAACAACATTTCTGATCTCGACTTAGCCTGTGGAAACCTTCTAGCTCTATTCTCGCCCTGTCGGTCTTACACCGAAGTAGTTCCGTTGTTGTTCGAACTTTGCAAAAGCTATTCCAGGTGGAGCCCATTCGAAGCGATGTCGTTCGATTCTGAGTGCTTGCTCTTAATAACGGCTAGCCAAGCATCGAGGTCTTGCTAATGGAGAGGAAGCTGGAGAGGAAGTAATCAAGTCAAGACCTTGCAGTAAGGTTGCATTATATTTCTCATGTGGCAAGAGCTGGCGTCAGTTAATAAGACGATGGTAAAAGGCGGGAAAGAAATCGGGTTGCTGCTATTGGATATCCGAAACTAAAAGTAGCAACTCCGGATCTACCAATGATTCCGAGTCATGAGTACAAAGTCTCTGCCTTTGGCAAATATCGAATTCAACAAATAGTCTCACAAAAAGTCCGCTCCACGTGTCGATAACAATTTCGGAATGCAAACTAGATTCTATATTGTGGAGTAGACGGTAGCAATGCATAGGCAGCGTACAGGCAAATTTTTGAATCGCAATTTAAGTTAACTATCTGTGCTATACGAGGTGAGTGAGAGCACGTGAGCCGTGCTCTGTAACCTATATCCCCTGGATCCCTTCTAACAACGGGGCTTCGTGATGTCTCCCTTACTTGCAAATGACGAGGAAGGCTCAACGATGCGGAGGTTATATTGCATGAAAAGAAAGCAGCCAGAATCAGTCACCCATGTTAAGAAAAGTAGGCTCTGATAGTGTTCCTATCAATCGGTCTTCAATGGAGCAAAAGTGCGTGATGATGAGAATAGGAGGAGTATCGTAGATTTGTTGCAGAAATAGCTTACAAAATCGCATGGGGGTTCTTCGAGTAACGACATGTAGACCAAATGAGTATCGCAAAAGTTATTTCTCATCGACTGACGAACACGTCAGCGATGAAGGGGAGCCTTGAGCTTGATTAATCGTCACTCTATTGGTCGGCGGTCGCGATGGAATTTGTTGGCGAAGCGTGGACTAAATCTAGGATCGCGGGGGTGAAAGGGGGGTTGTCTGGGCCGTTCCTCCCTGTACCACAAGAGAAACAGTGAAGGCCTGACGGTAAACTGAAGGGCATTGACTCATAAAGTCGCTTGGATGTTTACATGCCTGTCAAAGGTCTGAGCTTCATGAAGATCGACTGATCGAGAACGTTGTGAAATCGGAGGAGGGCAGGTGGTGAAAGAAAATAACGCCCAGGCAATAGACCAGCTGACCACGCGCAACGTTGCTGATGCACGTTTAAGGCCGACACGTCGGTCGTACTTCCCTTCTGCATCTGTTACTGGACGCAACCCTTTCTGCAGTATATGCTCGCGGCGCGGCTTCACCGGCCGGTTCAACAGTGTCATGGGCTGCTCCCATTCTCCTCATTTTGCGCAGTATAGCTGCCCGAATGCCTCCTGCAAGTACGCGGGAAGATATGCGAGTCCTTGCGTGTGTCGTTCGCCCTGCTGGGAGTTGGAAGTGGAAGGCATCAGGCGCAGAAGCGATACCCCCAAGCCTTCGGCCCCTCGACCTCGTCATTCCATCATCTGCACACTAATACTAACGCAATAGGATGCAGCAGGGCTGCTGCATCTCGAATGAACCTTTCCATAATCAGCAGCGACCCGCGTAGTATCAGGCGACGACGGAACAAGTCTCCTAGCTTTAGGGGGGGGGAGGGGAGGGAGTTTTCCGTAGTGGATGGAAACGATCTAAGTCTCATTGACTCCCATTGCTTATTGACCGGTTTTCATCCTCCACAAAACCTCATCAATCATTCGCTAGGTCTCAATATCGTCAAATGAAAATCCTGGGGGACTTGAGGGTCGATAATAGTCAGGCACGTACGGTTACCTGGCTTCGAGGCTCACGGCTTTCGTTTGGTTGGCTTATCCTACTTCAAGTGAGGAATGAGCAATGGACAAGGGTTCCTCCCCAAGATTCGGCCGGGCTGTACGGGTTGTAGCGAGCAACTACTGGGTTAGACTATCGTCCGGTCCTGGGGTAACAGTTCAGTTCCTAGAAACAAGTGAATGACAATTCGGACATCTCGACCCAGAATGCAGCCACTGCATGACCCATGGATGGAAGCCTAGACTTTCTTTGCCTTCTGCAACTATTGTTGCATTCAGAGCATGGCCCTGCAATGTTGCGAAGAGAGCCGGATAGTAGGACGTCAGCCCTTGGGTGGTCCAGAGCGACAATAGTAATTGATATAAAGCTGTGGAGGTTCTGTCTTCTCTCCAAGGCGTTTCAGCTGAAAGCATTTCTATTCTCAAGTATTTTGTTCGCCGCTAGATTTGTCGTTCTTCATCCAAGCGCCTACGGAGACCTGAATGATCCAAGCTCACATTTTCACCCTAACCCCATGATGTCGGAGCGGCGTGTGCAATACCAATACACGCCATTCTACAACAAAGCAGCACGGTATCCAGAACTTCCGGTAGTACGTCGTTTTGGTGCACAGGTGACGAAGGTGCTTTATGACGATATCGAAGACCTTTTGCAGAAGGAAAAAGATGTTGGTGATGCCTTGGCACGAGTCCGGACTCCTAATACCGGCGTCACGTTCTTGGACTGCCCTAGAAGCGTCGTGAAGCGGGAGAATCCAGAGGTGTACGACGGGGAATGGCAAGAGTTCGAAAAATGTCTTCGGGACTATGGTGCGTACCTTTCCTGACAAAGAGTCTCCGTGTCTAGCCCTCCTCGTCGGAAGATAATCTAATTGCCTCCAGGTCGTGATCTCTTACAGGCTCATGAGCTATTCAATCTACCTAACCAAGACCCGTATTTTACCAAACATTTTGCTGAGTATCGGGAGCTGTTTGAGAATGATGTTTTCGGACCTACTGGGGAAAAGGCTAGCGTGTACAAGGATCATAGTCCACCTGATGATATCTGCGCCTTGAAAGCAGTGCCTAAGGAAGACTACGTCACTACTCTTGTCAAGGACAACATCGATTGGATTGAAAGAAATATATTGAGTCATCTTCGGAGGCCCTGGACTTTCCAAAAGCATAAACAACAACACCGGGAGACTTTCGTCCATCTCAGTACCGTCAAGTCGATTATGGACTGGAGCACATGTGTTTTTAGTCCTATCCTGTTTACGGCGACCATCTTTACTCTCATCTGGATCAAGCCCTTGAACTCTCGTGTCTTAATCATATTCATCTTTGGGGAAATCTTTGCCTTGGTAATGAAATTGCGTGGGGTCTCGCGGGGAGAAATATTTGCTGCTACTGCTGGGTACTTTGCGGTCGCGTCCATGTTCGTCTCAACAACGAGCAGCAGCTCTGTTAATCAGTGAGGCTTTGATGTTGTGGGTTCCTTCGGTGGCGTGGAAAGTTACGAGGTGAGTGCAAAGTCTCTTCGCAATTCCGGAGGGCCAAAGCTAGACCCAATTAGGACTTCTTCAGGCTCCATTCTCGCAACTCATCCTCGCCAAGTCTACGCACATGATCTGACCGTTGTTTAGGAACTTTCTATCGCAACTCAATTCGCTGTTTCTTCAAACTCCTTTCCTGCTATGTATACTAAGGAAAAGATAAAACCTAGTGACAATGCGGCTTGGATTCATCCCCGATCGCTTACTCTTTCCCGTGGCTTCATAACGATTCATAACATCCTAGACCACTTGGGGATGGAAATACCTTTAACTAACAAGCAATGTAAGTATCGTTCGGCTATTTCCGATACTCGTCCGCAAATCTCTCTCGGGCAACACGTCCTCAAGCTCCATCAAGTCACCGAAACTGCCAAGGCCCCTGTCCACAGAGTACAGCCTCCGCATACTCAAAGGTGTGCCAAGCGATCCTTCTACCCTAGTCACGGATCACGGGCGATCATTCCAGGCCAATGACGGCGTCAGGGTAAGAGACGCCATCCCCTAGCACGGCCCCGGCCTCTAACGCACCGTAAGCGGATGGGCGGACAAGGGGTCTGTATGCCTTGCTATCAGAATGTGACAGCTCTGAGCGTTCAACTTCTATGCGGTTCCATCATGTCGAATCGCATCTATGATGGCTAGTCGAAATGACACGGAGCGCCCGATGAAAATACCTCGAGGACTGCGTCCTCCAGTTGAGCATTATTTCTTATAAGACTCTTCCCTACCTGAAAAGGTTTCTTAACCGCCTCCTTTCTCGCATATCAACTCCCATTTCTCCTACTGAGCTGGATTTCTAGATCATCCAATATTTCCCTCGCTTCTAAAATGAGCGAAACAATTCTCCCAACATCGCCCCCTCCTTCACTCCGTGAGCCCCTCTGTCGGAACTTTCTCGTAGATAGATGCTAACATCCTCTTTTAGCACCTCTTTAGACGGGGCTTCAAGAGGTAAATGACGAAGGTTTCTGTGAGTTTTCCTGCAAAGTCAACAGTTTAGTCTTCTAAACATGATGCAAGATTAGCACATAGTGTGAATGACGGTATGCAAGATCTCAATCTATTTTTGCACGTCGAGAAGCTGCTGATTGGCAGAGAACAGGTGTGCCCACGTCGTTGACTGGGGGACGTGTTTCGGTTCCTTCCCCGGCGGAGAGCGCGTCGACGCCTTCTCAGCAACCTGCTTGAGAGCATGCAACTCCAAAAACCGTCTCCCGCCCATTCAATTTTTTTAAACCATGACCGCCATACTGCACGTAGTTACCGCCTCTGCTTTCAGGAATCCTCGCGCAGCATACCGAGAGCGACAACATCTCCCTTAAACAAACCCTCGGCTCATCTCCAGCTGATGCAGCAGTCGACGCGTCTATGTTACTTTAATCTGGCTATCGAAAATGTATCTCAGGCATGGTTACGGACGCGGGTATAGCACGGCCGTCTCTGTAAAGGAGTGTGTTCCTGATATGGAGGAGTTTGGACAAAGTTCTCTCGTTTACGGCCTTTGGCTACCCTCGCCCTTCTAGCACGAAAATTTTACTTTCCAATAAACCTTATACTTCCCCTAGTTGCTTCCCTACTAGTGCGCTTATGAGAAGAGAAGAGATACCTCACGAACTCACTTTCCAGCCGATCTAGCATACCTCGAGCTCACACGAAGCCACCTATTCCGAAGCCATAATCAAGACATCTAAATACAGGGTGAGACACTCCCTCCTACCCAAAATATCTCCATATATCCACAAATCTTCCCCTAACCGCTCTTGCTGCAGATTCTCGCGGGCAACCCCCCTACGACATCGCACTCGATCATCAGCTCATCACCGTCCCTCTACGATAGCTCTGATTCTCAACTCACAGCATACAGACACATCATGCGCCTAGTCCTTCCGAGGATCTTACCCGAAGACTTGGGATCAATGCAGCTCGCCGACCCAACACGCATCCAACTCTCCGAGCATGCTTCCCAAAAAACATGGGAACACCGTAGCTCAGTTTTCAACACCGCTATTGCTCCACCCACGTAATCTTCGTATACGCCATTGTTGTACGCATGAGACTGGGTATGCACGGAGTCGCACGTGAGATTTTTGTACACACAACACTATTTTCGTTTCCTGCGACATCGCTGCATCGTCTCGCGTGTCACAGTCGGTGCCGAAAACGCATACACCATTCTCGGTATATACAGCATGTTAATCATATAACTCGGAACATAATTCAAGGGGGTGTTTATCTATTCAAATACTTGCTGGAGTTAGGTAGATTGTCGATAGGGTGCAAATTTCTGTCCTAAATTACCCCCGTCATGTTCCACGTTGGGATCAAGATACAGTGCTGTCTAGACGGTAGATAAATGGATACGGAGGCTAACGTTATATTTAATTGGATATCAATTGACTCTACTGGCTATGCCTTTCTAAGTGCCCATCCCTTCAGGTGTTGCACGCATGAACAACGGTTCCGTAGAAGTCCTACTAAAAACCTACTCGATCTCAATGAGATCAAAGGGCAGGGATGATCTCTCCATAAGCCAGATTTGGGCAGAACGGTGATGAGCAAGTCTAGTTCACGCCCTGCTTCCTATCGCTTAAGAGCAGTTGATTATCCCTTGACTCATCCCCATTCCCCGCAATCCTCTTTACCAAACGAGAATCTAAAGCCCTCTGCTAACATCGATCAGCAATCACTAGGATTGACCATATTACCTTAGATCCAATGTGTACAGCGACCCTCACTACTTCTCTCCCTCATTGGAGCGACGAGGGCCCGGATGAATTGTGATTATGCACCTCATTTCTTCATTGCCAACGGAAGCTCAAGCTCCACATATCGCGAGTCGCCCAATCAACCCATGCATATGTCATCGAAACAAGCCTTCTCTAAGCTACTCCTATCCGAAAAGCTATCCATTCCTAGCATAGTCAACCATCTCCCGAACACCCCCAGCTGAAGCCCACCCAACACCGAGGCTGGGCGGCAAATCGAGTTGGGAAGGCGTGGAAGCGTGCTCCTGGAACCTTCATTGGAGGCATCGATGCATATGTAATAAGAATCGTAAGGAATATGGATGGGTCCACCCCGAGGAGCGCGTGGTGGGAGATAAGCGAGGGTTGGTGATGTAGCACCATTGGGCCGGCGGCTGTAGCGCGACGCTGCCACGGGTCTTTGCGGAAGGAGGTGGACATATAAAGGGTATGAATTGCTTGATCGTAGAAGGTTAGATGATGGCGGAGGGTTCGATTTCGAGGTGATGAAGGAATGTCTAAGAAGGTAAGACGATAGCACTTTTGTGCTATGCTTTGCTGGCTCTGGAGGCTAACCATCCAATTAGCTGGGCTTCGGAGGGCGGCGACCCGGCGATACTCCAAGGAGAGAAACCGATGAGTGAGGTACTTTTCATATTAGAATGAGTGCACGAACGAAGCAGACGCGATAGATGCAGGCAGCGGGGCAAATTTTCAAAGATGAGCAACAACGAAAAGCGAAGGGAAGCCAGCCCAGTCAAGCCCAGTATGAAAAGTGAGGCGATCCATGCACTCGAAGACAGCAGGACCCCCAGTGCGGCGGATCATGTCGGGGCAAGGGGGCACGGGTCCTCAAAACAACGCTTTTCAAGGCCGCCCAGTAAGACGGGTCGAGAGGCCTTCTGTTGCATCAACGCTTTGTTTCTGGCCCACCCAACAACAATTTTGCCGTGCACGCTCGCACTGCGCAGTTTTTAGCCCGGACGTTAATCGTACTGGGAGAGAGCGGTGGGCCAGTGGCTGACTAGCGTTTAAGGGATCATATACGCGAGCAACGCACCATGCAGAAGGCTGAAGACATCGTACGTTCGAATGTCAAAAAAAATCCGGGCCGAGATGTTCAGATAGCACCTTACTTTAGGAGGACGTTGCTGGCCATGTATAGGAGATTCCAACAGTGTATGAAATGAAACGCGGCAAATTTTGAGTTTGTCTGAGTGTAAAGCAGACAGTTCAGATTCACATCCCATCTACCTTTTTACCAACCTCTCCGGAACCTAGATCACTAAAAAGATCGTATGGCGTATTGAAGACTCCTTTTGATTCACCGGTCAAGGCCATGCTGCCCCACCAATGGGCTTGAAGCCACCTAACGCTTGCTCGAATAGAGGAAAGCCTAGGCGTGAGGCATCCTTGCTGGTAAGGGTCGCCAAAGAACCTTCATCACACAGGGGAAGAATTCTGTCGATGATACTGTGAACCTAGAGTTGCAGGTTCGGCGACCGCTGGAGGACCGGCGACCGCTGGAGGACCGGCGACCGCTGGAGGACTAGCGACGGTCGCAGAGTGCGGAGTTGTAGCTGCTGTGTACTGGGTCTCGAGAGTCGTGATGGCTTTGGCAATTTTTGCTGCTTGTTGCTCCCGGAATTTTTGTTTGTACTCCGGTGTATCCAGCAATGCTGCACACCATGAGTCAGCTTTGGAGCACAACTTGAGAGCCCATAGAGGCCTGGTGTACCTTTCGCACTTGTCGTACTGATCACCACCCGATCTCGTGGTTGGACATGGGGATCCATCTTAGAGCACTATCAACTGAGTGAAGAGATCGTACTCCAAATGAATTCGAAACTTAGTATAGTGGATATGAATAGAGTTGGCGCGAAAGAGTGCGCGGTATCCGTCTGATGTCTTCTGGCTGGAGGTGGGGGATTTATATCCCCCTTCTTGTCTACACAAACTGTGAGCTTTCACTGCACTATCACCAGTCTTGGCAAAGCACTGCCATTGCAATCACGAAGAGACCCTGGCATTGGAGCCAGATTTGGCGGGCCTTGCATATAATTAGTGTTGGGCTGCTGCAATGGCGTCCAAGGCTGTCCTGATCCGCGCGGGAGACCGCCATGTCTCGGTTTCCCGAGAGTCGGTGTGATCGACGGTACGAATACCCTTATTTTACACTCCGGCCACCAGTCAGTAAAGCCTGAGCAATTTGTGACGTATCGCAATTGCTACAATCGGATTCTCAGTCTACTGTGTGGGTCCAGGTTACTGGATGCGGTCCTTGAATGGGATTTGACTCGAGTCGACGGGGTTTTAGCAAGGGATTCGATAGCGGCATGAACTTTCTCGGGAATTGAGCTTTTGAGGAGTGTGTGCCTTAGCTAGAGTGTTCGTCTGCCTGGGCTTAGAACATGAACCAAAAGTGTTAAAAGAACGCGTTCAATATGAGATTCCTACAAAATGCAATGTGCTGTGCAAAATTCTCTCTGTGCGTGGCAGTTTTTCGCGACGGCATGCAAGGGCCGGTGCCATTCCCAGCCGTCTCAGCCATGCCCACAAACGCCCGGGCGTTGCTGACATAAATTTCGTCAGGCTGTTTTGGGAGCTAGACCTACCGTGCGTCTGGCAAAAAGGCTGGGGTAGCTCAGACCTAACCTCAAGCCTTCCGGTTGCGATTCCCATACGTGCTGGCGAGAAACCCGCCGGGCACGGCACATACGCTGTCTAGTAATTAGTAGGCAAGTCAAAACCTACTGATGAGTAAGAATAGTAAGAGAATGTACATACGTTGAGATAAATATCGCGTACAGCGGGTTGTCGAACGCGAAGCAACATATTACGACAAGACACAGGTATGTCAAGAATGCTGCGAGGGCGGCCGTTCCAGAAGAAACATTATACAAGCAGATAACTACACCGCAGATGAACGAGAGAATTATGGCATTTCCAGTGCCGGATGCGATGCGTTTGAGTCTTCTTATGCTTAGACTGCATTGTCCGAACATGTCTGGTACTTCCCGAGAACCCAAAATACGGGCTCCCCATCTCTGGAATATTATCCTTGGAGCAACATATTTCAGAAGCCATTCGGTCCACGGAGCGGCATCCTCCTGGTGAACCACTTGTATGATATCCCGGTGGAATGTTTCTGGATCATGCAATGTCCCCCATACTTGTGCATCGGATTCTTTAAGCTCCTGATCGCATCCTTTGGGTTCGCTCAGAAAATACTGAATCTCTTTGATGAAGGAGAAGTTCCATCCTTTCGATCCTAAGGTATCAAATCGGATGAGAGCTTCCTCTACACACAGTGTAAGTCTAGGTATCAGGCCTACCAGAATCAACAATCGAAAAATTCTCACCGTATTCCCTCATTTCTTTCTGTAAGGTCTCATACACATCACGCTGTTCTTTATCCCCATCACGCTTTCCCTTCGGCCCCTTCTTCAAACACTCGAAGTTGCAGCTGTATAGTTTCCTTTCGCCGTCCGGAGAAGAGGAATCTCTCTTCTCAAGCATAAGAAGCCTGTCCTCGAGCATGGCGAGTTCATGTTGGCGATATAGCAAAAGGCGAGCAGAAAGAGCAGAGAACCTCCGAAGATGAAGATAACGGGGGCTTTGTGAAAAAAAGTAGGCAAGTTTTGGATAGCCCTTGACATGAAGGTTCGCATACTTCTCGGCGAGGTGGATCGGATCATCCGGCACATGCATCCCCGGACTCGGCTGTAGTTGTTTTTGTGGCGGCGGGGTGGGGTTCAGAATCTGGCTCGCCATTCGCTCGAAGTTTGATAATCCAAGGTCTTAGAGTTTGGAGACAAGTGGTAACGAATATTCGACAATAAATATGTAAGTAGGATTTTATACTGCTGGAATACTTTGGATTGAAAAAAAATAAATCCTGGAGCCCCCCCAAGGCCTTATATGCTTACCGGACTGTCTCAACTTCACGAGGCTCCATTTCAAGGTCATGACTCCAACTATACCAAGGACTTTCGGGAACCAGTGGAGAGCACAGGTCTATTCCGATGTCTCAAAACTTAGCGACTCGTCCGGCGGATCGCCTTTTGCGACAGGGAGTCTATGCTTGGGACGACGATAGTTGAGCCCTGAAGGCTCAAACCCCCTCAAAGCTGGATATGCAATCTTCTAGTGTGGGGGCAGACGCTTTGAGATCGGTTCTGGAAGCTTCAAAAATGCGCTTAATGGAGGGATAGGCAGATCAGTGCCCAACGTCAAACTCCACTGCTCACGAAAGCCTATCATTAGCAGCCCCAGCTAATGATTGAACATGGAAACCACATGGAACTTGTGGCACAGCCCGGAGTCCTTATACTCTGCATCGGATCGGGGCCGGGACGTACCGTATGCATGTCATCTCCAACGATGTCTCGTTCCAACCCCCCTTCGTAGGGCTGATGGATGGTTGCGATTGGCGACGGGGAGCTCTTATCGATAGCCAACAATAGTTCGTCCAAAAATCTCAAACAAGGAGTCATTAAAACAGCGTCGGCCCTCATCATGCTATGGCTCCGTAGTATTTTGCAGCTCGTTGAAACAGGGCAACGGTATGTGATTCGTAAGTCTTTGCTCGTTGGCGCAGCTGTTTGGGCGGCGATAAAAAGTCTAATAATAATGAGAGAAACCCTGAAGTTGTTGCACAGAGACTGGCCCCTTGAAGGATAATCGAGTCGGCTCGGAGCTGTATAAGGAAAGGTGGGCGGTTCAAGAAGTACCAGGGGCTCACTTAGGCTAGGATCATCATAATCCACCAGTGAGAAATTCAGCAAGATCTTAGTGAGTAAACACGTGGCCGTACGATAGCCACGAAGATGTTCTGCGAGAAAGCTAAAGATTTGAGAAAAGTGTGGCGGTCTTGTCGGGTCGGTTCGGAGCCGAGAAAAACCAAGTTTGTAAGTGCCTATGTACCTTCCTAGCCCAAAAGCTGTCATAACTAGACAAGAGAAGAACCAGTTATCACAGAATGAACTGTGGGTTCTTACTGCCCGCTGGAAAGCTGGATTCGTCAATCTGTAGGAATCCACAAATGTCTTCATTCAGTAGACAACGGATTGCTGTTTAAGAGCCTTCAAATCATCGACCAGGCATTCCTTTGGCTCGTGCAGCGGCATCCACCCAGCGTGGAACATAACTAGGGCGGAGAGTCTCTGTTAAACCTCTTCCTAGAAGCAGGGAGAGAGTTAAGAGGGTGCAGATTTGCACACTAAGTCACCCTTGTTACGCTCTGCGTTAGGTGACAAGATGCAGCATAATCGCTCTGACACCTGGAGGAAACAGTCACCGCAATCCATAAAAGAGAACTAAGGAGGAGGGTTCAGCAAAGTGGCCTTCAGGGGCCAAGGGTCGCTGAAGCAGCACTTCTACCCATCACCAAAGGGAGAGGCGTTGGATCGCGGAGGCGTTCAAATCTCGTGGAAGGAAAGAGTGAGCTGATGCTTAGAGGGAGGAGGTGAAGTTCGATTTAAGTCAAGGAAGTGGGTCTGAAGTCGACATGGTCTTTCCTGATGATACTCGCGCTAGGTTACAAGTAGTTAGGGTACCAGATTTTTATCCTTTAGCCAAGACCATTGCCACGCTTTAAAGTGGATGGAGTGTGAGGGTTTCGGAAAATGTATACTAGCATCCATAAGTTTTCAATTCATATTGGTTATCCAGTCCCCCCTGGCGTAGATGTGAAGCATCACGAAGAGATATGTGAGCGTGAACCTGACCCGCGAATAGAACTCTCGGAAACAAAGTGAGTCGAGTGCATCGGAGTACCTTCGTTGAGAATAATCGAAGGTAAGGCAAAAACCCCTGGGTCAGCTCGGTATCCTCTAGCCTACAGGAGTAGCCTACATGTACTCTGAGAAACCTCAGTATTAAGCTCACTTCGCAAGGTAGTTGCTCCCCAAATCCCCTAATAATCATTCATTTTTTGGTTAGTCGGAACAACAGCACCGCAGAAGCTGATGTCTGATGTAATACGTATATCGTATCTCATGATTCGGGTATATGTCCTGATAAGGGTCGTACAGCTCATTTATCAGTGATACATATTTACACGAGACATTATATAAGGTGTGGCATCAATAGGTCGCGGCTGGCATGACTGAAGATAGTCTATGAATCATGATGATACCGTCTGCATCGAACGGATGAAGGGAGCTGAAGGATTCTGAGCGACTGCAGGAGATCCAACGAGTAAATTAAGTCGCCGCCTTAGCTTTCTCGATCTTGAGGGAATGAGTGGTTGCCAGAATGGCACCAAAGGTAATGACGCAATGGAAAATCTGTGTAACCATGATCTCGATGTCTTCCTAGTTTAGCTACACAGATTGCTGAACTTGCCAACACAAGCGAGCTGGATGGTCATTGCTTTCGCTGACTGCAGGAACGAAAAGCTGATGAAGAACGTGGAATACGCAAATAGAGAACGAAGAAAGGCCGCCGGGCTTACGGTTGCAGCAGCGGTGCGTCACATGGCGGTAATACGGTGATCAGGTGCTTCGAAAGTAAATTAAATTTATTGTATCTCATTATTCCTCCGCATAGCTCCTAAGGTGTTGTCGACCCCGGGCGTCGAATCAACACATCGATCATCGCTTATTTTTACGATTGTGGAAAGAAATGTGTTTGGCCTGATCAGTCAGCATGAGAGAGATAAATCGGGCCGTGGACCGCTTACTTCGACGCTTCAGGGTAAAGGACAGGGGCTGGCTTGTCCACGAGGTCTGGAGAATACTCGTACTCAGTGGTAATGCTGTTGACATTGAGGCTATCGACCGGGTCCGGCGTCGTGGTTCCACACATGAAGGGCTGCCGATCATCAGCCCTATCTGGATGTGAACAGGGTTCCCCCAAGTTTCTCAGTGTACACCCGATGACACTCCATGTTGGAAGCAAATCAGGTATATTAGAAATCACCAGGTTCGATGATCGAAGCTAGGTCAATACCCAGCTCGACGGTGCTGCCTCCCACGACCCTTCTTGCGACCACCGCCGTGCCAATTGCCTCGGAACTTGTGTCCACCTCCTTGGTGCGGGTTCCGCTCCTCACGCTCACGCTCCTGCTGTTCCTCCTTCTCCCGCTCAAGCTCTCTCTCGACACGCTCCCTTTCGAGCTCTTCCGCTGTCTTTTCGACCTTCACCTGCGGCTTGGGGAGATCTAAGGGGAACCGGGGGTGGGCACCATTCCTGCAAGCCTTTCCTTCAGGGCAAAATCCGGCCAGGTAGAATGGACACAGTTTGTCTCTTTTATTGTGCTTTAGGGCGCACGATGGGCCAAGGGGGCAGAAGCCACGATCGTAGTGCGGGCAGGAGGGGCGCTTAGAATCGGGGTCAATATGGAGGTATAAGCAGTCATCGCCGTTGGAACACGTCTGCGTGCGGGCGTAGTAGGAGCATTCGGGCATGCGGCGGAGGTTGTATTCATGCAAGAATTCGCATGTCTCGCCCTTCTTACAGAGGCCACGGAGCCAATGCTTGCAGACAAGGCTAAATGAATCAGGGTCAGCTCGACAAATGTGGAAGTCGGAGTCAACGGAAATCAATGTAGGCCATCTCAGAGAGGACGCACTTGGTGTACGATGACTGCATCTGGTGCTTGTCCGGGCAGCCGTTGCCCAGCGGACAGTGGCCCTGCAGGTATGCTTTGCATGCTGGCCGGTTTGGGTCGAGACCGAATCGATACTCGCGCCGCAGGAAGTCGCTGAAGGTGAACTCGTACTTGGCAGGCGGAGTGGCCACTACCGTCTCGGTGGCCATGGTGGTGGGTTGCGTCGAAGGAGTGTGAGTTCAGCCGCAGAGGAGAAGGAATTTGCGTCTGCAAGTGATAGCACAGGGCGGGCGATCCGGGTGGGGTGCTGCAGCGTGGTGCTGCAGTCGAGGGCTGTTGTTGGTGAGAGCGGCAACAGCCAAAGGGCCTGCTCCCCCAGTCACGGCCCATGTAGCGGGCTTGGCATCTGCGAGAGTGGAGCTTGCGCTGCTTGATGGCTCATCGATCGACTGTTCATGCATAGCAAGGATCGCGGATTCACTCCCGCTGTGCGCCCTGGAACCTTGACAGCAACTGTCGGCGTCCTGTCGCCGCTGCTGCTGAGCACTGGCTTGCATGCCGTTTGCTGGCTGCTTGTGTGTGGAACGCCCTCTTGTCCAGGACATGCGAGGTGCACTCGTGGCCTCACGACGTTGAATTCGTCCAGCATCTGCCTGGGAAGCGGACGGCTCCATAGTAGCCCACGATTAACCCTCTGCTCCTATTAGCTCGCCCAGCAGCCAGGGTCGATAATGCCGTGCGTTGTACTGCTGCATGTGAGAGCTCAATCTCTCTCCTCGCCCTGCTCCTACGCTATCATTGCTCCACCGCACCAGGCGGTCTGTCACCGCCGAGACCCCTCCCCCAGTTCTCCTCCCCCAGTTCTCCGTGTCGTGGGACTCTGTGCCTGGCCTTCTGCATCGTTTCAAACAATCCCAGCCGTCTCATTCGCTCTGTCCAGGGCCACTTCAAGCACATCCAGCATGCACAGCTTTTGCTCCCCAGAGCAAGCGCAGTGGCATCGGTTTTGCTCGACCCGGTCCCACCAGATATCTCAGGGTTGACCGACACCAGATATGAATCCCACCTATCACGGCTAGGATCCGTCGACGGTTCTAGCTAGCTTCAACTACTCTCATTTGAAGATCGTGAGGAGTCGCTCTCGACACCAACTTACGCGAGCAGGTGGTGACGCTGCCTTCAATCAATCCTGCCTCCAGAACAGTGGTCGTGGCATTCACTGTAAGGCCGGATTGTGTGCGCCCCGGCCTTACCGTCTCGTCGTCTCATCATCCCATTGATCAAGGGGCTGGGGCAAATATGGCGTCTTCGCATCAGGGTCCTAGCCCGTTTCGACGGTGTGGTTCTCCACAATGATCATCAGACGATTAACATCGCTCAGGCGCCTGGGCCCCATCCTTTAAATGCACCCTGCTGGGACCGCGTTGCCAATTCCCTTACCCCAGCTGTGCCGGCCATGTTTCTTTGCTTCTTCGAATCCTCTCTTCTCTAGAGTTGCGCAAAACACGACGGTGCACATGGCAGCAGCTGTAGTGTGACGGACTGTTATCTGATTCAGTATATTTATATACAAGCACTGCTTCATACGGCTTTCCTTGGTTCGGCGGAGGCATTGTCTCTTCATTTATATTCAATCTCTCCCTCCCGTCTATTCCTGTTGGATTCACATTTCTCACCTCCAAGCGTGCCTAGACGTTCTGCACTAACGAAGCAGCTAGAGATTTGGCTGGCTTGCCTACCACACCAGCATCCCCATTGGCTGACGCCCGCTCCGAATCAGGCCATTGACCATGAGCCGATTTGCCCCGCGTTACTTTGACGAGAATTCCGTCTCCTCAACACCTCCAGTAGCCATGTACTGGAACGGAGTCTACTACCCCAACTGGCGCATCTACCGTGACCAACCGCCGGTATCTCTCAACTTCGACGTCATTTCTCACGTGTTCTACGCCTTTGCCTGGTGATTACTGACCATCCGGGTTCACATCCTCTGCTAACTGTTTTCTAGGGTGAAGTCTGATGGAACAGTTTATGTATTTTCTTGCCCCTTTTTGTCCCCCATATACTCGTTAACTGACCTGTTCGCAGCTGAGCGATGAGTGGGCTGACACACAGATTGAAGTCCCCGGTGCGGGAGATGTCCCTGCAACCCAAGGGTGTCTCAATTCCTTTGCATTGCTGAAGAAGAAGTACACGAAGCTCAGGGTTGTGCTCTCAGTTGGTGGTGGGGGCAAGGGCAGTGAACCTTTTGCGGAAGTAGCTCGCCATGCGGATTCTAGGGAGAGGTTCGCCCAGACTGCCCTAGGGTTGGTACAGCAGTTCGGTATTGACGGCATTGATAGTGAGTCGATAGATTCGCAAGTAATGCTTCATTACTAGCATTTGACGTGCTAACGTTCCTCCTAGTTGATTGGGAACATCCTTCTGATCGTCGGCAGGGAGAGGACTTCGTTGCACTGTTAGCTGCTTTGAGAACGCATCTGCCTGCTCCCCAATACACCCTGTCCTCGGCTCTGCCTGCCGGCGAGTGGGCCCTCCAGCATATCAATCTGGCTCATGCTTCCAACTACTTGGATATGATTAACTTGATGTCGTACGACTTCGCAGGCCCGTGGGTGAAGAAATGTGGTCACCATTCTCAGCTGTTCACACCGCAGATTCCACATAGCCCTGAAGCGGCCATTTCATGCCACTCTGCTGTTTCGTACATGGTCCGACAAGGCGTCCCTCCAAACAAAATCGTCATGGGGGTGCCGGCGTATGGGCGATCCTTCACTGGCACGCGTGGGGTGGGGCATTCGTACTCTGGCCATGCAGGAGAGGAGGGCACGTTTGAATATCGAGACCTCCCCCGGCCCGGGGCCGAGGAATGTATAGACGAGAAGGTGGGAGCGGCTTACTGCGTTGGGGGAGACGGGGGTTTCGTTACCTACGATACCCCGCAAACGGTGAAGATGAAGGCGAAGTATGTACGACAGAACGGGCTCGGCGGGCTGTTCTATTGGACGGGAACAGGGGACGCTAGCGCTCTCACACAGAAGGATAGGAGTTTGGTGTTTAGTGGATTCGTGGGTCTGTTTCCTCAATAATGAAGCATTGGACGCAGCTTTCCAGGATGGGCATGTTTCTTAGCGTGAATTTGGCAGGGTGGCAAGGATTACAAAAAGCTTCGAGTACTACATCTAGCGGAGTGGGATAGTAATTGCCCCTGATTTTAGGGCACTCCTTGTTTTGCATGATACGAAAGGCCATTTTGAGAGCAGAGTTCGATAATATGGTGGCGTAGTCGCTCAAGGTGCTTTGACACGCACAGACCCCGCAATTGTTCCCTGCAAGTGAACACCAACCTTAGAACATCATTAGGTTGCATGAACATCATCTTCTGCCAATATCTTGTAATTCTGCACCCGCAACCACTGCCGTCGACCGGTTTCCTGTTCTTCGGGCGCATTTCACGACGCGCGGTCAGCTGCGACAAACAAATTGGCCAGGTACCGCGAGCGTCGCGGGTCAATGCTCGAGCGAGGTGGACTTCATGCCTGCGCCTTCATCTTCACTGGATTCTGGTGCGCGCTCCCCTAACCCCCCCTTCCGGTCGCGAACATGAGTTGACGATATGCTCTAGCTGAATACGATCCCATCGGTCACCTAAACGCCATCTTCGCTCATCCTTCGACGCTCTCGTCCGTGGCGGCGACCGCTGAAACGCTTCGCAGCTACCAAGATGACCTGGACGAGGACATCGCCGCCTTCGTCGCTACCCAGTCGGCGTCCGATGCCGACAGTGTCCAGCGCATCCAGGCCGCCAAGGCCGACCTGGCCGACCTGTTCAGGAAAATCGAGAGCGTGCGCGAGCGGGCCATCCACACCGAGCACACCATCACGGAGATGACGGCTGATATCAAGCGGCTAGACAACACGAAACGCAACCTGACGCTGTCCATGACCGCATTGAAGAGGCTGCAAATGTTGACCACAGCATACGAGCAGCTGCGCAGCCTGAGTAAGTCGCGCCAGTATAGGGAGTGTGCCCAGCTGCTGCAGGCCGTCATCCAGCTAGTGGCCCACTTCAAGAGCTATAGGTCCATCGACCAGATCGCGGCCCTTAGCCGTAATGTGGCTGATCTGCAGCACGAGCTGCTCGAGCAGGTCTGTGAGGACTTCGAGGTCACGTTCGCCAAGGGCGAGGTTGCACAGCGGAGAGCCATGCTGACCGAAGCGTGCTTGGTGATGGATACCCTGGGCGATCATGCTAGATCGCGGCTTATCAATTGGTATTGCAACACGCAATTGCGGGAATATAGACAGGTGTTTCGTGGAAATGATGAAGTCTGTGCCCCGCCTTACGTGAATCCTCTACAGGCCTTGCTAACAACTCACAGGCCGGCTCATTGGACAATATTTCGAGGCGCTACTCGTGGTTCAATCGTATGATGAAAACCTACGATGTTGAGCATGCCGCCATTTTCCCACCCTATTGGAAGGTGAATGAGATGCTCGCCAACTCGTTTTGTGAAGGCACGCGGGATGACTTCAAGGCAATCCTGCAACGATCCATGCGAAGAGGTGATGGCCAGACCCTGGATGTCGATCTCCTCCTCTCATGCCTGCAGGAAACATTAAACTTCGAGCACAACCTTGAACGCAAGTTCTCCCCGGAGGTTGGTTTATGCCTACCCCGGATCTTACTATTGCTCACGCGCACAGTCCCGATCCTCCATCGACACCATGGCGTCTAAGGATGACCGGCCACACGGCTTTAGCCAGGCCATCTCCGAGGCGTTCGAACCCTATATGAGTCTTTGGGTGGAGTCTCAAGATAAGTATGCAATGTGATAATGGCTGCATGCTCGCACAAAGCTAACTGATCTAGGCAACTTGCCACTTTGATCCCCAAATATCGCCAGCAGCCTGTCCGCAACGAAGAGGAGGAGTTCTCTGCACAGGCTGTCATCCCATCGTCCACTGAGCTATTCCACTTCTACAGGCTCACCCTTGCGCAATGCGCTAAACTCTCAACCGGTACCAGATTACTGGAGCTTTCAAACACGTTCGCTAAATACCTTGATCAGTACGGCCAGCAGGTGCTGTACCATTTCCTGAGTGAAAGACCTGGACCACAGGGACCTTCCATCGAAGATGCCGCTCTCATCCTCAATACAGCTGATTACTGCTATATCACCTGCAACCAATTAGAAGAAAAGATCAAGGGTCGAATAGATGAGGACCTCCGCACAAAGGTTGATCTCCAAAGCCAGGCAGATGCCTTCATGGGCATTGCATCTGCCACGGTCCGCACTCTCGTCCGGAAAGTCGAGATAGACTGTGAGCCTAGTTGGCGTGAAATGCGCAATACACCCTGGAGCAGGCTGGAAAGTGTGGGTGACCAAAGCACATATGTAGCAGAACTGTTGCACCACGTGAAAAACCGGTCAACAGAGGTTCTGAAGTGTTTGCATAAGCAGCAGTATGCAAGGGCTTTTTGCGATAACTTAGTGGACTTGATGGCGACTACGTATATTGCAAACATCGTACAGAGCAAGCCCATCTCTGAAGTCGGTGCTGAGCAGATGTTACTGGACTCTTACGTTCTCAAGAAAGGCTTTATGGAGATTCCCACGCTGAATGACGAGCCTGGGGCAGCACCACCAGCTAGGTAAGTTATGCTCTTCCTCAACTCTCCATACTAGTCCCTCCACCTCCTAATATCTCACCAGCTTCGTAAAACGCGTAAACCAGTCAATGTCCAAAATTGACCCTCTCCTCAAAACCCTGCAAGTCCGTCCCTCACCCCCCGAAGCCCTCGTGCAAGCCTACCTCATCCACATCGCCGACAAGTCTGACACCAACTTCCGCAAAATCCTCGATCTCAAGGGCATCCGCAAATCCGAACAACCCGTGCTCCTTGACCTCTTCGCCGCATTTCGCGCATCCCCATCCAATGAAAGTCTCGTGCAGAACAGCCCGCTGCTTACCCCGCTGCAAGTCCAGACGGGCCATGGCATGGGAAGCGGGATTGGCAGTCTAGGGAATGCGGCTAGTGTGATGGGGACGCCTAGCTTGGGCAGTGGGAGATTCGATCCCGCGGCTTTTGGAAATGCGATTGTGAATGCAGCGAGGGATGGGGTGGATCGATTTGGGAGTCCAGCGCCTGGGCAACAGGGTGGTGTGGGGGAGTCTGGAGAAGGGAAGGGGAATTTGAACGAGAATTTGAAGAATATTGGGAAGTTTTTTAGGAGGGATGTCGGGTTCAGGGGGTTTGGGAGGAGTGAGGAAGGGAAGTAGGATGGTGGTATTAATATGATGTCAATGTGCTCGAAACTCAGTTGCGAGGTCTTCGTGCGCTTGCATGCTTTATTGGGTGGATGGGGGAAGAGTCACCTGGTGAAGCGACGTCGAATGGTTGCGTCAGCTCAGGTGGCACTGTAACGCTCTTCGATATACTTAGACCCACTGCTTCGTGTTGACGATATAGAAGGTTATGCCGATGCTAGTACAGTTGAAGACTATTGTTGACAGTACTTCTATCTAGTACGTACCGTATCAAAGGCGTGGCCCTCACTGCGCTCTAGTGCAAGAATGACGAACAATTTGCGAAGTATTAATGGCATGAACAAGGCATTTCATGGTCCCAGTCATCCATCTGCACATGAACCATACTCTATAAATACATCATCCAATCCTTCTTAAATCGCATAATCTCTAGATCATCTCCAACCTCCAAAGAAACCTTCATTACACCAAGCCCATACAAGAATACAACAACCTACCAAGTTGTCATTGACTATGTCCAAATATCCAGCTTCGGCGACGCTATCCAAGAACTCAATGATCATTTTCTTTGCGCTAGCAACAGCGGCCAGATCAATGTTTAACATGATGGTATGATAACCACTCTACTCCAAGCTAAAGCTAAACCCCTTTTATAGGAAAAACTGCAATAATGTCATTGGCTAACGATTTGTAATGATTAGCAATTGTGCTGAAGATAGTGTCGCACGTGCAATTTTATCCACCTATATATATATATATTCTTCAGCTATGAATAATAGAAGGCTGACCCTTTGGAACTTGAAACAGGTAGATATATCACCTTAGGCACTCGCCAACATTGTGCAGCCGGAGGTTTCGTCATGTCACAAGACAAGCCAGGTGGTGAATCTGCTAGTAGGCACGTGCGTGAACATTCACTGTGATTGTTAAGCATGTTGGGACTGTGAATTCAGCGGCATAGCGCTTCTGATGCGCAGCCAAGTACAGGCTCATTGCTTTCTTCCGCAACCCCTTTTCTATCAGTATCTGGACATCCTGCCCAGACTCTGCACACATGGACAACACACCGGAGAAAAAGAAGCATGCGGAGAAGAAAAGCTTGTTACAAAAGGCCAAAGAGATATTCTCAGTGGTCAAGGGTGAAGCTAAAACTGTCCATCATGACAATTCGAAGAGAGAGGCGGAGCAGGTGGAAGATTTCCAAGGTTGCGACTGCAATGGGGATGAGTTTCAGGATGTCTCTAATAGTCCGGCTAGAGGAGTTGGAAGCAAGCTTTTTAAGGGACTCGAGAAACGCCGGGAGGAGAGAGATAACCGCAATATTAAGGGTATAAATAAGAACGGATGAGTAGTTTTAGAAGACTAAGCATAACACGCAAATGTGTAAGTAAGAAGTAACGTACTTCACGGGCAAGTTGCTCACACACCTAAGTTGCTTACTTTTGCTAAGACCCTACTAAACTACTCTTCCTACACTAATGCATTCCTAACAACACTACTTAGACGCGCTAAAAGAATGTTAGATACAGCTTATGCTTTAAGCTTTTAAATAAAATATAAAACTCTTAAAGAAACATGCTGCAGCTATATATAGAGTCTCTTAAAAGATAATAAATAACTATAGCGCTAGATAACCTTTACAAGCTAATTCTACAGCTAACTTATAAAGGCTAGGTAATAAGAAGAAGTAAATAATTATTAAGACTATACTTAAGCTATATGTATAAGGATTTTCCTTTTAGATAGCATTTATAGCTAATATAGCTAATTCTTTACGCGCTAAGCATAATCTAGGCTATATTAGCATAAACTAGCCTAGTACGTTTAAGAAGTGTTATCTAGACCTTAAAGTAACGTTTACGCGTAGTACAACTATAAAAGAGCCCTCTGTAAGGGTCCTAGAGTAATTTAGGGCAGGTTTAGCCTTATAGAGAATATTAAAGCTAAGTATAGCATCTAGGATAATAACATGTACAACTTTAGCAAGATAGGCTTTATTATAGGCTAAATATCTATTAACTATACTTATGCTTAAAACTTTACTTTAAGCTTTAAATAACACTTTATAAACATACTAGGCTAGTTTATGCTAATATAGCCTAGATTATGCTTAGCGCGTAAAGAATTAGCTATAAATGCTATAAATGCTATCTAAGAGGAAAATCCTTGCATATATAGCTTAAGTATAGTCTTAATAATCACCTGCTTCTTCTTATTACCTAGCCTTTATAAGTTAGCTGTAGAATTAGCTTGTAAAAGTTGTCTAGTGCTATAGTTATTTATTATTTTTTAAAAGACTTTATACATAGCTGCAGCATGTTTCTTTAAAAGTTTTATGTTTTATTTAAAAGCTTAAAGTGTAAGCTGTATCTAACGTTTTTTTAGCGCCTCTAAGTAGTGTTATTAGAAACGCATTAGTGTAGGAAGGGTAGTTTAGTAGGGTCTTAGCAAAAGTAAGCAACTTAGGTGTGTAAGCAACTTGCCTGTAAAGTACGTTAGAAGTAGTATCTAAATAATATTCTAAGCTGTACTGTACTATATAGTGCTGGAGCGGGTTGTTATAGGCTATAATTGTGACGGCGCGTACCGCGTCACATGCTCTGCGGCATCAGCTCCCTCTCTTGCGCAACGAGTAGCACGCTAGTGCTACGAGTAGCGCCTTGGCAGGGGGCGCACATGTATATTTAAACTCGCAGAGCAGCTCCTCTGCTTCTTAGTTTAATCTAGTTAAGTTACACCACCTCTTGCTTGTAGCTTGAGCATGCCGACCGTGACAATAATAGAGTTTGTTAGGGTGTGGTCTTAGCAAAAGTAAGCGACTCAGGTGTGTAAGCAACTCGCCTGTGAAGTATGTTAATAGCTAAGTTTATTATCTATAGTAAAAGTTTAAGTATATAAAAAGAAAAGCTTTTTTACTATACTTTTTATAATTAGTTTAAGCTATATTAAAGGTGTAAAGTAATTAGTAAACTTTATAACTTTATAAACATAATTATAGCTTTATAGAAGTAAAAAGAGCTTTTTACTACTATTAAGTGTTAAGTTTTTAAAAAGGACTTTTTTTTAAACATTTAGCACACTTAAACTAGTGTAGAATAGTAGAATTAAATTTTTTTTACTTATTTAATACCTTTTTACTATTTAGATCTTAAAGAGGCTATCTTAAAGTTTATATACTAATAAAAAGCTACTAATAAGCATAAAATTAATAAGTATACTAGTTTTAGCCTTTTAGCTAATACTTTTACTAATAAAAATTAAAATAAAGCTAAGTAGCTTATAAACTTTCTTAAACCTTTTTTATTAAATAACTAAACACTTTAAAAAAGATCTAGGTATAAGTAGATATATGTCACGGTATCCTCCCCGGATCCTAGACATAACTGTATTAGACGCGTACTAGAGTATTATTAGTGCACGTCTAACACAAACACAACACAACATAGACATAAACTTAAGCATAAACTGCCTTAACACTAACTAAACCTAGAACAGGCTTAATTTATACCTAAAGCGCTTAGACTTTTAAGCTAAGTATTTAATTACTAATTTTTTTCTAAACTTTTCTATTCCTTACATAACATCTTATACTTACTATAATACTTTATGTAGTAATTAAACTAGACCTCTGCAAAGCTCTATAACCTTACTTATGCATAATTATAATATTATGTTGTGTTAAAACTTTAGCTAAGAATAGCCTCTAAATCTAATCTAATAAGCTTAGTACTTACATAACTCTAAGCTATTAAAGCAAGCTAAGAAGCCTTCTAAAAAGCGCTTACTTTATAAAAAAGCTGCTACATTATAAGCTTTAAAGCTTTTTAAAAAGACTTTAAAAAATAGCTTTATGCTATTAAGTAGTTTATTTCTACTTTAACTTTTATTATAGTAGTAGGAACTAAGAACTTACTAGCCTTAAAGCTTACCTAAAAGTCTAGAGATAGCTTAACTTTTTTCTGCTTAACACTACTTATAACTTATAACTTTTCTAACTTAGTAATAAAATCTAACTAACTTCTTAATCCCTTACTATTTAATAAAAAATAAAAAGACTTACTTTTTTTTTTACATAAGCTTTAATATAAACTTAAAGAAAACATAGACTAATTCCCCTCTAAACGCTTCTAGTTATTATATGCCTACTTTTAACTTAACTATAATATAACAGCCTTAATTAACTTACTAATAAATAAGGATATTATTAACTTAGACTAATTTATAGTGTTTTTGTAAGCAACTTATAGAGACTTAAATAAAAAGTTAATAGCCCTAAGTTACCTAAACACCTTATAATAAAAAAAAAAAAGCTTTACTTTACACTTTACTAAGTTCTGCTAACTTGCATTTAATATAGGCCTAAATAAAATAAGTCTAATTATAGCCTTATATAACTCCCTCTTAACTAAACTGTAACGCGCTATAGTAGAAGAACCCCTTCTAAACAACCTTAACGCGTATGTAAACCTAATTACTACCTATAATAATAACATAAGGTTCCTTTCTGTACAAGCCCTAATACACCCCTAAACTAGCGCAGTTGCAAATAAGAACCCTAATATAATAAAAATTAATTTAAATTATGCTCTAGTTAGTTCTAAAAAGTGTAAAGATTATAAAAAAAAAAGTTAATATTTTAAGTGTAGTAAGCATAGTTATATTTTCTAAAACTACTTTATTTCTTTTCCTTAAGTCTATGTAAGTAGCGCTGCTAGTACTTATTAAAGATTCTTACTATTTTAATCTTATTTTTATAAGAGCTTTAACTTATATTTAAGCTCTAATCCCTTTTGCTACTCTTAACGTAGCTGCAGCTATAGTAGTAGAAGCCTATAAAAAGGCTTGTTCTAGGGCTAAGTTGCCCTTTAGGACTAATTTAACACTAAATCTCTACTAACTTATAGGCTAAGTCTCCTACTAATAACTAGAAGTACTAAGTTAATATTCTTATATATTTATAATAAAAAACTATATTAGCTTTAATATAAGCTCTTATTAACTTAGAAGTAAACAGCATAGGTTACATTAATAAAGAACTAGTATGTAAACTAAATCTTTAATTAACACTGCTTACTTAAATAATTTACCTAACTAGATTTAATAAAAAATAACTTAAAAAAAGTTCTATTTTTTATACTATAACTATTACAATTACCTACTAACACTATAAGAAGTAGATTAAACTTTATGTAATAAATATAAAATGTTATAACCTAATTCTAGGACAAC